TCTATTTTGGTATTTTTTTTTTTAGCTTTTAATGATGGATAAATCGTCTCTAAATTAGCAACCGAATGCATGAACTATAGCTAATTAATTAATGATGAGCTTTTTAGTAATGAATTTGGATCGCGCTAAATTTAATTAGCGGTAGTTTTTTTAATTGAGCGATGGTTTGAAGTTTTTGTTGTAGTGAACTAATAAGCTTTTGATCCACTTCCAATATGCCGGGAAGAAGAAGAGAGGCCCAAATGCAGCTATGGGAGTCTAACGTGCTTGAAGGCCTAGAGAATGCTACCGCCCCAAATTATGCTATTGTTAATTATTTTCATTCCGTTATTGTGTTTTCCTTGAGTAGGTCGCATCGGTGGTTTTTCCATCTAGAAGGTTGATGTGGCAAGTTTGTTAGGATTCTCTGACGACTTTGTTGCGTATAATAGAGGAATGAGTGAGGTGAGAGAGGGATGTTTTTTATTTTGGTATAGTGGGAATTTTGGAGAGTAGGCCCTCTCGAATATGCCTTATTCTATCACTCGTAAACACTTTCCTTTATTGATAATAAAGCAAATTTCATTCATCCATTGCATGCTTCGTCTCTGCTATTTGAGTTGCAACATGAACATAGTTAACATGTTCGATGAGGGCTTTTTGTTGCGGTGCTAAATTAGGAGCAAGATGGGAGTGGAAAAAGGATGATGGTCGTTGAGAATGTTGTTATTGGTGGGTCTCTCGGCTAGAGAAAAAGAAAAGAAAAGAAAAGGGAATAAGATGATTTTGAGTGTTTGCCGTCGAAGGAGAAAATAATGTATGGAAGTTTTTTTTTATTTTTTTATTAAGACATAAGAAGATGGTCCGGTTTTGCCGAAAGATATGGAAAGGAGAAGGGATTATTTGTAGCTAGAGTTTCTTCTTGTCTCTAGCAATTATAAAGAAGGGACTATGGTGGTTGTTAGTGGAAACGAGGGAGAAAGGATATGGTCGATTAGGGTTCCTTTTTGTCTCTAACAATTGTGGAGAGAGGACTATTATGGTTGCTAATAGTGGGAAGGTTGATTAGATTAGAGTTGTGGTTGGAGGAAGAGAGGAAGCAAGAGAGGGAGTTGTGGTTAACTCGTGGTAGTGGATGGTGGGTGAATAGAAGGTCCAATTATGTTTTTTTTTTTTTAATTGTTTGCTTTGCTTTTTTAGAGGTGGGTTAGGTGGTAATTGATGAATGATTGCTTGTGGCGGGTGGTTTTGACGAGTAGAGGAAGAATGGACAAATGGTGAAATGGGCAAAGGCGAGAGAACGACGGAATAGGTTTTAATGGTAACTAGGTTTTTTGCCCACGCTACGCTACGAGTAGGATAAAATGTATAAAATCATTTAAAAAAAATATTTTAGCTTGATAGTTTGTTTTATAGTGTGAATATATAAAAATATATGAAATCAAATATGAAAAAATATTTTAAATATTTTAATGTAATTTGAAATTAAATGGATGAGAATTTTTAAAAAATGACAAATTAAAGTAAAAAATTTTAAATAATAAAATAATAAACAAAAAAATTCATTTAAAAAAATTGTATAAATTATAATGATGTATTTAAAAAATAAAACACCGATATATTCATATATTAAAAAAAAATTGTTAACAAATAAAATTAAATCAAAAAATTATTTTTATTGTGAATTTTAATAAGAAATAAATAATTAAAAATTCAATTTAAACAATAAAAGTAATATATATATCATCTTTAAGCTTTACGAAAAACTAAAAAAATAATGATTTATTTTTCATATATTTAATTTTTTTTGTTTGGCAAACCTTTTTCCTTAATTGTTTTTTTCTTTATATATATATATATATATAGATAGATAGATAGATAGAGAGAGAGAGAGAGAGAGAGAGAGAGAGAGAGAGAGAGAGAGAGAGAGAGAGAGAGAGAGAGGGTGGGTGGGCGCGCTCGGTTGCAAGCCAACCGAGACGAGTGCTCGGTTGGCTTGTGCAACCAAGCCGTCACATGAAAAAAAATAAAAAAAGGGAGGGAGGCCGACTTGCTTGGGTTGCGTAGGTAGGCCGAGTGTGCCTAGGCTTGCCATTACAGGCCCGCGTGCCCCGCCTTGCCTACTGAAAAATAAAATAAAATAAAACCTTGTAAATTTCGACAAACCCGAGGTCGTCGAAAAATCGAATGTTAATTTTCAAATCCCTAGAAATTGAATTCCGGCATGATTTTTTTCCTAAACACCTCTAAATGACCGGAATAAAGTCGATAAACACATCTAAAACCTTAAAAACCATTTTAATACACAAAAAAATAAAGAAAAATACAAAATCAAATAGGATTTTTTTTTCTTTTTTTTGAGTCCGATCTACATCTTCTAATTGTTTAATGGCTTGAAACCATTATGAACAAACTCACCTCTCAAAGATAAAAAAATCTAATAGACTTTCGTCGGCCAAAGTAGCCTAAATGAGCTTGGTGGTCGACGATCTCTCTTTCTCCTCCCGTCTTTCTCTTCCTCTCAGCCTTCTCTCTCCACCCAATGATCAAAATGGATGAGCAAATAAACATGTGGATTGAAACATGCATTCGAAAACTTTATGAATCAAAGTGTAAAAAAAAAAGCTATGAATAGTAAAAGTAACGAGCAAATTATGAAAGAGTGAATAGTAAATTGTGAAAGCATATACAATGTTTCAAATAGTAAATTGCAACAGTAAATGAGCGCTTTCCTTTAATTTATTAGTAATTGGTGGTGGCTGAAATGGATATTTTATTATTATTATTATTTTATTTTTATTTTTTGTGATTTTTTGGGTGTCGGTTGGTGATAAAGAGGGCAATACCTTTTTTTTTCTTTTTTACTTTTTTGTAAGAAATGAAAATGAAAAGGTTATGGGCGGCTATTTGAGAGTGAGGAAAGAGAAAGCAGAAGAGGGACGCCTAGGGCCTTGTCCCCCAAACGAGTTTGAGAGGGAGGGATTCAGTTTTTTGTTTGGCTAGTTGAAAATTGAGGCTTCTTCTTCTTTTCAGTAGAAAAGGTTGTATTTATAGAGTGGAATCAGAATGCTCCCATTTTGGTCTTTTATTTTTTATTTCTTTTCTATTTCAGTCTTTTGCCTTTTTTGTTTTTTTATTGCACCCTCGATTAGACTTTGTTAGGCTGTATTTTTTTTTTATTTCCTTCGATTTATATCCCAATTTTTGCTTTTTTCTTTCTTTTTCATTTGATTTTTTTTTTGTAATTACTTTTTATTCACTCTTTTTTTTTAAGCTAGATGATTTCTCCTCCGATTGTCATAAAAAAAAAAAATCATAAAACTACATAAAAAAAAACTAAAAAAGGTTAAAATTCTAAGAAATCGAATAAATCAAATAAAATATTGATTTTTTTTTCTTGGGTTATTTTTGGATTTTTTTAGAAACTTATAAAAATAAGAGGTTAAATTTGGATTATAACCCCATTCATAATGAGTTTGAAATAATATAAGCCATTCTATGATTCATATCATACGAAATCCATCAATTAAGTTTGTCCCATCAGAAAATTTTTTTTCACACTATAGACAACATTACTCCTATTATAATGTAATAATTTTTTCAAATGTACTAGACATATTTTTAAATTTTAAATTTTTTTTTAATATATATAAATAGTAAAATATCTTTTGGATAGTTTTTGTATCAATCGAGACTAAGTCCACATCTTTTAGTGGACTACTAAGCTTTTTGTTTTAAGATCAAATGAATCCAAGTTTGGTATTATTAAAAAATAATTATGGCTAATTATTCATGAATAATGAGAATTGAATTTTGGTTTTAATCAAATCAAAATAATTTTCTCACCGTTAGACCAAATTTTGACACGTATTATACTTACTTTCCATACATGATTTTTATTTTAAAAAAAAACTACACTTTCCATGTATGATTGGAATTTTGAATTTCTAAAATTTAATAAATGATGAGAACTTTAATTGGATTAATGCATTAACCAAACAATAATATATAATGAAAATACTAGATCTTAAACCATCACTTCACTCCAACAATGGCTAAATGCATCGTTTATGAATAATGAGAATTGAATTTTGGTTTTAATCAAATCAAAATAATTTTCTCACCGTTAGACCAAATTTTGACACGTATTATACTTACTTTCCATACATGATTTTTATTTTAAAAAAAAACTACACTTTCCATGTATGATTGGAATTTTGAATTTCTAAAATTTAATAAATGATGAGAACTTTAATTGGATCAATTCGATCAATTAAACATTTGTGTTTTGAATTTCAGTCATTTAAATATAATTTAGTTAAATTAAAAAAAATATATTCAATAAAAAAAGTGGGATGGACGATGATATAATAATAATAATAATAATTGCTACTTAAATCAATTAGTTGATAATATACTTAATATTGAATCAAAATAGTAAAAAAAAGAAAAGAAAAAAAGAGCACTTAATTAGCTGCAATATATTTTCAATTTTGGAAAATTATAATCAATTAGCTAAAATTAAAAATATAGATGCCTAATTGAAAGGATCGATAACAAAAGAGTTTTTTGAGAGATTGGTGAAAATCAGAAAGTCATGTTCATTAGTTAATTACTTTCATCATAATTATTACTTCCACCTGATAAAGACTTTTTAATCTTAAATATGGATAGCATAATTTACAAAAGATTTTTCAAATTTTAAATGAATATATTCCAATAATTGATCTCACAGATATAATAATTATAAGATTTTTGAGAAAATATTTTCCATAGGATACCATTATTTGCTATGGTAAGCATACCCTATGTTAGAAGTTTATTGCGATTAAGGGCTTAATAAACAGCCCATAATCGGTGCCTAAAAGTTTCCTAATCAAGCAATTAGGGTTCCTCGTCCTTGTATTAAAGGGACTCTCTTTCTCTATAAAGACACCACTGCCCCCTATACATCTTCTAGATCTATAAGGAAAAAAAGCCCTAATCTCTCTTTTCTTCTCTTCCAAATTAATCGATCATCAATGGCGGAAGAGCAAGCGGTAGCTGTGGCGGTGACTAAGGAGGAGAGATCGATCGGCAGGGTGGTTCGATTCAGCGACAAGAAGGGATTTGGATTTATCAAACCTGATGATGGAGACAAAGATCTATTCGTTCATCACTCCGCCATCAAATCTGATGGTGGCTACCGTACTCTTTACGAAGACGACGTCGTTGAGTTCACTATTTCACTGACCGACGACAAGTACCAAGCAGTTGACGTCACTGCACCCGGTGGTGGACCTATCAAACGGCGCACAACCTCCTCCGGTGGATTCAACCGCCGCAACAACAATACCAACAGTGCTGGTTGTTTCAATTGTGGAAATCCTGGCCACATAGCTAGGGATTGCAACAATAACAGTAGTAACAGTTACAATTACAGTAATAATAATAATAACAATCGCGGTGGTGTTGCTACCGATTTTGGTTGCTATAAGTGTGGGAGCAGTGGGCATTTTGCTAGGGAGTGTCCGAAGGGGAATAGTAATGGGTGTTACAGCTGTGGAGGGTTTGGGCATGTGGCAAGGGACTGTCCTGGTGGGAGTGGAGCTTGTTATAACTGCGGTGGGTATGGACATTTGGCTCGGGATTGCACAAGTGCGAGAGGAACTGGTGGTGGAAGGTTTGGCGGTGGTAATAGTGGTGGATGCTTTAATTGTGGGAAGGAAGGGCACTTTGCTAGGGATTGTCCTGATCAGTCTTGAATAAAAGAGGGATGATGGTAATTGTTGCTATGACTTTTATCTTCGGTTGGCTGTTCGGTTTTTGGGGTTTATGATATAGATAGGATTGTGTTGGGGTTCTTTTGTTGGTAGGGGAAACCTACCAACAATATACTATTTGGTGGTTTCGGATAAAAAATTAGTTTTTTTTTTTTTTTAATTTCTAATTTCTGCTATTGTTAATGACATTTCTAATTGAGCAGTCCTTATTTTTGTCAAGTGTGAATAATGGTTTTCAATGTGATGGATTGATGTTTTTTTTTTCCTGGCATTGCCATTATGCTAAGTTCATATTTCATAGTCTCTTATTGTTTGGTTTGATGAAGAATGCTCCAACTACAGTATCTCTTCCCGGTGTTGGTTTGCTTACGTGGTTTTTTTTTTTTTTTTTTTTTGCAATGTATATGTTCCATATTCAGGATAAGTTGATAGGTTTTGTTGCCATTATCTCCTCTGCTGTGAATCTTAATGTAGTAATTTCAATGTGATTATAGAACTGAGAGTTTGGAATAATGATTTAGAACTACTGGTGTTTGATTCTGATATGAGTTCTTTTTAGTTTAGTTTTCAAAGCGAATGAGAATTGGTGTACACTTTCTAGTATAGTATTATATAGTGTTAGGGAAGTAAGTTCTCTAGGCTACTCTCTTACTACAGGTGGTTGATTTGGTTAGGGGAGTTAGCAAATATGTCACTGAATTTCTGATCGCAGTCTCCTGCAGAGAGTTTTAATGCAAGGGGGTTATATTTAGAGAAACTTAATTTGACAACTGTGTCCCTTCATGGAGTATGTTGAAGTGCATGTCTATGATAGTCAGTGTTTTGGATGAGATGGTTTATCAATGTATTTCTCCCATGATTCCAAAGGATTGTTTGTTGTTGGATGACATTGTCAATTACTTAATGTTATGCTTTAGGTTGGATATGAATCAAGAATATTGATTCCACATTTAAGATCTTCTTACATTCCCAGGGGTTTTCTTTACTAAATCTGGAAGTGCCATATGCTATAAGTAGAGAAGCTTTTAGCTCTAGTTGGGAGCTGAGTTTGGGCTGTTAAATTGTACAGGGTCATAGGAACATGAATGCTGCTGCTCGTGGCTGTAGTTGCTGGTCAGCTGCTTGTGTGATGTACTTGTAAAGTTGTGCAAATAGAATGCAGTTTCAGTTTGTTTGGCTGTACAGTTTTAGGGATTAGTGGTGTTAATGATGAACTTCTTACATTTTCTTTGGTTTTAGAATGTTGATAGATTGAACTTCTTACATTTTGGATGCGGAGGATAGTTTCTGGTTCAATGTAACCTTGTTTCCTTGAAATTTATTTGTGTCGAAGTGGAAATTGTTAGCATATATTAGATTTTGGAAATCACCTTTAATTGCAGGGGGAATGTTAAGGCAATTCAGGATTCCAAAGCAAAGGTACAGGCAAAGAGCATAACTGTAGATTGATGTCTCTGGCCATTATGCAATGCGGGGGTATATAGCAGGTGTCGAGAAGCCTTTCCTATCTGGGATATAGCCTATAATTGATATTTCTTTGTTTTCAGATATAGAAGAAGTGATCTAGCGATATAGAAAACCACTAGCGACGTGCTATATAGTGATCCAGCAGGTACGGATGAATCTGCCATATAAGCTTAAGCACGTTAGCTGAATTGAGGCTTTTGCCATTAATGCGTAGGCATCTCTTTCATGAGAATGACCGTAACAACCTTTTTGTGTCTGGATGAATGGGCAAAGCCATGACCCATGAGTTAGATCTTCCTCTCTTTTTCTGTTCTCTGAAGTTAGTTAATGGTAGAGACAGTGAGGAGGGTAATTTGAATCTCAATACAGACTGTACTCTAGTGATTGAAGAATTCTCATGTTTAATTGCGTGTGCCTAGAACTTGAGTTCAACTTGGAGATTTCAGGTCATTCGTGAGCTGAAGGTTCTCAAATTTGCCACTGATACAAGGTGTAGAGCCCAAGCAGTTTAGGTTGGGCTCGGATTTCAGGCCTTTCTGTTGGGCTTATTAGGTAGAGGCTGAAAAAGCAATGGCGAGTCTTAGATTTAGTCTTTGGTGATTGATAAATTCAGCACTTAAGCTTATGAAGTGTCTGAACTTTTGGGCTTATTGATAATTTAAGAAGTCACCATGGTGAGTTGGGTTTAGGTTTATGCCTCTCTGATCGGCTTAGGAATTTCGGTGAGATCAACGTGTGAACCATGTTAGGCAATAAGTTTCTTAAACCCAAAAACGAAAAATAACAAAAATGATTGTCAAGTTGCTAACTTGTGTGAGTGAAACAATAGTACCATGATAAACAAATAAATAAATACATCTTATATAACCCTTGAGACGGGCCTTTTCCATTCACCCAAGAGACACCAGAAACAAAATTCATGGAGGAGTTTATTTCTCTATTTTATGGGCCACTTGGTACTAAGATGAGGTAAAATGGTAATGGGTAAGCAGAGGTAAAATTGGGTAATGGGTTAGCAGAGGTCAAAAGGGTGAAAAAAAAGGGGTAAAGAAAAAGATCTTTTGACTGACGTAATGGTTGACACAGGTCTTGCTTTGACCATGAGCTTCGAATGCATCAAATGAAATCTACTACTGATACTAATAAATATCTATAGTCTCATAGTTAATTCAATTAATCATTTGCGCAATCTCACAGGACATGCTGATGACTTGTTTCCTTCCTATTTCATCATCACTAAGTAGGTAAATAAAATTTTGGAATCTCCTGCCGCCCCTTCTAACCTTACGAGGTGGAGTTAAAAATCCCATAAGAGTGCAGAATCTCAATGCATCCTTTGCTAACATCCAAAAGCCTAAATTAATATTCAATATTTATTATTACTCCCACTTTATCATTATTCACACTCTGCCAATACCATGGCATTGGCTCAAACCTCCATATATGATGTTTCCCTTTCCCCTAAGCAAGCTTGAAAATTGGTACCAAAAACAGCCAATACCCCAGTGACCGACCTCTTACTGTGACATCGTGTGCATGTGCCCATATTTTGGTCCCTAAGGACCTACATGCCTATATATATTGCCCCACTCTCCATACTCCTGGCACATGTTCCACACTTTCTATAACTCTTCATTTAGAAGCCTTAGCCTTACATACTTCTCAAGTACCACAATTCAAATCAAACAGAAAACCTCTCTAAACTCTCAAATTCCACGATGGCTTGGTCTCAACTTTTCATCTCTCTGTTCTTTCTTAGTTCTCTTCTCATTTTTTCAGGTAAGAAAAACATGAGCGATTTTTCTTTCCTTCTTTCTTGTATAGTTGATTTCTATGTGACATTTTTCGGTGTCACGTTTTGTGTTGTTAATTAACTTATGTGTTACACAGGTGGATATTCATCAACATTTACAATCATAAACAAGTGCAACTACCAAGTTTGGCCCGGTATACTATCAGGCGCAGGTACCCCACAACTTCCCACCACAGGCTTTGTTCTCCAACCGGGCGAATCAAATTCAATTTCCTTCCCGCCGTCTTGGTCAGGCCGCTTATGGGGCAGAACGCTATGCACCCAAGATTCCACCAGCGGCAAATTCTCTTGCCAGACAGGCGATTGTGGCTCTCCCACTCTTGAATGTTCCGGTGGAGGCGCTGCCCCTCCTGCCACCCTGGCTGAATTCACTTTAAATGGCGCGAACGGACTAGATTTTTACGATGTTAGCCTTGTGGATGGCTATAACCTCCCAATGCTTATAACCCCACAGAGTGGCAAAGGAGGGAATTACACGGCAACAGGGTGTGTCGTGGACTTGAACAATGCATGTCCGAACGAACTTAAAGTTGTTGATGGCGGTAACGGTGAGAATTTAGCATGCAAAAGTGCATGTGATGCGTTCGGAGATCCGAAATATTGCTGCAGCGGTGCATATGCAACTCCGGATACATGTAAACCAAGCTCGTACTCACAATTTTTCAAAAATGCTTGCCCCCGAGCTTATAGCTATGCTTATGACGACGGGACAAGTACTTTCACTTGCGCCGGAGCCGATTATGTTATCACTTTCTGCCCTGCTCCAACCACCAGGTAACATCGCCAATTCATTTGATTTTCATTTCATTTTGTTCTCTGGTATTAACTGTCATGATTTTTGACTAAATTAAGGTCATTGTAGTCGGTTTGACAGGATATAAACAGCTGTTTTTCCCTCAGTCATCAGGAATTTGGAGTTCATGTCGGTCTCTTAGTCATCTCGTTGCATTTATTAATGTCTTTATTTTCAGTTGCAATATTAAGATTTTCTTGTTGAATGTTTGAGGCTAGTTGACTTTTTTAAAATCGGTTTTTTTACCAGCAAAGTGGTTAGTTTAACGATAAAAAAACTGATTTTTAACGGATTTTTTTGTTAATTTATAGTTTGGAATCCTAAAATCGTATTTATTGGAAATGATTAAATTTTATAATTTTTATATTAAACATGTTCAATCATATTTATTAAAAAGAATTAAATTTTATTGTTTTTCTATTAAACATGATTAGTTATGTTTTGGACGGTGATATAAAACTTTTTTTCAGAAAAAAAGTCGGGCTCTTGTTTTGATATCTCTGTGAGGGCACCGATTTATAATTTTTTTGATTCAAGAATATGGGTGACACGTTTTATTTATTTATTTTTAATAAACACGACTGCTGCAACGTAGATGTCACGTGATGAATACCAATAATCCTAATATCGTTGGTTTTTTCTTGTATAAGTTGGGTTAATTTTTTTGGATGGTATATTAATGTGGATATTTATTTATTGACAATGGGTGGTTCATGGCTGTTGCAGTCAGAAGTCGGCAAATGGGCAGCAGAATCCGGAGGCAGCGGACGCCTCAGCTGGCAATCGTAACACATCACCATGTTTCATAGGCGGTTTCATCACCATTGCCGTGGCAATTTGGCAGTTACGGCAGCTCTTTTGACCACGCCAGGCCGCTAAGCAACGTTGCCACCACCACTAGGTGCCATCTTTGGGAATAACGTTTCCCAGAGCCACACGAAACGCTGGAGCTTGGGATGTTGCCAGCGGGACCCACCTCCAAAGGTTCCAAAGTGAAGTAGGACCCACATTTTTTTTGTGGAGTCCGATGAAGTTAAACTAGTAGCCTGCAAATTATAGGATCTCTTAAAATGGGAAAACAGGCAATGTTAGATAGCAGACCATGGGCAGACCATATTGCATCAGCAGCCACATTTATGACATGGACACATAAAAGATAGGAAAAGTTTAGAGAGAGAGAGATCGAATGCTGGCATATTAATTTTGTTTTCTTTAATGTTGGACTTTTCGTTTTTGGAGTTGCGTAATAAAAATAATACCTGAGGAGGCGTAGGTAGGATGATGATTTCTTGGATTGTTGTGTGTATTTTTTTTTTTTTTTTATTGTAAAACAGTCGCCTACTAATTAATGCCAAGTTTGATTAGTTCATACTCTCAGACTCTTACCTCTTTTTATCCCAAGACTCTGGTACATTCGCTTTCTTATCTTTTCTTGCTGTCTTTCTTCGGTGACAGTTGCAATTTTGTTTAATGCTGAGCTTATTTGCGGTGGGTTATGCAGTAGGAAGTTAATTCTATTTTTTTTAATCATATTAGATGCTCTCTTTCACATTGTTTTTTTTTCTTTTTTCTTTTTTTGTTCGTCAGTGAAAGGCTTGATAGGGCTGGTTACTGTGGTCATCGACAGGCCCTACTTAACCAACTAGTTAGGTTTAGAATCTAGAGCCTTTGTTTCTTTCGAATGAACCAACGCTTTACGAGAGAGAACATACCGGAATGGACACCAAATGCTACGAGTAACTTTGGGTGTAAAGCCCACCCAAATATAGGACTCTTGTTCTGGTACCTCCTCAATTGCTCGTAACATGTCAAATTCTCTTTCTTGCTCATAAAGGAAGGACAAACACGTATTAGATTATCAAATGGAGACCACTTAATTAACTAAGTTATCAGCTTATAAATTTATCAGTCTGTGATGTTATTGTCTGTTTTGATTGCCTAGCAAGTTTCAGGTGTTCTGAAACTTAAGAAAAGTGTTTTAAGAGAGTTTTGATGGGTGCAAGTGTTGTTGAATTTGATTGTTCTATGTTTTGTAGTGTTCCTCATATGCTTTAATTTGTACTTATAGTCTTTTAGTTCTTTTGTAATGCTCCATTCTTTGCAATGATCGATCCACGTTGTCCACCTTTACTATATTCATACTCCACCATCGTCCTTTTCATCCCTGATTGTTAAGAGAATTAATTCTGCTTTTTTATACTTTTTAACTATCATGACTTTCTGAGATAAATTATCTGCAACCTAGCTCGTAATCTTCTTGAATAATGACTTAAATTTACCAATAAATCTATTGAACCTGTCAACCCATGAATTTGGCATTAGTCGAGCTTTTACGACTTGTATAATTTTTTTAGTATAACAAAGAATATAGCCCTTCTTTTTTTTTTTTTTAATTGTATCATCGTTCATTCAAAATCATAAAGTACATGGTGGATCAATGAGAACCAAAACTTGACAAAACCTGTGGCTCTGCCACACTTATTGACCATTTTTCAATATCATTGTCATGACCACTAACAACTTCACATCAAGAAGACATAGGATCAACTATAGAAGCTGGTAATTAAGCATAACAAATATAACACGTAAACATGCTGATAGAATAAAAAGCTAATTGCATTTAACATGTGAATTAAATTAAAGCATAACAGCATTCCAACCATAGGCATGTAGGACAACTTTTGCTTAGTCTGTTAGTCAAAGAGACGCCGATTAAGTTGTTACAGCCATTGATATGGATGATTAAAAAAGTTTCAAATTGATTGATTAGTCTTCAATTTATCTGGCTAGTCTATTTTTGCTTAGTCATTATGCTTTTTTAGGACCACAACTTAGTGATTATAGGCAATAGCCTCCTTGAGGGGCGAAAAAAAAAAAAAAGAATTACTAACAAATTGTATTTGAATTCGAGATGTGTAAGGAAGAGATACATGTGCAAAAGCTGTTGCCAAATCTAGACATTGAACTCTCTTTAACGCTACCGATTTTTGCATGATTAGAATTTATTTCCGGTGTTATATTTGTTTTTATTGTGTAGATAAGGTAATTTGGCTAAATATAATAGAATGTCATGTAGTGAAAAAAAAAATTATCTTCAATTTTTATTTTTTGGATCTCTAAAATATCTCAATTTCAAAAACTCAAACTAATCTCTCGTTATTCCGTTATACGCACAAAATAAAAACAACTATTTAAGAAGTTTTTTGCGTATATAAAAACTCGAATTCGAAACTACTTACTTAAACGACTATAATTCTTTCGTTCAAACCAATCCTTTTGAGTATTTCTTTTCAACGTTATTACTTCCTATTTAACGTAACTTGACTAATCAACACTACAAAAAAAAAAAAAAACCATCAAATAGCGATGTAATTTTTCATCGCTAAATCATTATTTTCTATCGCTATTAATATTTAGCGACGGATTTGTGACAAAATTATTCCCTAGCTAAAATGATTGTCGCTATTGTTTTAGCAACGGAAATTACTGTCACTAATCCTAAACCCAAAATTTGCAAGGAAAATGTGCAATTAGCGACAAAAATTCTGTTGCTAATCCTAAATTTCAAAAATAGTGACGGAATTAAGATTCCGTCGCTCATTTTCCTCACAATTTTCTTGCTAAATTGTCTCTAAAATACCTATGAATATTTTTGCCATCACATTTAGCTACAGGCTGAAAATCCATTGCTAGTTTGTCGATGTTCCGTAGCTGAAACTCACATTTCAATAACAATCGCAATTCGTTGGCTAATCCGTCGTTGATATCTATCGATATTTGACGGTTTTCTTCTAGTGCAAAACATAGCATAGCGATTGGATAAAACAACATTTGTTTAAATTAAAATCACTATTATTGAAGACAAGTTGGTACGTTAATCTAGACAAAGATCAAACGAATAAAATTAGAAAAGCAAAATAAAAGGCACTGTCGATGATCAGCATCCATATCTTGATGAGGTAAAAGTATTGAAGGCATTTCTACACCCCTTTGTCCTTCAATGTTTGCTTCCACATCAAATTTCTATCCTTTGACCTCCTTTCCATATTTAATTCCTTCTTTTCTCCTCCTACTTGATTATAAATTATCTGCTTAATTAATAGTGCCAACCTTAATATGTAAAGCCCTCATTTCTATCTTTTGGCTTTAAAAACAAGTTGTTAGCAAAGAAGAAAAGCTTCAAGAAACAAAGGATTCGGCAGCCCTTTTTAGAAAGAATGTTTTTTCTATCGAAACAGCGCTAGTGGGATTACGCAAATCTTTAATAAAGAACAATGAATTGCAGAAAAAAAAAGGGAAAAAGGGTTCTGATGATGCTTATTAAAAATGAAAAAGTTCAAAAACCTTATCCAAGTATTCTTTACACGACACATAGTGCGTCAATGGAGGGCCCTTGAGATGTTGATAGAAACATCGGTATCCAAATGGAAGAAAGCAGCAGTCTTCTTATTGATATGAAGTCAGGAATTGCACTACAATCTATGATAACTCCATGAAATTATCACAAGTTTTCTGGATGAACAAAACTTTTGCGTTGTACTTTACGATAACAAAACACACAAATATCGTTTTTATTGAAAATAAGAAACCCTATTGAACTATGATTAATTAATTAATGTTCACTTGATCTTGTTTATTTCTTATGCATTTTCTTTTTTCTTTTTAATTAATTCCAAACAATGCAACCCATTTTCCGTAGGCAATGATGCTATTAGACTGCACCACCCTTTGTGTGTGTGTGTGTGTTTTTTTTTTTTTGCTGTTTTTTTTTGTTTGGTAAGAGTATTTTTGGATGAGTATTCATTCTTTGAATATATTTAATTAATTCTTTACACATGTTTCAAACATATAGAGGATATGTTTTACAAATTCAACATATCATTCGTGTGAACATCTGTTAATCGAAACAGACAACGTAAAAGTCTTACAAAGTTGATGGCTGCAATTAAATTCTTACGTACGTTGGACCCTATAAATCTTTTGCTGGTTGAATTAGACCCTAGATTTGATATGTGCTCAATTTTTATTGCTGCTCAGAAAATTGGCAATGACAAACTGTCCCAGACTAAACCTATCCCACTCAAATTTTCCTTGCAGTACTTCTATCCCAGTCACCAACCTTGTCATTTAGTAAACATCAAACTTCTTTCAGAGTCATTTGCACATGCTAATATGGTGGCTTTCAGTCACAGATTGCGGGTAAGATTTGGCAGGTGTACTCTTCAAATTCGATAGGTTTGATTGAGTTAAAAAGCTTAATTAATGTGTTGGTTCAAACTTAGCGAAAAATGACGAAGTTAATTTAATCCAATTATATATGTTCATCAAACAGGGTTCTGAAAATGGACTTCAACAAATATATCAAATTTTCGTTAACAGCTATTGATGCTAGCTTTGAAAGAGCTCCCACTTGCAGAAATGGCAGCATTCTCACTTGGAAAGCAAGCCAAGGCTGTCCCACTAAAACTTTAAAGGAGATAAAGAGAGATTAAACGACCAACGAACTTGAATGGAAGTTGCACAATGAAGTGGAAGTTAAGTAGTGATAATAACGACTTTTAGAAAAGGTAATAAATTAGAGAAGAAGCAATTAATTACTCGTTTTACTCGATCGAATAAATATTTATTAAAAATATTTAATAAATATTAAAATGAATAACAACAAAAAATGCATATTTATTAATATAATTTTTAGATAAAAAATCCATTTTATATTTTACTAATACCATTAAAATTAATTATAAAAAAATATTAATTTTAAAGATCAAAATAATTTTTTTAAAAAAATTATAAGAACTAAAGTGAAAATTTTGAAAAATTATTTTTAACTGGACATAAATGGGTGTTAAATGGATGAATGCACTAAATATATAGTCCAATATAAGTTTAGAAATTAAGTAATTTTTTATGGATATAGATATAATTTTCTTTTAATACATAGTATAAAATATTGAATTAGTGGTTGGATATTCAGCGTACTTATTGCCGTCTCTACATTCACTTTATATATAGAGATATATCTATAGCTACAAAATTGTGACATCTGCATGCATGTTATGATGCCACGTACTGAGACATCATCCATGTGGAATTGTTGGCCTCATAAACCACAAGTTATTTGCTAACTTAAGTTCAAATGTTATTGGCAAAACGAAAGAGACTCCAATTAAAATAAACTTCGTAGAAATTGAAATATGAAAAAAATATATATATGTCTAAATATTTTAATTTACGAAAAAAGGATCTAATTGATAGAGAAAATGCCGTAAAGATCAATTAACGAAATCTTTGCTGATACAATAATAATTGCTTGTTTAATGCCATAATATGAGACAAAAGTTAAGAAATTCGGATCTTATTCCTTCGGAGAGAAGTAACTTCGTGTTTACATTAATGTTGCAGCATAAACTTCGTTTCTCAATTATTATGTTTGATAAATTAATGTAAGATTTAGACTTGAGCAGTGAAATGCAATAAAAATATAATACAGTATAATGAAGTCCTTAAGAGGAGAGAGGATGTTGCCTATATATATATATATATATATTTTTATGTATTTTTTTTAAAAAAATTTATCTCGGCTAAAAAAAATTGTTATAAAAAAGTTTTTAAAAAAATATTGTACAGTAATCTCAAGACGGTCTAACTTCCAAATTTAAATTCTAAAAAATTTAATCAACTATGATATGGATCTTACTGTTTATTTTTATTTTTTGTATTTTCTTTAATATTTGAACTAAAATAAAAAAAGTTGCAATCAATTTGTAAATCCTAAAAGAGGCATGCATTTTGTCAAGATAAGCTGGATTGCAAGTTTGTAACGATGATTATTCACATAAACTATCTCAAATCAACAATTCAAAATTCCTAACCTAATTTGCAATTAGAATTATGCATTCAAACTTTGAACCTTGAAATTAAACAATTTTTATGCTCGAAAATGTTACAATCTTAACAATATACATAATTGAAATATGAACTTATATTCATTAATGATGGAGATTGCTTATATATTGGTAACAACTCATAAGGAATTCAACTCTTGTAAAGCATGATCACAAGTTGTGGATAGAAGATGGAAACCAAGAACCAAATAATAGTCTGCAAATTCTCACATTGCTTGATTATTACTTACAAGTTATTGCCTATTATATTACAACCTATAAAAATTAATGCCTCCAAACTATAGCCTAATAAATTTCAAGTGTGTTGAAATTTGAGATAGTGCATTATGAGCTATTTGTAAATTTCAAGTTGAATTTGTTTATATATTATATTCGTGTGTTTCTCCTATTGTAGATTGTATTTATAGGCTTCTTGATCCACTATGATCCCTACAATGGACTATGTTCATTTGTATTATTTTTCATTTATATTTGCAATGCTCCACACTCCTTTATAACCGTTGTAATTGTGTTCCTTTTTTTTTTTTTTAACTACTATGATCATGTGTTATTTTATTTTATTATTATTATTATTTTTTTTTTTGTAATTGCCCACTCTATTTCTTGATTGTTAGGAAAGTTATCATTCACGTTTACCTTTTTATAACTATTTTGCATAATCAAAGAGTTCATAATTAGTAAGTTTTTTAGTCCAATAATATCACTCAAGAAATTAACTAACGGACCTTTTATGTTAAATCAAATTACTAAAATTTTAGGTCTAGTCTGAATTTTAGGTATAACGTTTATCCTCCCGTTATAGATTGTATTTAAAAGTGATAGGTAGTACTTAGCACATAGCTTTTAAACTCCCGAAGGTGATTTTGAGATTTCCTCAAACGTTTTGTACATGTTTTCAAGGGTCAATTGTGTCATCATAGGTGTCCAAGTTCATTTTTCTAGTAGAAAATTATTGTAAGAGTTTGGCGGTTAGTATGTGGATAGCGAGTGAAGAGGTCTAGAGCATCCGAGTATAGTAGTCGGGGTTTAGCCGAGCGGCAACGAGTGGTCACTTTTCCTCATTTTAGCATGTAGGTATGGTGCTCACGGAGGAGGCTTGCCATGACAAGGAGTTATCCTTATTCTTATTCCTACACTTGTTGTAAGCGATGTTGTCATTATCCGACATCAAATGAGACTCTCAAAATTTTTTTAAGATTTATGCATCGCATTTATGATTTGTTCTTATTGATTTAGAAGTTACCATCTAGTATTGAAAGAACTAGGAATATAAAAATAGCACTCGGTGTAAAGATTTTAAGGTAATGAGTTAGTTACGATTTTGAGAAGATATCGATCATCCAAAATCGCCTTTTTCTATAAAAAGTTCCATGTCTAGTTCGATCTAAAATTCATCCTTAAGGTGTTTTATTTATGCCAATTATTTCTAATTTAAACTCTAATTTTTCAAGCCAAATTCAGTTTTTATTTACGAGCATGACATCGTATTAAACAATCATTGGACCCTTTTATCGAGAGACACATTGGTTCAAATATCGAATTCACTATAAACCTTAACACAACCAAGTGTGTCGGAAAATATCTTGATTATCAAATGATGATTTTTTTTTTTACTAACAATAGTCCTTATCGATAGAAGATTTTGTTAAATTTTTTTATTAATTTTCGTTTATTTCTTTTTGTCAACAACAATTCTTATTAGATAGGAGACTTTGTTAAGAATTTTAATTTTTTTTGCCAACGATAGTCCCAATCGATAGGAGATTTCATTGACAATTTTAATTAATTTTTATTGTTTTTTTGTCAACGACAGATCCCTATTAGATAGAAGACTTCATTGAAAATTTTAATTTTTTTTTTAATTTTTTTATCAACGACGAGTCCCTATCAAATAGGAAACTTCGTTAGGAATTTTAATTTTTTTATTTTTCTAGCTAAGGATTTTTTCCTTTTTTCTTTTATTTCCTTCTCTTTCCTAAAACTTCTTTTTTGGTTTTGATATTATAATTTGTATTTATTACTTTTATATTATTTGTTAATAAAAAAAAACCATCATCGATCCCTAAAAATTAAGAGGCTCGATGATTTATTTATCGATTAATTATCTAACCTAAATGTTACAATAAATTCTAAAGTCTAAAACCGACTAAATACTTTCCAAAGCATCTAAGAAATATTGAATCTAAATTAATATTGGAAAAAATGCATTGATAAAAAAATATGCATGCTTAAAAAAAAAAAAAAAAAAGAGCCTAAAAAATCTATTGGCCCTCGACTCATTGGGCCAGGCCCATTAACCTTTTAATCATCTTTCTTTTCTTTTTCTTTTTTCTTTTTTCATTTTTTTTTACCTAACTAGACTAATTCCAGTTTCTTTATGCAATATGCATTGATTTTATTTATTTATTTTTATTTTTTGGGGTAGCAGCTACACTAAAACCAGCTTGTGCCTAGTTTCTTTCTTTCTTTTTTTTTTTTTTTTTAAAAAAAAAACTGGGTTAAGACTGGGCTCGGCTAAAACCAGCCCAGCCTTTCGCACTGTTAGCCCAACCAATTATTTATTTATTTATTTAAACGGGGGCTGGACTAAGTCCACTAACAAAGCTCGAATGTTTTACTTTTTAGTTTTCACTCTTTCTGGTGTAAAGCATGTTCAAAGCGTACAGTGTGGATATTTTGTCACACAGATCTCTGTATAGTTGTATTTACAGAAGATCTTCGTCCTTTTAGATTTGGATTAGCAAAACGTGTATTGTGCTTTTTCCCATATATTACCTTACTCCCTAAAATTTATGGATATTACCTTACTCCTTAAAAATTTATGGATTATATACATAGCATGTGATTTGCCTCCTAGTTTCAGAACAAAGTTGCTGCTAAGGTAAAGCTTGGGGCACTGACCGCTGCCACCTACTAACACAGCCTCCGATTAACCACTCGCCGTGTCGGTTGTCTGACGAAGAGTTGACCCATCATCTTATATTTTTAGGTTAGGAGAATCTGCTTTAGAAAAAAGCAGACGGTGGTTACCTCGAGTGAGCACGTGTTGGTCGTTTCATCGAATTGTCTACTTCCGTCTTGCTCCTACATCCACGTGTTATGTTCTTGGATTTGTTGAGTGATAGAAACGTTTCCAGGCCGGGAAAATATTCACAACAATAATCTGCAATATCTATTTCTTTGATGAGGAACTAGGAAACAGGGAAACGGATACGAGATACTTGAAAGTTTATTTATTATTAGAAAATTATTTTTTTCCTGCAAATTTAGGATATAGAAATATTTTAAAAAATTGTCTTTCTATCACTTTTAAAGAATATAAATTACAAAAGATAAAAAATAATTATTTTTTTCTTACATGAAGTATAAAATACTTTGGTGACGGTTGATGCTTTATTAAATAATTTTCCGTGGCCATAAAAATATATCCAGCAACTTCGCTGTGTCAGCATCTGTTGGGCAATAATTCGATTATTCATGTCCTTTGAAAATAAAATATAATTGCAAATCGATTAGTTAATTTAGCTTGTACGTAGTCATGGGCAATCCAAAGTATTTTATAATTTTCATCATTTATCATTAGTCATTATCATGAATAATTATATTTGTCTTCTTTAAGAGTTAGACTTCTTAGTCCCTCCATATTGGGATAAGGTCAAATTGTCTTTCCATTGTATTATTTTTTTAGATCAATAAAATCTGTCACTGTAACTTTATTTATTTATTATTTTTTAAATACATAAGCTGTTAGAATATGACAATATTTTTCATTTTCTTTAATAATATTGATCAATTGTTAGATATTAAAGTAAATTGTTGTTTCCCTTTGATGTAGTAAAGTTAAAAGCAAAAACTTTGGTCGGTCTCGTAAGACCTGCGTCGTTCTATCTTGAAAGGCTGAATACAATGTCCAAAGAAAAGATTTTGTGTAGCTCAGAAATAGAAATGACAATGCGTCGAAGTAAATTTTTTTTTTTTTTGTTCCATCTTTTATGCATGTATATGATTTTTTTCATCTACGTATACTCGTTAATCCCCTAGCCAAAAAAATAAAAAAAATTCCTGACCTAAGTAGTGAGTGCTAAGGTGCTTCAATATTTCTTTACGAGTATTTACAATTTATAGTCATTTTTTCACTTGCTAAAAAGCTTGAATCTATCTTTACAACAGTGTCTGCTTTCTGGGTTAATCATTAATGATGAAATTATGGAACAAGTTTGCTTACTAATAAATAATACATGCAATTACGAAACGAAATGTAGTTGTTGACCTATCATGTATTACTTGTTTTGTGTCATATATGTGAAAATGTATGCTCATGCAATGCCGTGAAGAGCACCTACATTATAGTTGTACAGAAGAAAGCCACCGATAGAGGTGTCTGCGTAGATCAGAAGGAAGCAGACTGTTTTGAAGAAAAAAGAAAAAAGAAAGAAGAAAATAGGTAGCTTAAAGCCTTATTGATTGGTGAGAATACCTGTAGTGGTAGTGGGGGCACGCTGTTTCGTTTTGTAATGTGGCTTTTTCTCTGCTTATAGTTCTTTATAAATAGAAGAAGTGCATAGCTGGTGATTGAGATTCTCCACCACTACTAACTTAGCCATCCTCCATCCACTCTTTTCAAAACAACAGCCAAAAAAAATATATATGAGAAGTGTTGGTGATTAGCAAGCTTTAGTGAAAGTTTTATGGGTGGTAATCACCAACATTTCTTGCATTTATCCTCTCTCTCTGCCGTCTATCTAAGCAAGAAACCTTGTCTTGGCTTTTGCTCTTCTTCTTCTTCTTCTTCTTCTTCCTCTTCTCCTTCCGATTTCTTTAATCTCTTCTTTACTTATTATCAGGAAATTAAATGTATCACCAATATTAGTTCATTACAGATAAGCTAATCTTTCTAATTTAGTACAAACACCAAAAATTCATCTCTTTCAATAAAAAAATAAAAGCGACCCTGTTCTTGTCACTCTCCATTAGTTCTATCAAAACACAGGAGAAAAATAAAGCTCAAATGGATTCGTTCTCATTCTTACAAAATCGCCCCCATTATTTTGCTGTGTTGCTAAGCTTGCTCTTCTTTTTTGAAGGTAAATAAAGATGGCTTGATGTTTGTGATTTGCATTGACATTAATAGAATTAAGTATTGATGGTTTTTTTTTTTTTTAAAAAAATACTATCAGGTGTTTCAGGTGCTACTTTCTCATTTGTTAACAAATGTGATCACTCAGTCTGGCCAGGAATTCTAGGCAGTCCAAAACTAGACAGCACTGGCTTTGAACTTTCTAGAGGCACGTCTCGCTCCTTCCAGGCTCCAACAGGCTGGTCTGGTCGATTCTGGGGCCGAACAGGCTGCAATTTCGACTCCTCAGGCCATGGTTCCTGTGCTACCGCAGACTGTGGCTCTGGCCAAGTCGAGTGTAATGGAGCTGGAGCCACACCGCCTGCTACTTTAGCAGAGTTCACTCTCGGCTCTGGTTCACAGGATTTCTATGACGTTAGCCTAGTTGATGGATACAATTTGCCAATGATTGTAGAAGTGAATGGAGGTTCAGGCCAGTGTGCGTCTACAGGGTGTGTCATGGACCTTAATATGAAGTGCCCGACGGAGCTGAGAGCTGAGGGAGGCGGCGCTTGTAGAAGCGCCTGTGAGGCATTTGGGAAGCCTGAGTACTGCTGTAGTGGCGCGTATAACTCACCGGCATCTTGCAAGCCTTCCATGTATTCTCAATTGTTCAAAAGTGCTTGTCCGAAGTCGTATAGCTACGCATACGATGATGCTAGTAGCACTTTTACTTGTACAGGAGCGGATTACACCATTACATTCTGCCCCAAACTCCCCAGGTAACACATTAACCTCTGCTATTACAGAATTTTAGAAATGATTTGGACAGTCGTATGATTCTTATCTGTCTATGTGAATTTGCTCTGTAATAATAGACAGACATGATTGTCTCATGAGGTTGAAAGACCATGACGATTCAAAGGATTTTAATTTTAATTAATTTATTTTCTTAGTTTGATATGACGCTTGGATTAATTTGGAATATATTCCTGTTGGTGCAGTCTAAAGTCTTCAAGTGATTCGCCTCCGAAAGAAATTGGGGGCACAGCAATTGATGGGTCAGGAACAGGGACAGAGGGAGCTGGAGGGATGGAATCAGGTTCCTCAGCACAGCAATCTGAATTAGATAGTTCATGGCTGGCAAATTTGGCCATTGGAGAGTCAACAAGAACCCAAACCCACCATCCCTTAGTTCTCCAATTTGCATTAGTTTTGGTCACATCTCTTATTCTTTCCTACACTCACTTGTAGTCACTCCTTGTCTCTCGTGTTCCAATCTAATTCAGCTAAGCATCAGTAACATGGAGATCAATCAGGGAGGTTGACAAAATCCAGATTGTACTCTCCAATTCTGCCTAATTTAATGTTAAACACATGGTATTAGTGTTATTATATGTACTCTAATTCAGCGTTTTAGTGTTATTTTAGAAGTAGAACGTGTCTCTCTTTTATTGTTGTGGGATCCTTTTGTCTTCGCGCATTGCATTTTCTATGGTCATGGAGCCTCGAAACTACAGCAAAAGAATAAAACAAGAAAGTGAAAGAAAGAAAAGAGAGTCTTTGAGACTTGAGGTTGAGGTTGTGGAGGAAAAGTGCAACCTTTTGGCGTGAATCTGCGTCCCAAAATTAGTTGATGTGGAAGGCCACTTTGCGGGAATCCGAAGTCTGGCAATTTGTCTGCAAATGGAAAAGATAATTAGGTTTCACATTTCCTTTTGCTTTAACAAGTGCATAATCTTGGAGATTACTCCTTATATTATTATCTTAAATTGAAATACAAGAAAAGTTCGTGAGGAAAAATTCCTTTTGTTTTAATCTATGTATAATTTTGGAGATTTTGTTAGAATAATAAGTAAAATTTATTCTTCATATTATTATATTGAAATTGGAAAATTAAAAAAGTTTGTAAGTAGTAATAATTTTTTCATAAATGTATTAGGCGAATTAGTTTTGGGATGAATTTTTTGTTAATGTTTAAAATTTGAATTCTAAAATCGTATTTATATTTTATATACGATTAATCTTATTTATAATATGAAATGAAAATTACTGAGTAAAAAAAGTAATAAAGCAAAATGAAGCATGTTAGGGCAAATAGATGAAGTAACTAAGAAACAACGGTAAAGCAAAATGGATCCCACAGAATGTTTCAAGAAAAATCTTCCGATTTAGGGCACTGTTAGCTATATTGGACAGAACTAACTCCGACAAGTGTTTCTGAGACAGTTAATATTAAACTGTAATGGTGGATATTTTAATGAGTTTGAGATATTTCCAGACGCACTCAGATTTTAAGTTGAAGAACAATCATTACTTTCTTCAACTTGTTGTCGAAAGATTAATGGGTGGTTGGTTCTATTACTATTGCAACACTACAAAATAATGATTTGCTTTCTTGTTTCAAAGATTTCCTCTTAGGTCTCAGATCCCAACCGTCAAGAATTTGCGTACCTAAATAAACCAAACTGACTGTGCAATTGATTTTATCTCTGTCGCATGCATTTATTTATTGAGAAGATATGAATAGACAAGACAAAATAATGTTTCCTAGTGGAAAAGAAGGGTAAATAGTAATATATGGTGACAACTATCAAGGGAAGAAACGTAATCTAGCAGCAAGGGAGTTATTTTAATTTAGCTACAAATTAAGGTTCAAATCTAAATATCTACCTATAATTGGTTGTAATTATTCTGTAACGACATCAGTTTTAGGTTCATTTGGTCTAAAAAGAAGTTTAGTGATCGATCAAAAACTAAACGTGTTCTAGTTCGACGTCGACTTAGCTTAAGAAATGATACATTTAGTTTCGATTGATACGAAAACCGATATAATTATTTCTTAATAGTATCAAACTTGAGCTTATTTGAACTTAAAGGGAGTTCAATGGTCTACCAAAAATTAAACGTGTTTTGAGATTAGTTTAGCCTAGAAAATAATAAATTTAATTTCAATTGATGCGAAATCTGACCTGAAGATACTATAATACCTATTAAATATATATAAAGAAAAATACACACTAAAACCATCTCTTGATTTGTCATATAAATATTAAAATGAAATTATTTTATCTTATTTTATTATTAAATTGTGTGTATCACATAAACATATATAATCACACAACGGTTGTAGGATTTAGTAAAGCATGTTTTAATTATAACGATTTCAATTTATTTAGTCATGATGTAATAATAATAATAAATTATCTCTGATTATATAGTACAAAACACACCAGTCTTTTTCATGGAATCAAATAATATTTAAATATCTGATATTTTTCATATATTAAATTAGTTTATGTTAGTGGCGAACCAATGGTCCTTGTCATATATCAAATTGATTAATGTCACCCTAACCAATAATCGAGCATTTACTTGAAAAAAAATTCTATTTTCGTGTATGATGTTTAAATGTAATTGAATTTTGACAAGACCCCAAGGCTTGACATTTTAGAGTATGGTCGGTTTCTGCTTGTAATCATTCCAAGAAATAATAGAACTCTTGGAGAGAAAAAATCATTAAAAAAAAACTGTTGTGTATAACCCTAATTTTTAAATTATTGAAGGTGTTAGGAGATAATGGCTTCAAATGGTTAGCAACTTTAGGGTTAGGAAATTTTGACCTAAAAAATCCTAACAATTCGTTTCATTTCATCGATAGATAGGGCTTGTATTACATTCTTATTTTGACCTCCAGATTAGGAAATTTTGACCTCAAAAATCCTAACGATTCATTTCATTTCATCGATAGATAGGGCTTGTAATAGAATTTTGACATGACACCAAGGCTTGACATTTTAGAGTATGGTCGGTTTCTGCTTGTAATCATTCCAAGAAATAATAGAAGTCTTGGACAGAAAAAATCGTTAAAAAAAACTGTTGCGTGTAACCCTAATTTTTAAATTATTAAATGTGTTAGGAGATAATGGCTTCAGATGGTTAGCAACTTGAGGATAAGGAAATTTTGGCCTTAAAAATCCTAACGTTTCGTTTCCTTTCCTTTCATAGATAGGTAAGATTTGTATTATATCTTTATCTTCAAGAACTGGTGAGACGTCACAGATAGCAAATAGGTTATTGGATCGGACTGAAGAAGTGGAAGATTGCTATCAAACAACAAAACATATGTGATGTTCAGGCTGTATTGCATGGTCCTATACAACAAAATTTGTGGGGATCACTGTTGTTAGAGAAGGAAATAAAGCTGGAGAAGCCAATGTTTGTAGGATCCAAATTGCCAGCCAAAGGCCATTGTAGATTCGCGTTCAGAGAACATCAGATGTGATGCTTAACCACCTTTTGTGGTGGAACCACACCAACATATCTGTCTTTATTTTCACTGAAGATAAGAAAAGATTGGACTGCATTTTTTCAGTGATGCTTTCAAAGATGTAAAGGTTTGTAATGATGGATTATTTAAGACAGTAGAAAAAGAAAGATTAAATCCCAAGAGAATAACATTACCAAATGATCCCTGTCCAACAGTCTCAAAAAAGGCAACGAGAAAGTAGGAACAAAAGCATGACAGTGCTTGTTGAAAATTAAAGATGTGTATATATATATATATATATAACACTAATTATTTGTTATTTATTCTTTTTATATTCTAAAATAAATATTTTTTAAATAAAATAATTGAAATATATATAATTAGTTTTGTTAAAAATTAATTATGTATCTACACATATAACATTAATTATTAATTATTTATTCTTTTTTATGTTCTAAAATCAATATTTTTAAAATAAAATAATTGAAATAATGTTCTGAAAGAAACTTTCAATTATTCAAACACAACTTTTTATGCTAATATTATTGATTATTTTGTTAATAAATCAAACAATTTTGATCAGTAAATAATTTTTATTTACATTAATTACAAGAAATAAGATTTTTACTTGCACTACACTATACGAATCGTTAATTCTACGTATATAACAATTGTCCGACTACAAAATAGCGTGAGTATCTAACTAGTAAGTATAACTATATCTAACTCGAAAATGCAAAACATACAGAGTTCCAGAAGCATACTGGTTTTCAAGGGGCAAAAGAAAAAATAAAAATATCAAAACTCTTTCCAGATATGAGAAATAGCAAGAAAGCACTTACTCCAACAGTAATAGCTAAGAATTCAAGTAAAGGTATGTTCATTTTTCTCTTCTGCATACACAGCATGTTCCACACATTAAAAAAGCAAATAGCAAATTTTCCATGCCTCCAATAAACGTTAGTTTATCTGATCCACAGAGCATCATATAGCTTTTGACATTGTTTGCAATTGTCCTTTAGGCAGACGGTCTTTGTTTAGTCATGGACAACCATATCGTTTAAGCAACTTTGATGCTCGGATGAAGATAAGGAATCTTATGTCAAAAGCTTCATGCACTCACCTATAGCAGTAGTAAGTTCAAAAAGAAAATCATAAGCAACTCAAACCAATTAAAAACAGCATCACCATGCTTTCCTTTCTAATTGCCGAATCATCAATCAGTCAGAACAACACAAGTTAGAGCCTAGGATTGCACAATTTAAGTGACCTTTGGACCCACCACGATAGTAGGATAGAATACTGCATTCAGCAAGTAAAATGTGCTTTCTACATGGTAATTGGTGCATGCCACATATAAATGGAGCAATACCCTTGTCTAAAATTACAAGTTATGAATGTAAAAGAATAGGCTCCAAGAGTTTATAATGTAATTCTAACCAATAATGGGTAGCAGTGATGCTTATCATAGCTGGGCCAGGAGTCGTTATCAGCCATGAAACCTTGATGATGCTTCCAAACTTCAGAGTCATAGTTCTCTATTATAGAGAACTGCAGCCCATTTTCTTCAATTTTATCTAGGAATTTGTCCAATGAATCTCCTCTTTTAGGGCTGAAGAATATTGCTTCCGAGGGCCCAGCATCTTTTAACAAGAGTTTGACGGTACAAGCAAGGGCATTGTGGAACTCCTTAAAAAAGGTGCTGTCAAATGGCACATCCATTTACTGAGTATAAAAGAAGATAAGCTACTCACGAGAAGAAGAAAACACATCAGTGTGTGCTTTCACATATATACATATCCGTGCATTTAGAACTGGGTGCAGGCACATTTTGGCGACTAGTGACGAAAACTTATGAATCTAGACAGCCTCAGACCACTAACAAATTGTCAGTGACATAAGATTTCCTCATCAATCAGTTGATTTAAACTTTGTTGATGGGAAAGAAAAACACACTAGTCTGGTGGATAACAGGATGTGAATTGAGGCATTCACACAATATGGGATATATTATAACTACCACTCTAGTGTTGTCAAGGTACAAAAATATCAGGAAATATATTGCTGTTGTAAAAAATTTGATGGTCATTAAGTATAAAATCTATTCATCTAAATTTAGTGATTCTTTACTAAAACATACGGAAAGATAGCCATGCAGCATAGATAAGAGAAACAAAAAGTTAATAGAAACAGGACTTACCAGTCACTGGCAACTATGACATCAAAAGTGTTAGAGATATTATAAGTTACTTCCTCATCCCAATGCAATGTCATAGTCTTCACTTTTGTATTACCAAATGCTGTGCAGTTGGCATCTATGCTATGCTGAATATCTGGATGTTAAAGGGAAAAAAAAGGATAAAAGAGAAAGTGAACATATAAGTTTTGAATCATAACCCAGCAAACTGACAAAAAATTAGTTCTACAACGATGTTTCCATTGGCACAACCAAAGAGCTAAGCCTATGATATGACTATGCAATGACTTATGCATCAATAAATTATATCTCTGATAGGCACACCAAAAACAAACATATTTAAACTTTATTCAAAATCACTAGTGTCATCATCAAAATAACCCTTCTTTTTACAAATGAGAAAATATAAAACAATGTAAAACATCTTGAATCTTGATGACAGAAAGTATGCAAATAAGATTATCCAACAAAGAAAGAAGGTTTATAGTGATGTCCAATCATAATGAGATGTGAGCAAGCAAAGGCTAGGCTGCCCAAGGCTGTAGACCGTCCAACCTGATTCATATTCTCATTACCAGAGGAGCCCTTAAAACCAACCCTAGGTCCCTCACTAACAATTTAAGAAACTTGGAGCTTCATATTAACTGAAATTCTAAACAAGTAAATAACAAGACACCAGAAACTTGAAATTCTCGTAAGAGAATGCAAATAGACTTCAATCTCACAATCTAGGTACATGCTTCCCAATGACATACCACTTTTTCAATATGGTATGGATATAAAAAATCTTCTCACGAACCTTCTTCAATGAATCATCCCAATTGGACACTAGCTAGCCATTGCCCATGTTGTAGAAAAGATTCAACCGTTTAAAGTTCTCACACCATGTCTTACCAAGTTATCCTAACTTATCAGAACAGTTGTCTGGGCAATGGAAAACTCTAAATCACATTCTCAGTTCATGATAATGAATGAAAAGGGTCTCTAGAACAGTTGTCTGACCGTGTTGTCCTAATTTTGCATGTCATGAACTGCAGTTCTTATATGCCAATAGACAGCATTTCAAAGTTAAAAGTCTTTACTTTTTTCAGTATATCATAGTAAATTTCTTTGCATTGCAAATACTTCAGGGGAAAAGATGCTGATAGCTTCTTCAAACCTTAAAACTTCATCTCCATTCGGCTTTTAAACACGACTGATAATCATAAGTTTCTCGACATGTTAAAAACTAGAATTAGCAAATCAAAAGGATACAATCTACTACTGCTGGATTTCCATCTGAGATTACAACTTCCAATGCCTCAGTTGTTGCTGCAATAACTAATCCAGCTAAGCCATATCCTGAGCCAAGCTCAATAACTCTCTTAGACCTGAAAAATTAAACGAGTGAGCACAAATCCAATAAGTAGAACAGATTCAAAGAAGAGTTCAAAATGATGCTATCAACGCAACCAAAATACAGATAATTACAGCTGATTTTTTTTTAAGAGAATCACCAAAAGCACAGAGTTAACATTATTCACAAACCTGAACATGTCTGCATGTGACAAGCAAAAATATGCAAGGACCTCTTCAGATGGCCACTGACCTGTATAACAATAACTTTAGAATGAAAATAACAAAGATGGCCAATATAAAGTTTTTAAATTTTCTCCCGCAAGAATTCACGTTTCAGTCTTCCTGCCAATCTACTGCCATGTTAAATCATGGTGCATACCAACTGCCATTATGAAATCATATTTAACCATGCAACCATGTTCTAACGAAAAGGTCGTCGAGAATTTGTATAAAAGATAAACTTATCTTAAAGTCAACATTCTTGCAAACATGAATACATGATAAACTTCACAACTAAGATACCAATCTTAAAATCGAAGGAACATTATGAAAAGTGCTACCTATCTGCTGCCTAGAGATATCCAAAATGTTCATCAAAATATAATCTTTCTTTCATTATCAACTTGCATTCTATACTCTTTTCTTAGAAAAAGATCGAGGAATGACAAGCAGAACTTACACACTAGGCCAGTGCTATCGACATTGTATCTATTAGAAACCTCAAAATCACTCAAATCAGCACCATTATCCACTCTCTGCCTGCACAAAATCCCACTCATACAAATCAACCACGAAAAACCCAAATCAACTTTCAATTCAAATCTCATAAATAACTATCTATTTGATAAAAATGCCTGAAAGAAAAGGCAACATAAACTAACTTCACAAAAAGTTTGGGGCTTCCATCAACAGGCAAAGTGTAGCAAATACGAACGTCTCTAAAGTTTGATTCTTCATCAACATGATCTTCAACCACTTGGCCTGGTATCAAGTTAAATCCTTGATGGGTTTTTCTTGATATGCGCTTGATAGCACTTGGTGATTGATTATCTGCAAAATAATTGGTTTTTGACATGGGCCCAGATTAACATTCACACTACAAAAACTAATGATGTTACAAAATTAATTTATAATTTGTGTTAGAAGAGATTAAGGAAGTACCAGGATTTTCATGGGATTTGCGAAGAACGGCTTGGCGTAAGATTGCCCATCTGAGAGAGGATGGTTTTGCATTTGTTTTTGCTTCCATTGATTCATGTTTCAAATCAAGTTGGCTCCATGGTTTTGTACTTTTGTTACAGGATTTCACACTTTTAATCCTTCGAATTATATTATATTTTATTTTGGTCCTCTAATTTTAATTTTCTTTTATTTGGTTATCTTAACCGTGCTTTTCTAATTCAATATTTTCTGAATGTATTTGATAAATGTTGGGGAGATTTAGTTGCCGTTGATATCAAGCTAGTTTGAGGATATTTCTTACTATCAAACCAAAAAAAAAAAAAAAAATTATTATCAAGATTCCAAATTCAAAATTTGAACATACAAAATCCTTAATGAAATTGCACCTAGTTGTTGTAATTTTTACGAACAAGAAATAGTTTATTGTTAAACAGCTAGTGAAACTCTGAAAGATCCATTTTCACCTCTTTTCACAAATTAAAGCGTTTTGAAAATCTTAGGTATGATGAAATTAAAAAAATTGGAACAATAGGAACTGAAGATTTATTGTAAAATCTTCAGTACAAAAATGGCAATGTTGTTCCAGCATCAATTTGGATTATCAAGGTCAAGGTGTAAAGAAAGCATTTTTTTTTTTTTTATGGGATTGAACATTGATGAACAAAAACCATTTCAAACAATTGTACAGTTGCAATTTTATGAATAAGAGAGATACAGAGATCAAATGCTCTACACCAAAAACTGTGATATGAGAGCAGCAGCAGCAGCAAACAACAAACTCTGCCAACGTTAGTCTGCTACCCTAATCTCAGGTCATTAACCAATAAACTTTTGATGAACAATCCCTAAGCAACTACTGAGGCAGTTCTAAATTTCTTGTCTGTGTAAATCTTGGAATATACCTTCTTTGTTCTGATTGCCAATAGAACATCCAATCCAGACCCAATAACACAGGCAAGAGCCATTATCAGAAAGACAAGGAAATAGCAATGAGAACCAACGCAGATATTGCCACCACCAGCAGGACTAGTAGTAGCTTGAGCATCATAAAGATAACCAGCGAGCAGGCCAGAGAAGAGGAAGGAGCCCAATGGAAGATTGAGAATGAGGATATTGTATAACAAGCCATAATATTTGAGACCAAATAGTTCCGAGGCTACTGCCACCGTTATTGTCAGACGAACTCCATAGCATATTCCAACCAAGATTGAACCAATATATAGTGATCCAGGCAAGGCCAATGCCATGATGACATATCCTAGTGTCATGAGGACTTGAGAAGCTGCACACCATAGAGATCTTGGTGTCCCAAATTTCCTGCAAAGAACATAATGGACGTGAGATGAGACTGAGAAAGTGAGAAGATACAAAAACTGAAATGGAAAGTAAAAAGGAAAAACAACATACCAGAGGAAGTGTTCTGATACCAGACCGGAAATAATACGTCCGAAAAATCCCCAAATGCTGGTGAGAGACACAAAAATGGATACATCAATGTATCCAAGAGCCAGGCCCATCTGCCCCATGTTGTTCATTACGCACATTCCAGTGCCTACACCACAAAGAAATGATAGAAACAAAATCCAGAAATCAAATGTCTGTATCTTTTCCATGATCGTGTGATCCTCTCCAATCATTGGTCGTTGCTTGATTCCAGCATTCTCCACTTCATTACTAACGGTTGTTGCTGGCTCTGGATTTTGTTGCTTTGCTGGTGAATCGTTCTGGCCGACAAGTAATGGCTGCTGAATCTGTTGCTCAATATCCGAATCAGACTTACGCTTGAACAGAACCAAATATAAAGGAACAAATAACGGTGTGGCTAGTAGGAACATTAGTCCTGCAACAAATACAAGGGAAAGAACATGGCCATGATTTCCAGTTATGTCAAATGCCAAGAGATAGATAGCTACTATAATGGCAATGACATTAAACATGTTGAAAAATCTGGCTTCTTCCTTCTCTTCTATGGGACCAGCAGCAGGTGCAGTTTCGCGGAGGAAAAGAATAGCAGCAAGGCAAATGATAGCAGGGACAACGGCAAGAATGAAGAGAAATGCAGAAGGATTGGAGGAGAAAAGAGCCGTGCAAATATCAGTAAATACTGCTGTGCTGAGTCCTACATAGCCCTTCAGGATTCCAGAGACAGGGCCGCGATTTTTCGGGAAGTTTCGCATGCAAGTTACTAGAACTGCTGTGTTCATCCATGTTGTGCTGTTGCCTCCCATGCACAAAAATACACACATCTGTAGCAGAAAACATACATTAGTTTGGTTACAAAGCGCATTTGTTCGAAAAGATTAACACGAATCTGTAGTAAGTAAGGTAACAACTTAAATTCAGTGACAGGATTCGTTGACTTATGGTGGTAAATGCTTTGCATACCTGCCAGTAAGGAAGAGGATGGATACGCTGGCTAACAACAAGCCATTGAACTCCATATCCTATGAGTCCTTCAAGTGATCCGACCATGAGAATTACCGAAGTTGACCAGCGATCTGAAGCAAGGCCAGACAAGAGTCCAAAGCCCTTGCCAACATCTTTAGCAACAGAAAGATTATTGAGCTCCAACTGACTAAGAGCCATGAGTGATTTTAAAGCATCAGAATAGTTGGAAAAAGTGTAATTGTTACCGCAGATTGCCTGCACCCATATGGCAGTAACAAATCCTAACCATTTTCCAGCAGGAGAAAACAATGGACACATGACTTAGAACAAAAGAGAGCTTGAAGTATTTGCTTTGAGTTTGAACTTCATGGTGGGATTGAGCCATCAATTTATACTTCGGTTTTGCATTCATTAATAGAATGTATTGTTTTAAATTTATTAATCTGTGGAACAGATTGGTTAGACCCTGGTTTTACAATTCTGCAACTGGAGTTATAAGAGAGGAACATCGTGGGTCATATATAAAATATGTTTGGAAACAGGTGAAAGCAATGTTGCTAGTTCAATTTGGGTTCGTGGGACCCTATGAATCCTGATTGAAGGAGTATTTTATGTCAATAGAGATCTCAGCAGATCATCTATTTAAAATTAGCAAATTTCCTACTTTGTATAGTTATGATATTTAGCAGATTTTATTGAAAGCTTAACAGGCTCATAAAATAAAACTCTAAACAACAGATTTATATTGATTACAAGATAAACTTCGAACAAAATATTTTTTCCATTGATTCTATTTCTCTTTTCCTAGGTGCCGCTAACATCTGTTGCAAACAGGACCGGTTCTTTTTATAGGCAAGCTAACCGCCTGATTTGGGACATCTATAATTAATGGGCAGCCACAAATATCTCTCACCGCCTTTGACCTTTCAATTTACAGCCCATGTACAGCTAACTTATTAACACAATTAGGAAACTGGTTTTCTATCATGAAGTTCCCAGATGAACTCTCACGGTTTTATCTTACTTAATTGTGAGGGTTTGAATTCTGATAGATTTTATATCATGTATAGTTTTGATATTTTAATTAGTTCTTAATTACAATTTATCAGAAATATTTGTTTCTTATTTAAATTTATACCAGGTGTAGGGCTGTGAAGAATATATAGTTAATTAGGATTCTTAAGGAGAAGACACTTCTTTCAGGTTGAAAGACTTTCGTTTGTTGACTTTCTGAAATTTGTCATGGTATCAAAGCCAAAATCCTATTTTTTTCTTGTAACTCTTGTCCTTTCTTTTTCGTTTTCCATATAATTCTCTTGTTTCAAGTCCTCATGTCTTCAAATAAGTAAGATACTTTTCTAGTTCGTTTTACTGACAAAAACTATTTCGCCTTGGCATTCCATTTTCAGATTTTTGTCAAAGGAAAGGCTCTGTGGGGCCATGTTGATGGCAGCAAACCTATCGCAGACACAAACAAGGATGAGCAAGCCAAGTGGGAGGTTACTGATGCTCAAATCATGTCATGGATTCTACGGTCTATAGAGTCCAAAATCGACTTGGATCTTCGACCTTTCCAGACTTCGGCTGCGATGTGGATTCATCTAAAAAAACTCTACAGTCAGCACAACTCTGCTCGGCGATTTCAAATAAAACATGATCGACTTAGCCATTCTCCAACAGAACAATCTCTCCATCTCTGATTTTCACTCTAGTTTGATAAATCTTGGCTCAATTGTTGCAGGCTCAGGCTCTAGCTCACACGAGAACCCACCAGCAGGCCCACCAGCACCTATGAAAAAGAGCAATCATTGCATTAGGAAACCTGTCAGGTTTAATGCAATTACGTAACAGAATGCTATTGATAGGGAATATTGTTAGCTAGAATGTGGTAGAAGAATATTATGTACGGGAGGAAAGTTGTTACATGAAAACAGAAATGTATGCTCCTATATAGAGGGAGAATGAATACAGTAAAGGATATGAGAATTATTCCTATTCACTTCTATCTCCTTTTTCTCTCTACTCTCATTCCCCCTCTCCCCTTCCTTGAATTTGGCAACTTCTATCATACTCACCCTCCTTCTTTGGGCAAACCTTACGGTGCCATTATATCAAGTGCTGCATCAAGATCAGTTTCTTATGAAACTAAGACCTAAATTTGAAGGAAACAGGTCCAACCTTATGAACAAAGATCCAATCCTCTCCTTGGATACCTGTCTTAATGATCTATTTTGAGAGGAGTACTCGAGTAGTGCCTTCTTACTCAACACGTTATGGAGCAACAACAGTCCAATACTCCAATCGTATTTTCGTGGCTTATGCAGCACAAGGTAAGCCAAGAGACAGGGACATGAGTATTATCCAATCTTAGCTGGATCATATATAAAATATTTTTGAATACAGGTGAAAGCAATGTTGGTTGCTCAAGTTGGGTTCTTGGGACCCCTTGGGCCAAATAGACCACAATTTGATGTATATATATAAGAATGCATGGACAACCTTGACCTTAAAAATGAACAAAAGTGGATGAGAACAAAGCATACAAAAACTGCTCATCAATACAACTTTCTAAACCAAGTGAATCCCAGGATTCAGGCGCCCACCACTTCCACTTTTGTCGTGGGACCAGCTCTAATTCAACAGGTTTAGCTCAAATTTACCATCTCGTAATGATCCTTATCTCTAGACTTGGAGGTCCCATGTCGGGCCTTCGATTCAAGTGATTATAATCAAAAACTGAAAAAAAAATTCTCGGCTATAAAATCATTATACATTCTGATAATTTACAATCAAATAGTTTTCATATACAACTTTGTAGGGCATGATCAAATCATGCAAAATATCAAACACTTAATCTTTCTTTCTTACTTGATAACTGGGCAACCTTTAAGTATAACCCCAGGAGCTGTTGGGCAAGAAGCTAACAGGCATCCTTCCGAATCGCTTCCCCACCAATCGAGGCTAACATGATGCATCCCCAAGCACACGTACAGCAATACTGCCATAAAGGCCAATCCAGCATCCAGTGCCCCAGATAGCACATAGTTATTGCGACTCCACCAGTCGCGATAGTACCTATAAGCAATGAAACCTGAAGCAAACCCAATAGCAATCCACGTAATGTAGTTCACAGAAGTAGCTGGTGGCATGTGGAGGGTGCCTCCTAAGATTACAGGCGTGGAGATAAGTCCAATCCAATGCTGGTTAGGGAAGACCTTGTGTGCCAGCCAAACTAGGATAGGAGCTATAGCTCCACCTAAGAAAAACCAGTTGATAGCTGAATAGTGGCCAAGGTCTCCAAAAATTCTGCGAGGACCGATAAGACCCCAGATGACAGACGCATCGTAGAAGACATGATCGCTAGGGCAAGTCCATGGGCTTCCTGGTGGAAGCGATTCACGATCACATAGATTTGGGATGGCTTCCATCAGCCACCATGCAGTGCTTAAATGTACCAATGCTGCTACTATGGTACCAACCACCTAATCAACAAAAACCATCATCTCATAAAAGATCCATAGAACATAGCTGATAATTGATTTAACCAAATATGGACACAAGAAATTCATTGGCAAAAAACAAGAGTAGAAAATGGTTGCTAACCTGTGCCATGAACATGGCTCTGGGAGGAATCTTCATATAATGCCCAAGCTTGAAGTCTTGCAAGAAGGTGATCCCTTGTTTCATGCTGATGTATCCATAAACTTTAAAGCATATGTTAGCGACGGGATATCCAGGGTACAAATACCCTATGATGTATTCAGTTATGACATTTAAGCCCGGTGTCTGTTTGCCAAAGATAAAAAACCATGATGTTAGGGAATAAGAAGATCAATATATTCGTGGCACAGCAGAAAAGAAAAATTCCCTGAGCAATATGCTACAGTATATGGAAATTAAATTTAATATTTTACTTATCAAACTCTTCTTTTTCTTAAAAATTTCGAGCAGAAATCGGCGAATAGCAGAAAGGTACGTAGGAGAAACGCAGAAGCATCTGAACATGATTACAGAGAACAAAAGCTTAACTTGCAAATGGCATGAAAGTGTACCTGATTTGTTGTAGAAGTGATGACTCCGATAGGAAGGGTGAAAAATAAGGCAATACCACATGCCAGCAAGACACCCCACCATGGCAATTGGAGTTGATCCTTGAAGTACTCACATGTAAACATTGTTGCGACTATGTTTAACAGAAGGATGCACAAGAACCACCATTCTGGGACTTGATTATATTTTCTCATGATAATTGTATGAACATCCATTTTCTTGTCTTTGAAGGCAGATTTGCTTAGTTCCCACATATCTCTACAACCTCAAAAAACAGTGAGTTCAATTTGAAGAAGTTATGCCTATTGAAAATAAAGAGAAGATAATCAAAGCAAAAATTGAATTAAAACAATTTGAAATGAACATGCATGACTTACCTCCCATGGAAAAGGAAAACATGAACAACTGTGGCAGTCATGCAGGCAAAATTCATACCATAAGTCATAACAAACATGGTGCTGAGATAAAGAAGGCCTTGACGCTCATATGCATCAATGTCAATACGGAATTTCGGGTCTGTGATAGCAGAGATATCGTAGCTTTGGCCAGCTGATGTGAAGAGGCCATCTGAGAATATGGGAAAGTTCTTGGCCTTGTAAATGTTGAGCCAATATCCAATAGGGATAATGACATACATAATAAGCACAAAACCAGCTGCTATATTTGCTGTTGCAAACCATGGACTGGCTAGGGGGCTCCCAAGGTAAGAGGATACGGTGGCCCAATCAAATCCAAAGGCACCAATCCCAAGACCAAGGAGTCCTGATCCTAGCTGATGAGCTAGGATGGAAGCGGGGAATATCCAACAGAGCCAGGATATAGAGGTCAACTTTGGGAAAAGATAGCCTGGAAAGGCATAATAAGCAAAGCTGCAAATGAATGCAACGATGAAGAACTGATTCCGTGTTAATCCAACTTTACGCCTTTCCTCTTTCTCGTGTAATGCCCTGCAATGCCATGATATTTGTGACCAAGTTGACATAACAACAGTATACGCAAGCGGTTGAACTTAGAGTTGCTCAGCAGGAATATTATGGTACTGCAAAACTGAGGCAATTAGCTGAAGCAGAAATTATCAACTTTCTAGTCAGTAAGAAAAGCAGCAGCATGTGAATATCTGCAGGAACTGGGATTTGTAGCTGCAGTTTCTGGTCAGTAAACTTGTCTTCTGTTTTCCATTTTTTCGCTGTAGGATTCAGATCAATTTAGCAGTTGTATATTAACAATATAGCAACTAGAATTACTATAGGCACTTGCATATGGAGTGTGTTTACAAGTGCATGCATATATCATTTACGGATGGTTGAGATTTAATAATCGTGACGAATTCAAGGCATTCCTCTAGATAAATTCTACCATAGGAAAGAAACTTTGGCTGTAACTAGTCAAACCAGAATCCAATAGCTAGGGAGAACGTATCTGATGGAATCTTCATCAATTTACCGAACAAATCAAATCATTAGAATCATGACAACCTATTGATAACAAAAGCACTTTGATTACCTACTTACTTGACTTTTAACACATAGACAGCACTCCGACAAAGACATTTCTACTGGAATGATCAGAATCAATTATTATCCATGGGATGTTAGCTGGATGAATTATAAACCAAAAAGCACATAAAATATCTCATTTTTTTATACGGGTTATGGTTACTATACTATTTAAATTATTTTGATTGAACCATGTACTAATTTTTTATATTGATTAAGCCCTTCTACTCTTCATTTACTTTATTTTCGTCTTCCAGTTTATATATATATATATAATAAGTTAAAAATAATACATAAAAAAAACTTAATATTTAATTATTAAAATAAAAATATGGTGATGTGCAATACTGTAATAGGTTATAGGATCTTAATTAATGGGTCTAATCTTCTATAAAAAATAAATAAATAAATAAAAAGAACAAGAAGAAAATTAACATGCATTATTAAAAAAATATATATAATGATGTGCAATATTGATAGGTTATAGATACTTAGTTAATGAGTCTAATCCTCCATAAAAAAAAGTAAAAATTAAAAATTAAAAAATAATAATTAATTCAAAGTGAAAAATGGGGTTGTTGTCTTAAAAAAAAATTAAAACTACACTAAATTTTTTTATATAGATAACTAGTTACTACTCAGCATTATTATTGTTTTTATTTTAATTTTGATAAACACATTCATTTTTTTTAATGGCATGTTATGTTTTTTTTATATATTTTTTTATTTTTAAATTTATTATAATAATTTTTAGAAAAAAATATTTTTTTAGAATTTTACTGTGATGAAGTCTTACATATAACACATTTTGCACCATTCAAAATGATGTTTTTAAAAGACAACAATGTAAAAATTAAAAAAAAAATTAATTTCATTCATGCATTTTTTAAATTGAATTGTTTTAAATAAAATCTCATATTTTTTAAATTATTTTGATTTAATCTTTTTATTAAAATAGCACATGTAATACATGTGATGCTTTTAGGAGTGGATGCGTCACATTGTGGTTAATTATAACATAGGGACTGAAAAAAATATATAGTAAAAGGATTAAATCAAAAAGTGAAAAAAGTGCATGATTTTAATTTATTAAAAAAAAAAAAAAAAAAAAAGGCAAAACCCTTTTTTATATACTAGAATTTCTATCAGAACCAATCAAAAACATACCTGAAGAGGGAAACTTGAACAAGATTCTGCGGCCACCACATAGCAGCAGGCTCAACCAAGTACCTTCTAAACACACCAGCCCACCCGAACCCCAGCATCTGTGTCGTTAAAACTACTAGCAAGGCTACGAAAAACGCCAACTCCTTCTTGTAAAATAACTTAACAGCACTGACAATGTGAATGGCATAAACATTTCCAGCACCAGAATTAGCAAAGATGGTGATCAACACATGCTCCTTCACGTTAAACGGTCCAGGGTTCAGCGTGAACTCCCATTTCGTTCCTTTGAGAAAAACTTTTCTGGTTATGAAGGAAGCCATGAGGTGGCCTAGAGGGACTACCGCGATCTGAGCGGAGATGGAGGTGATGACCAGAGGTTCCCGGCGGTACCAGAAGAACTGGTTGAGGAAGGAGAGGACGATGCAAGCAAGAGTGCCAAGCGTCCATGTGCGAAATGTAACTGCAGAGAGAGTAGGATCATCTGTTGTTGGTACAGTAAGTGCAACTTGATCGATTGGAGAGTTCTCTTGGGAGTCCAGCGAACTGGAGGAGGAAGAGGCAACATTGGAAGAGGTCTGGCTGTTGTGTTGACGAACTGTTGGTGTGTTTGGTGAGAGAGGAAGTGAGGGAAAGTAAGAAGGAAAATGAAAGAGAAAGAGAGAAAGCCGGAATCTTACTTACTGAGAGGAGTTGCGATTTCTTCTGTTGCTTTCATCGCTGTCTGTGGGGCTTTCTGTTCTTTCTTTCAGCTTTGATGAAGTTCAAATTTTGGATGTTTGATTGGAGTTAGTCATGAACAAAGTTCACAAATATTAGGCATATATAGACTTGAAAAATCTATTAACAAAATTATTCATTTTAATGAAAGATGAGATTGCTTGTGAGACTCTCCATATTAATTAGTCTTCTCAGTACAGTTCAAACGCATGAAGATCCGTTGTGCTATCTATTGCTGGTACTCACTTGAAAAGTCAATAAAAGATTACAAAAAAAAAAAAAGCGAAAACACACCTTTACTGTTCATCTTCTGTTCACACAGACTCAAACATCTGTGACTGTAACTTGTCTGTACCGTTTGTCCTTATTCTCATGAATACTGGCCGTGCGTTTGGTGGTGTATGCGGCCATGTTGGTCCTGCCCGCATGATTGTCTCTCTCTGCTTTAAGGCATGTTTTAAAATCTCGTATCTCAGTTCCTCTTCTTTTCAGATGCATTCTTTGTCCCCTTTATATAAATCTTGGCCGTTCCTTTTGTGGTTTTGTGGCCCAGCTTGGTTACTGCCGCACGATTATCCACCTGTTTCTTCTTATTTGTCTTGACATGCCGTTTTTCATTCCCTCTGTTTCCCGCCCCTTTTTTCTTCTATTTATATGTTTACAAGGAAAGGATCAGTGGAAGTTCAGCAGAATATAAAGGAGAGAAATGAAGATTGTTACAGATTGAATAAGAGCAGAGCAGGCAGTAAGGACGAAGAAATAATGACGTGGCAAGTTGTGGAAGGGAAGAGGATGACTTGGTGAATGATGTGGCAAGGATAACAAGGAAGGGTGACATGGAGAGGAAGTTAGCAATGTCAGTCAGTAGAGAAGCTGAAGGAGAAGCAGTGAAGAATCATCATGATCACCAGCTGGCAAAACTGAATCAGTTAGTTGTTAAGAAAGCAGTTACATATAGTTAGGCTATTAAAGGAGATGAGAGAGGAAGAGAGAATTATCTTGAATCATTTGGTTAATCTTCTCTTCTCTGTTTTCTTCTCTAACCTTTCCTCTTTAAATCTTGAATAACATCATAAATCTTTCAATTCTTCTTGTGTTCTTCTTGTTTTGGAAATTGAGCTTGCATCACTTTACGTGGCCGGCGGCATTTTGTTTTTTCGGCAAGGCGTTTAATGTGCAACAAGCAACAGCTATTTGTTTGGCCATTTTCCTTCAGTTATCTGTTGTAACTTCTGAAGGACCAAGAGATAGGTGTAAAGGTGGTGAATAGATTTTGAAAGTATAAGCAAAATTTTATGGAAAAATATAAAAACTATGGCCAAAAGGCAAAACAACATACGAAATTAAGACAATATGTATAATTATAAAGATGATAAATTTAAAATAATTAAGCATTATACAATAAAATAAAGAGAGTAAAAATAGAAAAAGTAAACACAAGAATTTATCCTGGTTTGGCCATGTACATCCGGTCCTCAAGCACAACTTGCAATTTTTCAATCCACTATACTTCTTGCACAAGCAACGAACAAAGTTTTTCACAACCTCCTTTTTTTTTTTTTTTTTTTTTTTTGGCTTAAAAGCAATCCATCTGTTTACTCTTGGGTTATATTAAAATATAAATTATTATCAATTTAGATTATTTAGATCTCAAACTATTAATTTTTGGATAAATTTTATCTTTTTCTATTATGTTTAATGGTCAAAATATTAATCGTTAAGTGAAATATTTAAAAATGACGTAGCTTTTCATCTATTGATTTTTTTTTTTTTGAGAATTGAAATTAATTTTTTTTTAAATAGTACTTAAATGTTTTTACTATATAGATCCATTGCACATCATTAGTTATCCAATAACAAAAATTAGATCCATAAATAACAAAATTATCAACCTTCCTTAAGCCAACTATTATCAAATAATTTTTTTCAAAAAAAAAAAAAAAACTGAAAAGCTTAAAACGATGTCGTTTTAAGTGGTTTATCAAAGGATCAATACTTTAACCATCACACACAACAAGAAAAGATAAAATTTGTCTAAAAAAAATTATAGTTTAGGTTCTAAATCCTATTTTACCACAATCCTAATAACTTAAGAGTAAATTATGCCATTACATCCATCAGTTTTATAAACGGGTATTTTCCATTCTAAATATGAATTTAATTTTTTTTTTTTTTTACTTCCCTAAATTAAAACGGGAAAAGAAACTTAGATATGTTTCTTTTAAAAATCTATCTGTTTACTCTTGGGTTATATTAAAATATAAATTATTTTCAATTTAGATTATTTAGATCTCAAACTATTAATTTTTGGATAAATTTTACCTTTTTCTGTTATATTTAATGGTTAAAATAATAATCATTAAGTGAAATATTTAAAAATGACTTAGTTTTCCATATAGTAAAAACATTGATTTTTTCTTCTTTTTTTTTTAGAATTGAAATTAATTTTTTTAAAATAATACTTTGATGTTTTTACTATATAGATCCATTGCACATCATTAGTTATCCAATAACAAAAATTAGATCCATAAATAACAAAATTATCAACCTTCCTTAAGCCAACTATTATCAAATAATTTTTTTCAAAAAAAAAAAAAAAAAAAAGAAGCTTAAAACAATGTCATTTTAAGCGGTTTATCAAATGATCAATACTTTAACCATCAGACACAACAAGAAAAGATAAAATTTGTTAAAAGAATTATAGTTTACATTCTAAATCTTGTTTTACCACAATTCTAATAATTTAATAATAAATTATGTCATTACATCCATTAGTTTTATAACCAGGTATTTTCCATTCTAAATATGAATTCAATTTTTTTTTCTCTTCCCTAAATTAAAAAGGGAAAAGAACTTAGATATGTTTCTTTTAAAAATCTAAATATGAAATCAGATTCTTTTTGGATTTTATGTACGAAGAAATCAATTTCTGTTGTCATAAAATACAGTGAGTAGTAGCGAATAAATGAGGATTGATATGGATATTATACAAGTTAAGAGATTCTTAATTTCTACAAACATATGGCATGATCATTTTGTGTGAATATACAAGGGAAAAGAAGTGTAGTTTCAAAATATCAATATCCTGGAAGCTTTTTTTTTTTTTTTTTATTTGTAGGGAGGTTGGTTGGGTTTTTGTACTATATAATAAGAATGATTTTTTTTCATTACATAATAATTAAATAAACTAAAATTACTGAAATATTAGTATGTTCCATTAATAAAAACTTTCAAATGTACAGTTACTAAGCTATATAAATATTAGATACGAAATATTACTTTATCGTACGAATACTTTAAAACATTAATTGCAAAACCAGTACTTTACTCTTTCTGTTTTTTTTTTAAAAAAAAAAACATTATTCAGACAACCAGTACTCTATTGTTATGCTTCTTGTGGTTACCCATTTTACCAAAATTAAAATTATCACGTTATAAGTGCATCAAAATTGGTTGATTCAATTTTTTTTTTTGAATAATAAAATATAATTTTATTGAGTTTATACATCTTTTTATCATAGAATAAATAAATTAACTATAACTTATAATACATGCAATCTTCATATTTATTACATCAATATATATATAATTTAAGATGTTTTTATCTAAATCAATCAAACCATATAAATTTTAATTTGTACCAAATGTCTATATGACTATGTTTCAAAGTGAATTACTAAATATGTTAAAACAAAATCTAAAAACACGATGCACAAATTGTTCATTCTCTCTATTTTAACAATTTATTTATTATTCTCTCTCTTTAAAATCATTATTCATTTATTATTTGTACAAAAAATATTCTCTTTTGTCCTCTTTTTTTAACAACATTTTTTCGATTTGAAATTTCATTTTTTGTTTATTTGGTCCTTACATCCTAAAAGGAGAGAGAAAGGATGGAGAAAGGAGACAGAGACGACCAATGAGGCTCATTTTGATCATCTTGACGGTCAATTTTACCATTACTTTGTTCGTCTTGAATAGTAAAATATGCTTATGATAGTAAAAAACCTTAAAATGGTAAAAGGACGTACATCGAAAGATCGAAATATTTTAAGTTTTTTTATTTTAATTTAAATTTTTGTGTTAATTAAAATGAATTTTAAAATTCTAAACAAGTTTTTGATGTTATTCAAATTATTTTGAAGTGTTTTTTGGACAAAATCGAAGCTAAATTTGGTTTTGGGAGGCGTCAAATAATAAAAATCGACTTTTTGATAAAATCAATCGTCGAAAACTGCAGAGGTTGCTAGAAATGAATAGGAACCTATGTTTTTTTTTTTTTTTTGCCTAGGTCTGTGCGGGTCTGGTGCTCCAGGCCCGGGCGCACAAGCTCGGTCCTCTAAGCCTAGTCACATGTGCTTTCTCCTTTTTTTTTTAATTAATAATTTTTAGATAAAACTTTTGGAATATCGAGCTTTATTATTATTTTTTTAATTATCTGATTATTTTATATCTTGTAGCCACCAAATTTATTTGGTTAACTATTTTTTAATTTTAAAAGTTTTCAAAACTTATTCTCAATTTTAGTTTCTTAATTTTTTTTTTTTTTAAATTCCTGCCACTGGTCTTGGTTTGTTTGAACCACTAGTGCTCCAAACCCGGTTTTGGTTTGAATGCTGGGTGCACCGAAACCAGTTTCAACCCAGACTCGAATGTCATGAATCAAATATCTACCCAAACCCCAAACTCGATCTCAATCTAATCCCCGACATCGTTCCTAGCTCGAACTCCAAACTCAATCCCAACCTGAACTTTAAACGTCTCGGATCTGATCTTAGCCTACACCTCAAGTGCCCCAAAATCGATATTAGTTGAACCCTAGTACCGATCCATACTAAAGACCGAACACCTCAAACCCGATCCTAGCCCAAACTCGATATGGGTCTTAGCCTCAAGTGCTTTGGACCCCGATCTAGATCCAAGCTCTAGGTACTCTAGACTTGATTTGAGCTCGAATTCTGGACGCTTGTGACTTGATCTAGGCCTGAATCTTGGATGCCCTAGACTGAACCTTGGACACTCCAGACCCAATCCTAGCCCAAACTCAAGAAACTATGTACCTGATTTTTGTCCGAACCCAGGACGTCTAGGAGCTGGTCCTGAATAGAACTCAGGACGCCTCTAACCTAGTCTCAGCTAGAACCTAAGACGCTCCAAATCCAATCTCAGCCCAAAACTAGGACACTTCGAACTTGGTCCAATCTCATATCCCAAACGACCCAAATTGATCTGAACGATAATATCGTTCATTTCCTCACTCTCGAAACTGACCTGAATTTCAAAACATATGTTAGAAGTATAAAAAATTATTTTAGAATCTATTTTTTTTATTTTAAAAAGTGTTCAAAATTTATTGTCAATTTTATTTTCTCATAAAATAAAAATGAAAAAACAAATAAGTTTTCATATATTTTTTCAAAATTTTGAAAAAAAAACAAAAAAAAACAAAAAAGATATCGAATAGTTCTAAGCTTTTTCCTTTTTGGGTTGCCTAATGACAAGGTGAATGAAGTATGTGACGGCAGATTAGCCCCTTGATTCTGAACTAGGGATGGGCTTTCTGTTGGAGATCTGTCACCATGTATCTTTACTTATTTCTGGACAGGATACATTTCTTTGTGATCTTTCATTTTAGGGAAACAACTAGAAGCAAAATAGAAAATTATCTGATGCATAGGTTTATTAGTTCTCAAATTCTTGAGATGGATTTTGTGTTGGAGGCCGGTCTGTCACCATGTATCTGTACAGATTTCAACACAGGATACATTTCTTAATAATGGAAAGATCCTAGGGAAAAGGTAACTTATCTTCTGAAAATAAGATTTACTTTACGTTTAAACTCTGCAATCTTTAAATTTTTTTAATTAAAAATTTTTATTTTTATTTTTTAATTTAATTAAGACTCTAATTTTCAAAATTTCTCACTTCAAACTATTCGTTATAAGGTTATCGATCGGTGATCGATAAATGACATTGTAAATTAAAAAATCTCAATCGTGTATCGATTTGTGATTAGTAATGTTATATCGGAAGGTCCGAAATAAGAAATCTCAAAGAGTAAAAATTCTCGATCATGCCAAAAAATAAAAATAAAAAGGACTCAATAAAAAAAATCAAAAAAATACAGGATTCAAATGCTGAAAACCCTTGAAAAAGGCATTAAACCTACGAATGCTCTCAAGGCATTATGGAAGGTAACTCTCATGAAAGGCACTTGCAAAAATTCCATTAAGCCGGTGAAACAGCCAAGACAATAGTTAGAAAGTGCTCATCAAGGCAGCATCCAAAACTAAATGAATCCTAGGATTCAGGCACTCACCATTTCCATCTTTGTCATGGAATCAGCTGCTAATTCAGCAGGCTTAGCTCAATTTCCTCTCTTAATGATCATTATATCCAGACTTGCAGCTCCCATTTCTTCGTCATTGATTCAAGTGATTATAATTAAGAGAGGAAAAAAAAATCATGTCCTGCTATTGAATATCACACTTGTCAAAAGTATTTGTTCGCTCAGAAACTTCCATAATACAGTTATTTACAAGTACAAATACAGTCTAGATGAAGAATTCCAGGTGATACATATGCACTCTTTCTTTTTCTATTTTCCCTTTGCTAAAGCAGAACAGAGAATCAAAGAATCATTATTCATAATGAGAGCCAAATAAACGCATTTCACAACGTTTAATAATCATCGATCATAGTAATAATCACTAAACAAAGTTACAATCAAACAGCTATTATAGACAACTTTGCAGGGCATGAAAGCATGCAGAACAGTACAAGTGGATATCAAACACTTGCTTCTTCGGGCTTCTTTCTTCTCCACTTAAACTTAAAAAACTGGGCAACCTTTAACCATGATCCCCGGTGCTGTTGGGCAAGAAGCTAACGGGCATCCTTCTGACTCGCTTCCCCACCATTCGAGGCTAACATGCCGCATCCCCAAGCACAAGTATAGAAACACTGCCATGAAGGCTAATCCAGCATCCATCGCCCCAGACAGCACGTAATTATGGCGACTCCACCAGTCACGATAGTACCTAAAAGCAATAAAGCCTGAAGCGAATCCGAAAACAACCCATGTAGTATAGTTCACAGCAGTAGCTGGCAGCATGTTAAGTGTAGCATTTAAGAGTACCGGTATGGAGATAAGTCTAATCCAATCCTTGCTAGGGAAGGCCTTGTGTGCAAGCCAAACCAGGATAGGAGCTATAGCCCCACCTAAGAAAAACCAGTTGGTGGCTGAATAATGGCCGAGATCTCCAAAAATTCTGCGAGGACCGATAAGACCCCAGATCACCGACGCATCATAGAACACATGGTCGCTTGGGCAAGTCCACGGGCTTCCTGGCGGAAGCAATTCACGATCACAGATATTTGGGATGGTTTCCATTAGCCACCATGCAGTTCCTAAATGTACCAATGCAGATACTATAGTACCAAGCACCTGGTAAACAAAAATCATCTCATAAAAAGAAGCGAGGAGCATAGATAGGTATAATTATTGATTTTGAAAATCAAATATGCAGACGAGAAACTCAACGAAAAAAAGGAGCAATTGAACATGAAGATAAAGGGAGCTAACCTGTGCCATGAACATGGCTCTCGGAGGAATCTTCATGTAATGACCAAGCTTGAAATCTTGCAAAAAGGTGATGCCTTGTTTCATGCTGATGTATCCATACACTTTAAAGCAGATGTTAGCAACAGGAAATCCTGGGTACAAATAGCCAATGATATATTCTGTTATCACATTTAGGCCTGGTGTCTGTTTGCAAAAGAAAATTTCATCATGTTAGAAAACAAGAAGCTCTAACGAATGCTGAAAGCATTGTGCCGTTGGAATTGAACTTGTCCTTACTTATTGGAACCTCTTTAAGGATTTTTCATCAGAGAAATTTTAAACCGAAGATGATCAGAGAAGAAAAATAGCAGAATGTAGAAGCAGGCCATGTTTACCACAGATTTCACATAATTACATAAATAATTAATCTGAAAATAACGTACAAGTGTACCTGATTTGTTGTAGCGGTGATGACTCCAACAGGAAGGGTGAAAAATACAGCAATACCACAGGCTAACAAGACACCCCACCATGGCAATTGGAGTTGCTCATTGTAGTACTCACATGTAAATATCGTTGCTGCTATGTTTAAAAGAAGGATGCACAAGAACCACCATCCAGGGACTTGATTGTATTTCCTCATTAGCTTTGTATGCACATCCAATTTCTTGTCTTTGAAAGCAGAGGTGCTTAGTTGCCATATATCCCTGTGTCCTCAAAAAAGTGAGTTCCACTTAAAGAACATAATACAGATATCCATATGCAGTGCAAGAGGCATATATCAGTTGGCAGAGAAAAAACCTGCCCCTAATTGACCAATCTTGATTGTAATTATGGTTTGATACATGGGGAGTGTTGGAATACAAAGAAAATACAAGAGTTTGTATGCGCTTTAACATAGCAAAAAGGGTTGGCAGGTTGCTTGAATATAACCATGAAGTGGAAAATAAATTATAGATGCCAAGTATAATGAGAGGGGTAGCGTGACCAAGTTATGCATATCAAAATAAACAGAAGATAATGCAAGCTTCAGATTGCAACAATTTGATATGACTTACCTGCCATGGAAGAGGAAAACATGAACTACAGTGGCAGTCAAGCAGGCAAAATTAAAACCATAAATCATAGCAAAGATGGTGCTGAGGTAGAGAGGGCCTTGACGGTCATATGCATCCATGTCGATATGGAATTTTGGGTCTATGATAGCTGAGATATTGTAACTCTGGCCAGTAGAGGTGAAGAGGCCATCTGAGAATATAGGAAAGTTCTTGGCCTTGTAAATATTGAGCCAATATGCCGTAGGGGCAATGACATACATAATAAGCACAAAACCAACAGCAATATTGGCAGTTGCAAACCATGGACTGGCCAGGGGACTCCCAAGGTAAGAGGATATGGTGGCCCAATCAAATCCAAAGGCACCAATCCCAAGACCATGGAGCCCTGAACCTAGTTGATGGACTAAGATGGAAGCAGGGAATATCCAACAGATCCAGGATATGGAAGTCAATTTTGGGAAAAGGTAGCCAGGAAAGACATAATAAGCAAAGCTGCAAACGAAAGCAATGATGAAGAACTGATTCCGTGTTAATCCACCTTTACTCCGTTCCTCTTTCTCATGCAATGCCCTGCAATTTCATGATATTTGTCACAAAGTTGATGTAACAACAGTATATGCAAGCGGTTGAACTTATAGAGTTGCTATTTTGGTGGCAAACCAGGGCAATCTATAAAGTCACGAAGAAATTCAAACGCGTGCACTCATCTAAGCTGAACTTGCAGAAATGAAGTTTCATTTCAGTTATTATGCGATTAGCTTGGTTAAGTTGCGTTATATTGAGAGAAATCAAAGGATACACACTGTAGTTTACGTACTCTAATATTTTTGTGGAATCAATTAAAATGTTCGTTCATTGCAGAATGCATGATGAAAAGCAGCTGCATGTGAATATCTGCAGCAATTGGGGATTGATATATATCTGCAGTTTCCAAAAAGCAGTTGTATGCTCCATGCTCCAAAACCGTTACATAACGGTCGTTGTATAACAGAACAGCCGTTATTTAAAACTATGGTCACCATATCCAATCAGAATCAAATAAATTAACTTTAAACTGCTGACAGATCCCAAATCCTTATGGCCAGAAGACCTATAGACAGTAGACTAAACTTTTTTTAAGGAGAATGTATGTGTAACCATTTCCTTACCAAAAGATCAGAAGTGTGAAACTGTAGGATGATAATACATTATCAGAGAAAAAAAAAGAAGAAGAAGAAGAAAAGAAAAAGGAAGGCATATTTAAGCACTAGAAAAATTGTAGGCACTTGCGTGTGATTCTTGGCATTCCTCTAGATAGGAAGAAAGTATGGCAATAATTAGTTAGGTCAACCAAGAATCCAATAGGGAGAAAAGATGTAATGGAATCTCTGTCAATCACCAAACAAACATACTACATTATTTATATAATGACAAACAATTGAAAATGAAAGCACGTTCATTTCTTACAACATTAATTATTATTTACTTGTCATGACTCATGACAGCTGGATGAACCATAAACAAAATATCTCAGATTCTTGTTCTTCAATACGCATCTAATCCACGCACGGTCAAAATGTAATAGGCAAAACTGAATGCAAACATTATTCCGATCAAAACCAATCAAATGCATACCTGAAGAGAGAAACTTGAACAAGATTCTGCGGCCACCACATAGCAGCAGGCTCCACCAAGTACCTTCTAAGCACACCAGCCCACCCGAACCCCAGCACCTGCGTCGTTAAAACTACTAGCAACGCCACGAAAAACGTCAACTCCTTCTTGTAAAATAGCTTAACAGCACTAACAATGTGAATGGCATAAACATTTCCAGCACCAGAATTAGCAAATATGGTGATCAACACATGCTCCTTCACGTTAAACGGTCCAGGGTTTAACGTGAACTCCCATTTTTCCCTTTGAAAAATATTTTCTTGGTTATGATGGAAGCCATGAGGTGACCAAGAGGGATCACTGCGATCTGAGCAGAGATGGAGGTGATGGAGAGTGGTTCTCGGCGGTACCAGAAAAACTGGTTGAGGAAGGAGAGGATGATGCAAGCGAGAGTGCCAAGTGTCCATGTGCGGAAGGTGACAGCAGGGACAGTAGGATCATCTGTCGTTGGTACAGTAAGTGCAACTTGCTCGATCGGAGAGTTCTCCTTGGAGTCCACCGAAGTGGAGGAGGAAGAGGCAACATTGGAAGAGGTCTGGTTCTTGTGTTGACCAACTGTTGGTGTGTTTGGAGACAGAGAAAGTTAGAGAGAAAAGGTGGGAATATAAGAAGGAAAATGAATACAAAGAGAGTAGGCGTGTGAGTCTTACTTACTCAGAGGAGTTGTGATTTCTTCTGTACCAGTCATCTCTTCCACTTTTTGTAGCTTTCTATTCTTAGGAAATAATCATCCAACACCTTTGATAAAGATAAAGAAATTCGCATCTTAAATTAGAGTAGATGGAGCCCATAGTGATAATCTAAGGACTCAACTTTTTGCAATAAATGAGGGGACAAAGTCTCTTGATTTTAGGTTTGAAAATCTACCAAAAGTTCCCTAGATTTCGTGTAAAACTCTCTCTGTATATATTCTGTTCACACGTACATGAAATTCTATTGATACAAGCAGGTACAAACTTGAAAAGTCAACAAAAGATAATGAGTTGATATTGATGATCACAGATCCAATCTGTTATTTTTCTGTAAGTATTTTCCAATTGCATCAGCAATGATTCAAGTTTCTTGGCCTCATATAAATTAAAGGATTTTTTTCTTTTGCTGTTGTTGTCGACAAGTAGAAATAAAGTACGTGATGACAGATTGGCCACCTAAACTGGGGATGTATCTGTGCCGATTTCAGGACAGTATACATTTCTTAAAGATTTTTAAGAGGAAACAACAGGAAGAAAAATAGAAAATTATCCAATACATAGGTGTATTAACTCCTTAGATTCTTGCAGAAGACATTCTTGAGATGACCCTTGGGTGGGAGATCTGTTACCTCGTATCTGTACAAATTTTAAGACAGGATAGATTCTTAATCATCTCTCTGTTTGTCGGATAGATTAGAGAGGTAAAATAGAAACATATCTTGCAGAAGAAAAAAATTACAAATTCCCTTCACGGCATTATAAAAGTCAACTCTTATTTAAACATGCAACTTGTGAAAATTCTATTGATCCGATAGAAAGTATGAAACAACTACAACAAGAATTAAAGGAAATGAAATCGACACCGATATTTAAGTTCCTCTACAAAACAATCTTTTATAGCATACAATTAGTTGTTCGTCAGCATTACACTGCAAACAGGGAAAAAAATAAAAAAGAAAAAAAAAGTGATATTATTTGAAAATATTATTCTATGTTCAGTAAAATTTATTAAAATCAAAAGTAAATTTTATATTCCACACCAATTATATGATTTGTTTTTCTTTATATATGGATTTTTAAATAAAAATTCATAATAATCTAAAAAGCAAATTTCAATTAATCTCAATCGAAAAAAATGGGTACAAATTTAAATATATTTTTTTCCATATGATTGCATCATTAAAATCAAACAAAAAATTATGTAAAAAATACTGCATAAAATGAATTTTTATCCTTACTAAAAAAAAATGATATTTTGTATGTAAGGATTCTTAAATGAAAAATTTGTATTAGTCTAAGGAGCAAGTTTCAATTAATCTCAATTTTAAAATATATACATATACACATTTTATTTTATTTTTCATGTGATTGCATCATAAAAATGAAACAAAAATTAATGTCAAAAATTCTTTAATGAATATTGAAGAAAAAATTAATTTTTAAAAAATATATATAAAATTTATTCTCCTAACATTTTATGTTTCGAAACCACTATATACACTTGTTTAAGATGAACAAATCAAAATCGACAGTGAGAGTGATCGAAATCAGTCTCGCCCTAGGTTTCTCTGTTTCTCTCTATATTCAGAGACCAAATTATCATCTAAATAAAGTTAGGAATCAAAATAAAAAGTTTTTTTAAAACAAAAAAAAAAAATAGAAACTAAAAGTGCAATATTTGTTAGAACAAGCTAATCAAATGCTGAACAAAAAGCAAAAAAAATAAAAAAACATATCAAATATCTGAAAAAAAGCCAAAATCACAACACCGCAAATAAATGAATAACAATATGAATAATAATATGAGTATGGATTAATAGTAAACACTCCACTTCTTTTTGGTTTTCTCATAATATGCAACCAAATTTGTATTTGGAGAAGGTTAACCATTTTCCTCATGCCTGCAAGGAGCAGTATCTAAGGAGCATGAAACCCCACCAAATAATAATCTGTTGCTACTTTTGACCTTTAATAGCATACTCCATTACGCAATTTGCTTGCAAAAGCCCAAACCAATCTGCTTTGTAACTTGGTTTCGACTGAAAACCAGTATTTTCAGAAAGATGGAACATCAACCTAAATTCTGCATCACAGCAAATTGTAAGTTCTTCCTCATGCTGTTAAAGATAATGATTTTCCAACAAAGAACTCAGTATAACTAGAAACAGCATATTCATCGACCATGAAACCATTAACCTCAAATTAATTGACAATTGCAGGTCATGATTGACTAAACAGCCAGTTTTGTAAACTTTGCTACAAAAAGTCCACTAGTTTGTGATGTCACTGGATCAAAGCGCAGGGTCTTGGGTATCCGCCCACTCTTGCATGGCCAGTCTTTGGCGGCAACTATCTCCCGCAACTCTGTGAGATAATGGAGCTATTACTATACTGCAGATGTTAAAGATCAAGTCGATAGCTATTCCCTGTCTACCGCAATTAAAACGTTAAGAAGATAAGCCTTGCAATAAAAAAAAAATAAACCTTAAGATGTGGCTTTGGGATGGTAAAGCAAATATTCATGCACTCTCCATGTGTACAATAGGTGATAAAAGAAATGTTTGAACCAAGATTAAAGCAAAAACCATACTCTGTAATGAATGATCAAGAAAAATAAAAGCGCAGCAGGGAATTTGGATTTTAGTGATAGACAGTGACGTCCTTGGGGCATCTACCAAGGTAAAAGTAACCAGTCAAAGAGCAACTAAGAAAGACAAGCACTATAGAAGACCAATTTCATTGGTCTTCAGGGTTTCCCTCAAATAACTTTTCTTATTGAGCATTTAGGGCACTCACGCAACTCAGGAAGAAGAATCAGGGATAAGTGAATTAACCAGAAAGAAAGTGGTGATTTGAAAGACATTTGGGGTTCCATTGATTGTCAAAAATTCTATTAGCAACACAATACCTAAGGCTCTACATACATCCAATGTGTTTCGTGAATCATGGACCACACTAGAAAAATACTACAAAATCAATAAATTAAGTCAACGACTCATGATCTTGACAACACAGAAGACCCTAGGAACCCTACCAGCAGAAGAACTTTCCTTGAGAAACCGCTCTACCACATCTTCATTCTGGGAAACTGTCAAACTGAAAATCAAATCGCTTATTTAGACAAAACGGAAGATGAGTTTGCATGTCTTTATGCATATGCTATTGCATGCCATGGGAATTGTCTAGATAACATACCTGCAAGTGCTGTAGACAAGGGAACCCCCAACTCTTAGTAGCCTAAAACCATTTGTTAGAAGTTTTAACTGCAATATTAAAATTATGGAAAGAATGGATCATCTAAAAGTTTGTGAATTGTTTTCGCATAAAAACTATTAAGTGCAGGCTTCAATCTCAACATGTGAAAAACTTAAATATGTGAGCTTCAGCCCCAACATGTGAGAAAAACGATGTTCACTAAATATTCAGTAAAGCAGTGTGCATTACCATAAGGTAATAGAACAAAAGGTCAATCACCTGAAGAGTGGTCAATATATCAGATCTCTCTGCATTCAGCACACGATCGTCAAGAGTTTCCCATCCCCAATGCTCAAACTTTTGGATATGTCTTATTGATCCATCATGAGTACATTCTGCATCAACTAGGACCTGAATCAAATTTCAACCAGTCATTAGCTTCAAAGCTTCACTGGGATCTAACAACTCTAACAAAGATTTTGGATGACACAAGTTAACCTTGTCATAGCCATAGCTTGAAACTTCACTGCTACTCACAATCCGATATAATTCAGTTTTGCTAAGCCCAACCACCCCAGAAGCCTGTCCATAAAAAATAAGTTCAGGATGATCAGTTTCTGAAACCACTATTGAAGCAGCATGTTCCCTTGCTCTGGCTGCTCGTTTCCTTTCTTTCCATGGTCTCCTAGAACTCCACTCCCTAAAAGTGTCTTGCTTTTCTTCCAATGCATATTCACCTGTTAAATACTAGAAAGAATGATAAAATATCAATAAAGGTATTAAAAAAAACAGAGTTCAAAGCTTGAGCAGGATCACATTTGAAGATCAAATTAAATGTCTCAACTACTTCCTGAATTGCTTACATGATATAGAATGTGAATGATCCCTCACGGGCATGATGGAAAATGTTGTTCCATCTGCAATAAAAAGTCGGCACACATCACCTGATGCATATTTCTGGAGCATTGTTCTACAAGCCGCAAGCCGGTGTCTAGCAATATCAACACCAGTTACAGATCCCGAATCACCAAGAAGGTCCGATATCATGCAAAGTTTTGCACCTGAAGATAAAAATATATGACAAACAAGTTATGCAACCATTGTATTATCAGAAAATTGGATATATATAAATGAAGAACTGGAGTATACTCCAAATTCCTTTTTCCAAAAACTACTTAGAGATTCAATACTCTAAAGAAATTTGCACATGTTTCTTGAATGAGTCACTCTTCCTTCTTAAGGAGATACACATTTTACAAGATCATTTTCAGCTTAAAAATAGACCATTAATGCTGTTTAGATGCATCGTAGACGCTCTAAGTAACTGTACACTTTGAGAGTTAGTGATTTCAAGCTCATTCACCCATATCAATATCCATGTTAATCCTACTTCATGATTCTAGCTTAATCACCAAAATATCTTCACATTCAAGCAGGACAATTCCATACCCCAAGTAAAAATATTTTCTTTTAGAAAAACCAAGTGCATTAAAACACAAAGAAAAGCCCCATGCAGCACTTATGCCAGATTCTGTATCAAAACAAGTCCTTGAAGTTTAAGCAAAGCAGGAAATTCAATTCAAGCTACAGTTTGGATCAGTTTGCTGCTTCCCTTCGAACCCAAAAAGAAAAACTGATTAATAAACCAGAAAAATAATGAAGCCATACTCACCAGGTGCAGCACATAGGTCAAGGACATGATCTCCTACTGAAATATCCAAAGCCAAAACAGCAGCCCCAGAGGCAGCATCAATCCCATATATCTAAAATCACAAAAAAAAAAAAAAAAAAAAAAAAAAAAAAGACAGAACACTAACCACATTCAAAACAAACTACAAGACTAAAATAAAGCGACCTAAAACCACAGCCATCAGAGCCAATAATTCAAAATTAAATAAATAAAAAGTGACCCAAAAGTTCAAATCTTTAGAAGATTACCTTGCCTTCTTTATATGGCTTAGAGTTAGCAATTTGAATATGAGGAGGAAGTGAATAAAACCCAGGTAACCAATTCACTTTCTGAAGCTTACACTTTATTTCAGCTTCAATATCTTCAATATAAGCTTCACTACCAGGCTTCAACCTTAAGGGGGGAAAAAGAACTATCTTTAAAACAAAACGATGACAAAAAATGAAGCAAAGTTTGAGTCTTTGATGTATAACAGGTACCTTATATAACGTGGGGTGGTCTCGATAGCTGGATAAATTGATGGGTCAATCCCATTTGTTTGTAGGAACTCTAGGAATGTGTCTGGTAATGGTAGCTTAGCTGTTTCTTCTTCCATTGAAGAAGAGAACTTTTGCTTTGCTGCGGTTTATCAGTGTTGAAGAGGATTGATTTGTGGTATTTATACAGTGCTCTTAAACGATAGGTCGTTTAGTTATTTTTGCCGACGAATGATGTCGTTTGGGTATAAGGAAGGACAAGGTTTTCAAGGAAACGATACGTCGTCAAGAAAATGAATTGCTTTGAGAAAAAGGTTCTTGTTTTTTGGAAAATAAACTATTATCTGATATTTGGTGTACTTTTTATATTAAATTATACCAAGAAAATAAACTATAAAACACTTGCTAATGAATTAATACGATGGTGGAGGAAGGATTTTGGAGGATTTTTTTCTTCAAAGTAGAGTACTTTATGATCTTAATTACCAAATTAAGTTTTGTTTTTCAAACTTATTTTCAAAACTAGAGTAATTTATGCCATTTATAGATATTCCATGATAAGTTTTTTGAGTGTAAATTAGTTATTAGGAATAAAATATCTAGAATAAAATATAGAAATCGAAATGGTATTTACATTTTCATATTGTATTTAAAATAATAATAAATCAAAATATAATTTAAAATTTTTAATATATAATTTTCAAAATAAATAAAATAATAATTAAAAAATTATTTCATCGATTGTAATATATTTTTAAAAAATATTGATACTAACTTACATAAGAAAGGGAAAGCGTTTTTTGGATGATGATATAATAAAACTCATGTTAATGATTGAGGAGTGATAGCAAAATAAAAATAATATATATGTTTTTTTTAATTTTTTAACGGCCATCAATAGTAGCGGTGATGGTACAGAAGAAGGAGGTTACAATGATAAATGTAATTGATACACAAAAAACAAAAATAATATCTCATTACTTTGAAGGAAAAAAAAAATCAATCTCACTCTTTATTGTTATTCATACTTTTTTTCTATAGCAATAAAGCTATTTTTTATTTTTATTTATGCTTTATTTTTTCAATCAAACACTTATAAGTAAAAATAAAAATTTTATTTTATTTTCATTATTTCGTTTTTTATTATCAAACAACACCTTAATATATTGATAAAACACTAATTATTAATACCAATTTCTCATTCCAAATAAAAAATAAAAATGGAAAACTTTCTTTCCTCCAAACTCGTTCATTTTAGTTTCCTTCAAGAGGTTCTTGTTTTTTGGAAAATAAACTATTATCTGATATTTGGTTTACTTTTTATATTAAATTATACCAAGAAGATAAACTATAAAACACATGCTAATGAATTAATACGATGGTGGAGGAAGGATTTTGGAGGATTTTTTTTGTTCAAAGTAGAGTACTTTATAATCTTAATTACCAAATTAAGTTTCGTTTTTCGAACTTATTTTCAAAACTAAAGTAATTTATGCCATTTATAGATATTCCATGTCACTTATGCAGGTGATAAGTTTTTTGAGTGTCAATTAGTTATCGGGAATAAAATATCTAGAATAAAATATAGAAATCGAAATGGTCTTTATATTCTCATATTGTATTTAAAATAATAATAAATCGAAATTTAATTTAAAATTTTTAATATATAATTTTTAAAATAAATAAAATAATAATTAAAAAATTATTTCATCGATTGTAATATATTTTTTAAAAATATTGATACTAACTTACATAAGAAAGGGAAAACGTTTTTTGGATGATGATATAATAAAACTAATGTTAGTGATTGATGAGTGATAGCAAAATAAAAATAATATATATTTTTTTAATTTTTTAATCGCCATCAATAGTAGTGGTGATGGTACAGAAGAAGGTAGTTATAGTGATAAATGTAATTGATACACAAAAAACAAAAATAATATCTCATTACTTTGAAGGAAAAAAAAATCAGTCACTCTTTATTGTTATTCATACTTTTTTCTATAGCAATAAAACTATTTTTAATTTTTATTCTCATTTATACTTGTTATTTTTATTTCTGCTTTACTTTTTCAATCGAACACTTATACGTAAAAATATAAATTTTATTTTATTTTTATTATTTCGTTTTTTATTACTAAACAACACCTTAATATATTGATAAAACACTAATTATTAATACATATTTCTCGTTCCAAATAAAAAATAAAATGGAAAACTTTCTTTCCTCCAAACTCGTTCATTTTAGTTACTATATATTTTTAACTCTAATGGATTATATTTTCATAAGATGTAATCTAAGCCCCTCGAATCCATCTTTTTAAGATATATTTATGAATATATAAAATATGACAAAGATTTAAAGCATGAATTTGAAATTACTTTAATGTGTCATATTTTATTATGCAAACGAAGTGTTTGATGATAACTTTCAGCGAGCTCCTTTTATCTTTTGGGATTTTGTTATTGCCTAGTAATTATTGTCAGAAATTAGAATTCATCTTCTGGACTTCTCATAATTAAGTGGGTTTCTTGTATATGATGGAATTATGCTTCGTAGAGATTTATATTTTCTAGTAGAATAGCATTTCATGCTTGCTTTTTAAAGTAAAACAAAAGCAAATAAAATCCATAATCAAACCTAAATGGTGTATTATTGTAGAGATATTATCTTTTTCTCTGTCAATTTTTATGATATTAGCACATACCATAAATTTTATGGGATTATTACTATAAAAAGTAAGTTAGATTGATCAAACAGTATTTGCTTATATCCTGCTAATTAATAATGAGAATTGTATAGGTCTCTTGTCAGGGATAGCAATAGGTACTCATGGACTATTCATGTTCCAAATCTCACAATTGGTTATGATCCAAATTATACAAGAGAAATCAAATATTAAAGAGGTAATTTTTTTTCCCATTTTTATCATATACTAAATCTTACCATTCAATTTGACTTCAATAATTTAGATTTAATGAACACGATGATCATGCTCTTTTAAGTGCCATTTGGTTATCAAAAATGAAAAATTCAAAATAAAAATGCTGGAATTAAAATGAAATTCAGAAAATCAAAATGATGTTTTCATTTCGATATGTATTTGCAATAGTGATAAAAAAATCAAAATAAAATTTTTAATTTTTAATATCTAATTTTTAAGACAAACAAAAATAATGATTGAAATATTAATTTTATCAATTATGATAGTACTAAAAATAACAAAAATGATTATGGTGGAGGCGGTAGTGTAAAAAGAGGAGGAGAAGGTGATAGTAGTTATAATAGTAGTAGTAATAATAATAATGTCGTCATCATAGAAAACTATCCTGGAAGAAAAGTGGTGGATCGAGTGCAACATAAATTAAAAAATATTTTTTAAAAAAATCAATTGTAAGAAATATATTAAAGTTAGTAAATTATCATAAAAATAACTACAAAATTAATTTTGATATATTTTAAATATAAAAAATAGATAAATAAAACACGTGAATTCTATTTTTTAGTTGAATATTTATTGGAAAAAAAACTTATTCGAAAATCTGTATATAGAGAAAAATAAATCATATTTTTTTAACAAATCAAATTACATAAAAAGAAAGAATAAAAAATTAATTAGATGACAGTTTACATAAGAAACAAAAAAATGGAAATATTAATTTTAAACAATAAGAATCTTGTTTTTATAATTATAAAATCTATGAAAAACATAAATAAGAATAAATTAAATATAATTTTTTGATTAAAAAATATGAAATTAGATATAAAAAATTTTAATTTTTAATTTTATATATTTTAGTTAATTGACAACATAATATCATAACATATGCAACCGAACTGAAAATAATAATAATAATAATAATCGACCCTGAGCATAAAATCCCTAAATCCTCATCTCTTCTTGCAAAGTTTGAGCATCATAGTTCCAAGAAAAAATGGATGTAATTGAATTTGCATTGATGCTTACAAAAAGGTTGCCTTTTGTTGCTTGTTGAAATGATGAAGTTACTAGATTAAGACTTAAAAGAGTTGCATATTACATGAATGAAAGAGCCTCTTGAAGAACAAAACAGAAGTTATATCATATTAACTGATTCAGTCAATGGCCTCTTCATGGCATTTTTCTCCAGGGCAAGCCTGCTGTTGAACTTGGGACAGTAATCATAACCGAAATATATACATGAATTTCATATTCGAGAAACAAGTCACTCTTTAAAAACTCAACAAAACATTAATAGTTTTGTCCTTCTAGATCAGATCAAATCAAAAGAAATTTCAAAACCACTCACTCTCTCTCCTATAATAGATAACCAATACCGGCGCAAAACCCTAATACAAAATTCTAGCTCCATTACCTTTCAAAGTCTCCAAACACATACTGCACCAAAGATGTACCTGCTGCCCTCCATACGTGCTCGTAGTTTTACCATTGCTGCACCTGGGTAACTTTTCCATCTATGGGAGGTTTAATAATGCAAAACTTTTTTAAGGCTTAAACCAAATTCCACAGCTGCTCAAAAGGATTCCTATCTATATACCGAATACTAATGACCAATACTTTCTTTATCCTATATCTAGTTCTGTTCTCAGGGTAATAGCCTCTTCACATCATGCTCCTCCTGGTCAGCATTCTTGGCTTGGTTGTATACCGATTCAAAAGCACTCATACACACACTCGAAAACCCCACCATTGCCTGAAAAACATGTGGAAATCCCATCTGGAGATTGTTCATTGTCATTGACCTTGTTACACTAATCGACTTTTCATGCTTACTCTTTTCTTCCTCTGCCTTTGCCCGCAAGATCTCAACCTTTGCTCGTTTCTCTGTAACTGGGTCTTTGTTTCTCGTAGTGCTTGAAGTTTCAAGCATTGAGTACGGGCCATACTTGCTCTCCAAAGATCTAAGCTCAGCAGCCTTCTTTTCAAACTCCTTGAATGCAGATTCTGACTTCTTCTTTTGCTTATGCTCTTCTGCTTGTTGAACTACAATAGCGTGAATTACTGTTAAGAAGCTCTTGATACCTTCGGATGCCACTTTGTCAGGAATTCTATCGATTGCATGGTGCCATTCTTCGCAAAGGGAGTAAATTCTTGATTCCTGACTTGTTCTTGAAATTGGGTCTTTGCTTAAATGAAAAAGGCTAAGCCGAAGCCAGCCTGTGAGGGACTGAATGTAGTCCCGCTGCGCCTTGACTACATTGCAGAATGATTGGTGCCATTGCTGGACCTCAAGCTCAAGCTGGAGCGTCGACTGCCTATGAATCTCCGACGACGGCTCAGGAGATGGGATTGTGTTGTGGTATTTGAGCTGCTGAACAATGTGTGTCTGGACCTGGTGCAACTCGTACATGGTTCTCCACATGCACATCAATCTGCAGAGGCAAAGAATGTTTTATTTAAGCAAATAGCATCTAATGTCACGACGCTTATACATTATATCTCATTATGTAGTACGCTATGTCTGCCTGCATGTCTAATACAAATGATGTTTAAAGAAAAATTTACCGGGATGTTTTATTAGGTTCATATCCTCAATTTAGCAGGATGTTTATTAGATTTAGGCTTATATCCTCTACAGTCATTTGGATTGCAAATTAATCTACTAATGTTCATCACTATTTTACTCGGATGGTTTGCGCTCTATTTAATAATAGACAAATAGTGATTTCCAAATGGAAATGATTTTGCAAGATTCCAAGGATATAACACAGTGCAAAAGATTTGCAAGCTTGATATACTTCAACCTGCTACAAGCCCCACCAAAGTAAAGCTATGATCACACACTATTGACTTAAAGCCCACATCAACGAGGCCCGTTTATCTGTGAGTATCTAAGTACACTGCAACAAGATTCTCCCTTGGCAACACAAGGGGACAACAAAACTGCAATGGATACTGAATTATGGTCAATAGCCCCTCAACCATCGTACATAGCACAGTCGGAACCCTATCTCTTCGAAACAAAAGCAAGCAAGAGCGACAAAAGCAAAGACAAAAAAAGCAGTCAAAAGTAAAATTCTGTACTGTAATAATATATACAAGCAAAAATTCTTGATGACCAAAAAAAATCCAAAGTTGACTTTCACTATATACTTTTGTTTTCCAGTACTTTCTTAGTTTCCTCTGTCCCTTTGAATCTTGTAACGGATGAATCGAGTAAAGAAAATGCAGGGTAAGTTTTTAATGTCCCTTACTGCAAGAATACTAATAATAGTGAACTATATAAAGGACCACAACAGAGCCAGTTTCAAATGCAATAGTGGGCCAATATCAATTTACCATTTTGTAGTGGAAATATTTGAGAGTTTTAGCCCTAAAACCCATTAGCCGTTTGGAATCTTCCCCAGGAATGGAAAATGATGTAATATGGGTCACGTGAAAACCTTAGGGTTACTTGTTACTTGCTTCAGCTCTTAAATGCAGCTAGGTGATGGGTCTACCAAAAGTACTAAAATACCAAAAACAAAAGAAGAGATACCAACCCTTTTACAAGCTCAAGGAGTTGAGGGTAAAGCTCCGTCTCCCTTAATTTGATGATTTCAGCAGAGGTAGTCTCAATGCCCTGAGCAGCAACCATCATTTGTGACTCCAGCTTCTCTACTTCTTTCTTGGTCTTCTCTGTCTTTACATAGTCAGCTCTCTTCGCCTCTAGCTTCCTCAGCAATGCAACCTTCTTCTCATGCTCAATTTTAAAATTCTCAGCATTCTACGTCACAAACATAATCTCTCAATTAAATAAAAAAAGAAACAAAAAAGTACTTATAAATAACATAAGAATATCATCTTTAGTTGGATAGATAGAGATAGGACAGCCAGTGAGCCACTTTTTTTTTTTTTTTAACTCTTTTTGACTCATAAATTACCATAATGGCTATAATCCAATGTGTAAACAACAAAACAAGACATGATCCACAAGGGCCATACCTTGACCTCCATGAATAGCTTCTTCTCCCAAGCATACAGTCTTTCCACAGTCGAACAATGGCTAACATGAGCAACACCCCCATTTCCTACATGACTAACCTCCATTTCCTCACCGATCTTTCCAAACCCAAGTTTTGGACTTGAACCCCATGACCACAATGATGTGCTAGTCAAATTGCATCCATAATTATAGACTTTACCTGCAACATTATCAACAAAACAAAACGAGAACTTGACCCAACAAAACAAAACCAATGAAGCATCTAAATAAAAGACAAAAAAACCCATTTTTTATCCCCTTGTTTTCGCTAGTTTTCTCATTAACCAAAAACGAAGTCAAAACAAGAAAAAGGGACTATAATAAAATAAATGTATAAAACTAACAAATCAAAGACCAACTAACCTCCTTTGCTTTGACTTGGTGACAAGCTTGAAACTTCTAAAACACAAGAAAGTTGGCCACCAGCATCAGCAGCTTTAAGAAAATATTCATCAACTTCTTTAATAATCTCCACTAAATCTTTACTATTTCTTGAAACGACCATAGCAAGCTCACTTCCACTTCCACTAGCAGTCTCTTTAGAAAACCCACTAACCATCGAAGGTGGCGCAACCGCCAACATCTCCGATGCCGTGGTGGTGGTCGCGTCCTCCCACTCCTCCTCTTCCTCCTCCACTGACCTCGGCGGAGGAGGGACAAAGGGGTCCCAGAAATCCCAACTCGACGCCGACACTGGTGGAGGCGGCGGAGGAGGTGGAAGAAGTGGAGAGGCGGCGGTTGTGGTGGTGGTTGTTGTACAAGTGTCTGAACTTGGGCTCATTGGAGGTGGTGGAGGTGGTGGTGGGGTGAGTGGCAGTAGTGGTGGTGAGGGGTGGATGGGTGATAGGCGGCGGCGGTGGTGGAGGTGGAGGTCGGTTTCGGTGTTGGAGAACTGAAGGAGGGCTGATCCAGTACTACGAAGTGAACGGATGTACATTGCATGTGAAGCAGAAAGAGATTGTCTTGCTTTCACAACTTGTTTCATGTATCTCTTCCTTGCTTTGCATCTTGACACCATCTCTTCTCTCTCTATGCTTGAGTAACAACAACCCATGTTCTTCTTGTTCTTGTTCTTGTCTTTGTCTCTCTTCACTCTCTAGATCAAGTGTGTGCTTAGGTTGTGTTTTAGTATTCTTGATTTGGAGCCAAAAGGGAAAGTAAAGCACTTTAGAAAGTAAAAGAGTGAGAGATCTTACACTACTTTGATCAAATTGGAGGGTCTTTCATGGTCATTGATTACTAGCTTGGTTTCTTGTAACCAAAAAGAAAAAGGAAAAAACACACAAAATAAGGTTGTTAACTAGTAGCAAAAATATTGCACCGTTTAAGCTTCTTTTGGTGAAAAAGTTTCTGGGTTTTCCAAAATGACCTTTGCCTATCTCTATCCAACTCTGCGTCTTTCTAGGTTTGGGATATGCTTTGGTTTTGGTTGAGGTGGTGGAGGAACAGCGCTGAGAGGTACCAAGACAATGAGCATTGGGCAGAGAGCCCGGCAGGTCATTTTATATTTGAAATTTAGAGTCGAAAATACCCCTACACGTATAAGTAGCTCCAACATGCAGGACACGATCCGAACTGTTTGTTGGGTTTGGAAGATAGGCCATGTCGAGGAGATTCTTTTGAGATTCTTGATGATGGAGTAGATAGATGAGTAGATGGTGATGAGTCGCCGATTTGCTATATAATTTGGCATATAAAACGGAGGGTGTTTTGGTAACTTGATATCTCAACGGCCAAAAAGAGCTCAAAATGGCAACTGGCTCAAAAATTACACATTAGTAATAAATAGTAGTGTTCATAATTAAAGAGTTGAATCATGTTACCAAAGCTTCAATCACCACTATCAAGTTATAGCTGATGAATTTTTTGTCGATACGTAGTGTTTGAATATTGGAAAACGTTGTTAAAATTTGCGATTTTCGTTTGGAAAATATTTAGATAAAACAAAATACCTTTAATTATCAACTAGAGGTTACCATTTACGTTAGATTAGATGGCTGGAGAGTGAAAACAAGAAAAAAAATGATTAGAGTTCTGACTTGAGCGAATGAGTCATTTGACTGAGACAGTTCAAGGCTTAATCCCATGAGTTAAGTCAATTTGGGTTCTTGATTTATCATTGCCATCTTCTTTTTTCTTTTTTATGTCCCAGATGAGATCTCCTCTAGTATTCAATCATTAGTTTTTTAATTTCCACTATAAAATATATAAAATCATTTTAGTTTGATAATCTGTTTTATGGTGTAAATCTATAAAAATATATAAAATCAAAAAATTAAAAAAAATTATATATAATTTTTTAATAAAAAAATTTGTATTTAACTATTTACATTTCAGAAAAATAATATATATTAATCATGCTACTATAATTTAAAAATTATATAAATTTATTTTAAAAGAAAAAATAATCATGTCGTAAAAATTTATTTCAAAATTCATATATATAGAAAAATAAATCAAAGCTGTCAAGTAAATATAATTTTAAATTAATTGGATGAGAATTTAAAAAAAAATAACAAATTACAATAGTAAATTTTAAATAATAAAAATAATTAACAAAAACTACTAAAAAAAATGGGATCAAATCACAATACACTTAAAGTTTGAAATTGAATAAACGTATGGAAAAATTAAGGAGCATGTAATTTTAAATTAATTGAATGAGAATTTAAAAAAATGATAAATTAAAGTGAAAATTTTTAAATAATAAAAATAAATAACAAAAAAAAAATAAAACAAAATGGGACCAAATCACAATATAATTAAAATTTGAAATTGAAAAAAAAAGAATTTTTAAAAAAAGACAAATTAAAGTAGTAAATCTTAAATAAAAAAATTAACTAAAAATATTAAAACAAAATGGAACCAAATCACAATACAATTAAAGTTTGAAATTGAAAAAAATAAATATAAAAAATTTGAGGACCTAAGTGTTAAAAAAAGTCATGAATAGTGAAAGAAATAATAATATGTGAATGTGTGAATAATAAAATCAGTGGTTTTACTTTAATTTTTAGTATAATATAATAATATAATAACCCAAAGGGTGACATTTTGTTTTTTCTTTTGGTTTTGACCATGAGAATTTTTTTTTTTAACCAATTCTTTTACATGTTGAAATTAATATTTTTTTTAATTAAATATATTCTTAATCCGAGTTTTAGGAAAAACATCTTATAATGGGATTGGTATCTTTAAAAAGAAATTTTCATGTTATCCGTACAATCACACAACACAAAAATTTCACGTGATTCGACAATGGTGCTTAGTCTACGACTACATTATGATTTCTTATTAAATTTTGTCAAGTAATGACTATAAATATAAGTGATATTGTTTCTATTTATAGTGTGGACAATTAGTGTTATTAGAAAAAAAAAAAAAAAGATCTAATTGACCTATATATTTGACCTAATATTTTGTAGACTTTTTAGAGGCTCCGTCTTCGAGTTCTCACAAGGAGCGCTATCTCGTTAATCAACTAGCAAGATCGTCATACTTGAATATATATAGCATCTTATATGTCAAGCTTCCATTCGCATCGGTCTTAAAAGTTCAACGAAGTTAACATGCAAACAAACCCATTTTACTAATCAAATCTTCAATGAAAACAAAATTAAAGTGCCAAACTCTCTTGGGGGTGTATTGATATCAGTTTTTACCAAAAAAAAATTAGAAAAAGAACTTGCTATCTGTTGTATATCACAAATTCATATCATGCAATATATATATGTTTGATGGGACTTCCATGAAAATACATAACATAATTAAAGTGCCAGCCTCTCTTGGTGGAGTATCCATACGTACAAGTTTTTATAGAAATTTACAATATTCTATTGTCTATCACATAATACAAAAAAGAATTCAAATACTTATGCAGATAATAAGCTTGATGGACTTCCATGGAAATACAAGAAGGTAAATATATCCGTCGGGGTCATTTTTCTTTTATTCATTTTTTGAGGACAAATTCAACAAAGTCTCCCAATTATACAAGGATTATCGACTGGGTATGTGATGGTTTTTTTTTTTTCTCATTGATAAGGTTTTGGGTTCAAAATATGCTCATTTTAATCTCTCCATTCATACACATTGGTATATTCCTTCTACATCGAATATTTATGCAAGAACGCTGTTTTTTTTAAGGAAATCTAATGAATTTTTTGATAAAAAAAAACTACGAGGACTTTAAACAATAAACCTGATTGATACTTCATAAAAGCTCTAGTAAAGATTCAATTGACCAAAAAATAAAAATAAAAATAAGGAACTCGATTGAGATCTGGGTCATTGTTTGGGGACTAATTTAAGGTTTGATCTCTTATATAGGTATACATTAATTGCATTTGTCCACAAAGAAACTACAAAATGAATTATACGTTTTTATTAGTACTTCATTGATTACTTAATCACTTATTTTAGAACATTTTTGTCGGAAAAAGGTTAAAAAGACAGATTTCTTTAACTCCAGAAGTATACTAAATAGATTAAAGTACTCTAGACTACAGAGCCAGCCAAATTTTCTTCAAGAAATACACCCAATTAGTAAATGTTTAACTTTACATCTTGTCACATGGAACATGCTGTCACAAGCTTACAACATCGTGGTACAGCCTTAAATTACCTGGATATATATATATATATATATATATATATAAAGCAAAAGCTTGCATAAGATTTTGTTGGTTAAACTACATTATTTACATGCTGCACCAACGATTCAACTGGTCCAAGAAAACAACAAAACATTTGTACTTGATAGTGCAATTAATATAAAATAGAAAGGATCCTAAAAAATTAACCTGCTAAGAAAATGTGTTATCGTTGTTGATATTGCGAATTTAAATTTATAAAATTAATGTGCAATAAATTTCATTAAATTCATTTGAATACATTAAATTGATATAAAATATAGATATTTAACATTAAAAAAAAAATCTTGCATAAATTGACTTAATGATGATTTTATTATAGAATTAAAAAAAAAAAACAGGATGAGCCGAGTGGTTTTCTAATGGTAGCTTCCTTTCTATTTTTAGGATTAGAGTTTCAATGATTCGAAGTTTGCTAGGTTGTAACGTTCTAGGAATCACTAATTCAATAGTTCAAAGTCGTACGTGTTCCAATAAAGAAATAACATTGTGATAGCACAGACAATGGTTCTAAATCAAATCAAAACATTTATCGAAATTTGTTATATAAAAAAAAAAAAACATATTAAAAAATACAAATCTCATCAATTTTATTCACATACATATCCAACTACAATTTATCTCGGCTTACTGAACTTGACCTAATGATTTGGACCTACTTATAACCAGTTCGAGTGGAAGGTCTGCTGAAGTTCAAGCCCGTCCAGGCATGGCATGCATTGTCATTTGACTTGATCTCGCCATTCAAGCCACTATATTAGCCTAAGCCCAACCTATATACATTCAGGATTCAAAGTTCAGACTTCCAGGTTAGTTCAAAATAAAACTATACTCATTTTTCTCTTCAAATGAAGTACTAAGAAGCAATCCGTAACGAGGCTATAGACTTTAGAATGATGTATGGTGATCCAGCGGTCTTCTTTGTGGTTAGAAGAATTATGGTTAAAAGAATGATAGAGATTGATGGTGGATGATAATTCAATTGTTCAAAATAACTATAAAATAAGTCTTTCCAATCGATTAGAAGATCCTCTCATGACTAGCTAGATTGTAATATGATTGTATAGGTGTATAGAATATGATAAACATTTATAATGAGGATTGAGAGAGTAAAACCCTTAATCCCTAGCCTTTTGACCCTTTCTATAGTCAAGGGTTGGATCAAATTGCATGGAGATGAGGACAGTTTGGTTCATTCATTTGTTACCAATATATCTTTACATCAATTTGGAAGACAAATGATCTTGATGGTGATGTATTACTAATTGATGACTATTGTGACTTTATGGTTGGTATTGATTGGATAAAAGTAATTTGAAAAGCATGTCTTTATTAAATGAGTGTACTTTTTGTCTCTTTAATAGACGAGATAACATTTGATCATTTGGGTGGACTGTTGGTCTAACATCATATGACGCATCTTATTAAGGTGACTATAGGAACAAGACATGCCGTTGATTTTGTTTAGGGTGCAAACCCGATTAGAGTTTAGGAGGCATGTGATTGACTCATGTCAATTAGGTACATTGATAGCCCTCTGAGTCTTGGTAAGCATGTTTGGTGAAGACTATTCTAGTGGACGGGCTTCCCAAAGAGAAATTGGTAGTGTTCGGTCTTGGCAAACATGTTTGGCCAAGACTACTTTAGTGGACGGGCTTCCCAAAGAGAAATTGGTAATGTTTGGGGTGATTAGAAGCTTGTCTTATTTGTTTTATTTTTGGTCTGTTTTGATTAGTATAGATGAGGATCATTTATTGTTTGTCACTTCGACACTTGTATTGTTTCATGAAAAGATCAAATGCTCGTGCATGGGAGAGTTTGAGGAAGATGAAGGGGCTAGGTCTTTTGAAGTCCCCAATACTTCTTAAGTTGTGTCCATGTCATTTGATACATGAGATTTACTGTGATTGGACCACATCAGATTAGGCTTGCCAGCTAAGCCTAAGCCTTTGGAAGATTCGACATAGAAACCCATACTTTTGAGCTTATATATAGTTGATGAGTTCTCTCTCTTTTTCTTTTTCTTTTTTCTTTTTCTTTTTTTTTTTCTTCATCTTTGCTTGTTCTTTCTTTCTCTTTTTTCTTTAGTTTTCTAGCTTAGGTGATTTCTTGGTGAAACCGTAAACATTATTTGAAGACTCTTAGGCGACTTTCTTTCATAAAGGTTAACTTGAGATTGGGTTATAAGATTGTGATGGTTATTAGAAGTAGTTGACGTCGGAGAGTTATGTTTTTTAGAAGAAGATCGATGGGTCTAGCAGATTTTGAAAAAATAGATCGGGTTTTTTTAAAAGACTTGTTTGTCTGTATTCTTTTTTTAGAATGGGTAGCTTCAAGTCACCCTACCCTTATTTATTTTTTAACAAATTTCTTATAGATTTAATTATTGACTCTTCTATTCTACTAAAAAATTGGCCTTGTTATCTGTTTTTGTTAAATTCAATGCATGTATTTATGGATTTTTAGTGCTTTATATATTGAAAAAGCGATAAAGCAATGCCACAATTGAGATGTTATTAAAGACAAAATAGATTTATTAGGAGAACTTTGCTTTCTCATTTATAAAAAATTCCAAAACTAAAGATGAAAGAATATTAAAAGCTCGAAGAGAGATAATTTAAATCACAAGTTGGTAGCCTATCGATAAATAAGTATTGATTTATAGGTTAGGCTTATAGTTCGATTCACAATATTTTTTAGAATTTATTCTTAAAATACCCAACATTGTGCGTTGGGAGTACTTTTTAACCACACTCGGAAAGAAATTAGTTTCGAGATGTGCTAAAACTAATTCGAGGACACCTTTATCATTAAACCTATATAAAAAAAAAAGAGATAATGTAATGAACGAACGTAGTAGATAAAGAAAATGATGATAGTGATAGAGATAGATTATTCATATGGTACCAAAGGAAGGGATATGAATATGGGTTCTTTTTAATATTAGTCTTTGTGTTTGAAAGAAGAAGGGGAATAAAGAACTTATTGATTCAGTAGTAAACGAATTGATCTTTTTTTAAATTATAAGGTTTGAATTTTAAAATCGTATTTATTGAAAGAGATTAAATGTTATTATTTTTGCTTTGAATATAATTAGTTTTATCTCAAATATACATAGGAATATCTTAAGTAAAAAAATAAAAGGGAAAGAGAGAGAGAGAGAGAGAGAGAGAGAGAGAGAGAGAGAGTGTGTGTGTGTGAATTTTTGTTGCCGGTTAAAGTGGACAGAAATTACCAATTGGATTTCATTGAATGAAATTGACTAAACAGAGGATCAAACTCAGCAATTATATTTTATCTTCATAAGTACTATTGGTAGACTCGTTCGAAGTTTGTTTAAGTGGGCCCAAAATAACGATATATCAGTTTACAGGACGTGGGGTGTTCATTCCCCGAGACCCCAAAATGCCCAAACTTCAACAAAGATAAGAAGCCCCTCAAATCCACACGCGCTATCATAGCATAAATAAACTCACAATCATCCATTACCGTTTGATAAAAAATTAATCAAGCTCCATGGAGCAAGTAGTCGCACGCGCTGCAGACATTCAGCTTTACAGACATCTTCGTTTGCTAAACTCAAAAGCTTCCTTTCCCTCCTTAAACAGCAAAATACAATCCTTTTCTTCCCTTCAATCTACCTCATTGCTTATATTCTGTTACCAATGGATCTGTCTGAATTCGTGTATAAATATTGAGACATGAAAAGGCAACCTTGAATCAATAGTGGGTTGGCTTTGGTTTTTGGGTTTTCGAAAGTTCTGCAGTTCGGTTTTTCTTAGGTTTGCTTTCATGGCTGCAAAAGTTGTAGACGCTGAGTACTTGAAGGAGATAGAGAAGGCTCGTCGAGACCTTCGCGCTCTCATTTCTAGCAAAAATTGTGCTCCTATCATGCTTCGCTTGGCGTAAATACGATCTCTTTTTATTTTTTATTATTTTTAAACAAGCATTATGTATGTATACACTAATCTTGATCATGGGTGCATGTACGAATATTTTGTTTGAATAATGTTGTATGAGGAATGTTTATTGCAGGTGGCATGATGCGGGGACTTATGATGCAAAAACAAAGACCGGAGGGCCTAATGGTTCCATCAGGAATTCGAAAGAGTTGGCACATGCTGCAAACAGTGGTCTCAAAATTGCTATTGATTTTTGTGGTGAGTTTCTTGTCCCCTTTCGTGAAGCAAGCATTTGATCTGATATTGTCAGTAATTTAGTGAAGATTCAAAGAAACTTAAAAAGATTAAATTTTCTGCTAATGGCCTCGGACTTGGTTATGTTTTTGTGTAGAGGAAATCAAGGCCAAACATCCCAAAATTACATATGCAGACCTATATCAGGTGATTATTATTTTTTTTTTCTCAATGGTTTTTTGCTAATTAGCTTTACTGCACAAGGACTTGATCAGATAGGCTAAGAAAGCTCACTTTTGGAATTACAGTGGTTGGTTTTTTATGTTGGGAAATTTGTGGTGTCATGATTCGATTTTGAACTTTTAATTCTCAATCATTCTTGGATGCTTAGCTTGCTGGGGTTGTTGCTGTGGAGGTAACAGGAGGCCCTACTATTGACTTTGTTCCGGGCAGAAAGGTATGTTCATGGTAGAACTTCTTTATCTTCTGCTTATTACTGCATAGTAAGATTCTATTTCTCCATCAGGATTCAACCGAATCTCCTGAAGAAGGACGTCTTCCTGATGCAACACAAGGTTTGTAACTGTAATGACTTGGCTAAATTCATTCTTGCGTAGCTTTTCTATGTTATGGAATTAGTCTGCTCTTCGTATGGGAAAGTATTCTCTTCTGATTCGGTTTGGTTGCAGGAGCACCACATCTAAGGGATGTGTTTTATCGTATGGGTCTATCGGACAAGGACATCGTGGCACTGTCTGGAGGCCACACATTGGTACTTTTTGACAGATCTGCTTTTACGCATAGAATTCTTTTCTGGGTAGTCAAAACATACCTAATGTTGATGTTTCATTTGGTTTTTGTAGGGAAGGGCTCATCAGGATAGATCAGGCTTTGATGGTCCTTGGACAAAGGAGCCTTTAAAGTTTGACAACACTTACTTCGTGTAAGAACGTATTTGAGTATATTCCATATGCCAGCTAACTATCATAATGTGCAAAGTTATGGTGAAATTACATATAAAGAATGCTCGTTTTCAATTGAAATCAGAGAGCTTTTGAAAGGGTCAGAAGAACTGTTAAAACTGCCGACAGACAGGGTTCTTGCTCAAGATCCTAAGTTCCGGGAATATGTTTTGCTGTACGCAAAGGTAATATTTTCACGAACTTTGAAAGATCACATATTCTCCACGTCGTGTTTCCTTGCTGTGACATATTTTGGTAGCCAACTAAAGATTTTCTACAGTTTCATGTCCATTCGTTATTAATATGTTGCGCAATTCTAGAGGTAGTTTCTATTTGATGAGTTCTTGGTAGATGGAGGAGATTTATTAGCAAAGTTCTGTCTTCCAAATCAGCTGCTGATTAGAAAAAAAAATGAAAAAGATTTTGGTTAAATGGCAGGATGAGGATGCATTCTTTGCAGATTATGCAGCATCGCACAAGAAGTTATCAGAGCTGGGCTTCACTCCACCTTCCTCAGGTCTCAAAACAATTACCAAGAACAGGACCTTGCTGGCACAAAGTGCTGTGGGAGTCGCCGTAGCGGCAACTGTAGTAATCCTAAGTTACTTCTATGGAATCAACAGAAGAATAAAGTGAAGATTTCATGTTTGGACTTTTAAAGATCAGATGAGCAAGTGTCATTTGCAAAAACATAAAGTTGTAGTCTGAAATTAAAATTGAAAAAAATAAGTTCAGAAAGTCTTCATTGAAGTCATTGGAACTTCCATCCTGATTCAATAATAAGAATGATAACAATTCTCCATTTTCTCAGTGCAAGAATTTCTCTCTTGTTCTACCCTTGAGCTCATATAATGCAAATGAAATAACTCTCATCAGACCTTTTAGTGTCCACCAACTTCCAATTCGATTCATATAGGAAAGTAATCAGATATTTTAGCATTGAAAAGTGTTTTTCCATAGTTGGCGATCTTCCAAATTTGGACATGACAGATGTTATAATGTTTGTCATTGGGATCTCTTCCAAATTTGGATATGGCAGATCTTATAATGCTTGTCAGGATGGAGTTCCTGTTTCTCTTATAAAAAGAAAACTGCAAAGGGATTTTTCATCATCTTCTTTACCATAGCATAGAACTACAAGAGATGTAACATTGAATTATTATCAAGTTTAACATGTGCGCCTTATTCAAGAGAGGCTTACATAAATGAATAAATAGATAACATGCTTGTGCGTAGTGAAAAACCCACAAAAAAATCTAGCTTGCTACTGCGTTCCTCTGCTACCGCACTGCGTAACTCCTTCCTCTGAAGAGAGAGCTGGGTCAAGGAGAACAAGTTTATCTCCATCCTAGAATTAAATTATTAACTCTTGAAATTTGAATTAGTTAAGGGTAATAATTAAACTAAGTTCAGTCAGGCTCTTGGGCTGAGAGAGAGCGTGATGTCCTGGAAAACCTTGAGTCGCTTCTCGATCTTCTTCTGCTGAAAGATCCCAGAATTTGCAGTATCAACTACCTTCCTTGCTGTCTTTCCTGCATTCCTTTCAGGACCTAGAACCGCTGCAAGAATGGCCTCTTCAAAGTCATCATTATCTGGCAACAACTGTGACAACTTGCCTTCTGTTTCATCTGACAGCCTCCTCGTCTTTGTTTCTGGTTTTTCTGGCTCCACAGATGGTGTTGTGAACAACCCCATTTCGATCTTTCTGTTTGAACTAGCAGCATTTCCTGACCTTGTCCTCTTAAGGGTCTCATGGAATTGATGCCCAATTGGTTCCTTTACTAATTTGGAGGAATAAAATGGAGGTGCATCAACATTCCATAAATTCCCAAAAGGAGGAGGAACAAACTGTCTGATATTTTTCTGTTGAGGAAGCACCATCTGGTTTTGGTTTGCTACGATATTAGAATCAACATTCTCATCGGCAAAATCATCATGAGAAGACTTTGTATTGGTTGTTGGCAAGACACTATGATGATCCTTACAAGGCTGAGGCTGCCAAATTGATGAAGAACCAAGAAAGGCATCAAAGAGCCTTCTTTGTTCAACCCGATCGCCTCCTTTGTTCATCATCTCAGATTCAAGGTCCTTGAGCATCTGCTGTGCCCTTTCATATGCTTTGAGATGTGAATCCACACCTCTTGGCCCATCAGCCACCGCTGGTTTTACTCGCTGCAATGTCTCTTTAGCCTCACCAATTCTCCCCTGCTTCATCAAACAAATCCCAAGATTGCACATCTTATTGTTGTCAGGTGCAATGGTAAGTGCCCTTCTATAGGCATCTTCTGCTTCAATGTAGTTGTTTTGCTGCATCAGTGCCCATCCCAAGTTCCCCTAAAACAAAAGAATCAACCAAATAAGTACACAAGTACATGGCATTTCAGAGATTACAGAGAGGGAAAGAACCAAGATATCACTCATTACCAGTAATCTAGTTGCTTCTTGTTCCACAGAAACCTGAAATTTCTTCCCTTGAGACCTTGCAGTCTTTGTTCTTTTCCCATTGAAAGCTAGCCCTTGTTGAATCAAGTATAGCTTATGTTTCAACAATGCTATTTGGTCATCCAATCTTCCACATCTCTGTACGAAAGGACATCATACTAAATAAGCACTTTGCGTGTTGCAAAAAAAATCTAATTGACCATAGTGTATCGTACGCAGAGTGGATTACGCAAACCTTGTAAAGATCTAAAAGAATATTATCAAGAGACTCTTGGGCTTGATCTGAACATCGATGTCGTAACGATTTGATAGCCTCAATTGCTTCATCAGCCCTATTCTGTTGCTTCATAACAATAGCCATATCTTTCAATGCACTATCCACTCTATCCCCAGCATTTATTGCTGCCCAAAATAAAGGTATTGCCTTCTCCGGATCTTTATCAACCAACTAATCATAACAAAACAACAAAACAATCAAAACGCAGCAATAAAATCAGTCATAAACCTGGCAAAATAAAAATAAAAAAAGATTTAAAATCAATTTGAAGATGACCCAAGAATGTTTAACTAATTTACCTGAACATTTTTGGCTCTAACATAAGGAGAGTCACCAACAGGGACCTTGTGGATAGCATGGAATGACTCAGAGCGAGTTCTTGAAACACCAAGTGGCTTTGCTGGTGAAGTTGGTGCAGATTTTGTTGGTCTAAAACCAGGTGGTGCATTCCACATATCTTGCATCATATTGAGGAATAAAAGGATCCTTTCCTTTTTTCTTTTTCTTTTGATCTTTTTTTTTTTTTTTTGGTCTTTTTGATAAATTGAAGTGACGTCTCTTGCAGAGATAAGAAGGAAGAGGGAGGAAGAGAGGGAGAGGGAGAGGGAGGGAGAGAGAGACGTAGAGAGAAATGAAGAGAAGATTGGGATTTTTAGAGGGGATGTGGGAGAGAGACTTTTGAATTTTTCGACCGTTGAGGTTACCGTTTTACGTACTAGCCGTTGCGCCTCTCTCCCCATCCATAATTTGCAGATTTGGCGGATATTAGAGAACTTTTATTTGCATAGTGAGCCTTAGGGTTTGTAATAATTGTGTCATGGTTTATTTTATTTGAGGTTTATTTCATTCGTGTCCTTTTCTATTTAAGGAAGTATGCGATCATGCATGTCTTACTAAAATTGCCGTTGTAGACATTTTCTGCTAATAACTGTTGTACAATGACAACGCATTTGATTGATACTTGTAAGAATATTTTCTTTTTTCTTTTTCACAAATGTTTAATTTTGTTTTTAATGGAAAGAATACTAAAAAGTATCTTCATTATTAAAAAGAAATATTTGTATATATAGTGGCACCCCTTATATTTCTTAATTATATTGTGTTTGAAAAACAATTATTAATATTCAATAAGGTTGACTTGAGTATAAAGAGTTCTAATTGTTTAAACAAATAATTTTGAATTCGAGCATTTGTACATGTAAAAAACTTTTTAGGTAGTTATCCTTGCCTTATGCGTTCGATAGAATAGTGAGGAATTAGTTTAAATTTTTATGTTTTGAATACTTTAGAGGATAAAAAAAAGTTAATTTTAAAAAAATACTATTTCGACAAATACTTCTTGTGAAAATTCAATAGTACAAGATTGAATTATTGTTGTTATTATTTAAAAAAGAAGAAGACAATGTGGCTCTAGGAACTTAGTTTAGCCCTTCAATCATAGTAACTTAGTTATTGTTGTTTTAAGGCAATAAAATAAAATAAAATAATAATCCCTTCAGTTTTTTTTTTTTTTAAATAGTTAATCCTTTGATCATTTTTTTACTGGCAAGTCAATAACAAAAACTAACTAAAAAAACGAAACTGAAAATTTTTGACAGCTCAGCATCAATAATAAAAAATTAATAGAGAAACTAATTCAATTAAGGATATAAAATATTAATCCTTCAATTATGGTCCCTATCTCTTGCTTTGCAATGGTAACCACCTATAATGGGCACCTGAAAAGAAAGGATCAACGGTCTGTGAACTGTAAGTCTAAAATGTCAACTTCCATTATTACACACATAAATATTACAGCGCATGTATCTGTCCGTTACTGCAAATTGTTGTCAACTGTAATACAAATTTCCCAGCAACTACACAGAAATTATTCAAGAAAGAAATGAACAATTCTACCAAACCTAATAAAAAATAAATCTTGGTTTCTGCACCATTCTGATCGCTAAACGCAAGAACAATCTGGTTACAACAGACCATAATTTGGGACTACTGCCCTTGCACACCTCTTCTCTAAAGTCAATCCTGCTGCTGCAACTTGATCAGCATTTGACTTCAATGCCATGTATTCGTATTAATTAGAGGAATTGCTAGCAATAGTCCTGCATGTAATACATGCGCGGGACATGAAGCAAGATGGGACCGTCTGCAACCTGCTCAACCTTCGCCGGCATCTCTCTTTGCAACGTAGATTTACTGATCTGGTGCATTATTTATTTTGGATTCCTATGCCTTCAAGTCTAAACCCATCCATGCCCCTTGCATGATTGAACTTGAAGAAAATTAGATGGATCCCTTGTCAAATTGCATGTGTAATACTGCAAAATCTTCAAGGGTCTTCATTTCATGCAGCAATTTGCAACTCAAATTGGTTGACTTTTAGCATAGCATGGCATGATCCCTTGCTCAAAGGAGCTTTTCTCATTTAAGCACACACCCCAAGTCGTATGTTACAAGTAGAGAGGACCCAATCACCAACCCACTTGCTGATTACTTACCTGACAGTGACCTGAGGGCCTAGGCACAATTAACCTATTTGTTGTAAAGGGCCAACACTCCAATTTCTCTAGATGCTGACAACCATAAATATCAGCCAGCCAGCCAGAGGGGGAGAGAGAGAGAGAGGTTCATGTCACCAGGTGGACCCTCTAAACCGTTTTCTTCTACCAACTCATATCTAGAAGCAATTACTGCTAGTCCCCATTATCTATACAGAGAACTACTATAAAGCATCCCCATCTCCAATTGCAGGCTTAGTTCCAAAGCACCAAATCTCTCACATCCCAAGTACTGGGCAACACCGGTTTCCACTAGCCAAGATCACTAGTTGCACAGAAACACATGGGGAGGTCTCCCTGCTGTGAGAAAGCACACACCAACAAAGGGGCATGGACTAGAGAAGAAGATGAGCGTCTCATTGCTTATATCCAAGCTCATGGTGAGGGTTGCTGGAGGTCCCTGCCGAAAGCTGCCGGCCTTCTCCGTTGTGGAAAAAGCTGCCGTCTTCGATGGATTAACTATCTACGCCCCGATCTTAAGCGTGGAAATTTTACTGAAGAAGAAGATGAGCTCATTATCAAACTTCACAGTCTCCTGGGTAACAAGTAAGACTCTGATTCCTAAATCTCCCATATATAGCTAGTTGTAAACAAAAAAACTGACAAGGTTTTTATGCTTCTGTTTAAGGTGGTCTCTTATAGCAGGTAGGCTACCAGGAAGGACAGATAACGAGATCAAGAATTACTGGAATACCCATATAAGAAGGAAGCTACAGAGCAGAGGGATTGATCCTTCCACTCATCGATCAATCAACGAGTCAGCTATTGACAACACCTCTCTTGGTGCAGTTTTCAAAGAAGATATCACTTCTGGCTTTTGGGGCAAAAACCAGAAGAACCCAGATGCAGAAAAGTGTCAAGCAGTGAACCTTGAGCTCAGGATATCCCCTCCTTATCAGCACCCACCTCAGTCGATGGAAAGCACGGGCAGGAAAATTGTGTGTTTCTACTGCAGCTTAGGATTGAAAAATAGCATGGATTGCAGCTGCAGTAAGAGCGGTAGAGTCAGCAGTGAGAATTTCCTGGAAGTGAAGAATGGTGCTTTGGATTACAGAAGGTAGGAGGTCAAGAGATGTTCTGAAGAGTGGTTTAATTCTTGTGAATAGATAACGACCGCGATATTTCTAGTATGAAATCTCTTATTTCGGCTTGAAAGGATAATGATGCTTACTAACCTACGAAACTGTCCAAATTAAGTCCATAAATTAAACAGTTAATGCCTCTTTTGATGTCGGGTTAAAGATCCGAGATGTTTTTCTATCGTTTTATTTATCTTAATTGGACTCTCTATTATTATTATTTTTTTAATAATTATGTCCCTCTATTTTTAATTTGTGTCTTAATTTCATTCATTTAGTTAAATTCTTCCATAACTAAATTAATTTTTGACGACATACTTACAAAATACACAGACATATGGTATTTTTAAAAAAAAAAATTGGAAAACAATTAAAATTTTTTTTAAAAAAAGTTTTAAAATACTTTTTTTCTACTTTTATATATAGAAATAAATAATTAATTTCATCTATCAATTTTTTTTTACTCTCTCTCAAATTCATAAAAAAAAAAAAATCCTCAAATGTCTCTTCTTTTCTCTACCTTTTGCTTTTCTTCTTATGCTAGGAAAAAAATTTCATAATTTTTTTTTTAGATTTGGATTTGAAATAAATTTTCAAAATAAATTTCTGAAATAAATTAAAAATAAATTGCTTCTATCCTTTTCTATACATAAAAAATTTTCTTTTTTTCTTTGAATTTGAGAGTCACAAAAAAAAATTAAGGAATGAAATTAATTATTTATTTTTATACATAAATGTAGAGAAACAGATGAATATTTTAGAATTTTTTAATTTTTTCAGATTTTTTTTAAAAAATATAACGTGTCGGTATCACACGAGTCTATTGTCGAAAATTGATGTAATTATTAAAAAATTTGACTGAAAAGACAAAATTAATACATAAATTAAAAATAAAAAAATACGATTATTAAAAAAATTAATAAAATAATAAAAAGACATCCTAGAACTTTAATCTTTTGATGTCATAATTCTCAGTTTTCAGTATGTTTTGTTTTCTTCATCTTTGCTTTCCTCCCCGATGAAGTTTGCTAGAAAAAAATTGATTTTTGGATAAGGAGTTATAGATAAGTAGTGGGAGGAGGAGAATCAAGAGGAAGGAGATAGAAGTAGGTAACCTATCTGAGTCATGCATAAAAGAAGAGAGAGACAGAAGAAGGGGGCACTTTGTCGATAGTTCAATGTACATTGATAGTAATGAACGTATTTCTACCAACCAAAATAATTGTCCCAACCAACACAACATCAAAACAAAATTTGATTATGTGACATGTTTGTGCCACGCTCTCTCTCTCTCTCTCTCATTTTCATATTTTCAAGGAGGACACAACGTTAGCTGTAACTAGTTATTTACTAGAGCGATTATGATCTGAACATCCATTCATTGCAAGTGCTGGGATCTATTATAACATCTTTTATGGGCTTTGTATCGAAGCAGAAACAATTTTTTTTTGTGCAACAACCAATGTTAATCGATTAATTAGTTTTTGTTTTTTTGGCTACGGATCCATCAGAACCAAATAATTTTAATTTGATATCCTACGCTATATTGTGGATCTACTACCATATATAGCATGAAAGGTAAAATAAAAAAAAATCTAATAATTTTTTAATCAAAATCTTGTATTTAATTAATTATTTTTTACAAATTTTCAACTACAAAAAAAAAACATAACATATTATTTTATATGCATTGATTTATAAATAAGAACTTGTAACAATTTAAATAGAAAATTACATGTTAAAAATAAAATAAAACAACAATTAATATAAAAAAAACTTGTTTAAAAATTAACAAATAAAAAATATGTTTTATATCTATTTAATGTTGAAGAAAATATTATTTTTTTAAAAATAGGTATATATATAAGACTCAATAATATAACAATAACAACTATATTTAAATCATCGGGTGGTTATTTTAAATATTATATTTGAAAGAAAATAAATTTAAAATTCCAAAAAAAAAAAATTGTTGGTTTTTTATGTGTGAATGCATAATTAATTTTTAATAAAGCCGATGATCCAATTTTATTTTTTTTTATAAAACATAACTATACTCGGTAGGTTCAAAATATGTAGTATAAAACAGTGTGTGTGTGTGTATTTCTCATTTAAAAATCATAATAAATTATCATACAAATTATATTAATGTATTTAAAAAAGATAATTAAATTCTAAAATTTTATTCGAAAATAAATTAAGAAATTAATTGGATGTTCCAATAAAAAATGACAAATTTAAGAAATCATATAAAATTTTGAAAGTAAAAAAATTAGAAATGAAAAATCGAAGCAAAAAATTTTTTAGTAGAAAAGCGCTTGAGAAAAAAAGATAATTTTTTTTATAAATTTAGCACAAAATCAATAATAAAAAATAGCTGAAAAACAAAAAAAAGAAAGCAAAAAAACCAAGCCAGGCTTGCACCTTGGGTCACAAAAGCAAGCCTCTAGTCCCAAGGCCTAAGGCACAGGCTTGCATAAACAGGCCTAAGACACAGGCCTGCATAAACTTGCCCGACTAGTCTGAGCTGGCAATATTTCAAAAAAAAAAAAAAAAAAGAAGCAACACACGACGCGTCGTCTGTTGTGATCTTTGACAAACTTAAGTTCGCAAGGAAAAAAAAAACAAGTATTTTTGTTTTTCAGTACCGGAACTCAACTTGTGCATCGTTTTGCTCCAAAAGATTTTAAAAATAACAAAATATGATTAAAAAAAAACATATTTGGAGCTTTAAATTGATTATAATGCAAATTAAAAAAAATAATAGAAACCAAATTAATTTTAAAAACTCATAATATTTAGAACTCTTGATCCTCCCTTTATTTCTCTCTCATATGTTTATTTCTCTCTCATATGTGGACCAATGACCAAAGTGCGACACAAATGACATTGTAAATCAAAATAAAATTGTTGAAACATCAAGAACTAAAGTATAAAACTTTGTTTATAACTGCCAGAAAATAACGTGAAAATTACAAAAAAAAACTGAGTGTTGAGTTCACAGTGCCATTGAATCTACAGCTACATTGAACCTAACAGTAAAACCCTCCAAATGTTTTTTTTTTTAAAAAAAATTTTTTTTTTGGTAATTAGCCACCCTCGAAATATATAGCAGGAGTAAACAAATTAATATGGAACCAAGTAATTATAATTCACAATCATCTCCAAACAATCTTTCCGATAAGGTAGGTTGGGTAAAAGGGAGGCGCCCCAAAGGAAAAGGCGAACACCAACTCTCACCAAGATTACATCATACATGAAAGAGAGAAGGGGGTCTTACTTGCACATGCCATTTGTTGCTGTCGACGCTAAAGGTGGAACTCATACTCTATCCTTCGCAACCCTACGCTGTCTTGTTTACTTTTGATGGAAAGCTCAGTCTCTAACCTCGGCTTTTCCTTCGAGGGTCTTACCTCCTCCATGGACATAGCAACCATGAAAAGATCCCTAGCCTCTTTTTTGATGATACAAAACATCAATGGAAAGAGGTTACTGGTAAGATTGTTTCTGGATCATCATAATTCTTGCAGACATTAATGGAAAGAGGCTACTGGTAAAATTGTTTCTTGATCATCCTCATTCTTGCAGTGGCTTTTGGATAGCTAGGATTTTAGTGACTGTTATGACAACTTGGGAGTTGGACTTCCATACAAAACAACGAAAGGCCTCGAGGGTTTCAATATGATAGATAAGAAATAAGCAACCGGAAACTGAAGCCGGTAACAAATGGCAAGTCATCATCAATCAAATCATCACTATCATGACTCGTGACTAGAAATTTCTTGCACATACTGACTTCCCAATAAAGCGGTCATTATACTAATGACCCAGTCATTGCATTTTGTTGCATAACCTCTTTTACCACAGTTTCTGTGAAAGAGAGCTTGTGCAAGATTATCCCCTGCATTAAAAGATGGAAGGGACAATTCTGGCCAAGCTCCTAATTAGTAAAGTTAGAAAGATTTTGCTGGATCTCCTAAGTCTTCTAACAAGAAGTCAGGCCTCACATCTCCAGAAAGATAGCCAGTTCTTTTAAATTGAGGCCAAATGAAGGTACCTCCCCCATCATTTTAGCAAGACATACAAATTCTCATAAAAAAAAACATGTAAAAGCTGTAAATTCTAATGCAAGATATGAAGTACAAGATAGCTGAGACAAACCACACTTCATGTGAGGAAAATGATGTCGATGGAATTAGAAACTAGAAGCTAGATATTACTGGAAAAGCATCTCTGCATTATACAACATATGAAAATAGGCAATTCCCTAAATCATATTACAAATATTACCACATAATTGAAGAAAACGCGATATATCCACACGTGAAAAGGGAAACAGGGATTTACTGGGCTTAGCAAATATACCAAAGTCTGAAAACATCTAAAACTCCATAACACTTAAACTATAATGCCCGAAAACTGTCTGCTTTATCAAGTCTAGCAGTACCTGAACTTGATGATTCACCCATAGCATCAGGTGAAGCTGCTACATGTGATGATTCTCGCTTCAGAGAAGTTGGCAATCCTGAGATCTCCTGAAACATAACACAAAAAGATAAGAAAAGGAAATTTTCATCTATAAATCGTAGCAGCCAGATTCACAGTTTTTGTGCACTGTCCACAGACCTAGCTAGAAAATCTCTTAGATAAACAAACAAAGCATCTAGAACAAATAACACTAACTGTACCGAAAATCTTCCCCGAAGAATCTCAACCATTGAATTTGTGGAAACCACCAGTGGGATTCACCTTTTCAATTGATGAGATTTTCCAGCAAGAACCATTAGGGAAAATTAGCATCAGGCATCTGGAAATTGCTAACATCTTCCTCTATTAATTGAATAAAGGATTACAGTTGCTAAGCTATTCCTACTAATTTATTACCTTCATTAAATGCAACCTCATGTCAGCAGGTCGAACTTGATTCCCTATACATGCCATCACAAATTTTGAATACTGAAACATGACATCAGCAGCAGCTTGCTTTTTCTCTTCAATCTACATAACATCATTACCATTAGACTTGCAATAAAGGAAGCAGCCAACAGCTCGGAAAATTTTAGCTATTATTCTAATTTGCAATGTTGACAAAAGTCCACAATCAGTTTGCGAGCGCAACAACATCAGAAAAGAAAAGTTCTTAAGAATCAAGAACGCATATGACATTTTTATCAGTTTTGCAATTTAATGAGGGAAATAGTAAACCAGCAATCCTCAAAGAAGACAACTGCATATGTTCTAAACACAGACCAGCTGGCCGCAGAAAGAGCATTACGTCTGGCAACCAACGTAGGCATCAAATTTACGGGAAAACTAGCAAACAAAATTAATGATTATGTTTTACGGTTGATAAGAACAATTTGGGAAATAAATGAACTGGCAAGTGATTCGAAACCCTAAATCGAAACGGAGGATCAATCCTACTAACAAAACAAGAGAGATTAGATAATTAGGAAATTAATTAACATCAAAATCATAGATAATCAAGTAATTTGTTGAAATACGAAGATGCTAAACTTGTTACAATACGATCGAAGAGCAGCCAAATTTCCGAAGTTGATTGAATCATTTTGATCATACGTGGACATACGCAACATGGAAATACCTAATTATTGAAGAAAAGGTAACTGATTTCGAGATGATTAAGAGATAGAAATGCAAATGGAAGAATTAGAGGAAAAGAGGAAACTGAAGCAGAGAAGAGAATAATGTATATACCTCGTAATCTTCTTTCATGGCGAAACCGTACGTTAGGTATGATCAATTGAGCCAGACACTGTCAATTTGATATTAACACTCTTATGTGTGATTTCTACACGTAGAAAATGTTATATCTTATCATATGAGTCTACCGACAAGTTGGCCTATTAGCTCAGTTGGTTAGAGCGTCGTGCTAATAACGCGAAGGTCGCAGGTTCGAAACCTGCATGGGCCATTTTTTTAAGAAATTATTATTTTAAAAAAATTACTTTAAAGTATTTGAATTGACCAAATTATTTCTTGAGAGATAAATATACAAAGTCAACACGTTCTTGCAAGACTATTGGAAAGCCAAAGCAGAGTAATAACAATGGCACGAAAAGTAATGAAGATTCAAGGTTCTTGCACTCAACCCTGTCATGATCCTAAAACATCTCTCTTTTTTCAGCATTTTTATGACGATGACCCACTTGGTCTGTTCTTTTCCATTGCACCAAAGTCTTTGGTAGGGAACTTGCGGTGGTTGAATCCTTGCCACTGAGTCTATTTTTCCAACTAGTGGTACCGATGAAAGTTGATGGAATTGAAGGATGAAGGAAATATTAGTCTTCTTGTCTGTGCATTCCTTCTTTTCAAAGCCAGTGTCTCCCTCTACTAATTGTAACTTCTCTGAAGTTAATTAAAGGTTCGTTTTTTTTATTACTCACTTAATCATTCTCTAAAACCCATTAATCTTTCACTTTAATGGTTTGCTTTCTTGCATTTCATTGTTCTTTTCTTTCTCTTCCATTCTATTTTATAATGTGGGCTCTTTTTTTTTTTTAATTCAATTTATCATAGCCTGTTATTTTGATTAATGTCGTGGTATCAGTGTGTTAGAAGAGAAGGAACCCTGTTATGTAAAGTTAGTGTTTTGGTTTATTCTGTGTTTGAATTGGTGTTTTGGGTGTTTGACAGTATTGTTCATCTTTTGAATAAGGAAAAAGAAAGTTTCTTTACAGCTTAATAGTTTATTAGTATATTTAGTTCCTTCAAAAAAAAAATAATAATAATAATAATTGGAGTTTTGTTGTGATAGAGTTTGATTTCAATTGTTGATTGGATCAGTTCTGTTGTTGTTCTGATGTGGTTTTGTTGCTAATTCACATTTGATGAAAGTTGAATTTGTTATTGAGAGTAAAGATAACTCTTCGTTTTCTTTCAGGTTGCAACCATATTTTTATGCAATGGGTATTTGGTGGACTAAATGTGTCTTTTCCTTTATTGTTCTTCTTCGTTTTGTTCACTTCATCAATGCCCAACCTTATGATTATCCAACTGCCAACCTCTCGACTAGATGGATAAACAGCCCCTCACTTCGCCATTCTGTAAATTTTACTGATGGATCAATGGTGAGATCCATTCTTCTAAGGGGAACCTATGGTCCACGGTTTGCTTGTGGCTTCTTTTGTAACGGAACCTGTGATTCTTACCTCTTTGCAATTTTTATTTTGCAAACCGATAGTGTTTCTTACATCACCTCTCCTAGTATTGGTTTTCCTCAAGTTGTTTGGTCTGTCAATAGAAACAATCCTGTCCGGATTAATGCAACCCTGGACCTCACATCTGATGGAGATTTGGTCTTGAAAGATGCTGATGGGAGTACGGTTTGGTCCACGAATACTAGTGGCCATTCTGTTGCAGGTTTAAGCTTGACAGATTCAGGAAATCTTGTGCTTTTTGATGATAACAATGAAACAGTCTGGCAATCCTTTGATCACCCAACTGATTGTCTAGTTCCTGGACAAAAGTTAATGGAAGGGAAGAAACTCACTCCTAGTGTTTCTGTAACAAATTGGACTCAACTAAGCTTGCTTTCATTTTCTGTCACCAAGGAAGGATTGTTCGCTTCAGTAGAGTCTAATCCCCCACAAGTCTATTTTAGTCTTCCAGTTGGAGTAACGAATAGCAAAACATCAACACTAACTTACGCTATATTCCTAAATGGAAGCTTAGCTTTATTCTCCTCCAGACTAAATGAATCGGATAGCTTTCTCACAATTCCTAAGGCCTCATCAGCACAGTACATGAGATTTGACCCTGATGGGCATTTAAGAGTTTATGAGTGGACAACAAGCTGGAAAGAAGTTGAAGATCTGTTGACAGGATATCTTGGTGAATGTTCTTACCCAACGGTTTGTGGGAATTATGGAATTTGCTCGAAAGGGCAGTGTAGCTGTCCTCCATCAGCCATCGATGGAACAAATTATTTCAAGCAAGTAGATTATAGGCAGCCTAATCTTGGCTGTTCTGAAACTACTACTCTGTCCCGTGAAGCCTCAAAGCATCACAGTTTTCAAGAGATCAAGAACACAACTTACGCCATCTTTGATTCCAACCTTGAAAACGTGGATTTGGAGAGTTGCAAGGTGGCTTGTTCAAAAAACTGTTTGTGCAGAGCTGCTATTTTTCGATATGGCACCGATGCTGCAAGAGGTAGTTGTTTCTTGCCATCCCAGATTTTTTCGTTGGTGACTTATGACAACAGATATTACAACTCAATTATCCATGTAAAGGTGCAAAATGTCACAAATGTGAGCGATGTCTCAACTGCAGTTACTCGGAGAAAGAAGAGAAGTCGAGTGCCAGTAATAGTATGGTCCAGCCATGGATCTTTCTTTGGTTTGCTTATTTTGATTGCAATCTTACGTTTGCTAGTTTTGAAGAGAAGAAATTCTGAAGAAGGCGAGGAAGCTTATTTAGATCAAGTACCAGGATTGCCCATGCGGTTCTCTTATGAAGATTTAAAAGGCATGATAAAAAATTTCAGTAAGGTGCTCAGTGAGGGAGGATTTGGCTCCGTTTATGAAGGGCTTCTAGACGATGGCACCAAAACTGCAGTGAAACAAATCGATGGTTTAAGCCATGTCAAGAAATCATTCCTTACTGAGGTTGAGGCAATTGGCAGCATTCATCATGTGAACTTGGTAAGACTTCTTGGTTTTTGTGCTGACAAGTTACACAGGCTTCTTGTTTATGAATACATGCCAAATAGGTCTTTGGATAAATGGATATTCCATAAAACCAATGAGGTTGCACTCAATTGGCATCAGAGAAAGAAAATCATCCTTGATATAGCGAAGGGACTAACTCATCTTCATGAGGATTGCAGGCAAAAGATAATCCACCTAGATATCAAACCTCAAAATATTCTGTTAGATGAAAATTTTAATGCAAAAATATCTGATTTCAGATTGTCTAAACTGATTGATCGAGACCAAAGCAGAGTTGTGACAACAATGAGAGGTACTCCTGGCTATCTAGCTCCCGAATGGTTGAGCTCAGAAATCACTGAGAAAGTGGACATCTATAGCTTTGGTGTTGTTGTCCTGGAAACATTATGTGAGAGGAAAAATTTCGATCGATCACACCGAAGAACGAATGCATTTGCTAAAGTTTCTTGAGAAAAAGGTGGAGGAGGATCAATTGTTGGATCTGATTGACAATCAAGGTGAAGATATGCAGTGTCACAGAGCACAAATAACGACTATGTTAAGGGTTGCTGCTCGGTGTTTGCAAAGTGATCATACAAAAAGGCCTTCAATGTCACATGTGGTAAATGTTTTGGAAGGTGTTTTGGAAATTGAAAATAACCCAGAATACGAATTATCTAGCCTACCATTAAAGACAATGTCTGCAGAATTCACTGCATTGCTACCTTCAGTTCTATCTGGTCCGAGGTGACTCCTTGCCATCATTTCTGTAAGTTGATCTTTGTCTGTGGACATTTAATATTGGTGTTTCTTTTCAAGTGTCGTGGATAATATGCTACACATTTTGTACTAAAATAATATGTCTGTGGAAGAAGAATCTTTTGTTTCGTAGAATTATTCATCATTGGCAATTTAGCCGAGCTATTTGTAATTGTTAATAATGAATGTTTTCTGAAGTACACCACAGTCTATGATGGATGTTAAAAGTTTTGATAGGCTATAAGCATTTACGGTTCATATGATCAAAACAGAACCGATATATACTTGAATTTCTTATGTGATGAATAGAAAAATTTTACTTTTCTTATTTTTTATTTATGTGAGTGCTTGCCTTAGAAATTGATTATGGGTTTATAGATGTGGCCATGACAATGGTTGTGGTTGTAGATGTGATTTTAACAGGCATAGCTAGAGCTGGTACTCGAATAAGGAAAATTAAGGGAGGAAATAAAAGGAAATAAGGACCTAATTGGGAAAAATGGAAAGAATAGACATCAAAAGGTCACAATTCGGGCAAGATTGAAAAGAAAAAGGGCAAAATCGGAACTAACATAGAAAAGTTTTATAAACTTGGGGATTGAGTTAAACTTTAAAATTCCCAAACGGCACCGTTTTAGGGCTTGAAACCTTCTCTCTCTTAGTTTGTTCATCGTCTTCCTTAGCAGCCACCTCTCCCAAGCAAAACCCCAGCCTTGCTGGCACTCGAATCAGCTAAAAGCACAGCCTTCCAGCCAGCTAAACATATATTACATCCTTCTCTCTCTACCAGCACAAAAAAAAGCCACTATTTGTCTCTAATCCTAAGAGAAAAATGATAAAAAAGACACAGATAAGGTCTTTGGTTTGCTTGAAATCCCAACTTAATCGCAACTTCCATCATGAAAGCATTGACAGTTGCAGTATTGTCATTTTTGGATGAGAAATGTGCAGCTTAGGAGGGAGATTTTGGATCAAAATTACCTAGGTCTTGAGTAGGAAGAGAGGGAGATGAAGCTGAAGTTATGGTTGAAAAGAAAAGATAAAACGGGAGAGAAAAACCTTAGGGGAGGCGAATCTGTAATTTCTGAATGGACATAGAGGCATTTCGTTCCTTTCGACAAAAGGGGTAAATTTGTAATTTTCATAATCAATCGGGGACATTTTGGTCTTTCCAAAATTTCATGAATTAATTCTTATTTTTTTAGAGAATTGTCGATTCACATGTTGAACTAGACAACTCATAGGAATTTGAAGTCTGAATGATGTGATGTTAGGTGTCAAACCTAAAGCGTCCAAGGTCCTTAGAAATTTTGAAGTTGGATAAAGTTGAAATCAATGCTCCAAAGTGGAGTTTGGAGGATATGATTGAAATTTCATTTCTCATATTATTCAAGGCGAGTTTCGATCCTAGTATGATTGTGATTGTGTAAATATTCGATTTTTTTTTTTTTTTTTTTGAATTTGTGTTGGAATGTGATGCTTGATCATGTTGGCGAAACCTAAGTCAAACTATGATTAGTGACATTATTGTCAAAACTCTATGTCAAAATATTGTTAGTGTCTACTTGAGGCCATTATCAATTTACTATCCTTCAGCATAGGTTAAAATATTATCAATAGCATTATCATCAAAACCCTAAGTTAAAATATTCTAAATTGTGCCAATAGTGAGTATGATATCTTAATCTAATTAAGAGAAACAATCCATTAATTTCTCTTTGGTAACAATAGTAAGTGCTACTTATTGTTTAGCTCACTATTGGCTCTAAAATTAGATTGATAGTCATGATGCTTTTTTTAGCAAAAAGGTTTTTTATATTTACGTCCAACCTTGAATAGAGAATTCTCATGATGAAGCACTCGCGTATTTCTAAGACTTATATTATGTATTTTCATTTCAAGAGAAATATAACTCGTATCGCGAGGCTATACTTCCATATAAAATCTATAACACTAACTTAAAAAGATGGAGAATCGGTGAAGTTGGATTAATAAATGCTTTAAGTTTGCAAACGTTTAAACACACAAACAAACAAAAACACCTAGATCAAATCTTTTGATACAAAATTCAGCTCCAAAATAGTCCTTATTAATCAACAAACACGACTCAATGGATCAAACAACTCAAATAACTCAACAAGGCTACGTCTAGATATAAACCTTAACAAACTTAAATTCTTAAAAACTTTGACGAAGCTGATTCTATCCCTCCTTTTTTTTTTTTTTTTTTTGAATTTTTAACCTTAACCTAAATAAGTTAAAATGATGTGAATCACAAAATTCCAACTCGATTAGGCAATCCTAGCTACTTAATATACTTTAAGGTGTTGTAAGGTCGACATGGCCAACCCAAGGTTTAATTTGTTTCCTCTTTAATAAAATTCACAATTAAAAAAACAAAAGTGCAAGTCTTAATTAATCCTACTTAAAATAGAGTCCACGACTCTAAAGAAAATTAATTAAAACTTATGAGACACATACGTAAAGAGATCTTGCAAATACAACAAGTACCACTATAAGTACTTGAGCATAATTGATCTAAACCTACCTTAGTAGATTACTCTAAGGATAAGTCACAAAACCTTGGCTAATCCAAGAAAAGAAAAACACAAATACATGCAAAGAAAATCTCCAACTTTATTGCAAAATATATGGTAGAAATTTCTTTACAAAGTAGCAAATAGTTTGCTCAAATATCGCTCTTAATATTGTTTTGACAACATGTAATGAACCTTTAATATCTTCAAGTTTGGCATCCCTCTTCATGTTTAGCTTCTCCTTGCATAGACTCATCCACTCTAAGTCCCCTCTTTGTAAGTTCTTTTGGTGTAAAATTTTGTGACTTCAACCCACGGCTTCTTCATATTGAAAAGTTCAACATTGTTCTCACTTTCCTTTTCTTTTTTTTTTTCTTTTTTTTGTTTGGGAACTATTACAATTCTAGCTTGATATATATATATATTTCTCTCTTAGTAGCAACCTTTCCCACTCTCTTGCTCATGGTAGTAGCTCCTAATTAAATCACTTCTTATTATTACCATTCTAGCTTGGTGTTTCAGACAACAATCTCAAACTCAATTTGTTTGCACTCGATAGCGAGAATGTTCCTTTCATTGCTTTTGTTGGTAACAACACTCAAGTTCTCTTGCTCTTCTATGATAAAAATTCACTCGCTTATATCTTTACTCATGGCAATCCCTAAGCTCTCTCTATTGCCCTCATCATCGACTACATTCCTCTCATAACTCACGACATCAACAACATTTTCATTAGTCATACCATTTACAACATCTCTAGCTTTCACCTACAATCTCAAGCATCACACAGAACTTCTCCTCATCATGATGTATGATAGTAATCTCTCTATTCAATGCAATTTCAGTAGTATATGTAAGACTCATCATCATCATCATCATCATTATACTTATCATAAATGAATAGTGAGTTACAATCAACATAGCTCACAATTTCACCTCTTATATTATTATCAAACATATAGCCATCATCATGCAACACTCTAGAACTACTAAATGATTCATTCTCTATCATTTTATTTTTTTCATATGGAAAGATTTATATGATTCACCTTGTGAACTTCATGGATCATTCATTAGTTCCTATAGTTTAGGTGTCAATATGGACCTATTGTCATCAAGTGTTACTATATAGGTTTTTTTGTACCCATTATGGATGACTCTTCTATCAAATTGCCAAATCCTACCTAAGATTATATGACATGCATCCATAGGTAAAATATCACAAAATATCTTATTTTTATATACGGAACCTATGAAAATCCTTAGTTCCTTACTCCATATCTCTTTGTCATTAGCTACTCTCCGAGGGTGACAATACATGTTTGCAATAGACAAATTAAAAATATATGTTATACTTTGGAAGTTGAAAGTTAATTGCTAAGTGCAGGAATTATCTCTTTCCATATGTGAAAAGGACTTTCATGCATGGAAAGAAAGAGGATAGATGTTATATTAAAAGGACTTTCGATTTCACATAAGAGGCTTGTTAGTTAATTTGTTGGATAAATTTTTATACCAAAAGACTTACTAATTATTAACTATACGGGATAGTTATAACAAGATAATTGCATGAGTTAAACTTGCTAACTAGAAGAAAGTGGATAGTTACATAAGGATGTAGGACACGATCACAACAATTGTAAAGGAAAGTGGAGCACCATATGGCGAGCATAGAAAGTTGCAAATGAACATGAAGTGTTGCAAGGCAACATGAAAAAAAAAAAAAGTGAAAAATTACAAAGATCATAGAAAAGCAAGAAACCTATAAATATAAGCTACGGTGAGAAATTAACAACACATAAACAACCAATAACAACACTTGCAAACAGCAAAAAGAAGCTCTCGGAGCATTCTTTCAAGTTTCAACACACTTGCAACTTGTTAAGCTCTAGCTTGTAAGGTAGTAATCAATGTTGAGTGAGAGATTTATAGGCTCATAGTTTGGCTCTTGGTTCTATCTCTTATCATAACTTGTGTGTGTGATCCTCAATAACTGAATTCTTGCTAGAACATCATGTTTTGAGAAAACGTCTCAATTTATAAGCATTCTGCATCATCAATGAATGTAAGTTTCTTTTAAACTTTACACATTATTAACTCATAGGAATTCGAATATGGAAGTTGGACTGTCTTGCAGACCATTATCCAACCAATCTATTTTCTTTTATTTGAAAGTCCTTGAAAATTAAGACAAACACAAAAGGACCTGCAAAATAGTTATACAACTTTCATGTTATTGCAAACAAGAACTTGAAAACAAAACAAAAACCCTTGAGCTGAAAAATTACAAGGACGATTAGCTAATACTTGTACATTTGATCACTCGCATGTTATAATGTTATGATGTCTTTATAGTGCTGCCATTCTGTAGTTAGCTTTTGCTTGGGAAGAGACAAGAAAGGTTAGGTTGTTCTTTTAGTGAGTGATAGAATGGTGGAAACCATCAACTTGTAGTCAATTGGCTTTGTTAGATAAGCATCCATGCCAACCTCCAAGCATTTAGCTTCATCTGACGACATTGCGTGGGCAGTCAATGCAACAATAGGAATGTGCAAGCCAGTTCCAGCTTCTGATTTCCTGATTGCTTTTGTTGCTTCATAACCATCCATCTTCGGCATCTGGTCGCAAAATCAATCAGCATTAGTTTCTAGACTAAATTGAAGTGCATGACCAATGGTAGACAGAACATATTGTCAGTTTCTGTTAGCATCTCTTACCTGACAGTCCATTAGGATCAAGTCATATGGTGGGGATTCCTGAATATCAGTTTGTAAAGCTGTATTTTCATCGTCTCTAGGGGATTCCCTTCTACAATCTTTTTCACTCAAACTGCAATTCAGAGCTTCAACTGCTTGTAGTCCGTCTCCCACAGCAATAACTTTAGCCCCCATTTTTTCTAGCATGATGGTTGCAACTCTCTGAAGAACAGGTGTATCTTCCGCAAGCAGAATCCGTAAGTTGTCAAGAGCCTTCTGTTGATTCCCTGCTTTGCTTGAATACGAATTGCCTTGTTCTTTATGACTACTGCTTTCTGAATTTCGTTCTTCGTGTTTAGAACTTTTATTTTGAGTTGCAGTTGAAAAGGGTGCTTGCTTGTTGCAGACTAGTATATCTTTTCCATATTGGGTGCTTGGCAAATTGGGCCTAATTTGACATGGATCTTCTCTTGATTCTGCATCAACATCAGTCAATTCAACTAAGCACTTCTTAAATGTTTGGCATGGTGATTGATTTGTGATCGTTTCTCTTTCTTCTTGATTTTCTCTGAGATGAAATGTGCTTGGAGAATTGGAATCACCTGTTTCAGCCGTATCAGATTCTTCAGAGCTGACAGTGTCAAAATGGGTGGAATCAATCTCAAGACATTCATGCATGTCACCGCCTTTTGTCGTAGCTCTTGCAGCATTCGGACTTTTCTTTTGATGCTCAAGATCTCTCTCCTTTATGATGGTTTCCAAAATGTGAATCATTTTCCCCTTGTAAAGCGGTTTATTAACCATCAGTAAATGCCCCTTCTTGCGAAGCTCCATCTTTATTGCGTTTGAAGTATCATGATTGAGCATCCATGCAAACTTGGCTTTTCCAGAGAATTTATCAAGTAAGTTAATCTGTTCCTTCCATATATCTGTGCTCAAGTCAAGCAATCCTATGTCAACAACTATGATGAATATAGGGTCCTTCATATCCTCAATGTTGAGCACTTCAGATTTTAATGTTTCGTTCAAAGAACACTGAACATCAAAGCCATTCTCGCGCCTTCTGGCGCGAAAGAGTTTCCAAAGAACTTGTGTCAGTTCATTCCACTCAGAAACCCCTAAAGTGGTCAATCCAATTTTACTCAACCACTGGGACATAATAATTCTGCCCATGCTGCCATATAGTGCCAACAGTACCTAAAATTACAGTTAGATATTATAAGCACAAAGGATTTGATGATTGCTGAGGTGAGCATACCAAGCACGGTTTTTTCTTGTTTAATTTATCTGTTAAATATCATCAAAACATCGACGAATTGGAAGCTTACAAATTTGTTTATGATGAATGTAATCTTACTCACCACGGCATTGTGACGAGCAAAATCTACTTGGCAATGTAGGTCTGCACCATCTACAGGTGTATTGAGAAGCAAGTATAATCGCATTAGAGTTCCAGGTCCATTCTTCTTCAGAACCTTTATTTCTCCACCCATCTTGTTAACCTGTCCTCGCCAACAATTTGGAAAAGGTTAAAGAGAGCAATCACAGTAAGCTGCTATAGACTAGGAAGCATAAAATGGATTTGGATGCTACTTTTTCTCTTCACAAATTCAGCAAGATAGTTTATAGCTGTACATAAGTATCTAATCCTTACTAAGACCTTCATCCGATTGGGTTTTAGGCGTGCGGTTGATAGCCTAATTGCCTAAAGATAAACTTTGAAGAGTCAGGGAATCCCTGTTTGTGTGTAAATCCTTCATTTGATTTGTTGTTTAATGCTTCGGAATCTTTTATGAGTGTGGAGTTTACTCACCAAAGTTCTAACTATGCATAGTCCAAGACCAGTGCCACCATGCCTGAAATAGAGAATTGATAAAAACCAGAATATCTAAGAATTTCAGTTCTAGATCTTAAATTTGATTGATCTGCTCATATGCTTATTTTTTATACAAATTAGGTAAAATATTCAATGGATGAATCAAGCCAGTTGTTGTCAGTGAAACTTGTTTCATCTACTTACAATCTAGTTGTTGATGGATCAGCTTGTTCAAAGCTTTCAAATACAGACTCCCATTTGCTTGGATCAATTCCTGCAGATGGGCAAAAAAAGCTGTTACAAATACTATAGAAATGGAAGAGATTTTGATGTGGTTTCAGACATTTTTTGAGGTTCATACCACAGCCTGTGTCATCAATTTCAAACCAAAGAATCATTTTGTTTTCCTTTTTACAGGCCTTCTTCATATGATTCCCTTGTTGCCTAAGTTTTGGCTTAAGTGCACAGCGCATTTTCTTCTGATCAAGATGAAACTCTGTCGTTTCATTATAGGTATTCGGGTTCTCACACCAGCCACGCAGAATAATGTGACCCGCTGTAAAGTCATTTAAAAAAATTGGTTATGCAAGACAAAGAAGTTGAATACACATGGTTATTTTATCGTTGTGAAATGACTTTGACTCTAATTCTATTTAGGGATGGCAATGGGCAGGGGCGGGGATAGCCATCCCTGTCCTCCCCCCGCCCTAAAAAATTTCTCCCCATCCCCGCTCCGTATCCCGTTCAGAGCGAAATTTAGAGAACCATCCAGCAGAGCAAATTGCCATCCCTGATTTCTATTACAGTTTTCTGGTACGCATAAAAATCGAATAAAGTTGGCAATGCAAGCGTTGGACTTACTTGTCGTAAACTTTATAGAATTGCTTATCAGATTTGCAAATATTTGAACAACTCTGGCAGAGTCTCCTCGAACTAGTTTCGGCATATCTTCTTCATACAGAAAATGAAAGTAGCAATGAACATCAGAAACAGATGGAAAGAGGCTAATGATCACAGATTGATACTTGGTAATTACGCACTATGAAAATTATGAAACTCGTACCAGACAGATCCAAAACAGCCTCAACGTTGTGGTTAATGCACTGAACAGAGAACATGTCAATAAGTCCTTCAAGTTCTCTCCCCAAGTCAAACTCAGCATCTTCCAAAACCAGTTTTCCAGATTCAACCTATATAATTTCAAAATGGTTCAAGAAAATGACTTTCTGTGACCTATTGTAGCATTGGATGTTCTGGTATGTGTTGGGGTTTGAAACCAACTTAATATCTTTGTAATTGTTAGAACTGTTCACAATTGCTCAGCTATTGTTAGTATCTCACCTTGCTCAGATCCAAAATGTTGTTAAGAAGCCGGAGTAGAGCCGTGGAGCATTTTCTGATCTGCGTAACAGTTGCGTATTGCTCATTTGTGAGACAATCATCACAGATAAGAATGTCCAGCAGCCCAATCACTGCAGCCATAGGAGTCCTCAATTCGTGACTGTTATTCAAAAATGAAATGAATATTCACTTCCCATCGAAGCTCAAGGACAAAAACAAATCTTCAGGCGACACAGAATTTGTGGCCTTTATATGAATTTGCAGCTCTAATTGAACATTTAAGCTCATAAACCATCACTACTAACATATTAAGTCATTTACCTCATGTTTGCCAGAAACTGGCTTTTGTAGTTGTTTGATGCCTCTGCCCTTCTCCTTGCATCAAGATGGCTTATCAGTTCTGCTCTTAGTTTCATCTCCTTTGATACTCCATTTGTGAGAATCAAAATGCAGACGCATCCAATGAATAGGATACATAGAGATGCAGAAATGAGTATAACCAATGTTTTGAATGCTCTCTCATCTACCTTCCCCATTATATATCTTCTTGGAATGATGATCACCCCCACCTGCACCAATTGTAGTATCTTGCTAAATATTAAGATATACAATAAGTACAAACCAAATAAAATAAACTAGATCCTTTTCAGTCAATTTTCCCTTCTACTTGGGCATTTTTACCAGGAACTTCATAGAAATGCAATTCTATGACATTTCAAGTTTTAGTGATGCAGGATAAAACAGCAACTCCTAGGAAAAGTTGCAGTAGGTTCGACTCTTACTATAGGAAGCCTCTTAAGATTTAGAAAAAAGGAGTCGATGTAATATTGCTGCTTGCCAAGTTTTGCACTCTCCACATGAACAACATGACCTGGATGAAACCTGTTTCCATAGACTCTCTCCAACCATTGAGCTCCCATTCTTATTGTGGGTTCCTCAGTATCGACAGCCATTATAAGATTGGGCCTTGTTGTTGAATTTGTTAAAAGAGGAGCATTTGTGGAAGTAGCCAGTAAATAACCCTCTTGAGAGGTCAGATATATGTATCCACTGTGGACTTCAACAAGCTCTCTCATCAATTGACCAACGCTGTAGAGAGCAGTAGTAACACCTACAACGGCCACGATGCTTTTATTGGAAGCATCCCACACCGGCAAAGCCGCTGAAAGCAGTGGTGAATCTGTATACTTGCTTACTGCCACATGCCATGAAGCCACCCCATCAGGTACTTGCGAAAGGCCAGCAATATTGATAAGATCATCTGGTGGAATTGGCCTTGCTTTTCCTATCTTTTCACCTGAGTTAGGATCGAGTGGTTCACGATACCAAATTGCAGAGAAGTTACCGTGGATGGATTGATCATTCCATGCTTGATGCGACGAGAACATATTTGTATCGTAAGGCCCTTTGGCGTTGATTGAGTAGTTCACAAGATCGGAGTAGATGTAGAAAGTGTTGTTACTCCTATGATCCCGATGGAAAGCCTGGACAAAACCATTTCTATAGTTTATGGTAATTGCATTGAGAGCTTTACGACTCGCAAACAGCGCCCATGTTACGTCCCTCATCACTTCATACAGCTGTTAAGGAAAAAAAAAAACCAAAGAAAAAGAAGAGTCAATACAACATTTCCAAATGATCGAAAGATAAATTCTATTTTCAGATTTGGTAGCACTTTAAGAACATCATAGACACAACAACCTCCACTTGTTCTGCTTGATTGGTTGGCTTGCTGTACCGTCTGATCACATACTCTGATAGCTTAACCTGGGCTGCAGTTATTTCAGCTGTGGAATTCAAAACGTTCCACATTCTTAATATCGGGCGTTGCAGAAGTTCATATCGAAGGCCAGAAGCTAAGGTATCTAATGACTTCTTTGTATAGCTTCTTGTGAAATGCCATGTTAGTATTGTTAGCAGACCGATCAAAATTGCGAGCATAACCTGCAAGAGCCATTATCAGAAATTAATGTACTCATTGACTACAACAGCAGTTTCTGCATAAAAAAACTACTTCTCCAATTGCCAGGTCAAATTTACTTTCCAGTTCTTAAGCCAGCTAGGGTAGGATTTGAACCTGATCAGTCATTACTTTCCCTATCTGGACGAAACAACCTTGGCTAATCAATTCCATTTCTTTCAGTGTTTTTGTGCCTAATGTTACTTTCATCATCAACCATAGAATAGTTAACACATCATACACATTTCTGTCAATAAACTTGATTGATTTTTTCATAATTCTGTTATGAAAGTTGCACAGAACACAGCCGTACAAAGAGGGAGAATAGACCAACCATGATAGCCAGGCGAACTACAAAAACACTGTAGTAAGAGGAGAGGCAGTGAGTGTTTCCGTACTGGAACTCTTCTCGTTCAACATCTCTGTGAAAAATTCTTCTACCATAAGGAGCTGTATTCCTTCTGCAAGAACTGGCAAAACCCAGAATTCTGTCACACACTTTCCTCAGAGGAGTTGCCATTACTGGTGTGTCAGTGCCTACAGTCGGTGAACATTCATTAGAACTAGTAGTACTAGAGTAGTTTCTATGATCTCCTTCCTCTGCCATTCCTGAATGAACATAAAGTACAATACATTAGCAAGATTTTATGCTTTGTTTTTGCATGAGACAAGACAGAGAGAGAGAAAGAGAGAGAGAGAGTATGTGTCTATGTGATTTATTGGGTGTTGCTGTGTTTAATATGCTGGTTCTTGTGTCATTCCCCACCTTTCGAAGGCAAGGCACATTTTCTTGGAATTTTCCTAAAGTGGGTTTTTATTCCTCTTCCACAACAACGCTGCCACCTATCTCAATTCTTTTCACTCATTTGGTTTGGGAATTCAAGCTTGGATAGGGAAAAAAAAAATGTAGAAACTTTTTGACAGAAGGGGCAAAGCAAGTCTTGTTTCTCCTAGGGAAAATTCCTTGACCAATTGCTATAAGAGGTGGGTCAACTTGGACCTACAACTTTTTGTTCCATTTATATAGCCTATAAAAACGCCAAACCACTTTATATCTTGTTTTTGAGGTAGAAAATAATGCCTCAAATTATGGGTACAGTTTGAAGTTGAAGAACAATACCAGCAGTAAGCCAGTAAAAAGGTGTTACATAGTCAGAGAAGTGCTAAGATCACTTTCTCTATAACTCTCTTTTTAAACACTTATTTAATAAAAATATTTACGTCAAATAATAATAAACGAAAAAGATAATTATTATCCCATATTTTTTAAAAAAATTTAAATTATAACTAATCTCATATTCTTATTTATTTACTTACTTTTAAGTTTACATGAAAAGATTTGATTTGGATGCATTTATTGAGCGTATATAAAGAACAGTATTAAAAAAAGTATTGCTAACACCCCTCTACGTAAATTATAAATACGAGTTTGGGATTATTTTTCTTTGCAAATCCCAGCATTTCGGTTGTCAGACCTACTATTGTAATCAGTCGTGTTAGGTTGGTTTTTCAGGTAAATTTATTAGTATTTATCTCTCATCTCAACCGTTTATTTTTAACTTAAAAATCTTGACCTTTTGTTCATCGTACTAACAAAACAACAAAAACAAATAGAGAGTTCACTATCCATGGCGAATCATATTTACTGTAGATTGTGACTCATTAATGCTATTCTCTTATCATTTGCTTCATCTCAGCCATTTCTGTCTTTTTTTTTACATCTCGCGTGTCTTGTCCTTTATCATTGGATTTTGCCAAGATTTGTCGACCAATGTTAAATATCTTTCCTATTTTTTCACTTGCAGTTTAGTTGTAAGAAGTTTTCAATTTCTTGCCCTTCTATTTTGTTCCTAATTACAAAAAAAAAAAAAAAAAAACCCAAAGGAGTTGTACCTATTGATGTAATTAGTCATGTTAGGTTGATTTTTTTTAGGTAAATGTGTTGTATTTTCGTCACTTCTCAACCATTTATTTTTAACCTAGAAATCATAGCCTTCTGTTCAATGTATATAATGAAAAAGTTCTTGAAAATGAGGAGATGGGAGCATGCACAGGTAGGAGAGATATGAGGGGTGGATGAAGATCAATTAACATGAAGTTTCTTACCTTATAGGAACTTCAAATTTTAAAAATTTTTCTTTTTTTTTTTTTTATATAATTTCCTCCCGAAGAACAAATCTCATGAAAATAAAAACCCTTATTTCTTAAAAGAAGGAGCAATCCAATACGACTTTTTTCAGATTTTTTTTTTTTTGATCTGTTAGTTTTGATATGATCGATTTAGAGATAGTTATTGTCAATTATTGTTGTTAATGATCAATTTTCTTTTTTTCTTTTTTTTTTTTTTTTGCATACTAATGGAAAAGAAAAAAAAGATCCTATCAAATTAGATCTTGAACGAATTGAAAGATTTACAAAAAGATATATCCTTTTTTTTTTGGCTTTATTTGACTTTTATATTTCGATAGTTTTTTTTTTTAGCATTTTGGTTGATCTAATCTCTTTGTTATTGGTTTTTTATTTTATTTTCTATTTTTTGGTGGGATTTGTGATAATTTTGTTAATGATCTAATTGAAGCGGTTGATTTAGATCGATGATCTTATTTATTAAAAGTAATTTTTTTTATTAATGGGAAACACAAATAATGATGAATTTTTGGTTGATTTTTAAAAAATTATAGCTGTTGCGATTGTATTTATTCTAAAGGCATTAATTGTTTCAATTCAAGTTTTGGTTGCTTGCAATTAGATAATCTTTATTTTTATATACTTAACTCATTGTTGGACATAGACCGTTGATTATTTTAATTTAAAGACTTGCTGCTATTTCTCTACACCCGTTGACGTTGTGGACTTACTGTTTATTTTGACTTGCTTGGGCTTATTTGTAATTAGCCGTTTTAGTCTGGTTTTTTAGATAAATGTATTTGTATTTTTCATTAGTGGTTTTTCTTCTTCATTCATCCTTTGAAAACCAGGTTTAAATAAATAAAACTGTCTCGTTGAAGGACATGTAAAAGAATCGGATACGAGATGAAAAAAATGTGTCTTTTTTTTTTTTTTTTTTCGCTATTCGACTGCTGTCTTTATGTTAATAATGGTTGTTGTTTTCGATTTTTTCATAATAGATATGTGAGTGTTACGATGATATATATATATATATATATATATTTCTTTTTCTTTTTCTTTTTTGTTAAAAATGTTGGCATGATGTGAATTTTGATTAATGTTTTGTTCTTATTGTTCCAATTAATGTGCATTTTGGTATTTTTTGCTTCAGCTTTCTTGAGAATTTAAATTGTCTCTGGTCATTTTTCAAAAATATTTGACTGGCTCTTACCCACTCAATATTGCTCTCTAGCACAACATGAAATTAAAAAAAAAAAAAAAAAAAAAGTCTCCTTATACACTTTCAGGCCAACAAAACAAATGAATATGACAAGAATCATTAGCTATTTCTGCCAACAAGAATTATTATTTTGCAAAATCATAACTAATTAACTGAAATTAAAAATGCTCGTATTCAATTGATCGAATCGAAAATGATTTATAAAAATATAGAGTACGAATAGTGAATTTAGCCAAAAATATTTGGCAAAACAAAAGAAATGGCATGCTCGTATTTAAATTAGCCCAACAAGCTTCTCATATGGAAAAAATTAAATTTCGAGAGAGCGAAGGAAATGACATCCTCGTACTACACACCGTTGCTTATGGAATTGCCCAATTGTGGGAGACCTTGGATTCAAGATTGAGTGGAGTGGAGTAGACTGACCACTGTCTACTGAGGTGCCTAAATTCATAATTGCAGGCACCAAAAAAGAAAAAATAAACACCAAAATTCAAAAGTGCTCTTTTCGTTTGCTATGATGTATTCCTCATATGGTCAGTTGAAATGATGTAGATTTGAGACTGGACACAATTTTGCTGGAGTTCAAGACCGAACCTAAACAAAGGAGCAGCAGTGGACGATAAAAAGAAGATAAAGATAGCCAATGATTCCAAAATACAGGACATTAAAGAATAGAATCACCAAGCAGTGACAATTGCTGCTAGTTCAAGCTAAAATGTCAAATGGGGGTAGAATAAAGTTTTTACGAGACAGAACATTGAAAATATAATTGATCATTTTTCAAATGGAAACGACAAAATTTAATCTTTTTAAAAGATTCGAATCCTTTACATTGTCAGAAAATTCATTAAGGATTAGATCGCTTACTGTTAAATCAATAACTTGTTGGTAAACTATTGCAAATCTTTAAGTACTTTGTTAATTGACTCTCATGGTAGTTTTTGGTCCATGAGAGAGGACACTACAATTTAACTTGTGTTGACTACGACCCTTCTTCTACTGGATGCATATTATAGGATTGCACGAAGTCGGCAAAGCTTTTTATTTGATCAAAAATCAGTTCATTAAAGTTGAACTAACCAGGGATTAGGGGATCTAATTGAATCATTAAAGCCCAAAATATCATATCAAAAGAACTTAAAAAAGGGGTGAAAAGATAAGTTGGTGATAACTTTGTTTTTGGCTCAAGTTGGGTTAGCTGATATCAATCCATTATGAATAAAGACTAATGTAGAGGACGGCTATAAATAATTAATTAACGTGGAAAGCAGGGGAGTGCGCTGTGTCTGTGGCTTGACTTGGCTTTGCTTCATCCTCTAGAACACAACTTTTGTGACTCCAATTCACTAATCCACCATTATTGAAGAGTGAACCTACGATAGATTATGACCTGTCTTTCAACAACCACAATACTAGAAGATGTGCATGAGGTCATAGTTTAACCCTAAAGCAAACAATCACTAGTGTCCACAAATATCAGCAGCACACTATCATGTTCTAATTGCCCATCTAGAAAGATATTACAGTAAGTCAATACCAATTAAGGTATATCATCATATGTTTTCTTTATTTTGAGTTTCTATATAAAGAACTAGCTAGTGGCACATTTCTTTCCCTTGAAGCTCAATTTTCATTGTTATCTTTTTGGACTATAGTTCTTAGTCTTTTAAGGCACGCACACCTTCATCTTTTTACACTACCCCTAATGCAGCTAGCTAAGCTAAAGGTTGGCGCATCCTGATCATGGTTTCAGGATTTAGTTTGTCAATGCTATTGATTAGAAAGAAGAAACGAAGGAACAGGATCTTTGAGAAAGAAAGTTTTCGTGAATACACTAATTTGAATGTGAATAACATTCTTAAGATAGGACTGATGGGAGATGAGTCTCAATAAGTAAAGATTGATCAAGGATGTGTTAACCTATAAAACTAAATCCAAAAAAAAGAAAAAAAAAAAAAAAGAAGGAGAGTGATGTTAAACTTGTGGATTTCACAAGTTTTGCTGCATGCTTGGTGGACTTGTGGGTCGAGAAATTTTATAATATTCAACGAGTAACTAATAAATATATACGAGTAATTACTTCATAGAGAGAGATGGAAAAAAAAAGAGAGAGAATCAAAAGAGAGAAAATAAAAAAAAATTAAACAAACTTGAAATTTTTTTATTACTTTTAATGAATCCGGATATAATTTTTTCTGTTTTTATGTATGTATCTCTCTTTATGGAGTAATTACTGTATATGTCACTAGTTATTCCTGAGTATTATAAAATTTCTCCCGAAGATTAATGAAAGCTCAAATGGAATTCCACTCATACTAGTTTGGAAATTTCTTTTTTTTTTTTTTTCTCTGCAGATTGAAACATGTGATTTCTTTTACAGAATGAAATATGGTCAAGTAGGATATTAAAAAAGAATAAAACAACTTATAATTAAGGATTGCACGTATCTGAGTTACTCCTATATTCATCATCACCTTAAAAAAATGCAAGTTGAGTAAAAATAAGAGAAGTCTTTATCAGGATCAGACACAGAATCAAACTGGATATACAGTAAAAAAGAAGGCCATAGCCCATAATATATATATATACCATTTGATAATTCATTGGCTACCACACTAAAGGCCAGGTCAGTTATGTGGTCATTGGGAGGTAGTGGTGGCAATTTAAAGAATGGAACACCACAATCACATCCATACCTTCCACGACATTGCTCCATAAGAAAATATATCAGGAATAGTACAGGTAATGGACAAATATGCAAGTGATGTATCTCAAAATATGGGCTACAGATGGCAATCTTCCAGAGCCGTTACGATCCACCACCATTCAATGTGGTTTATTTGCTAATTGCTATACCAAATTTGTTGTTATCTCATTGGCAATCCAAGATATGGGGTTCGAGATTTTGTGACCCACTATTCAATTAGTGGCTAGTACACAAAATGCAGAAATGGGTAGGTGGATGCTGATGCCTACGCCAATCCCATAAAGACGCCGAGACCTCAAGGCCATTTAAGCACAAGGCATGTTTAGTGTGTGTCTATCACACGAACACGTATATTTGTGTGAAATTTGCCCTCCAGGAACTTGAAGGACTAGCTGTGTGCGAGAGAGAGTGGTTTGATGCTGATACAAGCATCAGAATAAAGTAAAATGCATAAAGTTGTATTTATTTATTTGTATCTTTTCTGGTCTTGAAGCAAAAGTCATTTTCTGAATACTATGATTACTTATTCAAAGATGCATTAAAAAAATGGCATTCCATGCATTACCAAACACCTAGATTTTACAGCTTGGCTGCATGCATAGAAAAATATCCTCGGAAGAAAATGATGTTTAACTAATTCTACTGGCATGCACTTGAAAAGTTGATGTTATCAGGCCAGGCAGTCATCTTAAATGATTGTGAAAGGGAGCTTAACAGAATCATAACCCAGTATGTGGCTAAAAATTCTCAAATCTGCCAATGAAATTGCCATTCAAAAAGGTTATAGATTCCTACCTTCAAAATGTCGTACGCAAGCCAACCTGAAGGAGCATTTCCAGGGTAACTTCAGAAGACAGCTGGGAACCCAATCTGGAAAGCAGCAACCTTAGAAAAGTTGGTGCTGCAGATTCAAGTTTAGTACTTTACATCATCTTTGCTATGAGCTGCTACAGAAATTATATAAATTTAATAAAAAAAATTTCAGCTACAATAAAAAATTTCTACTTATTATCTACAGCAAAAAAAAAAAAAAAAAAGAGGAGCTTAATATCCAATTTTAACTTTAAGTAAAGATGAAGACAGGAACATCCCAGTTACTTGGATTTTTTTCCCTTTATCTCAGCAGCAGCAGCTTTAGCAGCGGACTTGGCCAGTGAACTGGGTTTCAGTACACTTTTTGGGTTAAATGCCTTTCGGATTTTGAATGCGGCCCATGCAGTCCCAATTGCATGCCCTGCAGCACCAAGCCCTTCATTTGTAGCTTCAGCTGCTTCTTCACCATACCTGCAAAATAAACATCCAACAACTTCACACTGCAATTTATTTATTTATTTTTCTTTGCACAACAGTTACACAAAGCATAATTTTATGATTCGTTTGCTTCATCTCCAAATAATGCTGCGAACTGCTGACAAGTTACAGGTTACAGGCCAAATTTATACTCCAGTGATGTCCGATTAACAGAAGTTACAAAAAGATAAAATGATTCTTGATATTCACACTGCAATCTACATTTAGATACGACTCTGAATTTTTGCTATTTGTCCTTTCATTAATAGACAATTAGACTCAGGTTAGTTTGAAGAAACACCACCATTAGGAACATCGTAGGTAATTGCCATCATAATATTAAATGCCCTTCCTTAAGATTTTTGTTAATGCATCAAGGATCTGGACTGAATTCCATCAATTAGTGGCAGCCAGGTGAACAAAGTCAAGACCAAGGCTACTATTTCTTTTTTGATGCAAATTTTACCTGTGGGAGACAAGTTCAGTTGTCACAGTGGATGATGTTGACATCACATTTCGTCCAGCTACTTCAAGAGCATCACACACCTTGTCTGTTATATAAAAATGGAAAATACAATGAAGTAAAGACGGAGATAATGCAGATGTTGAAATTACCAATAAAAGTTCACTCTAGAAAGATCACAAACAAAAACATATATATCTGATCTGCAAAAGTTTAATGCTGAACAAACTTATTGCCTAAAAGACAGACACAGTTAATGAAAATTATTTCTTTGTTTTTTGTTTTTGATAAATAGGAAAATAGAAATGTCAAATTCAGTGTTTAAATAATGAAGGAATACGAAATGAGCTCCCATGATATTCAGGTGAAGGGGAGAAAACACAGCATAAAGGCAGGGATTAACAACGAACTGATGGCAGTCTCTACTGACAGACAGTCAAGGCATTTGAGATAATCTCCAGCCATCATAAAGTTTAATAGAGAAGAACAGAATCTAATCCAACACCACATCCAAAAATTCACCCCTTTCTTGGGTCCAATTCCCAATCATGAACTTCCAACCTTTGTGACCTCCCAACCATGCATCTATACAATGGAGTAAATTATAAATTAATCCCTCTATTTTTGAGAAACAAATTAATCAGCTCCTCTTATTTCAAAAATTTTATTGACCAGTGTTGACCACGTTTAATTTAATATTACTTTATTTTAAAAAATGTTATATTTTCTCATCGACCCTTCCATATTTTTTACTTATTTATTTCTTTTTTCTATTTCTTAAAATAAAAAATCAAAATAAATTGAAAAAGAACAAAAAGATTAAGTTACAAGAGAATTTAGAAACAGAGGGACTAATCAATTGGTTTCCCAAAACTAGAGGGACTAATTTATAATTTACTCCATTCAATGTTGTTAACTGTCTAGTAAATGGGGAGTTTCAGTGTCGACCTTAGAAACATGCAACTTTGTGTTGAAACAGAAAGTTAATGGCCAGCAACAAAGAGCACAATTCAAAATTGTACCATAGGCCTGAAATCTAGCTAGCCAGCAGAAAAAACAAAATATGAAGCCTGTTGCAATTGAAATAGGAGAATGTGTATGCAGTAGAATAGCCATCACAATGAATATAACATCCAACTGCCGCCTAAAATCTGTCCCCTGTTCATTTTGAGTATAAACCTTAAGGAGGAGAACACTAATGAACTGATCTGTTAAGATTAAAGCAGAATTTGGCCATAATCACTGAGTTTTTGTCCACATCTACCTGAAACATTTATCTAGAAGGCTGATCTGATGGGTGAAAACTAATTGAATATGGAATTAGTTTCACATCAGTGTAATGATCTCCGTGAATAAAATTTACCCCAGAAATACTTCTATGCAGAAGGTTCAGTGTATTATTCCTTTCTTTTTCTTTCAAATGTTTACTAACATTCCTAGAGAAATACGAGACAAGAGACTCTTGACAATATGACAAGTAATGGCAACAAGAAGAGGAAAAACCACAGAAATTTAGCAGAAAAAAGGAACATTGATATAAAAAACACGTGCAGCGATCCATATCTCACAGAAATTTCAAACTTTTAACTATTAAGCTGCAGTACGGAGTTAAAAAAAGTGCATTCAGCGATAGTATTATCCAATAAACATTCAAAATTAAGGGGTTCAAGATGATAGACATACTAAATCCATCCAGGGATGCAAGGACAATTTCCCCTGGCAGAAGGCCAAAGAATTTCTTGCCAAGTTTTGAGTTTGCAACAGAACCTGTGAAAAATCCAGTTACTTTCACCACCCCACAGAGAAGTCCATTTGCTACTTTGTCAGTCATTTTCGTCATCCTCTTAACCCTGCATACATTTTCAAGCTAAAGTATCATCGAAGCGTTTGTTTTGATTTAAGTCAATACCAATCACAAGGATTGAAGAAACCCACGTTTCTTTGCTATAATCATGTTACATGTGACAGTATACACGAGTTTAACATCCATTGCTTTCTAGTCTAGAATATGATGATTTAGACTATAATCTGAAGACCACACAATAACAAAGAAAATCAGGCAAAAATCAGGGTAAAAACAGTAACCAAAACAGAAATGCAGATAAACCATCATCAAATTATCATCACCGGACCTTTTGATCCTCTTCAAAGTATCAGGACTAATCTCCGATTTCTCCTTCGGGTCCATCCTCTTCTTCATAACCTCATTCCCCCACTTCAACCTATCCATAGTCACATCTCCACACCACAAAATCCCCTTAATCAACTGCCCTGACCCTGCCGCAATCAACTTACCAGCAGTCCCACTATAATCCTCCACATTAGGAGCCAATGTAGTCCAATACGCAGCACATTTCCCCTCCAAAATCTCCTTCTTTTTCCCTCCTAACTTCAAATCCATTGGCGAAATATCCTTCGCCGCCTTCTCATCCAACAATTCCTTCGCATTGTCGGATATTTTCTGCACCGAAAAACAACTATAACTCCCCAAAAGCTCATCAAACTCCAACAACAGCCTTTCTTGCCCTTTCGAGGCAAATGTCAATCCATAATTCAATATATTATCCCCATCACCACCCCTTTTCTCCCTCTTATCATCCTCCTCATCGCTCGAATCCGATAGGCAACTCTCCTTAGGCAACCTAAGGGAGAAAAAATAATGGGAATCACCAAGCTTAACAGCAGCCTCATCCTTAGCCAATGGCCACTGGATTTCATCAGCAACTCGGGCTAGAACAGCCACAACATTATTTCCTTGAATAAGCCTAATGATGTAGAGATCTCCGGCAGCAAGCTCTATACTATAGTTTTTATCAATTAGATTAACAATAGCACCTGGGATTTTTACCAAAACTTGCTCAATAACCTCTGGTGGGGCGGAGGGTAGCGCGTGAGTGTGTAATTGCGCGCGTGTATATTGTTGTTGTGAATGTTCATGTTCAGGAAAAAGGTTTTCGACGAGGTCTTCTGGAACAATTTTGGGGTAGAGATTTGAGCATGAGGTAGAAGAGAAGGAGGTGAATAAAGGCTCAGGATCTGATTGGATTACTTGTGGGTAGAGGGATGATTTTTTGTCAGGGTTTTGAGTTGCCATTTTTGAGAGATGAGCGAGAGGGTAAGTTGATTCCTTGCTTTGTGAAAATGGAGGTTAAGGGAAGTTGAGGGCGAGAAAGGGGGCGCGTAGAGTGAAGTGAGTGTTTTGCGTGTGGGGGAGTAGCTATGCACAGAAGTAGTTAAACTGTCTTGGTTCCCGCGCTAACACCGGTAAATTGTTTGAGTAAATTATAAATTACCCCTTCTAGTTTAGAGAAATGAATTAATTAGTCCCTATTATTTTTAAAAAATAATAATTTAATCACCATATTTTAAAATATACTTATAATTTATTTTTTTCACTCTTTTTTTAATTTATTTTGATTTTTTAAAAAAAATAAAAAATAAATGAAAAGGTTGATGAGAAAATAAAAGACTTTATGAAATAAAAATAATATTAAATTAAACATGTTTAACAATGATTAAAAAATTAAATAATATTTTTTAAAAACAAAATAGAATAACTAATTTGTTTCTTGAAACTAAAGGGATTAATTTATAATTTACTCATTGTTTTTTATTCTTTCCCTTTTTTGTTGCAAGGAAATTGGAAATTTGAAGAGTCAAAATCGGTTGCCAAGTGGTAAAGAAATCTCTTTTGGATTGATTTATGGTGTGGATTTGATATAGGTAAGAGTGGTTGAAAGGAAATCTATTTTTCATTTAATAGATGGGTGAATAGATGGAGTAATGTATGGAGAAATTGAATATTTTAATGAGTGTATTGGTAGAGTAATTATGATTATGGTGTGGATTTGATATATATATATATATATATATATATATGTAAGAATAATTTGTAGTTAGGGCATCCTAAAGTAATAGCTGAGTATATTTATTAAAATTTTATTTATTGTTGAATTGTGTTAAAAAAAAAATGAATACAAATCAAATATTTCAATTAAAAATTAATGATATTTGTTAAAAAAAAAAATTTAATAATTGATATTTTATATACTAAAGTGATTACAATTAATGCAAAAAAAAAAAAAACTGTAATTTATTATAAGCATTAATAACTCTTAATAAGTACTCTAAATGCTTCTTTTAGAAAATAAAAAATAAAAATCTACTTAGTACTTCATTATATGGAAAGTTTTGTAAATCATTGGAAAAGAATCTTATTACAATTAGTGAAGCAATGATAATTATAAAATATATTAATTAATAAATCAACAATCACAAGTTATTATATAATTAAGTAATAAAGTCTTATTTTCTTTTTCTTAAAGATATTATCCTTTTTTATTTATATATGTCCAAAAATATTTGCTTGGCCAAAATTTTTAATATTATATTTTTAAAATATTCTTAATTGATAAAGAAAATCAATTATCTCTTACGTTTTCCTCTTTAAACTAAAAAATATATTTAAAAAAACATTAGTAGAAAATGTTGATATGATATTATAATTAATAAGTTTTTTAAAAGTATGTGAAAAGTTAGAGAGACCTATCACTTTAGGATTGAGGGAGTAGTAAAAAAATCAAGTATCCTAACATTACTCAAGTAATTATATATTTTATAAATATTATTTATTTTACAATTATATATCGAAGAGATCTTCTTTTTTTTTTCAAAATAAAAATTTAAAATATCTTTCAAAATTGATTATTGAATATTACTATTTTTTTCACACTTATTGTTGAAGAGATATTTTTATATTTTTATTCAAATCGAAATTTAAAATATTTTTCTAAATTGAACTAATCAAATGCAAAGTATCAATTTATTTTTTAAAAAAAAACAATAACAGAACTCTAATTAACTTCTAAGAAACTCATTGAAGATGTAATTGACATCTCAGGATTGTTAAATGTTAAAATTTAGATGTTAATGATTAGCAATAATACTTTATAAATTATTGTTTATATCCTTATAGATTACATTGATTTTATCCATAATAATATTTGAAAATTGTCTTCACTTAAAAAACATGTCTTCAATTTAGGTTAAAAAATTTTTATACTAATTTCCTTTTTTTAATCTTAATTTCTCTTTTTTATTTTTTAAAATTATCTTAATTAGATCGTTATTTGAACAAAATTCATGATTACACACATGCGCATGAGCAAACATACACATCTTAACATACTCAATTCCCTCTTGTAACACAAATGCATCTCTTTATACTATAATAAATCATACTCGCATCCAAGACCCAATCTCAAAAACAAATCAGATCTAACAAATAGAGAAATGGTAGTTTAAAGATTCACAGCCAATTCGTGATTTATCAGGTGAGAACGATAGTGATGATGGAGTTTCAATGTGGTTTCTGTGTCTATTATGATAGTAGTAGGCAACAACAATGTTGTTTTTCATGGAGAATTTGGAAAATTGAATTACCATATTAAGATTTTAGGCACAGAAATTGAAGCTTTCATATGAGTCTGTGAAATTTGTCATGATTGAAAGTTTTCAGATTAGGGGCTATTGTTCTTTTTTTTTCCCCATCATATATGGGCTTTGGCATTAGTTGATGGCTTTAAGCAATTGAATTTTCTTTAAAATATATCGGATGGTAACATGGTATATCAATGCTTAATTTAAGAACTTTAAACCCTTGAATTTAAAAAATAACACATGATAGATTATAAATAATACGAGAAGAACAGCGGATTTTCCATTTTAACCATTCCAACTGTTTGAATTTTTCACAAATTTCTAGTGTATGACAATGTTTCAGATTGTGATGACAAAATTCACAAGCCATATACAAATTCGTCAAGAGAGAAATTTCCAATTGATCAAAGAGAACATTGGTGCTTTATTTGTTTCCAAAAAAAAAAAAAAAGGAGAGGACAATTTTCATTTACTGAAAGTAGGAATTATTATTAAAAAAAAAAAACTAAAAGAAATAGAATGTTTACTATTCGGTCATGATTCACCCACACTCATGTGCATTTTTCACGTGGCATTGTTGTGATTTTTTCTTGACATTGTTGTAATTTTTTTCTTTATATATGTATTTATGATGACATTATTGTGTTTTTTAGCCTTTGTTCAAGCATTTCATATAAAGTTTTAACAAATATTGCACTTTGATCACTGATTTTTTCTTAAATTTTTGTTTTGGTTCCCAATTTCATTTATATCATGGTTTTGTCTTTAGATAGAGAGGAGAGAGAGAGAGAGAGATGTAACGATAAAACCCATTCGGATCACTTTGATTATTTATTTTGGTTTCGATTTGTTGATCTTGAAAATAAGAGTTTGTTTGTAGTGATACAAGTCATCAAATGGTCGAAGAAAGGCGATCAATACCTCAAAATATTCGCTTGAGTTTTTGAATTTGATTTGGATTTTTGAGTTTTTGAATGATAATTAAAATCAAGAAATGTGAGAGAGAGAGAGAGAGTTGATTGATATACGTGTGAAGCTTATGCACGGGAACCAAACATATATGACTTCGAAACAAAAATATACGTTAAAAAAGAAAAAAATAGAATTCACGTGTTTTATTTACTTTTATATATATATATATGATAAAAACATATTAAAATCAGTTTTATAAGTTTTTTTAATTGAAAATTGACTATAAATACACACTAAAATATTTAATATTTTCTATTTTACATTTTTTTAATACTTTCGAATCAATTTCCCTCAAATAAACGAATTAAAATTATGTTTAAAAAAAGCACTCGATAGTAACATACCTTTCAAATAGATTTTTTTTATACCAATAGTATTGATTACTAAAAATAAATAATTTATATACATAAAAATGATATACATACTTTCATTAAGGATAAAACTTTATTTTCATTATTTTAATATTTATGTAATTTTTTACATTAATTGCTGCTGTATTTTTTTTTAATGCAATCTCATGAAAAAATTAATTCAATTTACACACACACATATATATATATATTTGGATTTTTTGTTTTAGTTGAAAGTTAAATTATTAAAATTTTTTATTTAAGTACCCATGCATAAAAGAAAAAAAATTTATATTTCTTTTAAGAATAAAAAAAATATATAAATTAATTAAGTATATAATTTTGATTTAAAAAAATCATAAAAATAGGTTATTTTTTTATTTAAATATATTTTAGTAGATCTATAGCATGACGAAGACCATAAAATTATAATATTTTTTTTAAAATAATTTTATATATTCCATTCTATTCCCAGTGCAACAATGTCAATCAGTTAATTATAGTTATTTCTATAATCAGGTAGTTATAGTTATTTCTATAGGACCAAGCTCAACAAGAAAGTTAAGACATCAACAAGGCCAAGCAGGACTAGTATGGAATCAATCAATCAATGGGTTGGGATCCCATATGAAGGCTCAGCTTACTAAACATGTCAACAAAAGGCTTCAGCTTGGGAGAATTGGGCTCATAATACAAAGGCCACCAAAATAAGAAAGTTATTAACCCTACATCTCATACTCAGATTATAAGAATTAGAGTTAATTAATTAATAGCTGGTAGTAAGAAACCTTAACATAGTCCCTAATCTACTCATTCTCAATTACGTCCGAAATCTAGAATTTTTTTTCAATTTGATTCTAAACATTTCCCACATTTTTCAAACGAATCCTTTCATCAATTTTTTTGTCAATTTTTCCATCAAATATTCATATTTAATGCAATAAAATTGCGTCATTTGAAGAATTTTGATGGAAAAGTTAAAAAACGTTAACAATAGGATCTGAACAAGAGTTTTCTGAAACTCTATGGACCTGGTTGATGAAATTTATAGGTTTGGGATGTAATTGACAATGGATATATAGGTTAGGGACTAAATTGAGGTTTTTCCAAAATATAATGGCTTAAATTAAGATCATAATCGATATGTTCTAATTAACATAAGAGGACGAAACTTTCCACAAAAACGTAGAATCCTGCAACACTTGAATTACAAGCGAATCAAAATCTTGAAAAATCATAGAACAGTGAAGTCCATGAGGAGAGAAATTCTCATTGAAAAAGATCAATTACCTCATTTATTATGAAATACAGGTTAAGAAGTTTGAAAAAAATTCTATATGAATAAATTTCAAAATTTCAGCAAGAAAGTGCGAATTTCCATGGGACCAAGTTCAACAATGAGAGTTGAACTATCAACAGGACCACCTCTAACTGGTGAAGGCCGCACTTCATTGTCTCCCTCAACCTTCCATGTCATCTTCTTCATCTCTGATTTCTCTTGGTTAGATGACAAGCTCATTTCCTTCAGTTCCTTAACCTGACAGTTGAAACACCGATTGGCACCAAACATGAATGAAAACAAACCACATTGCGGTGAAACATTAGCAAGGCAAATAGAAATATCCTTACTGTTTTTCCACTGAACATCTTCTTCAGTTCAACTTTAGCCAGCGTTGAATAAGTAGCATCTTCTCCAGCCTGACCTCAATTGCAGCAATGAAGAAGTTTCGATCAGAATTATTTGCCGAGTGACTTAAAAAAGCATTCAGTCAAGTTAACCAGGAAAAATTAATATATATATATATCATCAAGCAGGCTTGGTTCAAAGTTTCGCATCTATGCCTGACTTTTTTTGCGAGATTCAACATTCAACAACCGGAAACATTCATGGATTGGAAGTGGAGTACAAAGAGCAAGAGTCTTATTACCTCGTATAAATGTGCCAGACGAAGAAGTACACTTGCATCATCCAGCTCCTGCAAGAAAATGATCAGTGAGAAAGAAAGACTCTTGAGCACTAGAATTATTATTATACAAAAGGTTGTTACCCTCACCTGAAGAGTTATCAAAGCAACATTTAGTGGCAAGCTGTAGCCGGGATCCATGGCAGTTCCTGTGGTCAAATGAGATGCTTTCCAAGTCTCTTCCTTCTGAATAATCAATCATTTGAAAAATTAAGATCTAAAAAAAAATTCATCCTTATGGTTAATAAAATGAAGGCATACCTCTTGTGTGAAAGCTGCAAGAAGCGGTGAGTAAATCTCTTGGCCAGTTGTTCGGCGCCAGACTGCTCCAGCCCCTACCTGGTTGATGCTCAAGTAATAATTTCCTCGAATCTGAAAAAGAATGTCGATTGATTGTAAGGAAAATGACCAGATGATGCATTTATATCTCCAAGGTGGTTATCCATGGCCCTTTCTTTCATCCAAGAAAGTCGAGAAACTTAGAACAGGCATTTTCTCGTAGCTGTCAGTTTCAACATCGCAGACCATGTACTTGTCAAACGAACAACTATGAAATTGTGGTCAGAATGAGAACGAGAAGAGTTCATCTAGGACTTGTAAAATATAAAGTTGCTATTGCATAGAGCATTGTACCGTTAGTCCTTCACATTCATCTCCAATGCAAACACTTTCATCAAGGGGTTCACCAACTCCTCTGGAATCATCACGGAGAGTCCGCCTTGTGTATCAGAACAAAGAGCAATTAGTTTAGTATGTCTGCAGATAAAAAGCATAGCAATTCTTGAATATTGAAGAACATAATAAAGTAACTATTTCAACCTATGAAGCATTAGTTCTAGTTGACCATCTTCAATGCTGGCTCCTCCAGTGGCACGATCAACCAGAACTGATAATTCAGATTTCTTATCCATCATAAATATTCCAAGGTTAAGCTGAAAATTCCAAAAGGTATTGATATTATTTAGTCACTGACCCTTTTACGAATGATAAAACATGGGAATCTCTTTCATCAATTTGAAAAAAAAAAAAAAGAACTTGACTAGCAATTTATAAACAGTTGGTAAATACTTGCCAAAAATGATCCTGAATAACTGGATCTTAACAATGTACAATGCCCACAAACAGAATATGTTTTACAAATTTTCACACATGAAAACACTGAATTTTCTTTTGGTAGATGCTAGAAAAAAGAAAATTACTGGATAATAGTTTCCTGCTACAGGTTGATTGACTGAGAGGCTCCAGTCAGCTCTATGGTCTCGAATCTGTGAAAAAATAATGGTAGTTTAGATCAGAGAAAATAATAAGGTTCATTACTAATGGAGGCTTCAATAAGAGAAAGAAAAGGAACAGTTAAGAAAAGAGAACGGAGATTGAGATAGATTTCTGTGAAAAAGATGTTCATAAACTCAATACTAAAGTTCTTTGAGGCAATGCAGATTTTGAATACATAACTTCATATTCCAACCACTCAATGCTTGATGTATGCATGCAATTTATAATTTAGAATCGTGAATTAGATGTGTCTTTGCTAGCTCCTAATGGTGATCAAGTTGAGAATTCTAAACTTAGCATTAATTAATCTGCATGTTCTTCCACTAAGGAAATATGGAGAGGCCTTGACATTGAAGGAGAGAAACCACAGTGAGAGTTACCCGCTTTAGAAAGTCTCTTCCATTGGAATCAGTATAAAACACCTTTTCTGTGGCCATATTTGCTGTCATTCTTGTGATGACCTCTTTTCCAACACCATCTTCAAGGGGAATTGGGCCAATCTTCAGGATTTAAAACTTGTCAGAAATGCTTGGTAGAAATCTAGAGACTCAAAAAGTTTTTAGCTAATAGTTTATAGAAAGTGAGCAGACAAATTGGTGGGCAGAGCATTCTTAGTTCCGAGAGTTAAATGCTCTAGTGAAGAACATGTCACTTTAACAAAAGAATAATAAATTAAAAGCAGTTAGAATTCAGAAAATGCGACTTACAGTGTATTCAACTTCCGCATGCTCTTTGTCTTTGTAAACTCTTGTGACCTGATAAACAAACAAAAACTAAAAATTTCACGGGAAAAAAAGGACCTATTTGTGGAGCAAACATAAACCATAAAAATGCTTTGATGAACGCTATAACGAAGTTCTCATCATATATATGTTCTTGTAGGCAAGTCCCAAGCGCAGAATTTATGGTCAAAAGGATTTGATTCAATATCATAGTTAATATCCCAGTTCAAAGAAAGAAAAAAATTTCTAGGGAAAGCTGTATATAAATGTTGACCTGGTAGATCCAAGAATTAAACCGTTGGTGAACCTCATCAAACAGCGGTCCTCGATGAACCTGCAACGGCACCTGCAAATAAACAAAACAGTTTGTAAATTCAAAAAATCAACTCATAAGGGGCAAGAATTTGAAAAAGAACTTACTGATCTTGCAACAATGTGGGGAGGGGACCCATCAGGCCGGAAAATATATGCACCTGAAGATTGCTGTAAAAAAGACAGCACATCAGCGACCACCGCATCTATTTCGTCTCAGGTATAAAACCCTAATACAGGGATGGAAGTCGCATACCGTGCCATCAGAGCTTGAACCATACCAAAGGTAGCTTTGCTGTATCGGCACATCAACCTAGTAAAAGGTAGCCAACTAATTATATATGATGTGCAGTTTCACTATTGTAGCATCTCTGTGATCTGTATCATAATTTTCATCTCAACTATTTGAGAAATGTCTAGATATAGTAATGTACATTTAAAACTATCCTTTAAATAAGATTAAGGTTCTATATTGTTAAGATGATGTTGCACAACAAAGAGCCAAAACCAAAACTAAACGATATATAAGATATTCTCAAATAGTGTGCATTAGTTTTTTTTTACCCGTTTTATGATTGAACAGAACACATAAAATTATTTTTAAAAAATTATTTTAATTTGATATTCTCAAAGAACAACAAATATGTTTGTAATTGAATATCCATTGCATATGCAGAACTAGTCTATTAGTATTTAAATTCGTAACTTCTTGTTACAAGAAACTACTACTACTAAGCTACAGTCTCTTTGATATGCCGCCTCCATTCATGACGTAGAACAAGAAAAAAATGTCCAACAGAACAACATGCCAAACATTCTAAACCTCCCATGCACAGATAAAACAAGGAAACATTAAAAAGTTTACCCCTGTTTTGGAATTATACATCCGTTTGAGTTGGCCAGTCATCGAAGAAAAGGACATTTTCAAATTTCCAGGTCCAATTTCAATGGTATCATTCTGTGGGCTGTCCGTAACAGAGAGTCCATTTCTTCTTCTCCCTGCATCATTTGGTATCCAGAAATGAAGAAGGGAAACCCACATTAGTTTTAACAAGGGTCTAGAAGGTGAAAATGCTTGCTTACCTATCCCACGAGCACTAGCAATAAAGTAAGTACTCCAACCAAGTGGTGGCACTGACACTTGAAAGTGCAGCCAGTAGCCAGGGACTTGATTGGATGGAAATCCATATGCCTTCAAATAAAAGGTTCTTAAGTTGCTTGTCGTATTATCCATGGCAACATATTGTGTATCAATATGTTTTCCAGAGGAATCAGTAACAGCTAGATTGTGGTCATTAACCTGGCAGACATGGTTAATCCAAGGTTTTAGTGAAACAATGAACTCCATTTATCTGTTCCTAGAAAGATCTAACTTAATTTAGAAAGATTGGAAACTCCAGATTGATACTGAAATTACTGAACAAAGAATGAAAACCCAAAAATGACTTGGCCAGATAATTCTAGCAGAAGGTGCTTAACATCTAAAATAAGAACAAAAGCCATGGTTCAGGACAGGTCAATGCATAACGTAAGGCATATAGATGGACTGGAATACAGGTTTTTCCTGCCTACCAATCATTTATGCTAACACATTGATTTTGATTTCATCTACTTGTTGAATGAAATGAACCCATTTTCTCCTTTACAGTATGAACAAGAAAACAAGATTTTACTTACTGGTATCCTAATAACATCAGTGCGATTCCATCCAAGAGGGTTATACACAACCACGACCTGGAAATAACAAGTTGCAGATAATCAATAGGATCCTGAGTGAAGTATTCGTACAGAAAAAGTAGAAGAAAGTGAGATTACCAATCTCTTTCCGTCTGCAATAGCTTCCTCTGTTGGTGGGCAGTAACTGATATTTAGTAATTGACACTGACCAAAATTAAAAGAGGAAAAAACAGAAAAAAGGGCATCATTAGGCCAGGAGCATTGAGTTGATCATCTATATGGACACATTTGATACAGATTTAAATTCAGAGGTGAAGACGTAAAGGAAATCTTCAAATAAAATAAGTACGCTGCTTCTTTTCAAGGTCTTAGTGCAAAAGTATCTTTTTTATCTGGACAAGAAAGAAAAATTAAGCAAATAACAAAAGGTACCTGGCTAAAATTCAATGCTGGTTTTGCACATTGATCTCTTGATTTATTGCTAACCAAGCATGACATAGCAGAACTCACAGTAGCTTCTGCCTATACAATAAGTTAACTTTGAGGAATAAAACTAAAGATTTCAGCATGGATGAAGAACTAATGATCAAGTCAAGTCCAATTCAGAGGAAATTCTAGCTGCCCACCTCTAAGGCTCCAATAGCAAGGCGTTTTTCATAGTCATTTGTAGTGTGTTGTTTGGCAGTGCCAGAGACACCATCGTGGTGCTGTGCAATGCCTAAAGCATCTCCAAGTCTATATGTGTTGGGACCAGTGGATTTTTTCCCAACCAAGAACTCCAGTTGCCGTGCTGCCTGTTTTAGAAAAGAAAAGAATTCTGTCAGTTGAAAAAAAATCGCAATATTCTACCAACCAAGATGAGAAAATTCAGCTAGAGTAGCCATTATAGAAGTTATCCTTTCTCCACCAGGTACTTCCAGTTCCATCTGGTTCATGCAAAATTAAAAGGAGCAAGCTCTAATGTAAGAACTTTAGAACCAGATTGAAGTTTTTCCTAATATCTTTTCGACACCATAAATCACCAAGACAAAGTGGCTACTGACATACCAGATAATATCCACTCAGCTGACGAACATATCGCTTCAAGGCTGGGCGACTGGTAAAAAAGCCAGTCCAGTAGGCATTATCCCGATCCGCATAACTGACCAGAAACAAGCATCAAGTGTGTGTAACCTGTCAAAACTTTGCTTTACCAACAGAATGAATTATGAATAGAAAAAAAAAAGATTTGCTTACGGGAAATAATCATCAGTTTTCAGTGGCCATGACTCATTTGCTGCATTTTTCACATCAGTGTAGATAGATGGAGTAGAATACAAAGCGTTCACTCGACCATCCTGAAAGATCAATATGCTTAATGGAAGTCAAATTGCATTTAGCATTTAATATCTTCAATTGCATGTACTGGGATTTGAATTAATTAAGATTGGAAAGCCACTGCTCTACATCAGTTTCGTTTCTTAACACAACTGCAAGAAACTTAAGATTTTACAACAGGAGCTTCCTGGTCTTCCTACATCTAGTATAAACCTTATAGCTCATGTCGTTAGCAATCTGATTAATGGACTCACACTCTCTCTTTGTTTAAATTAGTAGCTATACTTATAATTGTCAAGAGGCATTTTCTGAAGTCAAGTGACAGAGTTGCTTTGCACATCTTGTATGATTGTCCAACGTACTATATCTGACAGTGTGGAAAATCAAGTAGATTATACGAAGTAAAGGTGGGTGAGGGGGAGAACATTAGGGATTTGCACCACAACATTGCAGACGGTTGAAAAAAAGGTCACGGTCGTCATCACGGATCGCAGCCTACTATAATACTAAAATAATGGTAACGGCATGCTCCGAAACCATTACATAACAGCCGTTATATAACGTAACGGCCGTTATTTAAAACTATGCCACAACAAATTGTTTATGCAGAGTTTTGGACTATGCCTATGGCAAGCATTATACATCAGCAGTTATTAAATAGGCTTACAATGATGAGATTCAAGATATGTGTTTTCATATTTCATATGAATATTACCTTGTTAACATGGTGAATTAATTTGTCCATCTGCTTGAACCAAGACTCAGCATATTGATACTGGAAATCATCACCCATGGTCCACATAATATGGTTTGTCCTTGTCACATTTGCCTGCATGACAAATGTTATGATTCCATTATAAATGCTCAGCTCAATTAGCAACATGAAGTGCTTAATACCTCTATCATTTGCAGTCACGAGAAACTCATAAATAGAGGGAGAGAGGAGTTCAAATTTTACTTGGGTCATAGCAGCATTTATAAAATCATTAACCCGCTGCTCAACATTGTAGTCATCTAAAAGGGGATTGTCCTGCAATATAACATGCAACAGTCTAGGTGAAAATTCAACAAGAAAGTTGCATGATATTTGGAAATAGTAAGTAAACATTTATATTTTGTAGTTAGAACCTGGACAGGCACAAAGTCGTCAAACACTTCAAAATGAAAACCAGTTGGGGGACTATAATGTACAGGAAAGGCATTGGCAAAAATCTGCAATCAGCCCAAACATGTGAATCGTAAACCCCACAAAACATTGTCAAGAAAGTAATTTATAACAATGGATAAGAACCTGAGAGGAAGAACCAAATGTCTTGGATCCACGCCAAATAACTTCAAGAGATTTATCATCTTTGCGCTTTGCTCTGTCCTGGTAATCAATCCTTGCAAAGTGTACAGAATCGAACCCAAGCTGAAGGGACAAATATAACTAATCAAAATGTGTCCACTGTCAATTGGAACTTGGAAGAATCAACCAGCTTAAGAAAAAAGATATTCAGATGATATCAGTACGTAAACTTTAGTTAATGAAGCTTTTTTTTTTTTTTTTTTTTGTCCTTTTGAGAATGATCATTCTTACAAAGATTCTATACCTCAGTCCCAAGAAGGTAAGCTTGCACTGCAGAATGTCCAAATGGATCAATCTGCCATCCAGCTCGAGGAGTCTTGTTAAACTGCTGCTTTATTGCGTGGTGACCTAGAGTTGTTTGGTCAATCATGTCTATGTAATGGCAAGTTGCTTCATCATGCATACACCAACCACCGTTTCTGCAATTGAACACCTAAATGCTTGTCATTCGCACAAAAGTGTTAAATCTCTCTCACCCTACAAAAGCACACGAATACACAGCACTAGAAATTGTTCTATAATTGCATACACAAATTCCAGTTGGCCAGCATCAACAAGTTTCCTCACTTGCTCTTGAATTTCCTCACTTTGTTCTACCCACCATCGCTGGAAAAAAGCCTACATATCATTCACATTCAGCTTTGTTAGATTATTGTAACAGCATATGCACTGGATAGCTTGAAAATGAAAACAAAAAAAAACAATGGAGGATTTCACATCAAATGCCAAGATACCCTGCTAGTAAGCAGCAGGAGCAGCCAAACAGCCCTGGATTAGTCCAAACACTTGGGTGCTCTACTATGAAGTCAATCAGCTTCCATAGGAGATCCAACTTCCAGTTAGAGAAAAGTGGAAAACAAAAATTGTAAGTTTCTATATGAAGAATGAATCTTGTGATGATCAAGATATAACTTTTCCAAGTCTGTAACACCTGTTTTTTCATTCAAATCTTGAATGGAATTTCAGAATCAGCTAGTATGTCATTATTATCCTGAAGTATAAGACTAATTCATAGAACCTCATTTCCTGTATGGATTGTCAGAAAGTATGCAACTGCATTTATCTTGCACATAGCATATCATACCTCATGCATCAGTTGTTTTTCTGAAGAACAGGCAATTAATTAATTGCAGATTTAACTTATAAATATTTCAGAAACAACCAAAACATGTAAAAGGGAATTCATAAATCTAGTATTATACTAAAAACCAAGCAGAAAAAGGTTTCTTCTTTAAATTACCATTTCAACAAAAACAAATTTTCTATTCGAATCTCGACGCAATGATTCCACCACTGAATCCAACACATTCTCAACACAAGCGCCCTACCAAGGAAAAGTAACAAAGTCAAACATGAAAACCAATCCCTTTAAAATTCTGCTAAAAACCATAAATCAATCATCAGACAAACAGATTAGAACCTGAATACTGTTATTTGATCCAACATAGTATTGATCAACAGTCTTTAACCAACCAACATCATCATGTGAATGTGGAACCAAATGAACATTCAACTTTCCCGGCACAACTCCACCTCCCGTGTTGTACTTCACGTAACCACCATTAACTACTGTACTATGCAAACCAAAAACAACCACAAAAGCAACAAGCACCCAGCCAAAAAACCATGCCAAATTTTTCTCAAGCTTTTCCATTTCAACTCCAAACACTTTCTGAGCCTGAAAGATAGTCTCTTTCTTTTTTGTCAGGGTCCAATGTATCTATCCAAAGTGAAAGTTTTACAAATGGTAAGTTTGTAAGTAATGACAAATTTTTGCCTTGGTTTTGTCCACTCTGGCATTTCCTTGCCGGCCTAGTAGCTGTAAAGAGTTGGTCTTTATAACGAAATGGAAAGGAGAGAGATGGATAGCTTTTTATTGTGGAATCCCTATCGAATTTTTTTTATAATAACGTCTCAATGATGCAATCAGTAGTTTGGTTTTGACTGCAACTTATTTGGATGGGAATTACCGGTGGTGTAATGCGTCTGCTAGTTTATGGCAGGACAACTTTCGTGTAGGACTTGTGAAAAGTCTATGCAGAAAAACTTCTCTCTCTCTCTCTCTCTTTTTTTCCCTTAAAGAAAAAAAAAAAAATCTCTCACGCTAAGAATGAGTTGTGTTAGAGAAAATTTCTTAATATGGCTACTTTGCTTCCAATTTTCCAAAAGAATAATATTCACAAAATAAATAAATCAAGCTTTAAAGTTAATTTTACTCAGTAAAGCATCCTACTAGTGCAACGCAAGTTGTGATATAATAGTAAGATATAAACAATGGCCTAAACAGACAAGGTGAGGACTGAAGCCCTAATTAGTGCCCACTTTTGGGCATTAACATCCATCTTTTTTTATTCCGTAAGTATCCCAAGCCTAAAGGTTTCGATTGCTTGATTGGATACACAAGATAAGTAAATATATCGAAGGAGTTTCTCTTTTTCTTCGTACACAATATTCGAATTTGAAATTATTTAATTAAGATACTAAAGCTTTTGTCATTCAAGTCAACTCTCAGATTTTGTTTAAAACCAACACAAAAACAAGAAAGAGAGACCATAACGCCATGATATATAAAGGAAAACGTGAAAGAGGAGATGGACATTATTATTATTATTATCATTATAGTATAGAACTCCATCACTCCTAATTTTCTGCCTGAATGGGCACTTTCTTATATGTCAGCTTGTGTAACAGAAACCTGATAATGTGACCAAACAGTGGCAACTTTTTGGTTGGTCTATCAGGCGTTTAGCCTTATCCCATTATTGCTTGTGAAGACCTTAAGTCCAGATTCCTTCCCGCCAGATTCTTTTTTTCATCACTAGGATCGTAGGGAGGATTGGATCTGGGGGGTTAGGGTCAGGGGACAGGTACATGCATGGTAGAGCTGTTGCCAAAGTTAAGCAAATTAACTTTATTTTCTAACTAACAATAACCATTTGGGGTAGAAAGAGAATGTGAAAAAAAAAAAAAAAACAGTTGATTTCTTGCTTTAGTAACATTTTATAGAATTCCACTGGATCGTGGACCACAGATTTTTCTGAAATCGTCATCATTGTGGCTCGTCTTAAGCAAGAGTGGTTGAGCTGGTTGTTGAAACTGGATGCAAATTTATGGCTTAATAACTACTGTATTGTTCTTCAAATCGATGGTTTTTGACTTTTGAAAGATACTGGCGAGGTGCAAGTTCATGGGTTATATATAAAATGTACCTGTAGCAGCGACAACCTAAGAGAATCCACGAGACCGGTGTCTGGTATGATCCTCCTGGTGCAACGGGACCCCACTGCATGATTTTCAAGACCATTTTCAAATTTCTTTCAGACAGAAAATACAGAAACGGTTAATTAACATGGAACCCTACAGAGAGAGAGAGAGAGAGAGAGAGATAGAGAGAGAGAGGGTATGACATTCATCACATATCATTACGCGCAAGAGCGAATCAAAATCAGATACAAGCGGTTACAGTTCCAAAGTTAATTTGGATGATGAAACAATGGAGAGATACATTTGTTTTTCACATTCTTTGTCAATAGTATAATGTCTGTCCTTAGTATAATGTCTGTCCTTGTGCCCTGACAAGATTAAACCGTGAAAATGCGTGTAAACAGCGGGAACGAAGGGCTTTCAGACCTGCAGGAGAACACTGTTGATCCAAAAGTCAGCTAGAAACCTCGATGAGTGCCAAGCTTTAATAGATTGGTTTGATGCCGTTCAAACTGGAAGCATCTCCCCATAAGCTGACAACAGATCCTGAACTGGGTAAATTCAGAGATTAAAACGTGGCATGAGAAAGCAACGTAGAACTATCACTTCTCCTCCTTTGGTTGTTTGTCTTCATCTTTCTTCTCTTGGGGCTACATATCACAAAAGGTGACAGAAATCATGGGTGTCATAAAAATGTCATCACATTTTAGCTTAAAAGAGAGAGATAGAAATCTACATTGACCATCACTGATTGATCCCGCACTTCAATCGGACTTGTAGGGTAGGCAAAAAGTCAAAAGGTGACTGATCATGCTAGAGTTGAGAGTTACAAAGTAAGAAGTTTTTGTTACTTTACTCGAGGCTATATTCCCAGTTAGAAGTTTCTAGACAGCTACAGATTGGGTTCCAGAAATTGCATTTATAGACAAGGCTGGAGAAAATTTAGAAGGTGTTTCCAAGTTTAGCAAAGACTTGGTTCCCTATTCCTTATGGACTTGTATCTAGACTGTTGCACATAGAGATCTAGGGGTAGAATTATTTAAGAAGCTCATGAATTTATACGCATGCAGTTAAAAAAGATTTTTAGCAGAGAAATTGTTCAATCAGCCTAACCATATGGTGCTCATTGAAGTCGTTACTAAAATTCATTGCAGTGTTCTATTCATTTAACCTGAAAGTTTAATATATTCACCTCAGATTGGCTTTGCATCGAAGCAAGCAAATCTTTAACAGAAGGATCGTTTGGATCAACGCCTGGAAGCTGCAGAAGCAACAAACTAATTAGTATCACCAAATTGAGATATTTTCTTCCCTTCATTTAGTTGTTAGATAAGGACGAAAATAATAATTTGCAAATTGAAGAAGGCATACTGATGCTAGGATGGAGGACACGAACGACTGATCCGCCAACAATTTACTCATATCCGTCTGGCTTGATGAATCTTTTGAGCTATCCTGCACAGACAATTGAAGAGCTGCAAGCAGCAGAGACCAGGGACTTAACATGAATGAATAAAGAAACAAATTTGAGCATTGAATAGTTTCATCCACTTCCTTGTCGTAAATAAAGAAGACCAGGAAGAGCGGAAAATACATCCACCATAAACAATAAAATTGCTCCATTGAGTACAAGGGCTCACCTAGTGCCAATTCTGGGTCATCTGTGGCTGCCTCTGACATGTTTGTATCTCGCACGTCATTGCTAGAGCCAGGGCCATCCATTGACATTGCAAGAGCCTGTTGTAGCAGAGAATTCTCCTCATCCTGTTATCAACCAGATGTTAGTTCAAGAAGAGCAGGTTGATTATGCCCATGCCAGTGGTGTTAAGCATCAGCAAGCAATACAAACAGCAAAAACAACCCAAGAAATGATAGGAAGACAGAGAGTTATGACCAAATTTTAACAAGAAAATGATCCTTTTAGAAGCAGCACTCCCATCTGTTCTTGCAACAATTCAAGACCATAAGAAACGTAAATGTAAAGCTTTCTTCCATTTACAATCATCACATATATCCAGAGATAACAAGCTTAATACATTGGGAATTCCAAGAGCCCCAGGGAAGCTTAGTCTGACAGGTCATGGATTCAAAAAGAGCCACGTGTCAAGTCAGATAGGAAGATGTCAGAATAAAATGGCACAAGTAGCAGCTTAGAAACCATGTATAATCAAAGCCGTTGATTAACAAGCACGTCTAAGTAACAGGTGCATATCAAGTGCTCGACACCACAATTAGAAGTAGGCAGCATTAAAAGTTGAAAGACAAAATGACACCAACCATTAACTTATTTTTCTTCTTATCTGCTTCAGGAGCTGCGACACTGGTCTTTTCGGTCATTGTTGTATCCTGTGAGCTAGATGGCTGTTCCCCTCCTTTTTCCTGTTTAGCAGCCTCCTCTGCAGCCTTTTTAGCAGCTGCTTCTTGCCTGGCCCTCTCCTCTTCCATTGAAACTCTAAGAGCAAGTGCCAGTTCAGGATCAATATTGGGATCCACCCCAAACTCAAAACCAGAGACACCACCAGCCGCAGCAGCTGCTGCTGCAGCAGCAAAACCACTTCCACCTTCCCCATCCCCAGTGAAGATAGGTGTACTGTCATTCAAAAAGGAGGAAAACATAGAAATAATCAGACAAAAAATGTGCCACCTGTTGTTATCATGAGGTCCACAATGAAGTTTATTTGATGTTGAAAAGAAATGCAAGGAAGAATGAATTCCTTACTTTATAAGCACATCAGAAAGAGCACTTGGACCAGGGGGAACATGAACAATATGGCTGGCGTCATTACTGTTCACAGCAGCAAGAAGAGCCTCCAGTTTCTCTGCCTTCCCATCACCTTCTTCACCAAAATCAACAATATCAAGTGCTACGTTATTCTTTTTCAACTTTCTTCCAATCATCTCCAACGCCTTCTTGTCCTGCTTTATGGGACTGTGAAGACTAATTTGTTTCAATAACATTGTAAACACTGTAAATTAATTGATTGAGAGAGACACCAGAAGGCACAATGAAACATACCTTCCGACGAAGACAATAATCCTTGGTTGCTGCTTTTTATTTTGACGATGCTTAAGAGCCAATTGAGCCACCTGGATACCAGCAGCCAAGTTCATCTCACCACCTATTTCTAGACCTAAAGTGAGAGAAAATTTGGTTCAATATAGTTCTAGATATTATGACAGAAAAACATGAAAGAATATTATTCATAAAACTATTCAGATGAAAGATTTTAAAATTCACAGAGTAGTTTAAATTAGAAAGTTCAAAAGTGACGAAGTAAACAATTTAGTATGCAGGATGTACTTTGACAATTTCCAGGGCACCAAGGTCCTGAAGAGGTTATAGCATTGTATCTCTATGTAAAATGTTTTGTTCGATATCTTTTACCCGATATAAATATTTACTTCAAGCTTCCTTCAACAATTATAATTAAAAAAAATAAAAAATCAAATCCTAACATGATGGATGAACTTAAACCATGACAGCATAAGCAATCCAAGTAAAGGATATTAGAGAATCAATACTTCAAAAATTCCGTCTAGGTGAGACACCAATTGATTAGAGTGTGCATGGGAGTAGAATGAACTGACAACTGCCACCAGCTAAAAGAAAGCTTTGTGCTTGTCCTATAAGCTGTGTCTTCTCAGCTATAAATAAGGGGTTGCTACTGCACTTACAAGATAACTCTAAGCAAATAGCTTCGACCACTCATCCTTCAAGATAAATAGCATAAAGCATTCTATCAGGGAAGGAGAAGCACCAGAGAGGAGCAACTATGATGCAGAAAGTAAGATGGAAAAAAAATTTTTAAAAAAGGCCAACAAAGTATAGGTCTCCCATTAATTGTCCTCAGCACCCACTGTTCCCATCAGCTGAGTACTTGGCCTCATCAGTATTAAAAATATGGTTGCAAGCAAGTCAAATGTGCCAAAAAAAAAAAAAAAAAAAAAAAAAAAAACTTTGATTACTTTATGATGAGATGATTATATGTCTAGGACTAGGAGTATGCTTATTCTCTTCATTCAAACCTAAAATAATTGAGAAGCCCCCTCCTCCTCCCCCATTAAGCCTTCAGCCTATAAGGGCTGCCTCTTAATAAACTCAAGAGTTTAACCATAATCCAACTTCAGACCCCAGGGTCAAAGTCCTTTACCTAACAGGTGACTTCCACTAATAAACTTCATGTTTCGAAATGCCATCAGCTTTGATCATGAATCAAATCTTCAGCAGTAACCATATAAGAAATCCTCAACTAATAAGGGGATTGATTCTAGGCAAAAAAAATTTCCGCCCAACTCAATATGTATTATCCGCCTAGTTAGGATGCTAGATCCACACTTGAAAAAAAGCCCTGTAATATACAAAACTGCAGGCATTTTTTGATGTGGTTACTTATATCCATTTCATTTAATAAGCACTATATTTGATACCAGAACACTAACTAGTAGCACATTTAAACAACAATTAACTAAAAACGAACTTATCCAAGCAAATTCAAGCAGAAAAAACTAACCATGCATGCAAGCTAAGATCTTGCCCAGGTCGCTAGTGGGTGTAACCAAAACACGAACCCCTTTCCCAGCCATTGTAAGAATCCCCACTGTATTCTCTGGATTTGACTGCACAACATAATTTAAAAATACTTCCATAAAACACGAAGATCACCCACATTAACTCCAGTTATATAAAACTGAACTAAGGGGGAAAAAAGACACCACAAAAAGCAAATTCTTTTTCAAACCAGAAAACAACATTTTCAAAACCGTGAAGCAACATGAACACAAATTTTAAAATCCCTACAAATTAACCAAGCTTTTACTACATAAAACTTGATATCCACTGAAGTCAAACTCTTTACTGCATAAATCATTCGCTTAAACCCACAAAAACAAACAAATTTTAAATTCAAGAATTATACTACATAAATCCCTAAAAACCCGCTTAAACCACCAGAAAATCGGCTACTATTATTTCATTTCTTGATTATATCATCAGCTACTAAGTCAAGATTTTTCAACATAAATCTTGAAACCCACCAAAACCCACAAATAATAAGCTACCGAAAAGCTCAATATGTTTACAATTACATAGCTCTCATTTATATCGTTAACCAAACAATAAAAAAACTAATAAACCTTTTAAGTAAACAAGCAGAAAAAGACCTGAGTTTTAGCTCCACAAATGAGATTAACAGCATCACATTGAGCTTGAAATCTTGACGGAGAGTAGTCTCCGTTTCGCATCCACTCTGAATTATCGATACAAATCATCGTTGCCTGTAATTGAACATTCAAAATTAATAACATTAACTAACTAATTAGTAACTGATTTGATTTAAAAGAAAATAAAGAATCCTGAATTGGATTGAATTGAGAGAAATTTCGTGTTTTCTTTTATGTTTACCTCGAGAACCATGGTTACAGAGCGAAGGATCTAGCGAGAGCGAGAGAGAGGAAGAGAGAGTCAGCTACTTGTCGTTTTGGTTTATGAGAACAATAGATAGAGAGAGGGGAAAGAAGAAATGGAGTTTTCTTGCGAAAGGGGACAGTGTGATTAAATATGGTCACTCGGAATTGCTGTCGTGGCGGCTCCTCATTGGTTTCTATGTTTTTTATATAAATTATAAAGTAGAGATTTGAACCAGTTAAAAAAAAAAAAAAACCAATGCCGGTTGAGGTATAACTCATTATCGTTGGTTTTTATATGATTTGTGTTGTTTATAAAATAAATTATTTTAAAAATACCAAATTACTAATAAATATATTTTTTAAATTTTACAGTAATATTCATGTAAACATCAATGGCATTAAATATTATTCATTTCTCAATCATTTAGTTTTTTTTTCCCCTTTTTAACATCTTCTTCAATCACTTGATTCTTATTTTTATTATTTTAATATTTTTCTATTTTCTCAACAATATATTACAAATATATAAGTTGACAAAAAAATAATTATACTAAATTTTATAATATCGTTATCACTATATTATCAAATTAATCTCTTTGATGTTAATTTTTTTTATTTGAAAATAATCTTAATTTTCCAAGTATTATTTGCCATTCTTATAGTTTCATTAAAACCTAAAAATTTAAAGTAACAATTCATCTAGTAAATATACAAAAATTATTTTTGTTATTCTATTAATAACTTGATTAACTGATTTTATGCAAAAATTACCAGTTGGAAGAGTGAAGAGGACATGTGTATTTAATAAATTAATAGCAGGAAAGAGGCTGATGGATTCTTCAATGGGTTTTTTGCAGCTTCTTCCTTCATTGACTTCAGATGAGCCCATTTGCTACCTGATCTATATGAGATCCATGTCCAGCCTGTGGCCCATCACTTACCGATGGCCGAAAAGCCTGATCCGTATGAAATACAATAGAAGGACTTACAACAGCAAAATCCTTTTAGAAATATAAACTCCTAACAAGATTGAATTATGCGAAACTACGTGGAAAAATAGCCCTCTCCAAGGGTTTGTAAATTGAAATCCCCTCGAGGGTTTGCAGAACAATTACAATTCATTTAATTTAACTTTATCCAATCATTTTTTTTATTCTTTTGACATAAAGTCTTATTCTTTGAAGTCAATACAAACAACCCGCAACACCATCTCACCATTAATCTTAATCCGAAGATCACGAGCTCATCACTATTGAACCTAACCCAAACACCAGTTGTGTATGGCTCAGTATCACTCAACATCATCAATGCCACATTAGGATTTGATTCACCTGTAGATAAAGCATTTCTACATCTGTCCATGTCACCAATCATTTATCAGAGGGTTTTTTTTTTTTTTTTTCCCTCTTCATCAGAATCATTCAGAAACTGGTATTCATTCTGCACGCAAATTGTAGCAAGATATATGAAATGCATCTTCATAAATTAGCATCTTTGCTGTGGATTCTGTATTTAAACATATATTTCATGCGTGAGAATTGCTGCTATCACCAACTCTTTTGGCAGAAGAAGCACAGGTTCTGCCAGGCCAAACTCCTCCAAAAATCCCTCTGCCATTTAATTATAAAGATACATTGATCCTTAGCTGTTAGCCTAAAGTCTTACCACTTCTAAGCCTACCTATTCTGGGACCAATGTGTAGAGAAATGAGACATGTATACATATTCATATGATACATATTAAGGCTGTTGAATCCTTTACATCATCATTTTGATCAATGACCATGAACATGAACGTCATTGTCATCTTCGTCACTGTAAGTATCATAGTGAGGAGTACCAGAACCAAGTGAAACTTCAAGCATGTCATTACCTTGTGATATTTCACTAGTTATAGCTTGTGAAGTAGAGGCCTCTTGATGCTGAAAGCTAGCTGATTTATCCACAACTCTCGAGGAGTTCCTTTCTGTGCTGCTAAAGGGAGAATCATTGATTTGGTGTCTGCTATCTGCCACAGAAAAATCCATGGATATAGTTGCTGGAAGAGCCAGAAGGTTGGGAGTAGATGAACTTTTCTTGGCCTTCACTCTCCTTTGCCACCCATGTAGCGATTTCCTCACATTTTCAGAGACTACAGTTTTCTTAAACTTTCCACCCATCTGTAACAACAAAATATGCAACCTATGTATAACTAGATAGAGAAATGGCTAGAGGCCAAAAGAAGGTGAAGTGGCTGGATAAAAATACTAGACCTGTGTGATGATTAAATAGAGTGGGAATGTAATAAAGCTAAACCAGAATTGTGTGACCACCCTGCAGTAATAGAGAGGCATAAATAATACGATTTTATTTGGTCAGATGTTTGGATTAACAAAAATATTAAAGATTTCACCGAGGTAGATATATACCCGAACGTCAAGCGTATAGCGACATACTTCTCATTGTCCATAAAACAAGAAGACTCTTTGATTTCCCACTGGTAACAGGAATCATTATCAGCACCACATATGATATGTGAGAAAAGAAGACCTTTTCCATATCAAGGCAGGAGGACAGATGAAGCACAAATAGACACATTTTTAAGAAGCCAGGATATGAAGAATTTGACACCCAGCACTAGCAGATCTGGCAAAGTTTTTCTATCGGAGCTGTATACTAGAGATTCCCCTTCTCAACATTTAGACTATATCTATGTGATCTAACTGTCTGTTTTTCTATGATGAGAATTAAAATCTTACCAGGGACCAGAGGAATGTAGACATCTCAAAAGCATTCTGCAGTAGTAATGGTCATCCATGAGATTTTGATTCTGTAACACAAAATGCTATTAGAATGGTGCTGCTTCACTTACCTGAAATGATATGAATTGTATCAACCACAGAAGAAGTCTAGGCTTCCCAAACCAGAAGAGCTCATCCCTCAGGTTGAACTGACGATTCCCCAACCATGGAAATGAATTCTGGATTTCAACAGCCAATTTCACCACCACTCGGTGCAGTTTTGTACCAATTAGCAGTATTAACTTTTATATTACCATCAAGAAGTATAGAAAAGAAAGGAATTAGATGGGGTTATTGAGAACAATTAAGAATGGGAAGAAACCGAAAGTAGAACCTTGAGAACTTACAATGGCTGGAAGAAAGGAAAGCCAAAAGTAAAGATTAGTTCCTGAACGAAAATACAGAAAATCGTTTCAGGAATGAATAGCAAGCAAGATTCGCAAAGATACAAGAGAAAAAAACAGTTGTATGCAATTAAGATGGTGTTTGGTTGCATCAGCGGAGCTCAAGCAGCAGAACCGCTTTGCTGTTTCTTTGTATGCTGTTTTTTTCCACTCTTCTAATTGACTAAACTGGAAAGTACTTAAAAAACAAGTTTCGGAGATGATTAAATTGAGAATAACTGTTCAATGTGTTTTCTTGACACAATATTGTCCAAGCTCTCAGCTATCAGCATATCATGATCATGGAAAATTACCGTGAAACTCTAGGAAAATGCAACATATACCATAAATCCACAGAGGCACACTGCAAAAGAAGGCCAAGCACAGGAAATCAATTTGACTTGCTGTTTTGCAGGAGTTACGTTACTAAAAATAAATAAATAAATAAATAAAGACAGCAGTCTTCAGACAAACATTACTAGAACTGCTAACATTTTACTTATCTTGTTCCTAGGAATTCAATCAATATGAAATGCTGGCTAAATACAAATGTTCATACACAGCATTAATTGCAGATAGCTCATAATCACTCTGTTAGCTTTAATGCAGGACTCAAACACTTACAATGATCAGCTTGTTTGATCTATCAAACTTCATATACTCGGCATTACCATGATGTAATCATGCAAGTAAAGATTACAGCTGGAAGCGGTAATTGGCTCGAGTGATGAGTGATGACACTATTTTGCACACTAATTCAAGGAATGCCATTGTGCAAAACTTAAGAATCATTACCTGATGCCAACAATATCACGGAATTCTTCCTCCATGCTTCGAAGCATATAATTATGGAAATCATATGTCAGAGGAAGTTGATGTTTCTGTAAATACGGAAAGAAAAGTAAAACAAAAGAAGAATGAAAAACTTTGAGCCAACAATTAGTAATTCTGATCGAGTTTGATGATCTTTCTCATATGTTGAGAGACTGTATATATGATAGACGTTTAGCTTTCCCTTGATAGAAACATATGAGAAATGAAAGCTTCATTTAGATCACAAAGAACATACGCTGATGAAACCCAAGCGCAAAGCCATGTAGTCAGCTTGGTTTATGGAACTCCAAAACTGGCGGCTGAAACAAAGCTGCAAATTGATTTATGAGCAATCAAATGCTAATAACCTTTTAAGAACCGAAGCACAAAGAGGATTCATCAATACTCAACTATGTGACTGAATGTAAGAAAATGATCAGAGCAGTAATATCTATATCAATGTCAAAAGGGACAGACTTAAGCAACATCTGTAACATCGACAGGAAGATGGTCTTCCAATTTTCAACTTTTGCGCATTGAACCAACAAATGACCCCAAAGAAAACCAAACATTCTGAACGATCAGAATTAAATAATTGAATGAATCAAGATTAACAGAATCTTCATAGAAAGAAAGACTAATAAAGGTATTGACAAGTGATGCGATTCATATGATCAATGATTTGGAAAATCAGAAGTAACTGCTGAGAACTTTAAAAATCAATCACACAAGCCATTATATAAATCATTAGTTTTTCGCTTAAATAGGTCTGCAACAGTGTGTGTCATCAAATTACATGTTTCCAGCAAGTGACAATACCAGCCAAACAAGAACTCGGTGCTGGCTCCATGGATGGGAGGTGTGGTGAACAATAAAGGTTGACAGTCGTCTTGTTTCGTCACATGCAGCTTCAGGGGATCCTATAATTTACATATTGTATTCAAGGCCAAACAAGATTCTCGTCTATGAGTGCTCTCATAGTAACTTTAATCAAAGAAATAATCCTGGAAATAAAAAATTAACAATCTTATATCTTGGACTATAAAATTCTGCACCTAGTACACTTTGAAGTGCCATAGTCTTTGCTTGGTTTTCCCATGTTCTCCAGCTATAAATCTGCACTAATTAAAAACACGAATTTAGAGCTCTCTGTATGACCATCAAGGTTCAAATGTTACCAACAGAAACTGTAATAGTAAGGGTGCTCTCAAACCTTGATCATGGCCAAGGCAATGGCAACAAAGCTGTAAGAAACATGGGTAACTCCCAGGACAAACATCAAACGATGAAGCTGTTCAAGACTTTCATGTGAAACGAAGGATTCATGACCCTTGACAAAATATGGCAACAATTTTGAAAAGAATCAGTGTTTTGATTTATAAGAACAGAACTTTCCTACCATGGCATAATAATAAACTTAGCTATGATATAAGCACCCAGAAAAACGATGAGAATAATTGCCATGTAAACATTGTACATAGAAGGGGAGAGTCACCTCAGGGCAATGTTCATTCTTTGATGTGTGCACCAGCTCTTTAACAAATGAATTGTTTGCATAGTGAACAGTTGAAACAAGAACATGTTCTCCTGGTGTTAAATTATCCTTCTTCACTAAACATGGATAAAATGTGCTGCTCAAAGTTGATGATTTAACACAAATCTTGGCCACAAAAACAATCCAATGACCCATCAACAACGATATAAGCCCAAAAACCATTAGCTCTGTTCACAGATTGACAAAACAAAACAGTGAACATCAAAGTTACTACATTTTTCACCTTTTAAAGAAAATTGAACAAACCCAATAATTCAGTTAAAAAAAGAAAAACATTGTTGAATATGCAATCAACTCATGTTACTTACCTTCTTTGACCTTGTCTAGAGCTGAAAGTAGTGCTTTCCTCTTGGTTTTATCCAGCCACTAAGGAAAAGAAAGACAAAAGGGATCACAAAAGGTTCATAAAACATCAAAGTACAAATTTAGATATGAGAGAATCGAGACAAAGAGACATATTTATGACATCAAAAGATTGAAAATTTAACTTATTAAGAACTATCAATATTTGATAGAAAATTTTATACCTTTGAAAGCTGTTTCAAGGAGCCTTGAAAGAAGAAACCAAGAGAAACCATAAAAACAACCACAGTAACCACAGCCCATGTAGGGGTCAATTCCAAAGATACTTCTTCAGCCATCTCTCCTTCCAACAGCAAGATCCTGATCAGCTCTTCAGCTCTTCAGCTGTCAGGCATTTCAACCTATAAATTCATCAAATCACCAACTTGAAGAAACAAAGGTGACCCAATTAGTCATTTTCATTGTTTCTTATGCAGAGACGATTTGATCAGGTCATTAATGCAAACAATTACATGTTGGTGAGCTTAGGTTTGTGCCTTGAATTAGAGACTAGAATTCTGAAAGAATTTAAGAAACCGTGCATGGATGTTATAACCCTAATGGAGTAATGGGACCCGTTAGACCAACATGTTGACAACCAATCTTATGCATGTTGGGAAACAGACAAGAACATGCCTTTGTCTTCTGTTCTTCGTTTTCTTCACCATTTTATGGTAAAGTTTAATAATCATGAACATTGCACGCATTGATACAAATCTTAATTAATAAAACATAGATTGATCCCTTCACTGGTCTTTTTTAAAGTGGAATGCATATAATAATAATAATCATGAGACTCGTCAAGGATGGTTGTAATTCTCTTAAATTATTTGCAAATGGTAAAACATGTGACACAGTCAATGCATTGCCTATATATATATATATATATATTGAATTGGGGACGGTTTAAGTTTCATTGTTTTTATAACTCTGGTTTTGTGAGAAATGGAAATTTAATCATAGCCAGGGTGAGAAAAAAATGGAAAGTTGATTACTTGATATCCTTTGGTGCTTGTTGAATAATAAGATTGCATTTAAAGAAAAACTCTGCAGAGCTACAGGTAGTTTTCTGGTACAAAATGGTGAGCTAACCTTCAAATTCAAAGCTAGCTAGCTACCACATGTTGTAATAAAAACCCTACCATGGGGCAGATGGAAGCAGTTGACCAACTTTGACACGGCAATCTGGTCTCATATTGATGACAACTTTTTCTTTTTTTATTACAGTAGCTTAGCTTAGGCTTAGAGTGGGCTAATAAATAGGTGGAAAAGACAATGCTATGACATGTGCATCACAGACCTGTTTGATTTGGCAATAAAAGCAGCAGCAGAACAGGTTTGATTATTTTATATTGCAGATACAATGTTGTGCTGTTACAACCATTTAGGAGTAGAAATGACAGTTTGAGTGTGGTTGCGGTGACAGGATTTACAAATCATAGTTCAACTTTCTGTTCCTTTTCTATCTTCACAGGAAAAACATTTTCCTTCCAAGCAAGATAACCTCCTCCCATGTCGCTTACATCTTTGAAACCCTGCCAATTCATCAACAACTTAGTTTTCTCACTCTTTTATTATAAGTCACTCTTCCACCCATATATATATATAAAAAAAAAAGGCATGTTAGTTATTTATAGCTTAGATCTTGTAGTTTAACAAACCTAGTTTGTTAGTCCTTATGATTTTAAAAACTATATATTTAATCCCTATGTTTTTTGATCTATTCTAACTCAATTTCATTTTAAATTTTCTAGCTTATGTTTTTTTTTCTTTTTTTGAGAAATATAATAAAAGGAAAATAGAAGTAAATAAGATGGGAAATTTTTATAATGAAAAAAAGGTATATATTATGTGGGAAAAAAAATCAGTTAAGGATCGTTGATGCTGCTCAAAACCCTATTTAATTATTTATACTCTACAGGGATTGATTGATTAGATTAAAAAACGTATAATTAACTCATAAGAACATGCGACTCAATTTGCACAGTTGAAGAAAGATATAGGACCTCCAAGAAAGCCGGTGAAAAGCCTTTGGATATCAAAGGCCTGCTTTGGTCTTAAGGTCCAATATCTCACAGTTTTACGTGTGGTCTGGCCAATTTTTTTTTTTTTTCCTTCCAAAGTCTAACAGCAAAATGTTGTTTTCGGATCAGTTTTCAGATATTTTAATATTAATCCCTTTCAAAGACATACACTCTCCAACAAATCTAAAAAAAAAAAAAAAAAAAACAAGATTAGCACCACAAATTGTGGATGGTAAACTTAAAAAAATATGGCAAAAAAATAAGAACCAGGTTAGGGACAATTGGGGAATCGTTTTATATGAACTTACAGCACTAAGAAGATCAGCAGTAGCATACAGGGATCGGACTCCACTTTGACAGCCCTATCCAGAAAAAAAAAGATAAGATATTGTTAGGCCACATATGACAGTGCTTTATGGTCAGAAGGTGAATCAAAGTTTCTCTTTCTATTCACATTTTATTTGTTGAGAAAGCTGATGGTAAGCTAATGAAGGATTACCACAACAATATGATCTTCCTCCTTGCAAACAGCAGAGACCTCCTTCAAGAAGTTGGGATTTTTCACCCTCCCTGCGGCCCAAAATTACATGAAATCTTGTTTATTTCTCAAGCACATATAAACTAGCTAGGGAATCAAGAGAAATGAATTAATTTAAGAAGCTAAATCATACCCTCTGGTGTATTGAACATGTAAGGAATATTGAATATGTTCTCCGCATTCACATGCCCTTTCTCGTACTCTTCCACTGTCCTGTTGGCATGAGGGACAAAAAGACAAGAATTCTGAGAAACCTCGAACATCAATGTCGAGAGAAATGAAAAATAAAGAAAATTAAAAAAAAGAGATAGCACCAAAAAGTTTATGGAACAGAGAGCCATGTACCTAACATCTAGATAAATATGCCCTGACTCAAGCAGACCCTTGCTTGCCTTGACATCAATGGTGACAACTTCAGATCCTGAGCTACAATAGATTAAAAAAAGAAGAAACAGCCCACAAGGGAACAACCCCATATCAAAGTATGCAGCGAGATAAAGAGAATGTATGTTGTGGGGAAAAAGAAAAAAGTCGGAACCTTTTATCGAGAGAGCCCATGAAGACCAATTCGTGTCTATGCAAGTTGACCACTCGTTTTTCCAAATCCAGTGGCTGTTTGATTGGTTTGCCTGAGAAACCAGCTGCAGATAGAAGGCTGGCTGATTACCACAGCAGCAGCTGTTTGGACTTCGGAGCACTGGTAGACTAAAATTTATATAATATGGGCCTTGGCCTAATAAATTAGAAAGACAGAGGTCAACAAGTTTTTTAATGAGTTTTTCTTCTTAACTTTCTTTCTGATTGGCTTTACTTGAATCCTTCGGTTATTTTTTTACAAAAAGTCATTTCTAGTCTGTAAAGCCTGGCAAGCCCAATCTAGATTAAATAAACCGAAGGAATTCCAATAACACGAGTATTTTTTTTTAAGTTTTAACGCACTTAAAACTTATTAAACTATAGCTAACATATAATAATATGTATACATTAATTCTTAGATAGTAATAAAATAAGTTGATAACTCATAGGTTGATAGATGGATTTTGATTCTCATCTCGAATTTACAATAATTGTAATTTTTAATTTTTTTTAAAAAAATGTTATATATGAAGTGTTAATTCGTAAATATTTATCATTTTTTTATGAATATAAATTCTTTATTTTTGTATTAAAATATTATAAAGACGGTAATATTGCATCTCAAGTATTATTGAACATTTTAAACTTATAATCCATATCTATCGACAATATTGCAACCTTTCTTTCTTAATATATTAATTGTTTAATCTTTTATTTTTTTTTAGTTTATATTTGATATTTTAATTACATATTACCGCAATAAGTTGAATCGATAAACTAAATTAACTATTATCGTGAATTATTGTCTTTGCAACTCAATTAATTTAGATATGTTTTTGCAATTCAATTAATTTAGATATGTTTGTGAGTCTGTGTAAAGTATTTATAAATCGATTGTAATTTATTTTATTTTATTTTTAAGATAAAATACCAAAACATCATTAGAATTAATAATAAACATTTAGAATAATTAATTTGATTCATCTTCATCTGTCTACGAGACTTAAAAATAGATTGTTTTGAAAACTACTATCTAATTATTATTTTTTTTTACTTTTTTTATTACAAAATTCTTGTGGCACAAAATAATCCAACCAACCAGCAATTTGTTTCGTTTGGAGTTTTGGAAAAAGTACATGTACATACGTAGGACTCCTATCTCACAGGACCCAATCACATCATGACGTGTTGTAATGCGTGAAAGGGCATTGATGATGAAGTGTAACTACCTTTCAGCGCAAGCAAGACTCCACTTTGCACATTATTGTTAGCGTTATCCACCATGGTGAGCAAGAAAGCACCTCGAATACTGGAAAGTGTGTCAATTCCCATCAAAGCTTTTAAGCAGTCAGCTTCCATAATTAAAGCATGCCCACTAATTGTTGAGCTTGAAAAGCTTTGGGAAAAAGATTATAAATTATAAATAAACTAAAATAAAACCATATTCATTCACTATTTCAAATACTATTTATTCATATTTATTTACTATTTAAAATATTATTTATTTAAACTTATTTTACTATTCAACCAAATTTAAATATACTATTAATTTTATTATACAATAATATTTTTATAGTTTTTAAATATTTTTAATACATTTATTATAAATTTTTTCATACCATTACACTTTAATCCCTTTGTTAAATATAATTTTTTCAATCCATTAATATTTTTTATTTAATTTTGATCTCTCTTTTTTGTTTCGTTTTGATCACTTTAGTCTTTTAATAAAAAAATTTAACTTAAAAAAATATTTAAATAAATTACAAAATAAATTTTTAGTTAAAAATACATTGATTTTGACATTCTTTATATTATTAAATAATTTTTTTGATAAAAAACTTATGAAAAATATAAAAAATAATCAATCAAATACAAAATTTGATATATTTTTATAGACATACAATATGATACAAAACATTAAAATAAAATAATTTTTAAAAATAATTTTATATATTTTATTCGACATGCAACCTACAACATGTAAAAATTCTAGTCTTGTGCTAAAAGGAAATGAAAATGGAACTTGAAAGGTGCAAAAGAAAGACGATCGTCATTTGTCAATCTAGAACACCGTAGGAGAAATACAGGGGGCTAACCAGCAGTCTGGCAAGTCCGGTGTGCAAATTGGAAAAATCAGACTCGTTAACTTTGGCACGTTATATACACATTAACGATTTTCAAAGGCATGCATGATGGAAAAATATTCACAATACAGTTGATATACAATTGGAGCATTGAAAATTTAACCCTGGCTCAAGGCGCAGACAATCAGTATACACGCACACACGGAGTAGAGCACTATTCTTCACCAATGAGACCGTCCTGGCCTTGGATGGAAGCAGGAAATAAGCTTCCATGGAAGTCCGCCTTACAGAGTTTTTACTACAATAAATCGACATAAGCAGCAGCAGCATCTCAGATGTCTATTTAAGACTTTGCAGAGATGGGCAACATTCGAAAACAGTGCAATTGGACATTTCTGATAAATAGAAGGCCTGACCTGAAAGAAAGAAGGAAAATAAGGGAGTCAGACATAAGTTGCTCACTGGTTAGAAGATATAAAGCAAAGGCTTTTTATAGTTAATGATTGATTCCCTCCAAAATTAATTAGCTTCAAATGCAATTGGATGATGATAAATTGCCAGAGCTTTGACAGACTAGATTTTGAAGCAGTGTTAACCCCCATACCTGACTACCAAAGCTAGGCAAGCTGCAAGTTTTATTGACAGATTCTGAAGCCCAGTTCACCTCTTGATCTGCGCAATGAAGATAACCAAATTTAACTAAGAATTAACAGATTTTTCATAATAACAGTATGCACGCCAATTCTGCCTGGAATCTGTTCAAGAATAAAGGCAAACTATACTTTGCTTAGCTTCAATATCTGTTTAAAAAAAAAAAGAACAAATTCATTACTCATGTATTGTTTTCCACCTAAGGTCCACCCATGATATTTCTGGTTCATCTACTATTTTCCATAACAAGACAAAAATTGAGGAACTTGGTGTAAGATCCACAACGTATGACTTCTTAAAATTGGCAGACTATGTCATCCATTTCATCATGCACTATACCGGCAACTTGCTGCTAACAACTAATAACTGGGACACCACCACAAGAAACAAGATTGTGTCACATATTTGCAAAATCTAAAAGGCACACAACAAATGGCCATGGCCAAAAGAATGCTTTCTAATGATTATCGCCCTCCATGTTCCTCTTACAAGACAGCATGCCCTTCTCGACCTCTCTTATCAAGTTTGCTCTCTACTTGGGAAAGTGAAGATTTAAACTTAAATAAATGCTAAAATAACTCCTGCTGCACTGCCCATATGCACTCAACTTGAATGTACTGTGCACTGCAATTCAATGAAGTGATTGCCCTTACTAGTAACCAGATGATGTTTTTTGATACGCAATTTTAGATAAGTAATTCAACTTCATTTCTATATAACCTAATCCTTTCCTAAGCCTCCAAATATGAGAATTGAAAGCAAAATATATCTCATTACAATTTACAACTGTCTAGCATGCATGCACATGAGTGTGCACTAGTGTATCAGCACCAATATCAACCAAATTGGTGTAATTTGAAGTAGACAATGAAAATGTTTCCCTTCATTGCACCATAGGTTGGGCAAAGCATATTTTCCCTAAATTCTTTGATGCCTAGAGGCCACAGCTATGCTTTCAACTTTCACAAATTATTATAGAGAAACGGTTTATGAAGGCACGGAGCTGCAGACCACTTGCAGTAAAATGATGAATGTGCAAATAGTCATTTCCACTTAACCAGTAAAGAGGCACCATATATTTTTAGTTTTCCTATTTAGTAGATGAGATTAAAAATGAGGTTTTATGTGTCAAGATGACTAATCGTATAGTAGTATCATAAGTTTAGATTAGACATACATCATAAAAGGCTCTGCAGATTCTCAAATATAAACATGGTATATGCTCACTCACCCCCCATAATATGCAGATTTGTCTTTCATATCAAGCTTGCATACTGGGCAGAATGTCCCCCACTTAGTCAGCCACGAGTCAACACAGGTTGAGTGAAATTCTGCAAGTAAATTTTTATCAACATGCAATTAATGAAATACTGCAGACGAACTGATCTTTCTACCAAACAGACTTGATTTTTCAAAAACATAGGAAAAAAAATTACAAATTACAAATTACAAATTCAGGTGGAGATAAGGATGATGGGATGACGAAAAAGTTGTGCATGGCCTAAAAGTGATCCTCTTAAATCCAGTGTAAACGTTTAGGTTGTTAGAAATATAAGAGCAAATTCCTACCATGGTGACAAGGGAGAACTTTAAGAACTTCCCCATCTTTATAATCCTCAAGACAAATAGCACAAGTTTCACCAACATGACACTGACTCGAACTAGCATTTCGGAATGTGAAGCATGGAAGCGCTTCAACCATCTTACTATCCACACTTTTACAACGAGCATTCATCTGTCGCCAATACAACCAGTTTCTGGGAGTAACAAAAGCGATGATAAGGAAACCTAAAATAACTATAACAGAAATCAATGATATTGCCAACACGGTCCATGCTGCATCACTATGAGATGTATAAATGCAACATTCCCCTTCTTTCCCTCGTGCACGCTCCTTCAATATTTCACCAGCATACTTCGAAACAAAAACCGCATGGACCTTGATTCCCTCAGGGTTCACCATCACTGTACACAAGCAATAACACACTCCATAAGAAGCTTGAAAACAAGAACTTCATATCTTTAATTTCTTTCAATAGTATGCACATAAGTAGATTGACACTAAAAATAATTACTTGCCAAAACTCGCTAGATCGTGCAGATGTTGAAATGTTGATTACAAATCTCCAAGTGTGGGACCCAAAATAAATTGATCTCATCAATGATGAGATTTTGCTCTAGAAAACAAACAATTTACCAACAATATTTGCTGATTCCTAAAAATATCCTTATTTAAAAAAGATTCATGGTATAGATATTCAGTTTATGAGGAATTAATTATCCCACAAACACTGAATTTCACACTGCACCATTCCAAGTGAGACCAACGATGAGCAGATCCATCTGGAGAGTGTCATTAGCACCAATCAAGAAATAAACTATCCACTAACAATTCTTTGCTAGTTATGAGTATTCTTGGGATTAAAAATTGTAGTAAATTAGTAGAAAAGGAGTCATACAACTTGCAGAGTGTCTTCACATTTGCTCTTAAAACTGACTAGAAGAGGCGGAAATTTAAAAAACAATAGAATATGAAATTCCATTAAAAACACTTACTGTAAATCAAATTCCTGTTGTCTTTATCATCGTAAACAATCGCAGAACGAAAACCAGCACTTTGCGCATTCTTAATCTTATCTTCAAAAGCACATTCGCCTCTAATTATCAACGCAAACCTAATTCCTCCCTTAGTTCCATTGGATTCGAAGCGGTTGAGTAGCGGAGGACAAGCGTTGGGAGGGTTTGCCACGTGTAACGATCCACAAACGCGAGAGCCATTAAGACTGAGAGCTGAAAAAACAGAATCACAAAAGAAACAAAAATAAAAGAAGAAATTAAAATAGGAACAAAAAGAAAAAAATAAATTGAAAGAAAGGTAGTTAGTTAGTTACCGAATTTAGCGGGGAGGTCAGGGAAGGTAAGAGAGGAGGGTTTTAAGAGGACTGCAGCAGAAGTTAGTCTAAGAACTGCGTGAAAGGAAACAAAGAGCAATTGAAGAAGAAATAAGGATTCTCTCATTTCTCTTGAAATTGGAAATAATTTCTTGTTTGTGACTCTGAAAACCAGCCTCTTTGATTCAAATTGGATTCGATTTGAGATTCTCCGTCCACTCATATCATACAATAATATCAAGTGATATTCATCTAGCCGTTTAATTAGTTAAATAATTGGGATAAGGAGGATGAGATCAAGTTTAACTAGAAGGGAAAGGTGTCGATTTCACCGAAATAGAGATATCCTTAAGGTTTTGATTTTTGGCCAATGTTTTCCAGTTCAAAGCCAATGACACGTCGGATGAATGGCGAGACGCCATCCGACGTGTCGTTTTAATAAAGTTGTGGTTCGTGGAGGCTGAAGCAGTAGGAAGTTGGAAGCTTGGAACTTGTGGTGGGGACTGGGAAATGGAAATGCTGCTTGCTTCAGTTTTAAAGAACTAAAGCAATGATTATGTGCAACTTTATGAAAGGAACTCCGAATTGATTTCTTGATTTTAACTGCAAGAAGCTTGTAACACTTTATCTCTCATCTTTTAGAATGCTTTTTTCGGAGGTTGTAACTATTATGATTAATACCTTCGTGTATGTACTTATAACATCTCCAACGCTTCTTTTTATATTAAGATTTTTTTTATAATAAAGAGGCTTCATTCAAATTTCATCTCCAATGCTCTCTTTATCATAATTTCTATCTTTAAAATTGGTATAAAGAGTATCTTTAGCTCTCCAATACTTAGAGAGTCCAAATGACTCTTTATCTTATATTTTATTAATGAAAATTACTATTTCCTATGCCATTCAACCTCTTCACCAATAGTCTCTATGGGTTTTATAGATTTTGTCAAAATAAAGAGTTAAATAGAGAATAGCATTTTAGAAAAGATATTGATCTTCAATCTATATAATTAATGATGCTCTCTATTTACATTAAAAATGCTAGCTAAAAGTAAAGAGCATCATTGGAGATGCTCTTATAGGTTAATTTTTCAATCTATTTCTAACAAAAACGTTTCTAAGTCTGTTTCTATATTTTGAGTTTGTTTCTAATTTATTCTTTTAGTTAAAATTTTGATTAAATTAAATCAAATTAAGTATGTGATTCGATAAAATTGTTTTTGTTATTTAATATAAATTATTTATATCTATTAATATGAAAATTAATTTTTAAAAATTAATCGAAAATTTTGACCAAATTGATAGATTAGAAATAAGTTTAAAATATAAAGACAAATTGGAGATATTTTTTTCAAGGCAAATTGAAAAATTGATTTATTATATAAAAACATATGAGGGTATTAATCTCAACTGTTATGGTTATACATTTGAGATTTGGAATTCAAGATACCTACATTTTCTCAATTTTTTTTTTTAAAAAAAGGTATTTAAAAACATTCACAGTTGCAAATGAGGGGTAAAACTTGCATGAGAAGAGTTTGCTAGGACTGAGGGCATGAAATTATGGACCATCCGCAAAGCTTCCTCCAAGAATTCATGATGATTGAAATTATGAGATAAATCCAGCTATTAGTATTATTATTCCATTCACGCATTTTAGGCATGAACTTTTTTTCCTTGGTAGAGAAAATGGTTCATCCTTCGTTTTGATTTTCTTTTTCTCTCTCTCTCTCATCCTTCCATTTATCTGCATAATTTTCTATCACAATGCTCATTATTTCGTTTTGACGTATTATACAATGCTCATTGTTTTGGGAACATTACACTAGCATGTGCACGTCATTCAGAATAAGCTGTGTGTGGTTCATAGAGATGAAGTAGTTGGAAGTTGTGGTGGGGACTGAGAAATGGGATGGCTTTGCAATTTGAAAGAACAAATGTAGCGATTTCTTGAAGGTGAAATATCTGGATACAATTTGTAACTTCATGTAAGAGTTACAAATTGGCTTTACGATCATTTGATTTCACATGCAGCTCCAGTTCAATTCATTTTTTTTCCAGCTAACCTTGGTATTTTAAAATCAGCATGAAATAGTGATAATTGAAGACTATTGGATGAATCCAGCTTACTGTCTATTTTGTGAAACTGGGATTCAACGTGACGTGAGCCAAATCCAGGCAATGATTTCTCCATGATGAGCTGAGATCAGGTAATATTTTGTCCGTGCAGAATTCCGGTAGCCACAAAATATCATAAATGGTTAAACATGCCAAAATAGAGCACTACAGAAGTCTCAAAAGACTAGATAATGAAACTGACCCTTTACATCATAATGTCTGCTAAAACATAAAACCAAAAGGAAAAGGTAAGGTGCCGATTTTGCAATTTGCAGCTATAAACACAATTTGCTGCGCATCAACTAACTTGAGCTAATGCCTAGAGGACACAACCTAAGACTTGTTTCAAAATGCCCACAGTTTGAGTTGGCAAACATGACATGACCGAGAACGAGCTAGATATGTACAAGACTTCAAATGTGTACAACTAACCAAAGAGAAACAAATAGCTCTTGTTTTCAACCTATGATACTGGATTACCTGTGCACTTGTCATGCAACCAAATCAAGCGCTTCTCGACTTTGAGAGACAAGAAGATCTCCCTTGCACTAGGTTTCTTGAATAGATCCAGAGCAGCAAAGTAGACTTCTTCCTCAACTCCTTGCATCTCATCTAGTTGTTTAATGCAATCAGCGATACTGTATCTTGCATTAATTTGCCTTACAGCAGCTGTCCTCAGCTTTGATGCAGCTGCCATCTGCAATATACCTGCAGCAATAGCATCTTCAATGCCCTTGCGACCTCTTTTACGATTAGCTGTTGTAGCAGTTGTACCATATGTAGGCGGTTGATATGTTTCTTGATTATCTGCCACATCATCTGCTTCATCAGATTCTGAAGAGGATGACACCTCTTCCATAGTGTTCAAAATAACCTTACTGCAAGCGGAAGGAATCCCTCCCTCTTGTCCATGCTTCCCATTGGTCATTGGCTCAGAGAATATCACGCAAAGTTGTTCGTACATTGGGCAGCCACTGCTTCTTATAGTCTCAGCATCAGGGCGTTCCTAATATGCACATTTCACAGTGTTGAAAACTGATATTCAAAGAACATAAATCAGCCTCCTGCCCCAAGTTAGGAGGAACTCCAACCCCTATAATGTGCATAATCATTACTGGCTAGTAATGGAACTAGAAGTAGCATTATGCATCATTTCATGGCATTATCAATGATGTCGTCACTGGTACCAGTTCTAGCATAATTAAATAGAAAAGACAAATAAATCCAATAAATATATAATATTTCCATTTTTGCCAAAAAGTCTGCCACAAAGTACGGGTTCAAGGAGGCTTCCTCCATCTTAGGCAGGAGGGGTTTTCAATTGCAAACAGCAACAACTGACAGAACATACCTTTATGCATGCAGCCCATGCTTCATCATTGGCACTAATCATCCCTGTAGATTCATCCAAACTGAATTCACTTCGTTCAAGAAGTGAGCTTGCAGTAGCATATTGCCTCCTCAAGACTGCATATTTGCTCTTCAACTGCTCCATGTCCCATTTCAAACTTGTTTTCCGGTAGAATTCAGTACACATATGCTTCCATGCTTTCTTGCTAAAAGAATTGTTAACTCTGTTCCCTCTTTGAACCTGATCAACCATCAGGTCCACAAAGACCTTCGTGACGCCATTTGTCCACCTAGCCCGTGGTTGTTCTGGCTGCTGAGGTACTGGTCTCCTTGACCTTGTAACTCGACTCGCCATTTACAGTTCCATAAACAAATTTAACTAAAAAAGAAAACAACTCTGATCATGAAAGGCAACACTTCGAAAGGCTACCCAAAAATCCCAGATCATACATGGAACAATAATCGAGGTTGTTCCAAACGCACTCTTTTAATGGCCATTGGAAGATTTGATATCAAATGCCCATCAGAGTAAACAAGAACAAAAAAGGTAAAAAAGCTGAACAATAACTTGTTTCACTTTTAACAACATATGATTAACTTCTTCGGCAAAGCAAGTACTGCCTTGTTTTTATTAGATCATGGTAACAAGTTATCAAGAAAACAATGTACGAAAGTTCAATATTTTATATTGAAAAAATAAATGGCCTAGATAATCTCCTTTTTCAAGAAACAATTACTATGGATAAAAGGGTCTCGCTATGTCATAAAGAGCGGGAAATCGACCAACGAATGACAGTGTTTTAGTTAATATGCTTGTAAAAAAATTCTCTAAGCACAGTGTTTTGATAGTAAAATTATCCAAATGAAGAACACTGCGACATGCATTGATCTCATAAACATGAATTAAAACATTAACACTCCACTATCAAAACTAGGTAAATTGAGCTCATCCTTATGATCCATTGTTAAAAACACAGGAATAAAACCCACCATATTAAAACCCTACAAAAGAACAAAGAGAAGAAAATTACCTAAAAAAGAGCTGCCTTTCAGTTAATTAGTTGGGAATTATGCAGAAACACATAGTGCTAACCGCTAAGAATTTAGAAATCTCTCATTCTAAAACACGCTGCTTGCTTCTTGAGGACGGAGACGAGAATGCTGTTAGGTTAGTTTTTCCTAGACAGTGGGCCTTTCATTTCTGCTTTCTTATTTGAATTATTGGACTTTTTATCGATTCCGCCTACGGCCTAGGTCCGAGGTCGATGGTCATACAATTTTGGATTTCTTACATGCTTTAATCCCCTCGTGTTAGATTATTATTACCATCTGTTTTTTTTTTTTTTTTAACCTACTTTTAGTGGAAACTAGAGGATCACCGCTTCCCATTCCATAACAAAAATACAGTAACTTTATACCTGACAAAAAATTTAACTTAGTATGTAACAAAAATTCTAAATATGAATTTAAGGTATATCTTAGTACATATGTAATAGAAAAAAAAACATAGATCTAATTTAACAAAACAAAACTTATAATGATCAAAAACAATATTTGTAAAGAGTAAGATATGAACTCTCGAGAAAAAAAACTGTACTAAATTGAGTATTAAATACTTAAATTATAAATAAATAAATAAAAGGAGAAAGAGAAATAGAAAGTGTTAAATACTGAAATTATAAATAAAATAAAAGAGGAAAAAGAGAAATAGAAAAATAGAAAGGACTTGTCTGGATCGATAAAGAATGAAAGATAAATTGAGAATTCAAAGTTCTCCATACAACAACAGGGCAAAACGTATTTGATATTTTCCTTTTGGATGGACAAAAGTTTACTGCTTGAAACGCCAATAACGGACTTTGAAAATATTCTAACAGCCTGCCAATGCCAAAGTTATTATGTGACAAGACCTTCCTTAGACTCGATCCCTTGAGATAAGGTTCAAGTGTTACCGTCAACTAATAACCTAAGTTTTTTTTTTTTTAAACTCAAACATTTAAGATTCTTAACAGAGTTAATCTATTCAAATTTAAACTCATAATATTTTATTATAAAAAACGACTATTACTACGTTTCAAGCTCTTCTGTTAACCTTTCTTCGCAGGTCTACTTGGGTTTTGTACGTTGTCTTAACAGTCAACCCATACCCAATGGTTTGTGTCTCTGCATGTATAGATTAAGAAGTACACATCTGCTAACCAGTCTTACCAGCATTAATGACATGAGTTGCCCATCAGAATTGGTAAATACTTCATTTAAGATTTCAGAATGTGACGAGCTGAAACCCGAGGACAAATTTTACATTCAACCTTTTGTGAGGTAAAATTGGGAAAAAAAAAAAGAAAAAAAAAAATGAGTAGAATTTTACAAATAGACTGCCCATCTAACTTAAGCTTACGCTAGCATCTGATACGCTCACTATTTCTTACCACTCTTCTATTTCATCATCAGAAAGGTCGCTCTCTTTGTCATCTAAACTCATTTTATCACAACTGCCATCATCGGTCTCATTGCGGTGAGTGGGTGCTTGATTATCTTCAGAACCAGATGCTCTATATCCAAGCCATTTCAGCACAGGCATGTACTCAGTAGCTACATCTGACAAGTGAGAAGAACTGGATCCACTATAAGCAGTAAATCTTTGCCTTACCATCTCTTTCTGCATTAATACACAAAACACAACATCCTATGTGTAAGTAAAGCTCATCGCATTAGATATGAATGCCCAACCATACCTATGCATATTGCAAATCACTGAGTGACTACAAAACCAGTTAAGAATTTGGTTGAATGTTTGTAAAAATGCTTAAAAGGGCACTACTCAGAGGAAGAAGATAATATTTTTGAACACACTTCGCCTGCAAGGATTATATGGTTCATTGCAAAATCAAAGACATATAGCTGCTGTCAAGAACCCATTCTGAAACTTTGCAATCACAGAGTGGGATTTAGCGGATGAACCTTAGTTTCTTGATAAATCCATACTTTGACAAAGCAAATAGAACATGCAATTGCCATAAATAGTACCAACTCAAAACTAAAAAACTAAATTCAAACTCTTCAGAGTCAGCAATTCATTTGAAATGGGATCCATGAAGGTTTGAGGTATCTTCTAACGACAGATGCCACATCTGAAGGAGGCCAAGCTGTAGAGAATTGTCTTTTGCATTTGAAATAAAATAAAAAAGAAAGTTTCAAATGACAATCACAAATTACTAAAGGAAAAGATGCAGGAACCAGATGGAAACGTAGAGGACCAATCCAGCTACCTGATTGTGCAACATTGATTGCTCAACCTGCCAGAGCTTTGGTTTCCGGATAGCATGCCACCTGCACTATAAAAGATTTAGTATAACTTCAAGGTGACTTTCATTTAATAAACTGCTTTGAGTCTCTAATAAAAACCTGGAAGGTGAAGGATGAGAATTTCCAAATAGCACCCCACGAACAGCAACTGACGCAGCAGCTGATTGGAGAACATTTTCTGCCTCATTATATCTAGCCAGCATTCCTCGGAAAGAAGAGAGAAGCAAGTCAGAATCACTTAAATATGAAGCCACGTGCCAGGCATCGTCCATTGCTTCATCACTTATAAAATCCAGCACTGCATGAAAAATATAATTCAGAACCTGGTCCTGTTGCGTCTAGTAGACAGAACCCAAGGCTGAGACAAGTTGCAATGAGTCTGTGTCTGTGTGTCAAGTGAGCATGCGAGAGAAGGGGGAGAGGAGGGAGGGAGCAGAGAGCAATGTACCCAAAGAACAAGCACCCAAGGAAAGAGCATATGGTATATAAGATGGTTACCATTTTCATGCAAAAAATCAGCAATTGGCCTGGCTTGCCCATGTGCTTGACAAAGAACCTTTTCTGGAGCCTCCATTTTCAATGGTAACCTGGAAAATTTCTCCAGCACAAGAAATGCATCTCCTTCTGCAACAACACGAATGAACTCAGAAGAGGGCATTGTTTCAGAAGCATCTAGGCAGAATCATCAAATGATCCACAAGACAGGAGTAGTGCATGCCAGATGCACTCACTTTTCACATGCACATGCAACTATTAGATTTTAACGACCATGTAAATTTCATGAAGACACACCAGTCATAATAGCTTTGGCATCTTCAGTTTCTCTTTTATTGTGCAGAAACTTTCCCAGGGCATGAAATAGAGAGAGTGTCTCATCTCTGCCAAATAACAATGAAATTCCACTAACTAAAGCATTAATATCATCTTCTTTTCTGTACGAGTAACTTGGAGTAGAATGGGACCCATTGAGCGCTAGATCTGGTTTCACACAAAAGAGCTGCAAGGATGTAATTGCATGTCTTATATCACCTCCACTGGCTTTTGCAATCAGATCAAGTTGTTCGTCAGTTACACTATGCTGCTCCTGTCTGCATATACTACTGAGGGTCCTCTTAATGGAGTTATTTGTAATAGGGTTAAAAGAAACCTGAAATTTTTCCAAAGCAGTTTCAATTGCGCATAAGAAAATAACGAAATATCAGTTTTAACATTGAATTTGTTCAAGAAAGTAACCTTACAAGCCCCAGCATTCTCAAGAGACAACTGAAGTTGTTCCAAAGATCGTGCCGTATGATCTGTTGAATCTGCTTTACTATAGTCTGTTACCAGTATAGCTGTTGGTATCTGAGTTGATCTCACAAGATGAAGCAAGCAGCTTTTAAGTCTTTCAAAAGCATCTCTTCCATTCGTCACAGGAAGGTCATCAATTAAGAGTATAATCGATTGTTTTGAGTCCTTGGCGAAGGATGATGGGATTAATCCATACTTTCTAATTTTCTCGGTGAAATTTACAAATTCATCCAACTTGGATGTATACTGTATTCCTGACCACAAAATGACAACAGCAGAATGCCAACATCAAGTCACAATTTTATAATCATCTACAAGATAGGATAGAATGAAGCACCAATGTATGTTTGGCGTCAAACTTGAAGTTTTTTTTTTCCTACTATGGTTAAATAGAAAGTTTATCTCGAAATTATATGAGATCAAGGACAATGCAAGCCATGCATTTTTACTCTGCAATAAAAATTTACCTGTATTGGCATTATGCACATGTTCCTGCCAAATTGTAGGAGTAGGTGTGTTCCATTCACATAATCTAGCTCCAAAATGAGATGCAATCACATGGATAGTTGTCTGCAAGGTAAGAAGCAAGATATCTTGCTTGTCAATGGGACGTGAACAAAATTACTGGTTATTCAGTAACACACTTGAATATCTTAGGAGATTGTCGACACAGTTGAGTCTTTCAGGAGAATCATTGCTTATCAAGCAACAGACAAATAACAGGAAAAAAGAAAGAAAGAAAGGATAGTCGTGCTCAATGAGAATAAAGACACAAGAAACTCACGTCCAACCATACACAAGCATATTATACAGAGACGATATGTGCACTGACACAAATATAATAAAAATTAAGGAGCTCATAAACAGCATTATTCATGTCAGAACATATGATCCAAAAAAGAATCATTCTTTCCTGTTACAAATAGCAGGCCCAAAACATTAATAACAGCATATAAAAAACTTACAGATTTTCCAACACCAGCTTGCCCGGTGATGACAAGAACATGATTTCTCAAATTTTCCTGCAAATGCTGAAGAAAAGACCATTAACTTCCACAATTTAAAGTGTAAGAAAGAATGTTAAAAACTAAAACTAGTAAACCTTCCTCGTCAAAGAAATTTAGAAGAAACGGTAATAGGTTCATAAATATAGAGTTACCTTAGGAGTTTTTAATCTTTCCTCGAACCACAATTTAACTTCTTCAACCTGCAAATATCAGGAAAAGGTTAAATATACTATTATAAGCATCCTGCCAGAAGAGTATGAATGCAAAAATGAAAGATAGAAAATAAACTAGCCTTCTTCTTGTGAACGGCAAGTTCTTCCAAGGAATGAGGTCTGTACTTATCAACCCATAATTCGTTTACATTACTTCTTCCAGAACCTAGTATATACATTTCTTTCCAATTAGCTTTAAGTTGCCAGAAATAAATACAACAATTAAAGAGGGCCATGTAAGTAAGAGTCAAGTCCAACAATGTTCAAATTCAAAGGAAATGTCAACAAAGACATTCCCAACATAAAATTACAACCAAAGCTTTGTACATTTATTAACTTCATCAGAGAACAAGAATGAAACTACCTATAAGCTTATAAACCGCTTCAATATATTCGCGGGAAACAGAAAATCTAATTCTGCAAACAACTAACATGCTTGAAAACTGCAACTGATGCACAGAAACAACCATGGCATACCAGCAGATACCTTGGACCCAGAAAATAATTCTTCAAAATCTTCATTAGGAAATCCAACCTGCATTATGAAAAAAAAAAAAAATCAAGCACGTCTCAGGTTCATCAGTACACCAATTACAAACACAAATTAGCCATTACATTAAGTATCTGGAAAAAAAGAGTAAGAAGTAAATAAATAAATATAAACAAAACAAAACCATCGTTTATTCCACAATTTCAAGCACCTAATTTGTAAAAATAAAATAAAATTTGTCCTACATTTAATAAAAATGAAGAATTAATTTACTAATAACACAAAATTAAGGTATAAAGGAATAATAATATTCATTACCTCAAATAAATTAGTGGACTCTCTGCTAAATCGAGACCGAGAACCCAAAACACGAGGCTTCTTTGGTTGTCTAGGGTTTGTACGAGTAATGAACGGCCTTGATTTTGACTTCTTTGTATAGCTTCGATTTAAACTCGGTTTATAATCACAATCGTCGTCTTCATCATCTGATGATAGAATCACAGTAGTGTCTCTTCTCTTCCCCATCACCGACAGAAAAAGAATCCCCAAGTGTTTAGGGTTTTCTAAGGGTAAATGTTGATAGTGTTCACTTCATTTCTAGAGAAGGAGAGAGAGCTGTTTTGTTTTCGCGGGTTATTGAAAACCGCGGGGGGTTTTGTGGAGAGAGGGTGGGATTTGAGGGAGAGTGCGAGAGAAGCTATTGGTGAATGATGGGCATTTGAAATCTATAGGCTTGTTTTCAAGGCTCAAATAAGTTTATGGGCTGGATTGATGTTATTGAGCTTGCCCCATGTTCTGGATCGTTTGGTCCAACTAAACACCAATTACATGCAAACCACACCTTCCGACCATCCACATGGATAGGCGTGGGTAAGAGTGTTGATTATTTAATAAAAATAAAATAACTAAATCGAATCGTATTAAAATATTATTTTTAATGTATTTTTTATAAAAATTAAAATAAAAAATCGAATCGAATTAATTTTAATTTTTGGGTTTGAGTTCAGCTATTTAAAAAAAAAAAATCGATTAATCAAAAAATCAAATTTTATATATTTATGTGTATTAAGTCGATTACTTACTCGTACTCTTAAATTAAAAAATCCTTCTCCTTTATATGTATTTTTTTGTGCAGCTATAAATCTAGATGTACACAAAATAACAAATATGTTGATAAATTTTCTATCGTCTCCGATTCAAGCCTTTTTAAGTAGATGATTTATTATTGTTTATCTATTGATGGATTTGTCATTTTTCTTGGATGCAATTTAGTTTCCTAGCTAGTAGTCCATAAAGCAGAAAGAAACCCACTCTAAATAGAGATTTTAAAAATTTTAATAGAATCAATCATTCATAGAAAAAATAGAATAAAATAAAACAGGTAAAAATCGAATTACGAAACATTGAAACCGAACGAAAAAGCTAAATAATATTTCGGTTCGGTTTCGGTTTTTTTTTTTTAATTTAGTTAATTGAAAACCATTTAAAATATTTTGAAACCAAATCGAATAACTGAACGAACACCTCCGGGCTTGGATTTTTGCTTGAGATTGAAATCTCAAACAAATTATTTAATCCTTTTTCTGACAATGGATTGTTGTTGTCTTCGTTTCGTTGTGCAGCTCCCGAATTGTCTCTTGCTTCCACTGCTCCACTCCTCTCCTCTCTCGTTTGCTGACAGATTGTCTCCCTCGGTTGCTCCTCTATTAGCGAAGGATGAGAGCTAGCACAAGGGTATTCAGACATGCATGAAAACCAGGAAACCGAACTACTTGACCCCCCTAGGATCTTCCTTTCGGTATGTGTAGAACTGGAACAGTCAATCATGCCAGCGATTATAAATTAAATACCACGAATGGTGGCACGAAACATCGCTACCATGCGTTGAAGTGTTGATTTTTTTCATGATTTAATTCATTCATGGTATTTGATTTGTGAACCAAGGCATTTTCCTTAAAACAAGACTCTCACTGTATCTCATTCGTGTCCTTTTGTGACGCAAAAAAATAGTTAAATCTAGTATCTTTTTTTTTATAAAAAAAAAACAATTTTCTTTTCTAATTTAACATAATATTCTTCCCCAAAAAAAAAATCATTAATACCAATATTATATTTTTCAGCAAGTCAATCCGGATTATTTTCCAACTGAATTCAGAAACTCATTCTCTCTCTCTTTTCTTACTGTCTCTGTTTGTCTTCCAAGTCTACAAGAGAATAAAAGATCTTAATTAAAAAAAATTCAAAAAATACATGATTTATATATGAAAAAACCTATTTATTTAATTTTGTCTTTTTTTTTTTTTTTTTTGCATAACTTTATACTAGATTGTGCGTTAATTGATACTATTTTTTTTTTTTAATGATGTCAAAAGAGTTCTTTATCCATTCTGACATCACGCATTTGGATTTTACTAAAAATTAAAAACTTTAACTTTAGTTTACGGAGAATTGAACATAATGACAATGATTTCAATTATAGTAGTATTTAGAGTAGACATGAAATACAATAAAAACAAAATTAACTTTTATCATGTGAAATAGTAGGATTTATCTTCACCATAACACTCCGTCCAGCAAAGTGTCTTCTAATTTCTATTTACCTATCAAAATCATATTTTTCATCAAATCTCATTTCTCATGATTGTGCATTGAATCAGAGAATGTCAATAAATCAGATATAAAATAAATATCTGTTTTATTCAATCTAATAAATAATTATTTAAAATTTTTTATGGATATTAAAGTAGATAAAAAAAATATTTACTCTCTAATATAATTTCATGATGTATGAATACTTATTAATTTATTTTGATTTTTTAAACACTCAAGAATCTGATTGGATAAACTTTAAATATTAAAAACTAAAATATATTTTTCAAAAACTATGAGAACCAAAAAAAATTATAAAGAAATGATCAAAATGTAAAAATAAATAAATTTTAAGGATTTAAAAAACTTTTTTGAAAATCATAAGAATTAAAATAAAATATTTTTAACAAATATTAAATAAATACTAAATAAACAGATAAACTAATGTGAGGTGGATAAAAATTTATATGTTAATTTTTTAATGGATAATGAGTAAATATTTTTTTATGCATTAAATAAAAAATTAAATTAATGAGTCGATATCTATTCACTATATCCCTAATTGAATCAACCCAAAAAAACACCTAAATAATCCTTCAAAATGTTTCTATTTCTCACTAAACCAATGCTAAATTACAAGTTTTTGTTTTTCCTTTTTTAACCGAAGGAGTATAATAATTCATTCAATTATTATTTATGGCATGTGACAATTTCCAAGCCACAAATTTCAATAACAATAATCATATAATAAAAAGACCTTCAAGTGGGGTCAAGCACCCAGGCACCAACACCTATCCCTTTGGCCTTCCCCTACCTACCCTCCTCATGTCCTCATGTCCTCTCTTTCTTCCTTCAAACACTCTCCATGCCTCACCAAACGCCACACACCAATCTGCAGACCCAAAAACCTTTCCCCCTCTCTAACCCGAACTTGGGTCCGACTCCAAACTCATGGCTTCCACGGCCAACGCAATCTCCCTCTCTCTCCCCACCATCCACAATCCCTCCTCTCTCTCAAAACCCAAATCCCTCCCCGATTTCTACCTCCGGTTTCATAACCCCAACCCAAAATTTACCCGGGTCGGACTTTCTGTAACAAACCCGAGCAATCGCATTCGAACTTTATCAACAATCCGTGCAAGTGCAGCTTCAGTGATGGAAGCGAGTTCGAAAGAGAAAGCTTTGCCTACGATTGTGGAAGTTGACTTGGGTACTCGGAGTTACCCGATCTATATTGGATCCGGGCTATTGGATCAACCCGAGTTGCTTCAAAGACATGTTCATGGAAAGAGAGTTCTTGTTGTTACTAATAGTACTGTTGCTCCTTTGTATCTTGATAAAGTCGTTGATGCTTTAACGAGAGGGAATCCTAGTGTTTCAGTTGATAGCGTGATTCTACCTGATGGTGAAAAGTACAAGAATATGGTAAAGTGCAATTTTTAAATTTATTTAGTTTTTAGGTAGAAGATGGAAAATACAAATGCACAATGTGTAATACAAGTAGTAGAAGGTTTTTAACTGTGTTTTAATCTTTTGTTAACAAGAAAAGGAAAAATTAAATTAATTGGATAGAATTTGAACTCTTTTTTTTTTTGTTTTACTGTATGTGTCTTTGTTTTTATGGTAGTTGAGTGAAATTGGAATGTATGTGTGTTTCTGTTTGGTTGATAGGAAACGCTGATGAAAGTGTTTGATAAAGCAATTGAGTCGAGGTTGGACAGGAGGTGTACATTTGTTGCGCTTGGAGGTGGTGTGATCGGTGATATGTGTGGATTTGCAGCGGCATCTTTTCTTCGTGGTGTTAACTTTATTCAGATTCCTACAACTGTTATGGCACAGGTTGGTTTTTAATGTTTGATGTTTATTTTTTTTCAAGTGGGTTGTTTGGTTTGTGTTGTGTCTTAAATGTTGATTGTGTATTTTGTTGGTTCTGAATTGTTTATTTTGTTAGGTGGATTCTTCGGTTGGAGGCAAAACTGGGATTAACCACCCACTTGGGAAGAACTTGATTGGTGCATTTTATCAACCTCAATGTGTGTTGATAGATACTGATACGCTCAATACATTGCCGGATAGGGAACTGGCATCAGGGCTTGCAGAAGTTATTAAGTATGGACTTATTAGAGATGCTGGGTTTTTCGAGTGGCAGGAGAAGAATATGCCGGCTTTGATGGCAAGGTATTCAATACTTATGAAAGAACTTTGATTAGTTTTTGAAACCCCCTGTGAGTTGATTCTTGTGTTTGCACTAACAAGAATAACTTTGCATGGAATTCAAACTAATGAGCCTTATTTCAGTCTTAGGAATGCATCTATTTAACTTTGAGCTGTCTAAGATATTAAGAATGCATCATCTAGACAGAATAGGATTACCTTATGTTCTACCTCACGAGGCTTTAATCTTGAATGGTTTTGTTTTTGGACTTTGTCAATTACAGGGATCCAAGTGCCATGGCTTATGCCATCAAGCATTCATGTGAAAATAAGGCTGAGGTTGTATCCTTGGATGAGAAGGAAGGTGGACTAAGAGCTACTTTGAACTTGGGTCACACATTTGGCCATGTAAGTTCTTGCTTAGGCAATTGACATATTCTGTGCTTGCATATCTGATGCATGCTTGTGTTTCTCATGTGTGTGCGTGGGTGCAAGAGGTTACAATCTATTCTGTTGATTTAAGCTGTAAGTTTTGCTTGTGTGCTTGCTGTCATATAAGGGTTCTCTGTTATTATCTAATAGTTCATGTTCATGGCCGAATAAACTCTCATTGTTTTAATAGCTTCCTATTTGGCTGAACCCCAGGCAATAGAAACAGGATTTGGTTATGGTGTGTGGCTCCATGGAGAAGCTGTTGCAGCTGGCATGGTATAGAATTTGCCTGATGTGTTTTTCTTATCTTCCATTACTATTTACCAATCCTTACTTCTCTTGTTTGTATGCTGACATTCAGGTCATGGCTGTTGACATGTCATACCGCCTTGGTTGGATTGATGATTTGCTTGTGAAGCGTGTTCACAACATTTTAGAACAGGCCAAGCTACCCACATCTCCACCAGATACCATGACTGTGGAAATGTTCAAGTCTGTGATGGCGGTAAGGGAATTAAATGCCCCTGTTTCTGCAAGTTCAATTTGGTTTTTCTCATCATTAAAGCGTTTGTATTCTACTCCTTTGGCAGGTCGATAAGAAGGTAGCTGATGGGCTGCTAAGGCTTATCCTTTTGAAAGGCCCTCTGGGTAATTGTGTATTCACCGGTGATTATGATAGAAAGGCCCTGGACGATACACTTCGTGCATTTTGCAAATCATGATTCCTGTTATCACTGATTTTTGTGACCAGCTGCATACGATTGTTGTACCACCTGATGTGTGCTGTGTATTTTAAGGTCTTGCTAGTATTCTTTACCATGTTTGCCTTAGTTGGCAGACCATTACTAAGCTGTAATTTTAGAAATTTGTCACAAGCAATAAAGTTGGTTCTTATTTTCTGTCTTTTATTTTATTTATTTATTTTGTAATCACCAACCCTAACCGCGGAGAAGATCATGCCCTGTATTTTGAAGACTTAAGATGGGCAGCAAGGCTTAACCTGCAAGACAAAACTCGAGATGACTGCATTGATGGTGTCGTGGAGGTAAGTCCAGTACCCAAGCAAGGTGTTCAAGGAAAGCTTTTTAAGTGTTAGAAATACCTACAATGTAAAGAGCTAGAAACCTTGCTGGTCAATATTGGTGTTGCTGTGTTGGTCGAGTAACCAATCAATTCGACTCAAGGTCTGACGCAAATAGAGGTTGCTTACTCTCCCTAGTAGCGAAGGAAGAGGGCAGGGCACGGTGTTGAATTGGCTTTATGACCTCCCTGTTAGTGGACGTCAATGTTAGCGGCCATGGTTAACTATCACCGTATAGTGAATGACATATAAATTTTTTTGTGATCTTAATGTGGTAATCTTTATGCATGAATGTCCTTGCCTCTCGGATAGATGGTGACTAACCAGTCTAACAGTTCTAGACTTCTTGTTCTCGGCTTTCCCTTGTTTAGGTTTCTTAAAGTAGCTAAGCGTACCTGGGCTTATGGTATTGTGAATTTCTACAAATTCTACTTGGAAGGTGATTGTGTTAGCCCTCAATTTCTTTATAATATCAGAAAAAATGAAACGAGAAAAGATAGCCATCATAAAGTCGTGTCTAACATGGAAAAATTTTATGTTATGGAATAACTGAAAATACTTATTTGAAATTCATGGTTTTGGAGCTTATAAATATGTCCAATTTAAAAGCAAGTATTTTTTTTATCTTTTTACCCAATATATAAATGATAAATCTGATGGAATTTTGAACCCAATTTGAATCCATTAGAAATCGCATTAACATTTTTAAAATTCAATTTGAATTTATAAGGTTCAATTTCATTTGTTTTATTAAACAAATTGGATCCGGATTTCCTATGATTTGATCCGAATTCAATCCGTTGACAACCTTACTTAAAAGAGAGAGAGAGAGAGAGAGAGAGAGAGAAAAATTGAATTTAGGTTCAAATATTATTTTCATTTTTGTGGGTTTTGATGTGATTTTTTTTTTAATCTTCCGTCTTTTTAACGTAAATTTATAGAATAAGTAGTAGTTACTAGTTAGATAATCTCGTTACGTTGTGGTCGGATAACCATTATATAAGCGGGGTTAACGATTCGTATGATGTGATGCGAGTAGAAGTTTTATTTTTAGAGATTAATGTACATCAAATCTATATATTAAGCGAACTTGTTTGATTTATGTGTATTTATTAACAAAATAATTTATAATATTAGTATAAAAATTTGTATTTGAATAATTAAGAGGTTTTTCAAAACATTAATTAAATTATTTTATTTAAAAATACAAATTTTAGAACATGAAAAAAATAAATAACAAATAATCGATGTTATGTGTGCGGATATAATTAATTTTTAAGAAAACTAATATATATGTATCGTACTTAGTAGATTCGGAGTATATAAAATAAATAAAAAAATATACAAAAAACCCACTCGAAATCTCATGGAATATATCGAAGTGAATAGATTTAAATAAAAATTATTATAAAATTAGTTTCGATAAATTCGATTATATATAGATATATATAACCAAATAAAACTTGTGAATTTTTTAACTAATTATTAATTTTTTTAAGAAAAATCGAGTCAAATTATTTTTTTAACTGATTATTATTTTTTAAAAAAATTAAGTCAAATTATCTAAAACACACTATTAGCTCTCTCTCTCTCTCTCTCTCATAATTTACATATACAACTACGCTACTCTCATTTAAAAATCATATAAATAATTAATCGTATAAATTATAATAATATATTTTAAAAAATAAAATAATCACGTTCTTAAATTTTATTTCAAAATAAATATATATAAAAATCAAATTTATTAACAAATAAAATTATAAAAAAATAGAAAAATAAATTTGATGAGAATTTTAATAAGAAAAAAACAGTTGAAGAAATAAATTTTAAATAATAAAAATAATATAATTAGATATATATATTCAAACTAAAATCTTAAAAAATGTCATATATATTTTATTATCGTCAAATTATACGTAAAACTAAAAAAAAAAAAAAAAGAAACAGGCTTAGGCAGGCTTGGCTTACCTCCCAAGTCTGCACAAACAGTCCCGTTTATTTTTTTCTTTTCAATAATTTATTTTTATATTTTTTTTTATGAAATTACGTGTAAAAATATAAAAAAAACCAAGGCTAGGCTCCCAATCAGCACAAAAAGAAATGCTACAGTAAATAAATAGTAAAAATCTCATATTTTTAAATTTTTTTAGTAATTTCATGAATATTTTAACTCTAAGAGTATTTTAAAATTTATTTACTGGACCTTTATCAGTATCTTTTTCTTCTCCTTCTGTTGTTCTCGTAAACCAAAACAGAAACGTCTTTCTTGATCCCTTGCTCGGGAACCATGGGCCGGGGCTCGAGGTTACCCTAAAGATAAAAATTATCTCTTTATTTAATCAAATAAAGGATTCCTCATACATTCTTTTAAGATCAAATCAGTTGCTAATCAGTCGGTTACATGGCTTAATAATGAGAATTTTGAATGTCTAATTAAATAACAGGAAGCAATTATTTGTATTGATAATTAAGAATTCACCTCAATGTGACTCTGTTAATCTCATTTTATAGCTAAAACTTAGGGCCTTTATTGCTTAAATAATGAATCAGTTTCTGCTTTTGTAACTGTTTCTTTTCTTTCTTGTTTGGTTAATGCAGGATACAGTCAAGAAACGCTATATCAGACTTCATGACAGTCTTTATCATATTAACTTGACAGATCTTTTCGATTTTTACTATCAAATGCATGTCTAGCATAGATGAATTTAAAAAAACTAGTCGTCGATCCTAAGTGTCTTGCTCTTGCTGTTGCTCTTAGACCTGGAAATCACTTCTGCAATATGCATCAAGCATGCCCATCTGACCATCTCAGAAATTAGCATCGTCTTGTTCGCATTTTAGTCTAGTCAATAAAGGGACCTGCCTCCATGAAAACATTTCTCAATTGGATAATTTATCCTCGGATTCCATCATCACCACTAGCTGGACAACTTTTTCCAAATCTATGTCGTAAATCCTACTTACAGGGCTAAACTCAGGTCCTCTTCAGCTTAAAGTTCTTAAACCTTTTTTAGTACTGCTTTTGAATCAAATCTTCCTAAATTAATATTTTCGTGTCCCTGATCTTGTCTAATAAAGGGAACTGTGTGCATGGAAATATTTCCTAATCGAATAATCTTAGTCTTACCATTAAACAACCAAAGACTTTGGAATAAAAGAAATTAATTAAGGACAGACAAAATCATTAATTATCTGTACCTGACTTTGTGGCGCCGTACGTGGATATGGTGCATTGGTGTTAATTTGGATTAAATTACTTGGAAAACAAGAAAAGTTTCCCGTTAATTAAGGAAAACAACAGGAGTTTCTCTATGTCTTCGTTAATTTAATGGCTGATTTTTATTTTTTATTTTTTCTTTTAATTCAAAGCAGAGTAATTTATTCCTATAAATCCTAATGAATGCGAATCTTGAGTTTTTCATCTCTTCTACTGTTACCTTAATAATTAAATATTGAATATATTATTGATAAATTATTTATTATTTACTGAAAATTAAATATTAGATATAATAAGATTGTTTGATAAATAATATTGATGAATTTATTAAGAGTAATACATGATAATTTTAACCGTATGATCATAACGGTGATATTTTTAATACAAATAAAAATATATACATAGATGTTTTTATTTATATAAATAAATAAGAATATTTATATTAAAAAAAAAAAAAAACCTCATCTTAACGTGCTAAATTTCAGACCTGAACTTCTGCTTCTCATCGCTAGATTTGAAAATTATAAACTTTGTCTTTTTCTTGTACCCAATTCCTTAAGAAATCTGTCTTCTTCTTCGTCAATTCTCAAACCCAATCATTGTGGCGTACGTGGAAAATTCCCAGACAGCATACCACGGCGATCAAACTTGCAAGTGCTAAATTTGTGGAGCAACAGATACCTTATTGGCTCTTTCCCATCATCCAATGTGAGTAGTGCTCTTTCACCTTTGACTCTATTTGGGTTTTTCCAACGATTGATGGGAGAGATTCCTTCCTCAGTTTACGAGCTGAAATTTTTAAACATCCTTTGACTTGTCCAACAGCAGCTTTATTGGTTCTATACCACTACGTTTAGGGAACTTTTCGGTGTTGCATCTAGGCACGAACAATCTCCAGGGCACTATCCCTTCAACATTTTCAAAGGGGAATAGCTTGAGATATCTCAACCTCAATGGCAATGCGTTGGAAGGAGAAATAACACCATCTATCATCAACTGTACAAAGTTAGAAATCCTTGACCTTGGCAATAATAATATAGAGGACACATTCTCCTGCTTTCTAAAAGCACTTATAGAGCTCTAGGGGTTTCTTAAGGGTCCAACTACAAGTCACGCGTTCCCCAAATTGAGGATTTTCGACCTTTATAACAATAGTTTGAGTGGTCCACTGCCGAGAGGGTATTCCAGTAGTCTTGAAGCAATGATGGTCTCAGATCAAGATGTGGTGTACATGAGGGCAACAAATTTCTCTCGGTATATGGAAAGGCTTGGAAATTGAGTCTGTTGAAATCCAAAAAACTCTCGCATCCATTGATTTGTCAGACGAGAATTTCACTGCAGAGATGCCAGAGTTGATAGGAAAGCTGAAAGCAGTTCAACACCTTCACCTCTCTCACAACTCCCTTACAGGCTGCATACAACCTTCATGAGTGGAGATTTTGACTAAGCTGGAATCGTTAGACCTCTCTTGAAATTTCTTTAATGGAAGGATTCCTATGCAACTGACAGATCTAACATTTCTTCAAGTCTTGAACCTTTCATAAAATCGTCTTAAGGGACCCATACCTCAGGGAAAGCAGTTCAACCCGTTAGTTCAGGGCTTGTTAGAAAGAAACTTGGGATTATGTGGACGTCCATTGTTAAAGCAATGCATCAACGATGATACACAAGAACTGCTGCCATCCAATTCTCTGCTTCGAGTTACTACAATTCTTTTGTCCCACAGTTTCTTTGGCCTCATATAAATTTTAAGATTCTAGGATCGTCACCTAAAGCTGCATCCGATAATAGAAGAATGAGGCAAAATCCACCTTCGTTTTTCACAAAGCCAGCCAGCACAAAGTTCTTGTTTGTTCGACTGGTATTCTCAAAGCCATGACTTTCGTGACACTCAATCAATACCTTTTAATTTCTTTTACTTTGTGAAGACTATATCAGTCAGAATGTCCAGTAAGGAATTTGTTGGCTAATTGTGAAAAACCTATAAAATTAAAATTTGGAAGACTTTCTAAGCACAAAGTTCTTGTTCAGATGGTATTCTCAAAGACATGACTTTCGTGACTCTCAAAGCCATGACTTTCGTGACACTCAGTTAATACCTTTTAATTTCTTTTACTTTGTGAAGACTATATCGGTCAGCATGTCCAGCAAGGAATTTATTGGCTAATTGTGAAAAACCTATAAAATTAAATTTTAGAAGAACTTCTCAGCACAAAGGTCTTGTTCAGCTGGCATTCTCAAAGCCATGACTTTCGTGACACTCAGTCAATACCTTTTAATTTCTTGTACTTTGTGAAGACTATATCGGTCAGAATATTCAGCACGGAATTTGTTGGCTAACTGTGGAAAACCTATAAAGTTAAATTTTGGAAGACCTTCTCCCTTCAGGCTCCTGATGATTCAGATGTTGCTAAAATCTTTACAATTTGTTACAATCGATATAGTTGTTACTATACTTCTGATCATTTTCGTGCATTCTATTCGCTTGTTTGTATATTGACAGGTCTCCTGGGTGTCAAATTCTTCATATATATCCTGGATTTTTGAAAGTCTGCCTATTTGTCAAGGATCAAGGTGTAGTATCTGAAATGCGAGGAAATCACTACATGGGCGGTAAAGGAAAGTGAAGGCCATGCAAAGTTCATCTGCTTCAAACCTTCTGGCTGTTGCTTCAACTACATCTCCATACTTGGATTCTTCTATTACAGATAGCAGTCGACACAAAATCAAAGATTGTCCCTCTAGCAGCATAGAAGGGATCTCATCAAGAATTTTGGATAAACCAGCCACTCAGGTCTCAGCCAGCTTGCAGCATCAAGAGGCCTCTCTGTTTCACAAGCTATAACTCCGTTTCAAATTACTTGTCTTCAATCAAATAATCGATCTTTTTCATTCAATTCTACTCTGAACTAAATTTCCTATTTCAAGTGCCCCAACGTTAAAACAAAACTTTCAAGTATATATGTGAATGAGTGAATGAACTGCGTGTGGTATGTGAAAAAAAATCATGGCTGAAAGCATCAAATTGTTATTAGATTTTAGAATATAGTTAACCGAACAGGAAGCACATGCATCAAACGGTTTACGCCTCTGCAAAGCCAAAAGAGCGCCATGTTCTTGCTATTGGCTGCGGGTTGGATTGCAATTTCCACAAGCACCAGATTCGATCGCAATTTGGCATAGCTTGCATAGCCAACCTCCACAATTTCTTCGACTCAAATTAGCTGCTGGTTTCACGTCATTTGCAATTGTGCGAATCACACGGTCTTCTTGCTTCCATGAAATGCATGTACGTATGAGAGACTCCAAGGTGGTGCTAAAATGAAAGAGATCGATCTTTATTTCTATGTTGTTGTAAAGATAATAATGAAACGTAGTGAAACTAAATTCAAAGAAGCATGGAAATAATTGAGCAGAAAATATGAGAGTACATCTCGGAAATGGTGGCAAGGTTTTCATTGTACGTAGTTTGCTAATGTTTGAAATAGCCATTGGATCATGACTAAGTCAATAACCGAAATTCAAAATTCGCGGGTGAATTGAGTTTCTCTTTGCCGTCAATTTATTTTATTTTATGATAAGTCAAAAAATAAATACTGTTTTAAAAAATCGTCTTCTTTAACTTTTCATACGGTGTAAAAAAATTATTAATTTTTATGCTATGCTAGTATTTTTTTTTACCTTCTTAAAATACAATATTTATTAAAATTATTAGTTATCAAATTTAATCATATCTTACATCAAACCAATATTAATTTTAAAAGAAAATTTATTCAAAATTAAAATGATAAATAAAAAAAATCATTAATTTAATTAACGCTTAAGTTTAAACAATTATAAAAAAATAATATATTAATGAAAATACTTTACTATCAAAATTTCAACATGCAAAAAAGTATTTACAAAATGAATAGTTTTCATATAATAAGAAATTTATCTTTAATCTTTTTTTTTAATGTCTACAGTATCTGTCCCTTTGAATTCCTAAGGTAACTTAAGCTTAAAATCGAGACTAATTTTTTATTAAATGTATAATTATCTGAAAAGTTTTTTATGCATGTAAAAATTCGAAAATAACATCATTTATCTAAAACCTTTCTACTCAAGGCAACCCCCACCGATCAATGTGTTTTATTTCATAAAAGGTCGGGAAATGGTTGTGGGCCACAAGCAAAGGAATGATGCTATTTATCCACCTGAAATGAAGACTTTAGGGTTCTGTAGGGCTACAAAAGTACTCTATCGAAAAGCAATTTGGTGGAAACTGAAGCTGACACAAGGGCTAGTAGACAGTGATAAAGATTAGCTAAAAGGGTAAAGAGATTGAACAAGTATGGTGTGAGTGACACAACTCTAATTGCCAGGCTCATGGTGTATGCATGTACATGAGACTCAAACCATCAGAAACATGTGTCCCATTTATGTATAAATAAATTAAGAACAATACAACTTTGCAAGATGCCTAATTGATAAATTCAATCATTTTTTGTTGATTTGATCACTAACCCCATATTAAGTAATTCGAAAAGTTGTTGCAACGTCAACATAAACAAAAAGAGATGGTGAGCTATGGGATTGGATTAGGATGTATTAATTAGAGTGTATGGGATAAAAAGAATCTCAAAAGTTAAGAAATTATTACATATTCATGAATCACAATTCATTGGAATTTTTATTTATTTATTTATTTAAGGAATGAATTAACTGAATGTTGCATTTTTTTTTTAATCTTCGTACATGTAGATGTACCTATCATAAAAATCAAACTTTAGAACTTACGTACAACTCGAATCTTGTTTAACAGCAAGCTCATACATTGTAATTGGGACCTATCATACCAGAACGTAATTTTGGGATAACTTGTAGTAGTACATAGATATATCTCATTTGGAATTTAACGAATATTGTTCTTACCTTTTGGAGCCTGAAAACTGTATAATTTAGTGTGACATTAAGGGATGGATATAAGAAAGAGTAAAGTTGTCCTGTCCAATTCTATCTCTTCCTAAGTTCCAAACAAAGATAGCTGTACGAGGATAGGTGGAGAGTCCGCAACCCATGCTCCGTTTTTAAATGCGTATTTTCCTAGAGAAAATAAGTAAAGGGGAACAAACGCAAACGAATCGGGGAGAGTGGAGGAGAGGTTTGTTTGTTTTGTGTTTTGTTGTTTGTTGAGTTGGCGAAGATTTTGGTTGTCTCTCATCCTCCTCACCTTCTCAACAAACGAACGCTTCAACTGCATAATTTCACGGCCAGCTAAACATTCCCACTTTTATCACTTTTTTTTGGCACTTGTCTCTCTCTCTTTCTTCCCCCTTCTCTTTTGGTAATCCATCATCATTGCTTCAACAAAAAAGGCAAAAGAAAAAGAAGAAGCTCTTTTGGTCTCTTAATTTCTTCTTCTTCTTGTGTGTTTCTTGATTTTATGTTTTTGGGTTTCTTTTTCTTAATGAACAGATGATGATGGCGTGGAGGTGTTGGGATTTGTGTGTGTGATCAGGAGGAAGAGGGTGTTTTGTCCTCAGGTGGTGAAGATCTGAGGCTTTTGTTTCTCTTTTAAATAAATTTTAAGTTTTGTTTGTAATCAATCAGAAAAGAAAGAGAAATGAGCGCATCAAGGTTTATAAAGTGTGTCACGGTAGGAGATGGAGCTGTTGGTAAAACTTGTCTCTTGATTTCTTACACCAGCAACACCTTCCCTACGGTAATTCAATTTCAATTCCCCTTTTTGTTCCTGACTCGTTTGTGTCTTGTTCTTTTTCTCAGTTTTTGTGAGAAATTGGGATTTGAGTTCTTGAGTTTTGGTGGAAATGATAATGGGTTTCGTTATGTTTCTGTTTTCATTACAAATTTATTTGAATTGGGATGTCGGTTTTCTGAGTTTTGGTGGAAATGGAAATGGGTTCCATTTCATTTCTATTTTGGGATTCTATGTAAAATTTGTTGTCATTTTATTTATGATTTGGTTGGGTGGTAATTTGAGGGCAGTTCATTATTGGACATGGTTGCTTGATTTGGTAACAACTTCTTGGGAGTTTAAGATTATTGTCTTGTTTTTTTTTTTTTTTTTTTTCCAATTACGGATTGATCGAAGCTGAACTTTGCTTCTGTTTTTAGTTTGACCTGGCTTAAGTTTATTACCATGAAGGGTTTTGGTTTTTCAATGAAGAAGTGGGGCTATTTATCCAAATTAAGTTTTTTTCCCCTTTCCATTTTACGTAGCACAAAATTCCCGTTCTTGTCTTCTTATTTTCATGGGATTCAATCAAATCCTTCGCAAGTGGATATTATTCAATGTAATGGCGTTGCCTTATTTTCTTTGCATTGTTGTGATAAACAGGATTATGTGCCTACAGTTTTTGACAATTTCAGCGCAAATGTGGTCGTCAATGGTGCTACTGTTAACCTGGGGTTGTGGGATACGGCTGGTAATTCTACATAGATCTTTATATATTTTCATGAAATTTGTGTGTTTCTTACTCTATATTTTATTTTGGATGTGTGTTTCTGCTTGGATCTGACTTTGTTTTTTATTGAATCAGGGCAAGAGGATTATAATAGATTAAGACCATTGAGTTACCGTGGGGCAGATGTTTTCATACTGGCATTCTCTCTCATTAGCAAGGCCAGTTACGAAAATGTTTCTAAGAAGGTTGGTAATTAGACTGCATGAAATGCTGTCTTTTTTCCTTTTTTTCCAATCATAGATAAACTTTTCCTAGATGATGAAAAAATTCGAACATGCTGATGATTTCATACTTGGCTTCATTTCCAGTGGATTCCAGAGTTGAAGCATTATGCACCTGGTGTCCCAATAGTTCTTGTCGGAACAAAACTTGGTAAATTTTCTTCTCTTCTGGGGTTTCTGCACCTGTTTGCTACTTTCTGAGCATTGGTGATCTTCTATGCATGGTGTTTGATAGATGTGTGTGTAAACATGAAGTCTGCACATACCATCTTGAGTGTGTGATGATTGTTCATATGAGTTTGTTCATTCAACTGCTTTTTGTGCACAATTTTAAATTGACAGTGATCCTTTACATCTAACATAATAGAAGCTTTTATTGTCTATTGTGCATAGTTGCTCGTAATAATTTTTAAGTTGCTGTTCAGGAAGTTAAGCTTTTATTGTCTATTGTGCAGCAACACATGATTAGAAATTTTTGTGGAAAATGATTTACTTTTGACATGCACTTTTATATTTTATCCTTCTCTCTTTTTGTGGGATGGGTGATACTCAAAGTTCTGCTTTATGCAATCTGCTTCATGATCAATGTTTGCAGCTTGATTTTGTGAAAAGTTTTCAATTTTTGCGATTTTTTAACGGGCTTAAGTTAATAATTTGACGGGTGTTACTCTTCTAAGGGAAAAAAATAGTGACTTGTCAAGAGTACATCTTTCATATTGTCTAAATAAAGCTAGATGTGGCCCATAGTAGCTGATTTGTTGGTGGTTTTCTTTTTGTTTCTTTCATATGACCCTGTATTTCCTTTGACAAAGAGTCACTAATTTGTATTTGTCATGAGGTAGTCTATCTTTAATTTGTGATTTTCAATTCCTTGCAAATATGTTTTTCATTGGACATCCTCCAAACTATACAGAAGGAGTGTTTTTCTTGAGTTAGTCCTTACTTTTCTTGTGCTTTTCAATGAACCAGATCTTCGGGATGATAAGCAGTTCTTCATTGACCACCCTGGTGCTGTGCCTATTACTACGGCTCAGGTAAAAAATCCTGATTGATTGTGTGCTTGCTCTCATTTGAGCATTTAAATGAATTGTTGCCCTCCCTATTTCTTCTTTTGTTTTTTTAGCAAATCCTTCCTATTACTCAACTATTAATGGTGTTGTCTTTGAATATCTAAAAGGGAGAGGAGCTGAGGAAGTTGATTGGTGCACCTGCTTACATTGAATGCAGTTCGAAAACACAGCAGGTATAGATATTTTCCTGCAGACATTGTCTTTGACATTAAATGATTAGTGCACTTAAACTCAGTTGTTAACTTGTTCATGCAGAATGTGAAGGCTGTTTTCGATGCAGCCATCAGAGTCGTCCTTCAACCTCCCAAGCAAAAGAAAAAGAAGAGCAAAGCACAAAAGGCCTGTTCTATATTGTGATTGTAATAGTTGTGAAGTGCCTCTTTGCTACCAACATTCCTTTCCTCTCTTCCCATTGCTCTCTAAGAAGCTTAATTTATCGTCTTCCCAGACAGTAATTAGGATCTACGAAGCATCAGGTGGTCTGGTATTGGTTTTTTGGATTATTCTGGATCTCTAATTGTTGAATTGCATTACATGATTGCCCACCTCCTATTCTTAACTCGCGGTTTTGATATGTTTTATGTATTAATAGACTGGAACATCCCAATTAGGAAGACAACTTAGCCTCGCATGAATTTTTATATATGACTTTGTATCATTTGAAGAGCTTGGTTATGTTGTGCTCCCGATCTTGCTTCAATTTATTATCACATGATTTGTTTCTGATAAAATCTCTGCCTTTCACCCATACAGCAATGCTCCTAAACTCCTTTTTTAACTTTTACTTGGATGTTGCATGATTTAGAAACATCCTCAAGCGACTGAAAAGAAGAAAAATAAAGAGCCATCTAGGTGATAGCATTGAATGACACGGTTACTTCAGATTGTTATTTTGCCAAAAACATGGTAGCTGGTGATAGCAGCTGTTTCAGATTCGTTATAGGTCTGAAAAGGGTGGAGCCTTCAGTTTATTAGCCCACGACATTGGGTGTTAATAGATTTCGGCTTTAATGCAGAGTGGGAAGGGGGCGTGACCATTATTACCATCAGTTGGTTCAGTTCACGAGATGCTTTTTTTTTTTTTTTTTAATAACACATACCCAATTCATACACTTAAAGGCTACTATCAGAATTAGTTTGTTAAGATTTAAACCTATGAACTTTTATAAGAGACAACCACTATTGAGAGATAAGCTGTTTGATAAGACGCTGGTTTTGCTTTTCATTCTTTGTTTTCCCCTTTAAGAGATGCCGAATTGCCGATATTTTTATGGATTTCGACATTGTATTGAATCTAAATTGGCACAATGTGGTCCTATTTGAGCATGGTGAAGTAGTGATCGGACAATGCCTTAGGACCATGCGGCTGGGAATTAAAACATGCTCCCCTGTTTGTGTGAAAGTCCACAAGCTGTCTGCAAACAAGTTCAGCTGAGCTAGAAGGGAAAGGATGAAGTGAGTATGGATAGTAACCCATCCATCTTGTTGGGAGAGAAAGGATGGAGGCTAATCACTAATCAGGCAAAGAGAACAAGGATATGAAATATACTTCCTTGGGTTTCCATCCATTGTGCCAAACAAGATAGATACTTCCTTAGGTTTCCACCAAGGTATTTTTAGGAAATCACTGATGGATGTTGGTTCCTTTCGGGATTTAATCCGTCAAACTCATCAAGGTCCCTTCATAGCCTAAAATTCCCGGGTTATTTTGGTGCATAACTGGAGCATGAGCCCATCGAGGTCCCTTCATAGACTAAAATTCCTAGGTTATTTTGGTGCATAATTGTGGCATGAGTTATTATGCTACTCTAGTGAGGGGTTTAATGGTAATTTTCTTTATCCATTCTATTGCAATTTGACAATTTCAGACCCTTAGTATGGAATTGCATCATTTGAACCCTAAAGTATTGGTTTTTGGGCAAAATTGATCCAATTTCTTAAATTTTACGTCATATGTAACGATTAACACTTGACCATTACTCGTTGTTGTTTATTATTATTTTTTTAAAGAAAAACTGTTTAAAAGATGAATTTAAAATTAATTGGGTTAGAGTCGTCTATGTTATCCTCTTAATCTAACATTTGCAAAATGGAAGGGAAGAGAAAGTAAGGTTTTTGAAATCAAATGTTTTTTCCGTAACCGAGGGAGAGAGAGAGAGAGAGAGAGTTGGTTAGTCTTAGCTTGAAGACAATCGAATCCCTAGAGAGCTGAAATTACGAGGAGAGAGGAGAGATAATGTTAAAGTTTGTTAGGTTTTTTTCAATGGGGTTGAATTCGGGATAGAAAGAATTATTTAGGTCATTTTCAATTTTTGTAATCTTTCTCAAATGTGGTCTCGTGATTGTAAGATTTCATGGCTTCCTATTCTTCTTCTTTTTCTACTTCAAAATCATCAAATACAAAAGCGTTAGTGATAAAGTAGTGGTGTTGTATTTTTTGTTTTCCGTGTGTTGTCAAATTCATAAGTGAAATGCCAAATTCAACTTTGGTATTGCGTATTGAAGGAGAGTTTATTTGAAATCCCTATTTGAAGTACATTGGTGGGGTTTGTAAGATTAAATTAGTTAACCGTGATTATTTTTCCTTTCCTTGAAACAAGTTGTTAAAAGTTATGGATGAGTTTATCCCGAAAAGATACATTGTAGAGTTTTGAGAAATGGGGATACATTAGAAACTCGATTGATTTGTATGTATGAAGAAGCATCTTTGTTTCCATATTTGGATGATTTCATTGAGCAAGGGAATATGGAGTTTTTTGTGGAGTGTGCAAAAAAGTTAGTTATTGATGGGAATGAATTGATGGAACTTGAGGATGGTAGTGGTGTTCATTCGATAATTCGGTTCGATTTTAAACTTTTTTGATCGGTTTTCGATCAACCGAATTGTCTAAAAAATAACAAAAATCGAATCGAATTATTATTCGGTTTTTTGGTTCGGTTTTGAAATATACTAATTTTTTTATTCGATAATTCAGTTTTTACCTATAATTAATACTCAATATCATATGTTGATTCGATCAATAACTTAATTAGAATTGCATCGATTTCATGATCTCAACATTCACTCAAAGATCAACCTTTTTTAATGACAAGCCATAAGAACACATATACCCTATCCAAATTTCAAATAGACTACAATGCTACACTATTCTCTACACTTCAATAATGAAAAAGCAAGAATGTCAAATAACAATTCAATTTCAAGTATTCAAAAAATAAAAAGTTAAAAACAATAATTCAAGTATTCAACATTCCTAAATTACCAAGTAACATAAGTAATTTAACAAAGTAAAAGCAACAAACCAACAACGAGAAAGTAACAACGAGAAGCCAACAATACAAAACTAAGTCACTAATAACTTGCCAAGTAAAATAATTGAATAAACTCCCATAAGTCACAACCACAAATAGACAAGTTCAAGGCTTCAAGCAAAAGGTTCGCTAAATGAAAAATCCTGCAAAGAAAAGGAAAAAAATGCCAATTCTATAAAATATAAAGGCATTTACAAACATAAATGGACACACACAAAGATAATTAATTAAAAATTTACCCATGTCACTCAAAAGATCAAACCACCATCCATTCATTATATACCTATCATAAGTGCATCCGTTGAAAGTTTTAATAGATCTATAAAAAAAAAGTCAACACTTTAAGTCTTTAATATTAATTTGAAAGGAAAAAAGACAAATGAAAATATAAGAATTGAAAAACTTATCGACTTTAAGTTTCTCAACATCTTGTAAATCTTCTTCGATAGTAATTGGCATCGAATTTCGAAGCCATTCTTGAGCACATACAAGAGCTTGCATAATGCTAGGAGTTAAAGAACTCCTAAAGGCATTAAGAACTCTTTCTCTAGTGCTAAATGCTGATTCCGAAGGAATGGTAGATATTGGAATCGCCAACACATCACGAGCCATTTTTGAAAGGATAGGAAATCGAAGAGAATTGATTTTCCACCACTCCAAAATATTAAAATTTTCATCCCCAATTTCGATAGATTCACGAAGATACTTATCTAACTCGATCTTTTATCTTCATCTTTACTTTCATTGAATTTTTGAAATCACGACATCCTCATAAGTGTCTTATTTTTTTCTTCATGGCATGATTGGCATCCGTTCCATAACTTACACTTGAAACTTTCATAATCCCACTACTTTGACCATTAAGACCTTGATTTGGTGATAAATTACAATATGAAGCATCCAAGGCATATGTACATTCTCTCACGTCATATTTCATCTTTTCTCCAAGGCAATCACCATGCAATTCGTTTAATGTAAATGCAACATAAGTAAGTTTATGTGTTGGATCAAGCACGACTCCAATATAAATCAACTTATTTATTTTCTTCATATCCCCCTAATACTTATCAAATTTTTCTCTCATTTTACTAGCCCTTGAACGAGTATCATCATCGGCACACTCTTGCCATTCTCTCAAATCAGCTTCAAGTGTACAAATTTCATCAAAATAATTATTAGAAGTGACATATAAATGACTCGAAACAAACAAAGTAAGGTCATAGAAATTTTTTAATATTGTCACCATCTTCCTATAAGTCCTCCAATCTCCGACACTTGGGTGGTCCAAATGCCCCATCACCAAGATCCACATTAAGTTTAATACTATATAAATAATCAATTTGATCATATCTCTTAAAAGCTCTCTCAAACTTTTGAGCTGAATCTAACATCAAATAAGTTGAATTCCATCTAGTTGAAATATCTAGATGTAATAAACTTTTGGAATCAATCTTTTCAATATCTATGCATTCTTTAAATTTTCTCAACCTAGCAGGAGATTGTCTAATATACCTCACGACTACTCGAATACAAAGGATCGAAGGATTTGTATTTTTTAACCTATCGAAACAACAAGATTCAAAATATGAGCTATACACCTTATATGAAGTAATTCCCCATCCGAGATGTTATGACCCCAATTATTCAAAACAACTCTTAAATATCTAATCATCACATCATTTGAACTTGCATTGTCTACAGTAATAGTGAAAAAATTTTTAATTCCCCAACTAATCAAACACTTTTCAATAGCACTACCCAAATCAATACCCTTATGACCATCAACTCGGATAAAAATTCAGAATCTTATTATGTAACTTCTAATGATTTTCAATAAAATGAGTTGTTAGACACATATAATTAATTCTTTGAATAGACGTCCATGTGTCCGTAGTGAGACAAACTCCTTGATAATTATTTTTCAAATATTACTTCAACTTTAATTTCTCATACATATAAAGTTGATAGTAATCTCTTAAAATGATAATCCGTGATGAAATTTTAAACCTAGGTTGTGTAATTGATATAAACCATTTAAACCCCACATTCTCTACAAATTTGAAAGGAAGTTCATCCACAATAATCATGTAAGCTAAAACATTTATAATGCAAGTTTGATCAAACTTTCATGTGCTTGAAAGTGTTCTCTCCCCTTGAACACTTGAATTAGATTGAAGGTTCAATTTTGGTTAGGTAGGGTCAAGCATATGTGGGTGTTTTTTGCATATGGCTATATGAGATTTAAGTACGAGTAGTACCATTTCTAGTAGGATAAGCAAGCAAGTACCTTATCATAGTAATTACATCTCCCTTGATGTCTTTATTTTCATCTTCAAACTTTGTGAAATGGTCCCATACAATTGACCTTGGCCTCATTACTCTTCTCTTCATCTTTGTGCTCACTTGCATGTTTGATGAAGAGCCAGCGAGTAATTGTATTTCTTCGTCGAGCTCGATTTTGGATGGGTTGAACTCTCAACTTTAGAATCCGAGGGTCCCAACATCTACACAAATTCAAAAATATATTTGATTAGAAATGATTAGTAAATACAAGTCTATAGTATTTAAAGTTTAAATTTTAAAAATTAAAACAATGGGTAGTGGCCACTAGCCACCCATAAGCGATGAGCCTACTAGCCATCTCATGTTTCATGCTTCACAAATGACAAATCACAATCAATTGATTCAATTCTTTTTATTTCGGAACCGAATAAGACTCACTATTTCAATTTTCAGCTTTCATTCAATTATCAAGATTCAAAAAAGAGATTTTAAAATTTCACACACATTACATTCATATACCCAAAATCAATTAATTCAAATCGACAAACATTCATTCTGCTATCCGTTTTCAACTTTGTGAAACAAATTCAAGCTCTAGTTACTTACTTTCTCATTCCCAAATTTGCTTACCCAAATATGAAACAAAATCGATCCACCACAAAACCTCATTCTACTATAAAGAGAAAGAGATGAAAATGTAAAAAAAAATCCACCTAAAAAAAAAATTGACATTTTGACTGGATTGGGTACTGGAAACTACCAAACTATAGGTGGAGGAGAAGGAGGAGGAAGAAGGCCTTAGGAACCGAATTGAGGTATGAGGAGAACCGAACTCTGTCACTCTAGAGGAGGAGGACGGACGAGCCTCTAGCAATCGACGGTCCGGCATCGCCAAAGCCCGAAGTGAGTGTGTGGAGATTAAAGAACAGGAGAAGTGACTAAGTGAGGACCGAGGAGAACATGAGTTTTAAGTTTTTGGGGCGGTAGAGTCGTAGACGTAAATGGAATTGCGAAAGTGGAACCGTGGAAGGCTGGAAGTAGGATTGCGGGAAGCTAGTGTCAATCGAACTCGTGAAAGAGAAGAGCTAAAATGATATATTGATATTAGATTTAGGGTTTTGTTACTTTTGTAACTTTGCTTAAAATTCGATTTCTAGTGGAAATCGAATGTGTTTAAAAAAACCCGAACCGAACTAAAATAATTTTGGTTTTTCGATTCGATATTTTTTTTATTTTTTAAAAAATCGAACCGAAATTGTTAATTCGGTTCGATACAATTCGGTATTTTGATTTTAACGGAATAGTGAACACCCCTAGAGGATGGTGTTGAGAATATGTTCCGAAACAAAAATATGAGGACAAATATGGATATTAATGCTAGGATTAGTGAAGGGCGGTAGTGGTATTGGCTTTAATGATGTTGTAATTTCTTATGAAAATGAGGTTATTTATGCAACTTAGGGTAAGGTTAATTTAATAATGTACATGGTTGCATCGGGAGACATGGGCATGCTAACACCCAACATAGTGTGAGAGATGCTTTTGAAAGCAACGAGGTAGGGCTTGTGTCATATGACATCACGAGGGAAAAAATGTGATAATGTAGAAAGAAACACTTAGGGATTGGTAAATTAAAAGAAAAAAACTAAAGACATTATTTCAGAAGATAATGAAGATAATAGGGATGGTTATGATAGTGTATTAAAGCTAGGTGATGATGTAGAATTGATTGATGTGACGTGGCTTACCGAAAATGATGATGAAGAGTTAGTTGCTCGCTAGAAACAATTTTGTAAAGTTAAAACATGCGAGTAGTAAAAAAACATTACTCTTATCCCGAATGCACCACCATATGAAACTCCAAAATCAAATAGATAAAGATCCAAGAGTAATGTCTGCTAAAGGAGTGAATTTTGGTGTAGGTTTATACGAGTTTGATTCAAAAGAAGATGAAAGTCATTAATCAAATAGTGATGATGATGATGAGACAGATTGGACTACGAAGAAGAAGTCCAAAATTATGTATTTTGATGACACTACCAAAGATCCATAGTTTACATTTGGCATGAATTTTAAAAATAAATAACAAATCATCCAATCTTTAAAAGATCATTGTGTGTTTAGGAATAAAGAAATTGAATTTGTAATGTAGTGATAAGAATTTTCAATGGGTTTTCTATGTAAGATTTAAAAAGCATAAAGGTAACTTTAAACTTAGAACATGTGTAGATGGACATACATGTCGAGTTGCATTTAAGAATAGAAGGATTAAGTCAAGGGTTGTTGCGAAATACTTCATCAACAACTTTGGTAGTATTGCTTTGAAAATGAATAAAAAAGATGTGAAAACACAAACAGGAGAGAAATTATATTGTAACATAAGTCTTAACCAAGCTAGAAGAGCAAAAGAAATGATAAAGAAGCATTTTCATGGTGATGATAGTATTGCATATGCAATACCGCAAGTTACTTAAAAGAATTAAAGAGGAGCAACAAAGAAACCACCATTGAAAGTTGTTTTACCAAGCCTAGTAGTAAGAGTAATCAAGTGTTCAAAGCTATCTATATTTGTTTTGATGACTTAAAAAAGGATTCAAGCGGGATGCGGACCTATTATTGAAATGAATGGATGATTTTTTTTAAAAAAAGTTATAAAGGTGAGATCCTAATTACTATAAAAAGAGATGATAATAATGAAATGTTTCCTTTGGCTTGGGTTGTTATACTTGGTTTATTGAGTACTTGATGAGAGATCTTGATATAGAGTTTGGAAATGACAATAATTGGACATCGATGACTAACCAACAAAAGATTAGATTTTTATATGTGTTGAAAAATTTAATTAAATTATATACTTAATTATATATATTCATTTATAATTTGTAGTTTGTAAATTGTAGCCATTGAATTGAACTTATAATCTATTTTCTTGGTAGGGTATTGAGAAGGCAATAAAGAAGTTAATGTCATATGTTGAGCATATAAATTATGCAAGGCATATATTTGCTCATTGAAGGAAGAAGTATAAGGGTGAGGAGATTCATGAAACATTCTAGGTATGTGCAAAGGCTACAACCCAACTTGATTTGATAGCAAGAAAAAAAAGGATAATCTACTTAAAGTTGATATGATAGCATACCGCAAAGCTTTCTTTCAGTCAAACAATAAATGTGATAGTATTAAAAATAACATGTGTGAAGTGTTTAATGGTAATTTGCTTCAATTTAGATACAAAGCAATCGTTATAATGTTAGATGATATTAGGGTGATGGTAATGACAAAAATGGCGAAAACGAGGCAATTTGGCCGAGGTTAGGTTCAAGGGAGATTATGGACTAAAAATTTGGTGAAAGATTGAAAAGCAAAGTGAGTTAATTTATACAACCAAAATAATATTGAATGGTGATGACGATTATGAAGTCAATCGGTTTAGGGATAGATATCCTGCTAATATGCCTCATAGAAAGTGTGTAGTAGTAGGCTATGGAATATCGGTGGAATTCTTTGTGTTCATGCCATACATGTACTAAAAAGTGGGAATGAGAAGCGAGAAGATTATTTGGCCTACTCGGTATAAGAACGATACGTTATGAAGTCTTTCCAACTTACATTACAAGTTGTTAATAGGTTGAAGTTTTGGGAGAAAAAGAACTTGGTCTTGTTAACCCTCCACCACTAAGGAAGAATGCTTGGAAGAAGGAAGAATAAAAAGGATAGAGAGGAATGGGAAGTAAAAAATGGAGGGAGAAATTTATCAAGAAAAGAAATTATGGTTTGTTGTTCCCAATGCCATAAAAAAAAATCACAATTTAAAAACTTGCAAGGAGAAGAAAAGAAAGATTATTAATCTTTTTTTTAATTATAAGTGTATTAAAAATTATATTAAATAACTTCAATTTTTCTATTTTCTTTTGTATTACCGGATGGTGCTTCAACTTCGCTGCCCTAAGTGAAACAACAACGAAACAATATCCCAAAATATCAAGTGCTAGTGTAAAAGTGTATTACAACTCAAGAATTAAGAACAATAGTTACTTCCATGGAACTTAGAAATAAAAGACTTCCTAGATACATGTATGGCTTACATGTGAATCATGATAAAGGATTTTTAATTTGAAATGTAAGTTAAACACATATTTGGTCCGTTATTATTTTGTAATTTCTTTATATATGATTTACATTATTGTTTGCTTGGTTATAACAATGTTTTTGCTAATGTTTGCAATTTTATAGCCTAGAACATGTATTTCATAAGTTATAAATCCAGGTACTCAACCTCCAATTGAACAAGAAAATCAACAGGAGCTTGAACCAAGAAGAAAGGATAAAAAGCCAACCAATCCACTCGTCAAAATGAAAGAAAGAGCAAAGAAGAATCAAAACTCGAATAGATGGTGGTGCTTGAGAGGGAAATGGAAACGATTTATGTATTTTGAATAGTCAATTATATGTAATGGATCCTTTTTTTTATAGATGATAATTATGTGTAATGATGATGTCCGACTAATTTTATTGTCAATGGATCCAAATTTGGTTCCGTTTGCCTTTTTTTTTTTTTTGAATGAATATGTTCATGTTCATGATTTAATGATAATTGAATGAATATTCTTCAATTCTAGTGAATTTATTGCCATATTTGAAAAATTATTCATCTTGCATATTTGTTTTCAATTCTAAAAAATTAAAGTAATCTCCAGAATTAAAGAACAATTCTTCATAAATGTTTATTTAATCGATTTGTTCTTTCATTCTCCAGAATTGAAGTTTTTGCATAATTAAAGTTAAATTCTGCGAATTGAAGTTTCGCATATTTAAAGAACAATTCTACAAAAATCTACACTTCTTCAATTCCGGAGAAAGCAACACTTTTTACCGAACACTAACATCAACAATAAACCAACAAACCCCGTAAATTTAACATCAATGTTACATTTCAATTCTTCCCGTGCATTTTTTTTATATCAACTTTAAAATCATCATCAACACTAATATAAATATCAACATTAACCTTAAACATTTAAACAAGTATATACGTTGCCTACAAATTACCCGAACACATTTAACAAACCTTACAAATTTAATAGAACCCAATCAACATTAACTTATTCCAAATAACATCCTATTTAACCAAAGATCGTGCATACTAACAAAATAATAATTACAATCGGACAACCAAAACAATTATATGTAGAATGTTTTCTTCTCTCTATCTTTATTACCACTCGCCAATTTTGTCTTTTAGAGCTAGATTTTCTCTAAACAAGCGTTCATTCTCGGTAGTTAGCTTCTTTTCGGTATACTTCAAAACATTAATTACATTTCTTGCTCTTTCTATCACCATTAGATCTTGAAATTAAAAGTAATTATTATTTTTTTTACCGTCATCTTCGCATTGAATTTGGGACATGTAAAGAACCTTTTTCTAGATTATTATCACTCTAGAAATCCATTGAGGAGCTAAGACTACGTAATTGTAGTATCTTGTGGGACAATCCTCCAACTAATCATATTGGAATTTTTGAATAAACAATGAAGATATGTCTTCTACATCACATGCTTTTGCATTTGATGATTTTGAGGTAGTAGTAGAAAAAGAAGAACGGAAAGCCATGAAATCTCACAATTGCGGACTAAATTTGAGGAAGATTACAAAAATAGAAAATGTCCTAAACCATTCTTTCTTCCCCGAATTTAATCCAATTGAAAAAAAAAACCCAACAAACCCTAAGATTATCTCTCATCTCTCCTCGCAATTTCATCTTTATAGGGATTTGATGTTCTTCAAGCTAAGACCGACCAACTCTCTCTCTCCTTCTCTCTCTTAATTACGTAAAAAACATTTGATTTTAAAAAACCTTACTCTCTCTCCTTGTCCATTTTGTAAACGTTAGGTTAGGGGAATAAGGCGACTGTCTTATCCTCCTAATCTAACCCCAATTAATTCTAAATTCATCTTTTAAAAATTTTTTTTTCAAAATAATAGTAACGATCAAGTGCATTGATTGTTACATATAACGGCAATTAGAGAAATTGGATCAATTTTACTTAAAAACCAATGCTTTGGAGTTTAAATTACACAATTTCATACTAAGGACCTAAAATTGCTAAATCGCAATAGAATGAAGGCAAAAATTGCCATTAAATCCTCTAGTGAGGAGACTCAATGCTAAACTAGCAAGCAATAAAGGATGCCATTGTTGCGGCGAAGAACTAGTTGCTTAAATTCCTAAATTGCCTTGCAATAGGAGTAATTAGAATAGAAATTCCATCTAAGCAACTAAGATCTTGTTGTATTATAATTTGGTGAACATCTCTAAACCATTGGTTTTACCTAAAAAAGAAAAAACAATAATCACAATTAAGTTTAGCCTTTCTCCCTTCTCTAGCACGGATGAGGAAAAAACATTGGGTTAAAGGTTCAAGATATCATTTGATCTGTTTTATTTGTCTTAATCATATCCCTCTACTAAAATTTTCAATAATCATATCTCTATACTCTTAATTTGTATCCGAATTTCGTCCCTCCATCCAATTTTTCGAGCAACGACGACAATTTTCGACTTAAGACTAACAAAATGATGACACATGGCATTAAATTTTTCAAAAAAAATTTGAAAAAAATTTAAATAAATCCCAAAAATCTCCTATTTTTTCTATTTTTATGTATAGAAATAAACAATTAATTTCAACTCTAAAAAAAATTCTTTTCTTTTTTTTTTTTTTTGCTCTCTCTCAAATTCAAATGAAAAAATAGATTTTTTTTATCCATAAGAAGGAATAGAAGCAATTTTTTTTTTATTTTAGAAATATTTTATGAAGATTTTTTTGGGTTTGGATTGGAAAGAAATATTCATACTAAATTTTGAAAAAAAAATTACTTCTATTGCTTCCTATTCATAAAAAATTTTCTTTTTTTGTTTCAATTTGAGATAAACAAAAAAAAAGGTTTAGAGAGATATTAATTATTTATCTCTATATATTAAGATAGAGAAAAAAAAAAGATTTTTTAATTTTTTTAAAAAAATTTCAGATTTTTTGGGATTTTTTTTTCAAGTTTTTTTTTTTAATGAAAAATTTAATACCAAGGGTCTACATCTTTTAGTCTTAAATAAAAAATTATCTGTCATCGTCAAAAAAATTAGACAAGGACAAAATTTAGATGCAAATTAAAAATAAAAAGACAATTATTAAAAAATTTAATAAATGTACACAATTAAGACAAATAAAACAATAGAAGAACATCATGTACTTTTAACCCAAAAAAACATTGTAATTTGGATCTTAGAACTGTCTACTGGACTTGTTTTCTTCAAAAGGGAGAAAAGGGTCTATAATAATGCATGCCTTGCCCTTCTCACCATCAATGACAGAGAACATAATCCAGGCAAGTCATATGAGGATATTTCACTCTGCATTCTAAGAAGCACGAATAGCATACATTTTACCCATTCTAACTAGAGTTGAGAAGATTACAGCAGCCCAGTCAAAAGAGGAAACTTTGATCATGGAATGCTTATTCGCAAACTATAACTAAACAGACATGTCATACACAGCTCTGTAAAGATAACCATGGTGCCATTCACCAAAACCTAAAAACCAAAAATGACAGGGTTGGCTATGTGCTCTTGAGTCAATTTCATTGACCATAAATAAAATACCAGCAGATTATGCATCAGCGACCTGATAAGCGCACGGTTTCAACATTGAACGCTGGAGTTGTAAGCGTGACACTCCTCAGACCACCATGATTGCAAGATATACAGCTTATTCCACGAAAAAGTTAACAGTAGTCATGTTCAAACCATTAACATGAAAGTCGTTTGTGGCATCCAGTCATTCTGTCACGCCTTGATGGGCTCATATTTTTCACCAATTGCGCCACCTTTCTGTTTCTGGAACTGAATGTATCTTAGTGTGCTGGCTAAGAAAGCATCGGCAGCAGGATCTGGTGTACTATTGTCACTTTGCATCTCAGTTGTAATCAATTCAATAAGGCCCTGGATTGTAGCCACAGTGATCTGTGGGTTTCCCTTCTCAAAGAAGTAAAGATACCTTCATATAGAAAAGAAGGTTGGCATTTCCATTTTCAAAGATCAAAAGATAAATTACAGATGGAATTGTTAATTGGAATAGAACAATTACTTGTTCAGAATCTCAATGAAGAGCGACACTGATCCAGTGTTACCACGTGCGGCGTTGGACATTTGTTGAGCAGCATTTGCAATTCGTAAAGCACGCTTCAGGCAGATCAGAACCCTGGTTCAAAAGTAGATAAGAGAGAAATTAATCATAAACCAATAGGAAACAGATTGCAAATGCATTCAGAGGCAGCCAACTCCTCTCACAATTCGTCAAAGTTCATCACAGCCATAGTACTTCCTTTCCTACCGTACACTACAATAGCCTGCCACCAGCCTGTTCAGGATGATATAGTGACAAGGCACCTCATATGCATATTGTTGTACCCTTAATGATGCAAAGTTCTGATTTGACCCATGTTAATCACTATTGGCTTTTATCAGCACTAAAAACATGTCACTCACCGCTCTCCATCTTTCAAGTTATCCTGGTCTTCGACCCAGAATAGATGTGCACATCCATAAACTGCTCTGCACTGATCAGGCTTCTTTAAAAGCTTGGCTGAATACTGCTCACAAAGGTATCATGTCAGGTTCTTCACACAAATATGCTTTAAAAGCATGATTTAAAAAATTTAAAATATAGCAAAATGATGCTATAGGATTACCCCCGTGGCCTTGTGCGTTAAAGTATCCCTGTTCTCTACACCAAAGACATGCATCCTTTGAAGGGTCCCTATTACTAAATGTAGTGCCGTCACCTGTGCTTTTGAATCCTGTTGCAGCAAATGTGCACAAGAACAAAAATAACTGAATTTGCAACTTTGAGTTAAGTGAAATATAGGTTGATTAATGATGTGAATCAAATCAACTCACTGAGACTTCTTCTTCATATAGAATATATGCTTGAGTGAAAAATTCATATGCAACAGGCTCTAGATCACAGTCATTGGCAGCCTGCCAATTAGGAATCAGAAGTGATATCAAGTAAGAGAGGCAGCTTAATCAAATGGACCTCGAAAGTATTTAAGATACCAAGAACAACTCTAGTGCCAAAATCATGTACCTCGGCACATTGCAAGAACAGCCGTAATGCCAATTCAGGTGCTGGAACAATTGACAGAGCCTCAATTGTCTGTAAGAGAACAAATCATCAGCTCTTATAACAAAGGATCATTTTTACATATGACACACAACTTTCAGCACTACCTGATTCAAGAGCTGAAAAATTTTCTTAGGTGAAGTTGAACCCTCGTCTCCAAAAGGGTTTTCCTCCTGCTCTTGGCTGCCTTGAAGTCGCCTTACCAACTGTAAATGACAAACAGATGCTGAAGATAAGTTGGGAATTCAAATTTTCATTCTAAGAAAAAGATAGGCCGGTCACCAATATCTGGAGACTGGAAAAGGGATTAGAGGACAGCATGATTCACATGATGTGATCAGCAGTTACTCATGCCAGAAGGCAATGCTGACAAATAATGACATTCTCAGTCCAGAATGTGCAGCAGCAATTTTGACAACTTCAAGGTTGCTAGCAGTAGGCAAAAGCAAACCTTAAGAGATGAAAAGACAAGTGGGGGAACTGTGAATGGTAGACGCTTAGGTCCTCCAGTCATGACATGCTTCTTCACCGTAGATATGATCTGCAATTTGGGGCATATACAAATAAGACAAAAATCAAAATACAAAATTAGGCTTGAATCATTCAAGTGATTGATCATCACCCAAAAACACGCTTTAAGTAAAATAAAATAGGTGCAATGCCATTTAACTTTTGAAAATAGCTGACATGAAGATTTTGAAAAGAAAATGTACCTGAAACATTTCCTCTAGATCGTCGTTGTACAGCATCTGAATAAGACGTGCAACAGAATTCTGCTCCTCTTTGAAATCATCTTCATCAACCTAAAGGTAAAAGAATAAAACAATAATAACATTACCCTATGCAATGGATTAGTTTTTGAGAAGCACTTTAGAGGAGACGAGGTAAATACTGTTAACTGGATAGCAATAAGAAACAAGCATAGCATATGTGGTTATCAGCATTAAAAGTTAAATTTTTCTCATCACTTCTGCAGCACGAATTTCATAACATGAAAAGTGAAGTAATTTCAAATAACCTCTTCTTCAGCTCCATCCAAATCCTTGATAAGCCCTTTCATTAATTCAAATAACGCCTCAACCTACAGAATAAAATTGAACTAAGATTGGGTATCTAGAGCATATTGGAAAGATCAGGATGAACAAGCCAGAGAAACACACCTTGTCAGCAGTAGAGATACGTGTGTTGTTTTTCATAATACTTTGAATTATAACAGTTGCCATGATTTTATTTGTCTCAATATCAAGATATTCCATTACTCGAGGATAGTTTGAAAGCTTCAATGCAGTAACAATGTCATTATATTTCTCTAATGGAGCACTCAAAAGAGCAACAATTTGTTTTGTGGCTTTGCTGTCATCAAGCTTTCCTCTGCTGGATAGTTTCTTAACACATGCTCCCTGAATTATCAAACCAAAGAATCAGCTCACCTGTTCAAATATTCAATGGAACAAAATAATAAACATAGTTTCTTGTGAGAATCAAACTGTATCACTTAATTGGAATTTCAATATACACAAGCTATGTCTTTGACAAAATTTAATCGTTAGCTATTTCTGCAAGTCAAATTGACTGTTGAACACTGCCCAGAAAAAGACAGCTGAACACAAATTCTAGAAAACTTTCATTCATAAAAATTAGTGTCCCAATCAGTCATGATTTTAACCGTCAAATTTAATTTCATATAATGCTTTCAATAATTCTCTCTTCAAATTACAATGAAAACAAACATTGCCTTCCCTTAGGTTAAGAAAAAAAATCCATCTCCATTGGGAGGAAGCTCCAGTAAATAACGTTACATAGTGCATGTACAATTATGCATGTTTTTACTTTCTGAAGGCATGACCAAAAAAACAATAGAGGACAAAACAGAAATGATAAGTGGTTATGTCCCTAATTGATATATGATAAAATAAATTTTACAAAATCAGGATCTAAATTGCAATGCAAAAGTATTTTAGGCAGTCATTTATACCAGCACTTGATCAGCATAATCCAGCCGGTCAGGGTGAACATGGAGAGTAAATTTAAGAAGAGATGAATATAGAGTTACAGCTCCAAAAATTGGCATATCAACTTGCGCTTCTATCACCTGCATCAACACATTTGTATTAGTACATTCTAATTGTTTTAACATAGGCTATGCTGCCTAATGACAGTAACTTAACATACGGAGTCAAAACAGGTACAAGTAAGAATTGTCCAGAAAGGAAACATCAAAATCTCCTGAACTTTGTAGGGTTTTGGAAATGGGAAACTTCTAACAGGAGAACAGCACCTCAAACAACGATAACCATAGAGACAGACCCTTGTAGAATCCCATTCTCTTCCCAAAAAATGTATTTAGTTACCAAATAATACTCCTCTTTTTTTTTTGGTCTAACAATCTAGAAAGGCTGAGACACAAAAGTTACCTTTCCTATGGCATTGTTCAATTTGGAGAAGGCTTCTACTTGCAAGAATTCAGGTAAAACTTCTGTGCTTGAAGCTGCATAATTTGATAGCCTCTCCATTAATCTAGATAACACTGTCTTGATGTCAACAGATGGCTGAGAAACACAAGTAGGAAACAAAGAAAGCAGTTGGAATTGTTGCATTCATGCATACATTATATAAGAAAGACAATCACAAACCAGTATGCAACCATGTCAAATAAAAAAAATACAAAGTTACATACCTGAAGTTGGGGACAAGCACCCAGCAATATCTCAAGAGTTTGCAAATGATATTCATCAGGGAAGACTTGAATGATGCAATCCATCAAGTAGAACTGAGCAATTTCATCTTTACAATTGACAACCTATCAAAACAATGGAAATACAGAATTCAGTTTGGGACAGTTGGCAAGTATGCATCCCACACCACAAGCTCAAAATACAAATTATCAACAAAGTGAAAGGTCAAACCTGTTCGAGAACTCTGGGGAGCACAGTATCTTTGTACATGTCAAGGTCAACACCCTCTATCTGACTGAGGACATGCAGATTCTTCCCAACCTGATAACATAAGGAGGAAAATGCTAAGCTTTATATGACTGTGCCCACATACATCACAAAGTTGTAGGAAATTAACCATTTACAGGTTACAGGCATTACAAGATCACGCAGCTCACTCCTTTCTTTCTCCCGCTTCTCCTTATCCCGGGCAGGTCCCTGCAGACCAGAAAGCCCGACACCAAGCCTCAACTCATGATCAGCTAAGAGTATGAATGATTCATAAGCACTATAAGACCTGCATGACCAGAAATCATGCCCTCATGATACATTTTACCTTTATGACATGCAAGGATTGCACTACATGCATGCCGAACATGAGAGCAGGTAGTCACAGATATTTCAACCAACCTGATGTTGCATTCGCACCCATAGCTTGTTCATCTCAGTGAAATTTTGCAGCACGAATTCCACAGCATCCACAACAGTGTCAGCATCTCTGCAGGGGTTCAGAAAGAAACCCATTTAATCAGTTTGAAAACCAACTCACCAAAAGAATTGGGGGAAAACTACAAAACCAACAAGAATAACCTATATCAACTAGTAGTCAGTAAATTGAATTAGAGAGTTCAGATGCCACTATTACTGAAGCAAACAAAAGACTTATACAGCTATTCATTTTGTATAATCTCATTGCAAATAAAAACAGATGGATAGGCCATTGAGGATGGTCACACTGACTCTGACTGTCGCCTTAGATAGGCAGATATGCTTCAAGTCATTTAGTGTTGACCTGATCAAAAGTCAAGCCCAACCAACCAAAATGGTGTCCAGACCACCAATTTGCTGCCCATAACCACAGAAATAAATGCCTTTCTCCTAAACTAAAATGAAACCCAAAATAACCATTTCATATCCTCACCCTTCATACTCTGAACCAATATCAGGTAATTTGTCCCTACTGACTTGAGAAAGGTAACTCCTTAAGAAGAGCCCACGGACAGGATGCTGAATGCCACGGCACATTTCAACAAGATCTTTAAGAACGTCTTTTGCTGGAGCTTCTTTAGATTTAATGTATACAGATCCTACAGTACAGAGAAGATACCTGAAATGGACAAAAAGTTGCATTAAGGCACAAAAAGTGGACACAAACACTGATAGTCTAAGGGACTGCCATCTCTATACTGATAGCAGAAATGAAAGAGGCATCCATGCGGCAGACTCCAAATAATTTGGCAGGGTTCCATAAAAAGAGAATGGTCCAGTATGATCAAAGATACTCATTGTGAGCAGGAACCAATAACCACACACACACAAATGAGAGATTATGAAGAGATAGTTTACAATTGAGAAACTTCGTAGTTATTGCAAAATTTTTCAGTTTTCTACAGTCTGACTTGCAAAATATAGTTACCTTCTGAGTTCTGGCTTACAAAATATATCAGCTACTTCAAAAATATCAGACATGTGGACTAAAGAAACAACACAGACAGCAGAAGTTATCTTCATCTAAAGATATCAATTTAGTTGCTATATTTGGACTTAAAAAGGAGTTGATTCATTTGCTCCTTAAGAGCTTTCTCTACCAACTAAACCAATAGCATTACCATGTCAGACAAATCGATATAATTATAACTCTAGAGTATTTTCACACAATTCCTTTCGAAAGCCATTAAGATGGGTATGCTATTTGCCAATATAGTCATTACTGGTGAATATTTGGATAAACCTTATAGGAATTGTAAAACCTACAAAAAATACATAACCCTCAAGGTTTAAAATACATACTTCCATGACACCCATTATGAAGTAAATCCTTGCAACAGGTTACGATTGAAACTCCTAAATTTAAACAAACAAGCTCCTCTCCAATGGTTAAAACAATGGGTTCATTTTAAACGAGGTAGATTTATCAAGTAACATCTGAAGCCCTTAGCTTTCAATGACAACTCATCAATCGAATACCAACTAAACAAAACAGAGGCAAATAAATAGTGACATCGTCACTTACAATCTCGGCAATATGTTACCAGCATGCTGCACCAATTCATACAAATCAATAATCGAACACCCACGGCGTGCCTCTTCTTTAAAAAACATCTCCAGCTTCCTTAATTCATCAAATGCTCTCATATCTAACATGACAAAATCAATAGCAACACACACAAATCAACCACAATTTCTCTCGTTTCCAAATCTAAGTAATCAGATCTCGAGATCTTGAAGAATCGAATTGCTTACATAATTCATAATACTTATGAGGAGAAAGCTTCGAAGTCCGTAACTCCGATAACATCTGAGCTGAATACTTCAAAGCGTCTCTTAAATTATTCGAATCCTGGCATAATTTAACAATTGATTCACTTAATTTCACTCGATTTTCAGCTAATTTAGTCGATTTCTCCTAAATTTTCTCGAGAAACAAACAGGGAAGTGAGAAGGTAGGGTTTTACCAGAGCCCGATGCATGTAAAAAGCGTTTTGTTGAAGGCCGGCGATTCCTGCAGCTAACCATTTCTCTTCGTCTTCTATTCCGCCTGCGATCATTTTTCTTTTCTCTCTCTAAAAATCTCTCTCTCCCTAAAACGATCTTTATAAATTTAATCGAGGTTGCGTTTTGACTTGTTTGTTCCGACGAACCTCTCGATTCTCAAGTGTCTGTCGAGGGTTAAAATTTCAATTTTTGGTATTTTCGATCCGTGTTATCTCTTTTCGTGTTCTTCAGGGATACGTTAGGCTCCTGCTAATGGAATCTAAACCGTCCTTTATGTGGAAGATAAGATCCACGGCATAAGTTTTTCCACATCATTTAAATGTTTTTGTAAGAAAACCTCAATTAGTTCCTAATTTATGTACTTATTTTCAATTGAGTCCCAAACTTATAAAATGTATCAATCGGGTCTCACCCTCTCCGAACAACTCTCAATAAGCTCCTTTTGTTAAGGTTTGATTTCTCATTAAATAAGTTGTTTTTGAAAAATATTTTACGTAAAAATATTTTATTTTATTATTTGTGTCGTTACCCAACATCGGACCGAACTCCTAAAATTAAATGCTAATGTGATTAATATTTACAAGTTTATTTACGGAGCTTTGGATTCGCCACCTAGTATTAAGGAACTAGAAACCTAAAAATAATGTCGGTCTAGAGATTCTATGATAAGCGAGTTGGTTACACGTTTAGGAAGACAATTATTCACCCTAAAAGTGCCCTTTCCGAAGAAATGTACCACATCTTGTTTTAATTCTGAATTTATCTCCTACATTTTCGTTTATCCCAATTGGTTTTCTAAATTTTTAAACAATTATTTTAGCAAAATTTGACTTTTTAGTTTTGAGCGTGGCATCGTATTGAAACAATCGTCGGTCCCTTTTGTCGGGTGACACGTCGGCTCAAACATCGGATCCACTTCAAACCTCAACGCAACCGGCGCATCGGAGGACATCCCGATTATTAAATGATCATTTGTTATACCGACAATCCCTATCAAATAGGAGACCTCTTCACGAAACGACAATCCCTATCAAAAGGAGATTCCGTTGAGAAATTACATGAATAAACAAATAAAAAAACGATTATAAAGTACATGCAATAAATTTAAAGAGGAATTACCTTAATTCAAGTAACAAAATACCGAAATTGAATACGAAATGTTTAAAAAATAATAATAATAAATAAATAAACCTAACATTTTTTTATATATATATTTTTTACTCCTATACATATATACACATGTATATAATGGCCGGACGGAATCGGTTCAGATCCCTTTCCTCACATTCGGTTTGTTCCTTTCTTTTTTGTTTACCTATTGGACTTAAACGACTTCGACCCAGTAGCTATCCTCGCATGGTTCAGTGCTAAGCCCACACCATCTATTTTAGTCGCCTCTAAGCCACACGTTCCCCTTATTCCTTTTTCTCAAAAGTTGAATCGGACTCCTTTTTTTCATTCTCTCACGCGATTTCCTTTTGTTTTTCTTTCTTTTCTTTTTCTTTCGTCTCCCTCTCCGGTTTATACGGACTTTATCGCACGGAATTTCTTCACCAAAAATCAAACCACTCTAATATAAGTGACACCCTTAAACTGTGGCTATGATTTTCATGACAAGTGAATGGGGTGTTTTATCTCTAGTTGGCTTTTACCACTCGCCTCCCTTTCGTTTTTTTTTTTTAAATTAGAACAGATTAATTGAAGCCGAAGTCAAAAGAAATTGGTATGAGTTGGGTTACCCAGGTGAAGCTTGCTGAATTACGAGAATTGATTAAGTCGGCCTAGTGATATTAGAGTCATCCGTTGTAAGTGCTCGGTTCGAAAAAACTTAGAAATTATGAACCTCCCAAACCCGACCAAAAAATTTTGATGAATGTCACCGCTTAAAACCCCCGCTCAAATCTCCTCTTTCCCTCTTTTTTTTTTTTTCGGGATACCGCCCTTTTATAGACATTGAGAATTTGAGTTTCACCTTCGATCAAACACTTTCAAATTTCAGTTTCATCCTAAATCAAATACCTTAAAATTCAAATTTTTTAGCTATTCAATTTGAACTCAAACTCGTTATTGAAAGGTGATCCAACCAAGCTAAACTGAATTTTTAAAATTGGGATAAACTTCAATCTGTTTCTTTTTTTTTAATTTATTTTTTGGTTTTGTATTTTTTTTATTTGTTTGTATTTTTTAAAAAAATAATATAATAATAATAATAATGGAAGTGTTTTTTTTATTACGAGTTACCCCTCTTTACAACGCTTATGATGCAAAGTCAAATGAAAAAATGTTTTGAAATGACTTTGTTTAATGAGCTTGTAAAGAAATTTTTTTGTTTTTTTTTTTAATTTTATATATATGATTAAAATCAAGAGTAAAATGGCAATGGGATAGCCAAATTGAAGGACGACTCGTTCGAAAATCAAACATGCAATACATGGCCAAATTGAAGGGCGGCCGACCCTAAAAATTAAATATGCGATACATGGCCAAATTGGAGGACGGCACGCCACGAAAATTAAATATACAATGCGAGGCCAAATTAAAGGGCGAGTCGCTTCGAAAATTAAATATGTTGTGATTGCTAAGCAACTCGCCTAAAACGATGAAGATCATTAGGTAACCTCGCCTTAAAATGAGAGAAGCATCTTTTCCTAAATGATGAACTAAAATTAGGCCACTCGCCTAAAAAGATCGTTAGGTAACTCTACCTAAACGATTGACTAAACGAGCAACTCGCCAAAAATGAGATGATCATTAGGCAACCCTCGCTCGAATGATGAATTAGGCAACTCTGCTCGAAAAATGATCGTTATGTAACTCTACCTAAACAATTTACTAAATAAGCAACCTTGCTTGAATGTTGAATTGGGCAACTTTGCTCGAAAAATAATCATTAGGCAATCATACCTAAACGATAGAGTAAATAGACAACCTTGCTCGAAAATATACATTAGGTAACTTTACCTAAGTAATTGACTAAATTAGACAACCTTGCTCGAAAATACACGTTAGGTAACTCTATCTAAGTAATTGACTAAATTAGGCAACCTTGCTCGAAAATACACGTTAGGTACCTCTACCTAAGTGATTGACTAAATTAGGCAATCTTGCTCGAAAATGAAAATGATTGATAGGTAACTTTGCTCGAAATGAGAAACTAAGATAGGTGAACTCGCTCGAATACGAGAATGGTCTATTGTTAGGCAACCTTACCTAAAAGAATGTGTGTGGAGAAACGTGAACCTTTTTTTTTTAATGATTGTTCCATCTTTTCCTTTTAGTCGTCATTCCCGAAATGTAGCAATGGTTAGTTCCTTACCCGAGAGAACCATAAGGCTGTCGACCTTTTCGACACTTAACTCCCCGTTGACGCCTCATTCTTGAAGTCCGTACAGAATTGTATCTCATAAGTACTTGTCAAAATTTTCTTACCCCGGGCTTGGATCACTTATTCACTTATGGAACTCGAGTCTCTCTTCTTTTTCTTCTTCTTTTTTTTTCTTTCAACTTTCTCCAACCAACTAAGGTAATAACCCACCACGTGTTGTGATCCTCCCTTGTGAAGCCATACTCAATTGCTTTGATTGCTTGCTAAACTTTAATTGAGTCATTATCCTCCCTTAGGATTTCTTTTTACCCCCGACTTGATGGCTTTAATTGCCTTGATTTATGCTCAAAAGATTATGGTTAGGCCTCTATTTCTCCAGTTGGTATAGTGATACCGTCATCCGATCGGTTGTCGAACTTGATTGGAGTTGGTAGATCCTTGGTCTTGCCCCAAGTATTTTCAATTTAATGGATTACCATTTAAGTCGAGCCATAAGATGCCCCTAAGTGTTGATCAAGATCAAACATTCGTGGTTCTCCTAACATAATTATGACTTGTGTTCAAATGCTTATCTTCGATGCTTATGTTACAATTTGCGAATTGATTTGTAATTTTTTTTGAAAAAGATCATTGAATAGGCATTTGGCTTTTATGGATAAAGCCGTATACTTGAAAAATTCTCTTAAAACAATTCGGATTATTTGAATAAAATATAGAGATGTTCAGATAAAAGTACTTTCATTCATCAAGATATTTAAATTTATTGATCAAAAGTCAAAACATGACATTCAAATGCTATGATGCAATTTCTTCAAGAAATTTGGGTGAGCAAGCAAAAAAAAAGTATTTTGGTTATGAAAATTTTGCATAAAAGCTGGCATTTGAAAGTAATTGGTCCAAGATAAATTGATTTCGGATAAATGAAAAAGTTTTGAGCATAAAGTATTTTGAAAAATAATGGTTTTGAAGGATAATTTTGCCTTAGAATATTTTGCCCCCAAGTTAGTTGATGAAAACTTATGATTTGATGTCCTAAAGAACGACGAACAACACAATGATTGATCATGTTTTTTTCCATCATTCTTTTTTTTAGATTAGTATCCAACCATTTAAGCAAACTGTCTTTTATCATAAAGGACTTGTACAAGCACGTAATATAGGTTATGGTTCGGGCTTATAAAAGAAGGATATAAAGGCTCAAAAAGTGTTTAAGGGTTTTCTAATATAAGATCACTTTGTTGTCCATGAAAATTTCTTTAGGCCATGTCTTTTGGACTCTATCACTTTAACCGTTAGTTGAACTGCGATGAGAAAAACTTTCCTTTTAGGCTTGCCACACGGATTTTGTCATTTTGATTGTTGACTTTGCTTTCCAGTCTCAACTCTATTTGTTTGTTTGTTTGTTTATCTTGACTCCCATCTTGACCATTTTTGTTTTCGGTACTATAGTAATCTTTTTTTCTTTTCTTTTTTTATTTTTAGGATCATTGATGGGATTTTTTTGACAAAAATTTTGAGAGTTTCATCGACCATTCATGGATTGTACAATCGCCCCCAAGTGTGAAGGGTGATCTTAGTCTCGGGTTATCATGAAAGAAATCATCAAACTCAAAGTGGGACGATAAGAGATAAAGATTTTGTAAGATTTATGAAAGATGGCATTTCTTCATCTCCAAGATCGATTCACCTATATCATTAGACACTAATCTCCTTTCAAAGATGACGATTTACCCGAGATCATGACTTGAGGATATTGTTCATATTACTTAAGACACCAATCATTTAGTCTTTCGTTTGGGCTTCATGATATTTTTTTAGGCAAAACTTTTCTTAAAGGGTTCGAGTTTAGAGAAATAAAAACAAATTTCTCCTTTTTCTTTTGGTTTCTTTTCAACAAAATGGAGGATTGTCCAATTACTTTCCGCTCGAAAAGGTTTTTAGCAAGGTGTATGATTTGAAGAATTGCCTCTAGCATTCTGCTATCTTTTGAAATTTGATCATTTTTTTTATGAAAATTTTTGAATGAATTCACCATGCAATGCCAAATAATACTTTCAAATGAACATCTCTTAATTTCAAATAATATGAATTATAACGGAAAGTAGAATTTCATTCAAAGATATGACTTAATTCATGCATAACCAAAATATTCATGAAAATAGTATTCAAAAACAAACTTGTAAATTGTAAACATGCATCTTCTCCATAACTTCATACTCACTCGGTCTCCTCATCTCTTGTATTAGCAACCCTGTGGTTTGGGAGGGGGTTCATGTTCATATTAGAAGAATGCGGATCATTGTCGAAACCGATCCAATCTTGCTTGATCAAGTCCAATAAATTTCTCTTGAAGGCGGGACAATCATTGATATTATACTCATCCGCACAAGAATGATATTCATATCTTTCATCTTCTTTATACCATGGAGGGTAAGGAGGGCGCATTGGGTTAGTAGGGACTGGAGTGATCCGTCCAATGCTTACAGGTGTTCAAATGTTTCACTCAATGAGTGAGGTAAGGATGGTAGTTATTCAAACTCTTTCTTATGGTCTTGATTACGAATTGGTAGATTTAGAAATATGGAGTAGCTTGAGGGAATTGATTTGTTTGGTAGGTTTGGTGAGGTTTGTAGGATGGATCTGGTTGATTTGATAGGTATGTTTGGTTCATGATGTTTGTTAGGCTAGGGGTATGGTAGGTGAATGAAGGTCTTTGGAAGTTGTTTTTATGATTTCTATGTTTTCCTCTATTACTCCTCGACTCTTGAATTGATAAGATCGAGTCTCAACCTGATATATCTCACTATCTATCTTCCTATTACCACTCGCTTCCTTGTTTTTCAAAACCATCAAGAATCTTTTCGGCTTTAATTGTTTGTTCTACCATCTCGGCTATGATAACAATATCGGTAAAGTTGGTTGAAACATTACCAATCAAATACTCAAAGTAGAGGGCTTTAAAAGTATTCAAAAATATTGAGATCAACTCATAATCTTATAATGGTGGATGGATTCGAGCCGCTACCTCACGTCATATTTATGCATACTCCTTAATGGTCTCTTTAGCCCTTTTTTCCATACCTTGAAGATCTCAACGGTTTGGAACCACTTCCATGTTAAACTTGTATTGCTTGAGAAAAGCATCGGCTAGATTTTTTCATTTTCCGATCTTGGACCCCTCCAATCTCATATACCAACTCAATGTCGGTCCGTCTACGCTCTCATGGAAGAAGTGTATAAGTAGTTTTTCTTCATAAACCACTTCGCCATCTTGCTACGATAAACCTTCGGGTGGGTCATGAGACATTGGATTCCGAGTGTATTTGAAGAAATCGACACCTTGAACTTCTTTGGAATTACCACATCGGACACCAAACACATCTCGGAGGCTTTGATAGGATCATAGGTGTCTTCCCTTCTATTACTTTTAGGCGTTCTTCGAGAGCTACTAATCTATCCACACTTGGTTCTTCGGCTACATTATGACCTTGAGTTGCTTCTTCTACAGGATCCATAGTAGGCATAAGTGGCATTGGCGGGACTCGAGAGTCCATTGGATAGGCATATGCTCCAATTCGGACGTGAAGCTTTAACATGAAATGCCGTACGATAGGTCGTTGGCTCGGATTGATTGGGAAATGGAATATCATATGACATTTCAAGTTGTTCTCGTCCCACATTTAAGCTATCTCCCCTTATTTCCTGTAGTAAAGCGTTTATTTAGGACATCTCTTCTCTCAATGACTCAAAATCTTGCCGACAAATTTCTTCCTGTCGTGCTCTCTCCTCGTTCTCCATTTGGTGAGTCTTTAATCCGAGTGTTGTGGATGCGCGGGGGAATTGAGCTTTGGTGGAGCGATCTATGTTTCAAATCCCGAAAAAAAAACTCAAATAACATATGTACAATGAATATACGAGTATATACATGCATGATTTGAATCGATTTAGATACCTTTCTTTATTTAACATCCTACAAAAGTCAAAGGTTAGAACAAATATCATTTAGAAATGATTCGTGTCTTAATCAAGTCACCCTAGTGGATAAGATCTAGCTTTTCTATAGATATAGGCAAGGCTTGTCTAATCCTAAAGTTTTTTCAAATTTACGAACTCGTCTAAATTATCGGTAGGGTAATTCGGTCTCTTTAACCTTATGCACAAATAGGTAAGGGAAGGTTATTCTACCATTTTCTATGCATAGGGTGAGTTCCGATCCAAACGAGAGTCTAAAAGAGCATCGGTAGACTTTCATCATACTTGCATTCGAATCTCTCTATCTAAACTCTAGCAGGGTTTCAGCTCGGGTCCAGAGCTTTTACGGTGTTTTTTTCGTGGTGTGTGCAACAATTCAAGATAAGCATCCAACTCGGTTCAAGATTAAATATGTACATGAATGCAAGAAAAATAAATTGTATAAAATTAAAAAATTTAAAATATATACAAGAAAAAAATAACTCAAAATTAAACGACAAAAATAAATCAATAAATAAATAAATTACTTTAAAAAATAATTGGCAAAAAATAAACACATTAGATAAACTTAAATGGACTAAACCTTTGGCCTAACTCTAAGTCCCCAGTGGAGTCATCATTCGTCGTTACCCGACGTCGGACCGGACTCCTAAAATTAAATGCTAATGTGATTAATATTTATAAGTTTATTTATAGAGCTTTGGATTCGCCACCTAGTATTAAGGAACTAGAAACCTAAAAATAACAACTGGTCTAGAGATTCTATGGTAAGCGAGTTGGTTACACTTTTAGGAAGATAATTATTTACCCTAAAAGTGCTCTTTCCGAAGAAAGGTACCACATCTTGTTTTAATCCCGAATTTATCTCATACATTGTTCATTTATGTCAATTGGTTTTCTAAAATTTTTAAACAATTATTTTAGCAAAATTTGATTTTTTAGTTTTGAGCGTGGCATCGTATTGAAACAATCGTCGGTCCCCTTGGTCGGATGACATGTCGGTTCAAACATTGGATTCACTTCAAACCTCGATGCAACCGGTGCATCGGAGGACATCCCGATTATTAAATAATCATTTGTTATACCGACAATCCCTATCAAATAAGAGAACTCGTCACGAAACGACAATCCCTATCAAAAAGAGATTTCGTTGAGAAATTACATGAATAAACAAATAAAAAAATGATTATAAAGTACATGCAATAAATTTAAAGAGGAATTACCTTGATTCAAGTAATAAAATACCGAAATTGAATACGAAATGTTAATAATAATAATAATAATAATAATAATAATAATAAATAAACCTAACATTTTTTTTTAATATTTTTTTTTACTCCTATACATATATACACATGTATATAATGACCGGACAGAATCGGTCCAGCCCCTCTCCTCGCATTCGGTTTGTCCTTTCTTTTTTGTTTACCCGTTGGACTTAAACAACTTCGACCCAGTAGCTATCCTCACATTGCTCGGGCCGTGCCCACACCATCTCCTTCACTGTCCTAAGCCACACGTTCCCCTTATTCCTTTTTCCGAAAAGTTGAATCGGACTCCTTTTTTTTTTTTTTTTCATTCTCTCACACGATTTCCTTTTGTTTTTCTTTCTTTTCTTTTTCTTTCGTCTCCCTCTCTAATTCATACGGACTTTATCGCATGGAATTTCTTCACCAAAAATCAAACCACTCTAGTATAAGTGACACCCTTAAGCCGTGGCTATGATTTTCATGACAAGTGGATGGGGTGTTTAATCTCTAGTTGGCTTTTACCATCGCCTCGCTTTCGTTTTTTATTTTTTAAATTAGAATAGATTAATTGAAACTGGAGTCAAAAGAAATTGGCATGAGTTGGGTTACTCAGGTGGAGCATGCTTGAATTACAAGAATTGATTAGGTCGGCTCGGTGATATTAGAGTCCTCTGTTGTAAGTGCTCCATTATGAAAAAACTCAAAAGTTATGAACCTCCCAAACCCGACCAAAATTTTTTGATGAATGTTCGTTGCTTAAAACCCCCCGCTCAAATCTCCTCTTTCCTTCTTTTTTTTTTTTTCCAGGATGCTACCATTTTATAGACATTGAGAATTTGAGTTTCACCTTCAATCAAACACTTTCAAATTTCAGTTTCATATTAAATTAAATACCTTAAAATTCGGATTTTTTAGCTATTCAATTTGAACTCAAACTCTGTTATTGAAAGGTGATCCAACCAAGTTAAAATGAATTTTAAAAATTGAGATAGACTTTAATCTGTTTCTTTTTTTTTTAATTTATTTTTGGTTTTGTATTTTTTTATTTGTTTGTATTTTTTTTAAATAATAATAATATAAAAAAATGGAATTGTTTTTTTTTTTGTTATTACATTTTGGCTATGTTAATGATATCTACTTGAAAATAATTATTTGATTTTTGGCATATATGAAAAGTAAGTATTAAACTGGAAAATAATCCATAATTTAATGCCAAAATGGAAAATACTCTCGTAAAATAATTCCATATCTGGAAAACTGTATAATATTTCTTATTGTACAATACTTTTATTAAAATAATTTAATGACGATGCGTGTGGGAAACCGGAGCAACCGAGCAAATATAAAAAACGGACGCCATCATCGGACCCAATCAACTATCAACTTCGACCACCACGGCACCCACTTTTTTTCTCTCCACTCCCCCTCTCCTGCCTCAACAGAGACAACGCACGATCACACCACCACGCGCCTCCAGCAGTTGTAGCACCACCGGCTACCGCATCATCTCTTCCCACAGCCACGATCCAGTACCGGTAGCATCTTCAAACCGCTCTCAATCGCTATTTTTTTGGGGTCAAATCAAATTGGTTTCACAAAGGCTGTTGATTCTGAGTTGGTGAAGGCTATCAGGGTCATTCACAGCAGGTATGACCCCCTTCGCTTAATTGCTTTCCTTTTAATGCCTGCATGTCTCTTTTTTGAATGATTATGATGTATTTAGACGCATGTTGGGATTCGGTGTGAGATGTAATGGGAACTATTAAGAGGATTTTGGAGGGTTTGAAATGTTTGCAAAAGTATTTTAGTGCTTCCAATACATGAAGGGAGGCTCTTGGCGGGAATTTTCCATTAATTACATGGAAATGGTCTCTTGTAATAGTGGGGGTTCGAATTGAGAGTTAGTGTTGTTTGTGCGATTCTTGGTGTCGATTTTTTTTTTTTTTAATAATGCAGATGGTTTCAGTTTCTGCTTAGTCTGTGTTAGGCTTCCTTAGTGCCTATGTTGCATGGATGATAGCCAGGGTTTGGGTTCTTGAAGTCTGCTTACTATGCCAAAATGTTGAGGTTGTTTTATTATATTATATATATACATATACATATATATTTTTGGAATAAATCTGCTCCTTTTTATGTTTTCTGGTAATGGAGGGACGTTTGGTTCTGGTTTTGATCATCACTTGGATAAATGGGTTCATGTGATGAATTTTGAGGCAATTGTTTTGAGCCTCTGGGGGTGATATTTGGGTTAAAACATGAAAAGTCGAGTTTTTAATGGATTTAAGGTCATCTGTGGCTTTTTATGTTTTTTATGGGTAATATTTTAGTTGTAGGCTTTACTTTTATGATGACTAATACAGTTGTTAATGTTTTCAACAGTCATGACACCTAGCTCGAGCACTGCTGCGGTCAGCGGAGCCTCGCCGGAGGACCACTTCCGGCAACCAACAGCTGAGGAATCATCGTCGTCAATGAGTGAGGCATTTCCCTTCTCCTCTGGAAACCCAAGGATCGAAGAGACACGCGGCGTCATGCACCTCTTCTCCAACGATGCTGTTTCAGATCTCCCTGTGCGTGTGTTCTCAGTTTATGTTTGTTTGTGTGTTTGGTTTTGATGATGAGATTCGTGGTTGTTAATTTGGTTGGTATTGCATAGGTCGGAAGGAAACCTCTTGTGGCGGTGATTGGAGTGCCAAACCACATGACTTATGCTGATTTCTGCCAGTTTTGTGCTTCTTTTATTCACCACATTTTGGAGATGCGAATTGTTAGGTAACATTAACGATTTCAATAATTACTTTGTTAAAAAAAAATCTTCTTTTGAATCAAAGTATTGATTTGTTGCAATGAATGTTAGGTTAGATGGAATGGAGGATCGGTATAGTATCCTTATAAGATTTGACACTCAAGACTCTACTGATAAATTCTACCTTCATTTTAACGGTAGACAATTTAATTCTTTGGAGGTAGGCATGCTTCTCTTTTAACAATTCTATGCTGTTGCTCTCATTATATATTTTTTCCTTAGGATTAGTTGCCTTGTTGTATTGTTACCTATTTATTTTACTATCCATACAGGAAGAAGTCTGCAGGGTGCTTTTCACAGTTGATGTCCAGTTCACTGGTTACTTTGGTTCGCTCGAACACACTCAGCCTTCTCCGACAAGCACAACTGAGCAGCCATCATGTCCAGTTTGTCTTGGTATGTTTAGTTATCTTTGTAAAACTACATTTTGAGAATGCTTCATATCTTCGAATGAAATTTGAAAACATTATAGGAATAGATGGACGGTATAGGGCATGATAATGGCATGCTCAATGAGAGACAAGATTGCTAGGTAAGTAGAGAAGCTTTATCAAGAGAAAATCATGTACCCTTTTTTGCTTGTTTATTTACTTGGAAGCAGTAATCTCTTTGCTTAGTGGACTATATGTCTAACTAGTGCTGCATGGCCTTTTCTTAATTATGAATACATTAAACAGTTTACCCCATGACCTCTAATACACTATTTCTCTGGTTCAGTTAGTTTCTTACAGAGTTCATTGACTAAATGGATTACTGATGCACTCATTGTTCTCTTTACGTTAATTCTGTTGTTTACCAGAAGAGGGAGGGGGTCAATTTTAAGTTGTGATTTCGACATTTATTAGGTTGAGAGGTCATGCAAAATTCTACCCATGTAGCGTGTTCCAAATATTTCTTAAAAGTTTTTTTTTTTCCCACAATTGTTCTATTTTGATTCCAGTTTTTGTAAACACTAGTGGTCCTTAAAATAAGTACTAGATCAGAACTTGATGTGATCAAGCAGGTAAGGTACATCCTGAGAAAGCAAGTGGATAAGTCAAAGAGAGACCTTCACATGGTGGTTTTATTTAAAAAAAAAAAAAAATTTACTCTTTGTCTGCTTCCCAATTTTACTTCCACTAAGACAACTAAAAACCTGAACCATTGTCTATCTACTATGCTGTAAAATTTGAGATCCAATGTCTGGAAATGGCTTTCTTGCTCATTTTCTTCTTTTCATCCTCCTTGCTCCCTCCTAGAAATTGCTACGACATGAAGCCTGATGTAATATAAGCAATATCTCGGTAAAACTTTTGTATCTAACCATTATATTTTCTGGTCTAGTATTGGATGCTTAAGGAATTTGTGAGTCCAAACTTGTTATAAGTTCAATGAGACAATGAAGAATATTTTTTTGTTTGCAAAGGCTGTTTCTTATTTTGGATTTATTAGTCTGCATGAAACTAACACACATGATATTGTAACCTGTCAACACTAAAATACGCTGTTGGAGATGGTACTAATTCTTCATGTTGCAGAGAGACTAGACCAAGACATGGGTGGAATTCTCACGACTATCTGCAATCATTCTTTTCACTGCTCTTGCATTTCGAAATGGACTGATTCTTCTTGTCCAGTGAGTAATTCTGATTTTTCTGGCACTTTATTTATGTGCTGCTTCTGCATGTGCAAGATGTGAGGCCAAGTTTGAAAGTAGAGTGATAAGAAAATAATTTAACTTTGGTGGATTCAATTCCTTTCAGTCCACTGGCTTGAGATGCAACTACATTATTCCTATTTTGTGAAGTATATATTTGGTTCTTTTAGTGTACCCCAAAAGTAATTAAAAATCAACCACTTTATATTGGATTCAGTGTGTTAAGACATCTCATTGGTTGCATTTGAACTATTAATCTCCAAAAGAAAATTTAATTTAGACATGTAATAACTTATTGATGCAGCACAGGTTAGGGGTTTGTTCTGGATCTGACTTTGGAGGCTGTTTAGGGTTGTTTTAAGTTGTATTAAAGTGGATTTCTGCTGGGAATTGTAGAACTATTTGTCACACTAATAGGGTTTCTAGGATCCACACCTAGAGGATAAAAAAACCTAAGCTTCACACTTAGGGTTCTTAGGAGACACCTAAGGGAGATTGAGTCACACAATCAAAAGCAAATTGCTGGAATTTTATTCATGAAATGTCATTCATGATATTGAAAGACTATGTACTTATTTCTAGAGTTCTAGTTGTCTAAATCCAATAAGGACTTAGATTCCAAAATAAGCAAATACTAAGTCTATGTAAAATAGGAAAAACCTAATAAAGATAATTACTCCTTAGGACTAATAAAATATTAAATAGAAATAAAACCTAGACTTGGACAGATTTCCAGATTTTCCAGAAATGATAGAATACCCTTGTTTACAACAAGACACAAGTTTTGCTTTCTTTGTTGTCTGCGTCCCTTTTGTAATGTCTGTTATTGCTCCTCTATCCATGCATGTGATGCCTAGGCTAAAAGTTGTTCCAAATTTTTTATGCTGTTATGTAATGTAATTTGTCACAGTAAATGCTGGTTTCTTGATGTTTACTGCTTTCATGCATTGTAGCATGTCATATTGTCAAAGTTTTTAGAGATGAATTACAGATGGGTCATATACCGTTGTTGTATGGTTGAATCAGTAAGATAGGTTTTGATTTCATGCTCTCCTTTTAGATACTGTTCATATATTGTAAATTGTAATCGTTAGAGCAGTTTTTGTTTTACTGGCATTTGTTGTTTGTACAAGTTGTAGCCTGTCCCAGTTTTCAAGTTTAACAAACCTGCCCATATGGTACTTAGATTTAAGTTTCCTGAGATTTTTTTTCCTTTTTTCTTCTTCCCATTGAAGAGGTCAACTGTTACTGAATATAATCTAAAATCTTAAAACATTATGCCCAAAAAAAAAAAAAAATCAATTCTTAAGCGCTGTATTTGGTGGCAATTGCAGAAGTTACTAGTCATTCATTTTTTAAGCACAGATTCATGAAATTGGAAAAATATGAGAAATTAAGGGCTGTAAAAGGTTAGGGGAAAATTTAATAATTATGAAAAATAATGATGTAATAATTTCTGAGCTCATCAAAGTTTAGCTGAAACTTCGTTTGGTCCCTTGCCTACTCAATCAAGAAGTTCAACTGATGCTAAGAGCCTTGCCTGGTGTATTTGTTTTTGTGCTTAGGTAATGCTACAGTTGGAGAGGTAGTTTTGGCCATTGGTTTCTCAAATTTTTTATTGACAAATATGCATCATTTGCTGAGATTTCAGCAAACTTTGGATTATAGAAGCTTAAAATCCTAATTACAATGGTTCTCTGATTGTTTTGTACAATTTTCAACAAGCCTTCTTGGTTCCTAAAAAATCCAATCCATAGCTGTTAGTTTCAAAGCCCCTTGTTGATTTAATTCTTTAATAATCTTTGTTGTCCTCTTAGTTGTCTAATGTAAGTTTTTGTTATTAAGAAGTTTGATAAGTTCCATGAATTATATTTGTGTAAAGTAAATTGATATAATGAATGTTCTCTTTCATATGAAATGGATTCTGTAGGGAATGCTTAAGCAGATTTGTTGTCTTAATCCCTTATGGCTTTGCTACCTCCATTTGTTTATGCTAACTTTAGATTAGGGATTGAACTTGTTTAGCCAGTAGACGTATGTGGCTACAGTTGTTTATTGCTAAGATTTGCTTATGTGTTCATTATTGTTGCCGTGGTTATTATAAAGTTCCCCAAATGAAATTGTAAGGAGAAAATATTTGGAAGTTAGCTAATCAGCTATTTATATTTCACATTCAGGTTTGCCGATATTGCCAGCAACAACCTGAAAAATCAATTTGTATTGTCTGTCAAACCTCTGAGAATCTATGGATTTGTGTTTTATGTGGTTTTGTTGGCTGTGGCAGGTAATGGTTTCAATTGCCTCTTATGACTGGATTGATTTTTGTTTTTCTTCTTTTCATCACATCTTCAGTCTGTCATTCTTTCAACAATAAATACTGGTGCAGGTATAAAGGAGGACATGCTATACGACATTGGAAAGAAACACAACACTGCTATTTTCTTGAATTGGACACACAGCGTGTTTGGGATTATGTTGGTGACAATTACGTTCACCGGCTGATTCAATCAAAAACTGATGGGAAGTTGGTTGAATTGAATTCCCACTGCGTGCATGCTTATGATGGTTGTGGAGGTTGTGACTGTGCGGAATCTGGAGTTAGTGAGGCTCTTTTGAACAGCAAAGTTGAAGCAGTAATGTTTACCGTGTTACTTAGGAAAGGTTCTTGTAATTTTTCTCTGCTTTTTTTTCCTTATAAAAATTATCTTATTTAATTTTATTACAGATTGTCAACGAGTACAATGAACTCCTTGCCACCCAACTCGAGAACCAAAAACTTGTAAGTGTATTCTTCCACTTTCCATGATTATTCAAGTTACCTTTTCTAGCCTACACTGGAGATTCCATGTAATTTTCATAATGATGTGGCCATTGTGTCTACTTTAGCTTGTGCTTTTGAGTTTGTTATATATTACGCCTTACACAGGACTCTTCAGTACTCTGGAGTAATATATCTTCTTTTGATAGTATTTTGAGACTTTGCTGGAAGAAGTCAAAGAAGAAACTGAAAGGGAAATTTCTGAAGCTGTTAAGAAGGCTATTGCTCAAAAACTGCATAAGTTGCAGAACAAGCTGGATAGATGTACAAAAGAGAAGAAATTTATTGATGATGTAAGTCCCAGTATCAAGTGTGCAATTGGGCTTATCTAGAATTTTTAAGATCGTGTTTAGTTAGGATGATTGGAGTTTTAATTATGTCTCTGTATTATCGTTTGTGATATATTTGCAATTCCAAGTATTAATGCTAAGTTTACTTATGTTTGTTAATTATCACGTTTCTTTTCTCTTCTTGTAGCTCAATGAGAATCTAGTGAAAAATCAGGAGATATGGAAAGCAAAGCTATCGGAAATTGAAGAGAGGTATGTTTGGTTTATAACAAAAGCCTTCATCCTGTGTTTACACTTTGCGTTATTGCATGGTATTGACCCAAGGTTCTTTTGCAAAACGTCTGATGTGCAAGTTAAAATTAGTTTGAGTCTTCTATTGGATTTACAGTAGATGTTTTCCATGTTTTAAATATTTTCTTTACATTAGCTCAGTTTTGCATTTTCTGTGTTGGCCATAATTGAAATGATGGCATTGTTAAGTATTACATGAAATGCTATTATGTGGATTGGTAAAGAAAGTTGAAAACTATGAACAACTATGGCCTTGCTGTAGTCCATGCTCCATTTCCTATATTTGTTTTTGTTGCCAATGTACATATTGAAAACATCTCGAATTCTTGTAATCCTATTGAACTCGACTTAGGTGGTATTACCTTCAATTTTTTTTCCAGGGAGAAAATGGCTTTGAAAACAAAGGATGATAAAATTCAGGACTTGGAACAACAGGTGATTATTTTTATTTTTGGACATCCCTTGTAATGTATTCTTACCGTAGACAAGGAAGATGGACCTGCAGCTTAGATTAAAATGTCTATATTTCCATCCACATGCAGCTCAGGGATTTAATGGTGTCCCTGGAAGCGGGGAAGATGGCGGAGCAGCTATCCGAATCCGATAAACTTAAGGATGGAACTGTGTTACCAATATCTGTCGGATCGTCTTCAGGAAAGAGTCCCAAGGGGAGCAAAAAGGCTAATAACCGGAGAAAAAGCTGAGGATGGGAGAATTTGCAGCATCAACTTATCTTCTTACAATTCATGTCAATCCTCTGATTTTGTCAGTTGAAGGGCTTCTTCAGCCATTTGCAGCCCTGGTGTCCTAATTTGTGACTCGCAGCATAATTACTTGTGGCAAAATTACAATCAATAAGTTTGTATAGCTTGTAAAATTGGATTGGAGGTCAAAATGTTATGTGAATAATGTTATTAATAGCAATTTTAAGTCTCACACTCTTCCTCTCGAGTTCATTAGTTGCTTTGTTCCAAAATGACGATGTTTTGTTGATCCGGCAGAGTTTTTTTTTTTTTTTAAAAAAAAGGAATAAATGTTTTGTTACACCACTATTTTATAGTTAATTCTGACTAACCCTTTGTTAGTTACTCCTCCTAGTTTTAGAAATTATATATTTAATCTCTACGGAGTTAGTTACTCATTATCCTATCTGAATCTTTCAAAATTGCTCTTAAGAGTGGCACTTTAAAGGGGAAAGAAAAGGAGAGATCGCAGCACCATAGAAGAAGTTTCTCGATGTTAATCAATTAGGAAATGAAATTTTTCAAAAAGAACTTTAATAAGATGACTATCAACAGTACTCTTCCATGAAAAAATTTGCACCAATTTCACATATACAACACCTCACTCTACAATTACAACCTACATTAATTATCAAACTAAGCATGCAGCTAATCACATAATTACACAGGCATTTGGATTATCATCACTAAAAGCTGTGGGGGTATATACATTAATTATCAAACTAAGCATGCAGCTAATCACATAATTACGCAGGCATTTGGATTATCATCGCTAAAAGCTGTGGTGGTCTTCACCTCGAAAGAGCTCTCGGGTGCAAGAGAAGAAGCCTGTGGATCCTCAAGCGGATTTCGCACGTACCCAGGTGGAGCTTTCTTATCATAGACTCCAGGGACGTATGGTTGAGGGACTACATCAGCCGGCACATATGGCCAGAACTCAGCTTTCTTTCCCGTTCTCTGCCTCACACGGTGCAATACCTTGTCTGGGTCCACGTATCCGGTCACTGTCAGCTTGTGTAGTTTGCGGTCCACTTCTACTTGCACTACTCCTTTCATTCCTTTCACCGAGTTTCTCACCTTCCTCTCGCAGCCTTCGCAGTCCATTTTCACTTTAATCTCCACAGTCTGTACCAACACAAAACATACATACATGTTGTCATAAGAATCTTTTTACCTGAAAGCCTAAGAAAACGAGAAAACGAGAAATGGGATTTACTAGATATTGTTACTGTTTTAGCATTAGCATCGGTACAATACTTGTAATCATTACGAACGACGAATTTTCTATATATTCTACTGGCCACAAAGTAAATAGACCCTTCAAGCAATAAGAATGAAATTGGAAGTGGATTAAATAGAAAGAATCACATATCTATATGAAGGGGTGTTTCATAATTTCGTATCATAAATTTTTCCTTCTTATACGAAAGCTAGCCAAGGATATCGAAAGGGTGAAAAAAAGGATTTAGAACTACCTCGAATGGCTTGCGTTTTTTGAGTTTCTTGCGATCATGGGGCCAGTAACAGACCTCAGAGATGCGATCCAGAAAGCCCATTTTGCAGCTGATGGCAACAATAGATAAGATGGTTCCAACTTGTAATTTCTCTTTGTAAAGTTAAAACAAACACTGATGCTACTAGAAGAAAGTGTAATGGACTAAGGTCTTCTTTTAAATGGCTGCTAAATATAACGTTATTTCTGACCTGTTGCTGTTGTGGACGGACACATGTAGGTACACGTGGATGACACTAGTGATTCATGTGAATGCATACGTATACTGGAACGACCGATTTTTGAGTAAATATAATTATTTATCTTTATATAATATTCCAGTCTTTTATATGTTCCCTCCTTTTGTCTCTAAAAATATTTAAAATTTTTAATCAATCATTTCGACCAATTTTTACAGCCAAATATTTTTTTTTACTAAAATACTCATGGTTGAAATGAAAATATATATATATATATATATTAAAGACTTCAAAAATTATATATATATATATATAATGTGATTTTAAGTTTTTTTTTTTTTTTTACATTGTAATAATGGGCATTTCAGGAAAAAAAATTATATGGTTATAAATTTTGATTGATTGAACATTTTAAAATTTTTCAAGAACATATAGAATGTAATAGAAAATTTAAGAACGAGATGAAAGATGATGTATTTTTTTTAATCTTTGATTCGATATATTTTAATAGAACTATAGTACAGCGCATGTTATTACATTGGAATGAATTTTCTAAATAACTTCACATGTTGTGCTCAATCTACAATGTAACACAGGTAACAAATTAATTTTTCAGTGAAGATTGTTCTTGTGATAGATAGATGGTATTTTCAAAAATCTTTAGGTGTTGTTTGGTTATCAAGAATAAAAGGCTCGGAATAAGAATACAGGAATCGAATGATATTTGCATTCTCATATTGTGTTTGGAATACCAATAAGAAATCGAATGCAATTTAAATTTTTTAATATCTGATTTTTTATATAAATAAAAAAATAATTAAAAAAAATAATTTTATCAAACTATAATGGTTGTAAAAATAATAAAAGTGATGGTGGTAGTGGTGGTTATGATAGTAAAAGTAGTTAATAAAATTTCATTCACATTATTTGTTTTTATTCCCACTTTTTAAATGGGAATAAAATTGTGCATAATTTTTATTCTCATTCTCTCTCTTCATTCTCATTCTCACTTTATTCCTTTCAACCAAATAACTATAAAGTGAAAATAAAACTTACATTTTCATTTTCATTCTCACTACTCTATTCTTAATAACCAAACAGCACCTTATTTTTTTGTTCTAAATGTTTGAAAGAATAGCATTTTTTTTTTACACGTGGTAATTTGAAAAATAGCAATCTTGTATTCTTCTTAAATCTTTGGAATAAAAAACCTTGGAAATAACCCTCTTATTTGCATCTTTTCATCTACTGAGCCCACCTAAGAAAAATAAATTTCAATCTTACTTTATATTCTCAAATTTTAGTCAATTAGCAAGTCGCAATTTTGACAATTAAGAAGAAAATAAGTTTTTCCAAAGAATCTTTATCTTTAGAAATAGTAGAATATATGTCAAAATAAAAATTATATGCAAAGAAAAAATTTAACACGTAATAAACCGTCACTTTATCCATGGTATTCAAAAACTATAAATCACCCATACATAATTTTCTCGTCAATTTGAAATATTTATTATGGCACACAAAATCAGCAAACATACTTAAAAATAATATAGTGCACAAAAGAAATATATTTTTAGTTTAATTCTAAGGAATTGTTCTAGTGATTAGATAGATTTACTTTCTAACTTAATTTCTTAAGTTCAGATCTTAGATACGTCATTCAGGATAATTTTTCCTTGAATGCGCAAAATTAATTTGGAGGTGCGTCTTTAAAAATATTCGGAATGAAGATTTATTTTCTGTTGAAGTTTTTCTTGAATACACCAGGTGAATATGGGGATACGTCCTTGAAATCAACTGGAAAAAAAAATATAGTCTTAATTAACATCCATGCTAATCCAAGACATCATTTATCATCAAAACCAATATATATATATTGTTTTTTTTCCAATGATAAAGACATTTTTAGATTGTACCATCTTAAAAAAAAAACATCCATATTTATTTGGTGCATTTAAAAAAAAAAATTCTGATTACCAACCTCATTATTGAAACTCGTAAAATTAAAGAAAACACATTTTTTTTATATAAAAAAGTCGAATACATCAATGGATTACAAATACTCTAAAACATAAAGATGTTTTATTGTTCATATTCACTATTTCTTTCATTGTTCAATGAACATTGTTTTTTCGACTGGTCTTTTTTTTTTTTTTTCTGGTGCTGTAAGACAATTTAGTGTTAACCCTTTCTTTTTCCCCCTCTGTTGGCCTTTCTTCAACTTTTTTCAAACAATTTTTTTTTCTAAGTGGTTTGGTTTCACCATTCATGTAGCAAGTGTTTTTTTTTTTTTAGTTTACTTTCACTATAAATGTTTTTCCCCCTTTGCTTTTTTTTTTTTTTTTACATCAATTTAGGTTTTTTTTAATTTAATTTTTTAAAATATTCAGGTTTATTTTATTTTGATCTCTAAAATTTTAAAATAAAAATTTTACCTAATTGATACAATACACGCTTTTTTTCCTTTGTTTTTTTTTTATCAATTTATGTTATTTTAAAAATCAATTTTGCTTTCTTTTTTTCTCATCAATTTATGTTCTTTTTTAATTTAATTATGTGTTAAATTTTTAAAAAATCAATTGTTATTTTTTTTTTACACAAATTAACTAATATACAATATATACGATATTTTTTATATTTATATGATATATTTTCTCTCTCTTTTTTACTTAGGGTGTTCTTTTTATAATTTTCATAAATTTATATTTTTTTATTTAATTAGGTGTTTTGTATCTATCCGTAGCGTTGCGCAAATAATTTAAAAAATTAATCTTCTCCTCAAAATTAAATAAGATTTTTTTCTTATTTGTTAATTTTTGTAAAAGTCTATCCATTGATTATAATTTTATTTTTTGGAATACAATATTATGAAAATTATATTTTAAAGTTTTTTTAATTCTTGATTAATATTTTAGTTAAAATTATTATATTTTTTTATTTTAAAATAAATCCATAAGGGAGAATGATTTATGTTTTTTTAAGCAAAAAAATTATAAAAAAATAAAATTAAAATTAAGTGAATAAAAAATCATAATTAAAATTTTTTTAAATGAATTCTTTTTTCAAATCCGCTGCATAGCGCGAAGAAGTGACTAGTATACTCTATAAGTAGTACTCTTCGCTTATATGAAAGGGTTAATGGCTGCAAAAGTATTTCTATTTTTTTCTTTTGTTTTTATCGTGTCCTTCAACTATTTTTAATTTCAAGAGCATTATTATACATTTGGTTTCTATTTTAACTTTGTCCCTCCATTAACTTTTGGACTAACGACGTCTAACTTTTTTTTTTTTAATCCCTTTTATCAACTCTGTTTTTCCATCTTAATCTTATTTTTTTACCAATTTAAATAAATAAATAATGGAAACAAAATTTGAATATATATATATATATATATATATTCATTCTTTCAAAAAAAAAAAAATGGAAATAAAAAAAGAACTAAAAAAAATGAACCTAAAAATATTTTTTATCCAAAATATCCTCTATAAATTTAAATTTATCTCTATAGTAATAAGCAAATTTTAAGTATAGATGAAATTTATGGTGTTTTTTAACACCGACAAAAAATTATATTTTCACTTTTGAATCAAATTAAGAAATTTATAAAATCAAATTAAATAAATTATAATAGACTCGTTTGAAATATTATAGAATTATAAATATCATTTAAAAATTAAAAATTTTAATTAAAAATCTCATCATATTTTTTTTAAATACTATAAATATTTTTATTTTATATTCAAAATTTGGTCACTACCAAAGAGACAAAATTTTGGATAAAAATTTTTTTCTATACTTTTTTATTCATGTTTGCTTTTCAAATTTTAGGAAAAAAAATGACTAAATATATCTTCATTTCTTTTAATTTTTTTTCTAAATTCATTTATTTAAATTAGGTAAAGAAAAACATGATGAATATGAAAAAATAGAATACAAAAATGAGATTAAAAAAAAATAATAATACTCTTAGTCTAAAAAATAACGAATGAATAAAATTAAAACAAAAATTAATATAAAAAGAAGGAGTTAAGACTAAGGAAAAAAAAAAGGCATGGGAATTTCATTGTTCTTAGACTATAATAGTTGGATACCCGTACTACGCTGCAGGCGTATAACCGCTACACGAGATAGGATTAACGATTCTTATAGTGTAATTCAAGTAGAAATTTTTATTTTGGATGATTAATATAAATCGAATCTATATATAGTTAATTTCTAATGAAACTAATGATATATATAATAGATTCGAGTATATAGAATAAATAGAAAAAAAATCACCTAAATTGTATAAATATATTGAAGTTAATAGATTAAAGTAAAAACTACAACAAAATTGGTTCGATAAATTCTGAAAACATATATATAAAAAAAGAAATAAAACTTGTGAATTTTTTGAACTTATTATAATTAAAAAAAAAATTTGAGTTAAACTATCTAAAACATAATTTTAGCTCTCTCTCTCTCTCTCTCTACATACATACATACATACATACATACATACATACATACATACATACATATATATATATATATAAGTAAAACACTCATTTAAAAATATAAAAATAATTTATTGTATAAATTATAATAATATATTTTAAAAAAATAAAAATATTGACGTTCTAAAATTTTATTCCAAAATTCATATATTAAAAAACTAAATTTATTAACAAATAAAATTATATCAAAAAATTAAAGAATTGGTTTAATGAGAAATTTAATAAGAAACAAACAATTGAAAAAATAAATTTTAACAATAAGAATAAAATAATCAAATATGTATGTTAATATCAAAGTCAAAGATATAATTAATATTGGTTCATGGACATTAAAGGGACCAAGTAATATATATATTTCTTTCTCGGTGAAGGGACCAATTATATATGACCGTTTAACTTGCACAAACACTTGTTGGAGATCCAGTTATGCTATGACAATATATATATTCTTTTAAGGGTTTCGTTTTGCCTCTTGGTGATCCAATTCTAAAATACATCAAGATTTAAAATAATTAGCCAATTGTTTTTTTATTCTATCATGAGATTGGTGTATAGACTTTTAAAAATATAAAATAAATTATAAAAAGCAAAAAAAAAGGAGCGTGGTCGTGCCGTTGGTATATATATATATATATATATATATATATATATATATATATATATATATATCGTACTTAGTCGACTCATAATATATAAACTAAATAAAAACAATATATAAAAAAACTCATTTAAATCATATGGAATATGTCAAAGTGAATAGATCTAAACAAAAACTACTATAAAATTAATTTCGATAGATTCTAATTATATATATATATATATATATAACCAAATAAAATCGTGAATTTTTTTAACTAATTATTAATTTTTTGAAAAAAAAAAACCAAGTCAAATTAATTTTTTAACCGATTATTATTTTTTTAAATAAAGTTAAATTATTTAAAACACGCTTTTAACTCTTTCTCTCTCATTAGAATTTATATAAGCAATAACGACATTTTCACATAAATATCATAAAAATAATCAATCATATAAATTATAATAATATATCTTAAAAATTGAAACAATCATGTTTCAACATTTTATTTCAAAATTCATATATATATAAAAAAAAATTTATTAACAAATTAAGAAAGAAATGACAAACTAAATTCCAATAGTCCAACCCATTAAAAAGAAATTAAAAAAAAGGATGCCAACGAGGGAAAAAAAGCCACGATAATGGGACTATGAAGGATGCTACAACAATAGAATTGTGAAGGACCAACTCAAGCGACTCAGTGAGTAGATGTTTTGTTTTTTAAGATTAATGTAAATCGAATCTATATATTAAACAAACTTATGTTATCTATATATATTCATTAATAAAATAATTTATAATATTAGTATAAAACTATTGTATTTGAATAATTAAGAGGTCGTATCAAAACATTAATTATATTATTTTATTTAAAAATATAAATTTTAAAATATGAAAAAAATAAATAACAAATAATTGAAGTTATGTGTGCGGATATAATTAATTTACAACAAAACTATATATATCATACTTGACGGATTTAGAGTATATAAAATAAATAAATAAATATAAAAAAATTCACCTAAATCGCATGGAATATATCGAAGTAAATAGATTTAAATAAAAACTATTATAAATTTGGTTTCGATCAATTTTGATTATATATATATATATATATATACACAATCAAATAAAACTTGTAAATTTTTTAACTAATTATTATTTTTTAACTGATTATCGATTATCATTTTTTAAAAAAATTAAGTCAAATTATCTAAAATACACCTTTAGCTCTCTCTCACACTCATTAGAATTTATATATTACAAAACTATATATATTACTTAGCAAACTCGAGTATATAAAATAAATAATATATATATGAAAAATCTTTTTAAATTGCAAGGAATATATGGATGTGAATAAATTTAAATAAAAATTATTATAAAATTGATTTCGATAAATTCCGATTATATATATATATATTATTATTTAGCAGTAATCAAAGTATATAAAATAGATAAAAAATATATAAAAACAACTTATTTAAATTGAATGGAATATATCAGAGTGAATTTTTTAACTAATTATTAATTTTTTCCTTAAAAAGAAAGAAGAAAAAAAGAGAAGGCCAGCTGTTAAAAGGGAAAAAAATGGTATTGCTATAGTGAATGACAGCACGACTCTTTAAGAAAAGAAAAAAAAGTGGAGGCCAGCCCAGAAAAAAAAAAAAAAAAGAAGAAGAAGAAGAGTCCAGCTCAGAAAAAAGAAAAAAATGAATGACACCCAGCCCTCTAAAAAAAAAAAAAAGTCAAGATGACCAACTCGAACCTACGTACTTTCATCTATACCATAAGAAATGCAGCAAAATTTTGTTCAATAAAATCATCCATGAAGTTTTTTAGATATGTTTTTGTCATGGTATGAATTTACTGAATGCTTTGTTGATCTTATTAATTTTAAATATACTGTTTTTTTTGGAAAAGAAAGAAAGAAATGTAGCTATAATTCTGTGAGGTATTTGATGATTTAACGTGGCCATGCACTCTTGTAGGTTTTCGATTATTCATAAAAAAACAAAAAAAAAAAAGGAGGCCAGCCCGAAAAAAATTTAATGACAGCCTAGCCCTTTAAAAAAAGAAAGAAAAAAGCTAGCCCAAAAATGACAGCCCAGCCCTCTAAAAAAAGGAAAATAAGAAAACCAAAGGGACTAATTAATTTATCTCTTAAAGAACAAGGAGCAAGATGCAAAAAAAAATACATGAATAGGGATTTTGAATGTGTAGCTACAGTGAACGAATAGTTATAACCCCATTTTTTTTAGTTTTTTTTTTAATATATGCCTTAATTCACTATTCATTGAGTGGCAATTTATGTAATATTTAGGTATGGTATTTTAATTATTTTTTTTTGTTTTTCGACATTGTTATGCAAATTTAACAATGTTTTCTATTTTTATCCCTCATATTGTAACTTTTTTTTTAGTTCGGAGTTTTATTTTTCTTTCATTTTGGTCCTGCATACTTGGAGGAGAGAGAAATGACGGAGAGTGAGAGGGGAATGACAAGGCCAGCTTCGGCTACTCCGATAGTCAAAATTACCATCATTTGTTTGGCTTAATAAGTAGAATTTGTCTATGGTAGTAGAAAATGATGAAATAATAAGATGAGGTAGATCATGATCCAAAAATATTTTTAATATTTTTAATTTTGATTTGATTTTTGTGTTTTTTTTATGAATTAAAATAGATTTTAATATTCTAAATGAGTTTTTTAATGTTATTTTTATGATTTTGAGGTATTTTTAGACAAAAAAAAAAAAAAAAAAAAAAGAGGCTAATTTTGGTTCAGGGAGGCTGAAATTAGAAAACCTGACCTTTCGATGACATTTCCACAAATCGAAGTGGTCAGAAATTGCAAATTGCAAAGGTCGTCGAACTAAAAACAATATTTTTTTTGCCCCAGCCTGCACAGGCCTGGTCCTCCCGGCCCCCAGGCCAAGACATGCGGCTTGATCCTCCAGGCCCAGGAGAGTAGCATGGTCCCTCACATGGTTGACACCTGCAAATCCAAATATCTTCATTTCTTTTCCAAGTACTATTTTTTCTTTTTTCCTTATTTGTTCAAACAACCTTAGACTAAAAAAATTGGAACATAGACTTCTGTTTTTTATGATTTTTTCTATTTTTAAAATGAAGAATTTTATCTTTATATTGAAATGTAAATTAGTTTGAAGATATTTTAATAAAAAAATAAACTGAATCTATTTTACACGCACATATATAAACAAGTGTTAAAAAAACAATGTAAATTATATTTTAAGATCTCACCTAACAACTTAAGTTTTTAAATTGAGATGTTTCTCTGATATAATATTTTAGAATCATCATTTTTATTAAAAATTAATTATACATCTTTGCATTTAATACAAATTATTTACTATGAATATATTTTTTAATATTATAGAACTAATTTATTTGAAATAAAATATTTAATTTTTTAAAAATGAATCAACCGATTATTCAAATACAGTTAATTATGCTAACATTATTTATTACTTTGTAAATTAATATAAGAATCAATCAATTATTCAAATATAGTTTTTTTATGCTAACATTGTTGATTACTTTGTAAATAAATATATATAGATCAAATGCATTCATGTGCTTTAAAAAAATAATCTTTCTATCAACATTAAATAAGAATAAAATTTAATTTTTTTATTTGTTAATTTTTATACAGGTTTATAAATTAATTGTAACTTTATTTTTTAGATACATTTTTATAAAAAAATATATTTTAAAGTATGTGTTTTTGAATTCTTAATTAATATTTTAATTTAAATTATTATAAGTTTTTATGTAAGAATTAATAAATAAAGATGAATAAATAATTTTTTAAAACTAGAAATTATGAAAAAACATACAAAAATAATAATTATTGAATAAATAATTATTGAAAAAAATTATAAAATTATGAAACGATATTGTTCTATCCGACGCACGGCTTTAGATGGATAATTTCAAAAATTAATCTTTTCGTTCTCATTAAATAAGAATAATTTTTTTTTCATTTGTTAATTTTTATATAAATTTATTCATTAATTATAACTTTATTTTTGGGATGTAATATTATGAATAATATATTTTTAAAGTTTTTTTTAATTCACAATTAATATTTTAGTTTAAATCATTATAAATTTTTGTTTAAAAATTAATTCATAAATAAGAATGAATTTTTTTTTCAAGTAGAAAAATTATGAAAAACTTTTAAAAATTAATTAAATAAAAAATTTTAAAATGATTTTAATTTTACAAGACAAGTTGTTGCGGACAATTAACCAGTTGCCTCTATGATATAAAAGTAGAATCCGGCATTATTATTATTCCAGATGTCACTTTTATATAGGTGGGAGAGTACTGCTTCCCGTACCTAATAATTCATCCCTTTTTTTCATTGTTTTCCCACCTTTTCCTTTACAGTTTACACGACGCAGACGTGGCTTCTATGACCTTCTAAACGTAATCTCTACGCAAAAGCAATTATCGCACGCCACAAACTCACCTACACCCTCTCCCCAATTTCGAACCTCCAGTCCACTGCTCTCTCGCCACGTCCCTACAAACTTCCCAAACGGTTACGGCCCCATTCCGTTATTACAACAAACAACAAAAACGCAAACCTGCTCTCTTCAACTTCAAAAAGTCGAAAATTAAAAAAAAAAAAAATGCAACAAAATTACGAATATTATTATCAATCTCAATTTCAAAGCCCTAACCACCCGTCAGCTCCTCCGGTTCCGTCGAGTTACTGCTCCTCTGATTACTCAAGTTATGAAAATCACAATCATGTCCCTTCTCCGGGTTCATATCATGATCAATTTCAAACTCCACCAAATTATGATCCTTCTTTGAACTTTGGTTACGAGAGGACGAATAAATTGGTTTTTGATGATTATGGGAGACCAATTAACCTCCAGGTGGGGCCAGGACCGGTTCCTGGTAGTTCCGGGAAAGCGAGCCCGGAAATGGAGACGCAGGCGGATGGAAAGAGTGGTGTCCAGAAGTTTCGGGTGATGATGCTGGCGGAAGGTGGAAATCAAAGTGATATCAATGTTACTTGTCAGGTTTGTACACGTGGATGCCTGTATTTTAGTTGTGCATGTATGTATTACAGGCATGTAGGTTCCCCCATTTTGATGCAAAGTGATATCAGTGGTTGTTTTAGTTTGATAAATGATGTTGGTTTTTGAGGTGATTAACTAAGAATGTGAGGTCAATGATCTTGTTTTATTGTTGAAAGAATATGGAAGAAATTAGAGTTTTAATAAGTTATGAGGATTTCTATAATTGCGGATGCTAAACCTTTCTTTTTAAGTAATGAATTAAAGAGGAAGAGTCTGATACCAGAAAAAGAAAAAAAATATATATGTATATATAAAGAAAACTAGAGGATGTAATGTCTAGATTGATGCAAAGTTGTGTTATCTGTTACGCACACGCACACACAATCAAGATGTGGGAGTAATTGCGCACAAACTCCAACAATGTGAGAAACCGTCCGTAGTTTTTTAGTTTGATAGATAATATTTTTGGTTTATAGATCATTAAGTAAGAATCCTAAGCAAATGGTGATGCCTAATCATGTTTGAATAAAGGAGGTAGATTTCTATCTAATAACTAATGTGGGCGTTTATATTTATAAATGTTAGCTTCTTCTTCTTTTTCACCACTAAATAATGGTTAAATGGAAAAGAGTTTCAGGAAAGAATAATCTCCTCTGCATTGGTGGTTTCTTTATGTAGATTGGTTTGGAAGGGGTTCGGATGCTTGATCCTGCCAGTGGTAGAACATTGAAGATATATCCACTAGATACTGTAACAAGATGGGAAGTAAGTTGGTAACTTTTTACATAGATATGAACTGGTGTTTATTGGTGTTATGAACAAATCCTTCAACTATATCTATTTTTTTCGATCCTTGTTTAGGTACTTGATTCGTCGGTTTTTGTGTTTTCGGCCAAAAGTTCCATAGATGTTCAACCAAGATGTATAAGGCTCAAATCCAACAGCTATACTACCAATGCCATTCTGGATGCATTGACAGCGGCAACTGTTCAGGTTGGATGAGTAACTAATCTTGTCACACACTGTAGTTTTATGCTGGCATTTCATTCTTTTGCTTCTGGTAAATGCTTTAGACAATCTTTGTTGTAGAAGATGCCTATTTACTGGATCTTTGTAAGATAGTAGAATAAATATTTTGCTTCCTATCTAATTGTAGAAGAGGTTCCAAGTGCATTATTTAATCTTTTGGTCTTTATTATTATGATGGCATTGCCTACTAGCAATAACATCATTATTGGATTGAAGGTTTTGAAGAACTTAACTCATACGAAGTATAAGAATCTAGTAGCTCAATGTAGTTATGGATCTTTTAATGACAAAATCATTATGTGTTGAAACTTGAAGCTCTGCCAGAGGCCATAGACTATTGTTCTTCCTTTTCTTTCCACTAATCAAAGATCCACAGTAATTGATTTCTTGGCTTAATGAACCACAAGATTATTAGCTGACTGTGACATCAACAAGTCAGAGTGTAAAATTTTCGAGACCTTGACACATTAAAACGTCTACGCTCTAGTAATTGATGCAGTTTTTAGTCACATGCTTTGCTAACATGTCATTGTATCTACTGCTAGTATGTACTTGATTGTTAGTTGTTAAACTGTCTCAAACCCTGTACTAAAATCAGAATTTTGTTCCTGGGTAGTGTTCTTAAGTGCATATGGAGTTTGATTATATACTGTCTTAAAATAGCAGAAATTTATGGCCACTTCAAACATTTAGTCACAATTGTGGTGTCTTTTGCTGTTGATTCTAGTGAGTCATCTTTGGAATGTATATCAAAAAGTCAGGGTAATAACTGGACTTATGCATGTGAGAATACTTGAGTTTGAAAGACTCTCTGGTAGTTTCCACTAAGTCACTTTGTGTGCAACAAAAAATTCTACTGTTTTCTGAATATTAATGCAGATTGAGGATGATTCAGGGCAGCTGAGAGTGGTCTTGTTTCATCTTGTTCTTGGGATTTGTTGATGTCATGAATATAAACTGTGTGACCACAACTTCGAAAAACTGAATATATGGAGATGCATGTTGCTTTTCATATCTGTTGTTTTCCTTTTTCCTCATACCTACCGGTTTAACATCCTTAAATGTCGGGAAGCAGCTTAAAGAGATGGGTGGAAAGCATTTGTTTTCGGATTCTTCCAAGGTTTCTGATCAATCAACAGAGAAGAAGAAAAGGATAGCTGATTGGATGAAGTTGGTCAAACCTATCAATGAGGAGAAAGTGCACTGGGTACATCTTTCTTCCTTGTTCATTTACAATAGTAGTCGTCTGAGGATTTTTGCACTCTTTTGATTCATGCATAACAAGGAGAGAACATGATGCCATTTTGCCCCCTCCCTCTTCCTCTTGAAAACAAAAAAAGCTTGTTTGGAAGTTTTCATTAACTTTAGACCCTAGAAGTTAAAAAAGATACTTTGAAAAGTGAGTGCCTTTTGGTTAACCATTTGGCACTCCAGTGACACTTGATTTAAACTTTTTCCCTCGAGTGACTTTGTAGCTTGGCCATTCTGCATTTTAGCGACACTGATTTTTCATTTTTACACGATTTACTTCTGTTTTTCTTTTAGTGTTGTCCTAGCATCATAAGCATCAGAATATAAGTCAAATACTATAATGCAAATCAAAGCCAAGAAAATGAATAAAATACCGCTTCTTTCACCAATTATCTTGTAGTGCTAGAGGTGCAACTTGCAGGGGTTTTTTAGCATTATCTTTCTCTTTTTCTAATGGAGTTATTGACGCCGCTAATGGATCAAAACAGATGCCACTAAAGTAGGTCACTGAAGTGTGAAATTGCCAAAACGTAGGTTATATTTTCATACTTTCACAAGATTACTATTGTTAAATTGAACTTCTATGTTCAGGAAAAGTGGCTTCTATCTTGTGTTGTGCTTAAATAGTTTTTTTATTAAATTATCACCTCAAATTCTCAACTGCTTAGTTTCCAAGCTCAGTTTTCTCCCTTTTTCTTCTTATAGGTTCCCGATGAAGCAGTTTCCAAATGTATGGCATGCAGCAACGATTTTAGTGCTTTTGCGCGAAAGGTTTGGGATTCTAGGAATTATTGACTTATTATTTGCTAATGTTTGTTTGTTCTTTTTGGTGATTCCACTTCTTTTCTTCCTATCTTCAGCATCATTGCAGGAACTGTGGAAATATTTTTTGTGATAAATGCACCCAAGGTAGAATTGCTCTTACTACAGATGAGGAAGCTCAACCAGTTCGAGTTTGCGACCAATGCATGGTATGAGTTTATGATGTTAACTATTCTTCTTTAACATGGTTTTCTCTAATTTGTCAGTGTTCATGTTATATATAATGTTTTTTGGTTTCAATTAATGCTATATAGATGTACTCATCTAACTTTTTTTTTTTTTTTTGTTTTGCCTCTCCTTATTGTCTTTCCAAAACTGTTAGGACACATGATAAACAAGTTGTGATGAATTGAGTATGTGTAGTAGTTGTATATTTTTTTCCCCTTTTCTGATAATTGGATGGGTGATAAGTCGAAACTCCAATACAAATCATGCACCTTTTACTTTGGATTGCCAGATCACTAATTGCAAGATATATAATAATAATTTGGTCAATCTCTGATTTTTCATTTCATCATGGGCTTTTTATGGTGACCATTATACAAGCTTTTTAGTGACTAGTTCTATCGTCATTTGTATCTGCTACAGGCTGAAGTTACCCAAAGGCTAAGTAATGCAAGGGAACCTTCTGAAAAAATTGTCGGAACACAGAATGATGGTGATCTTGCAAAAAAGCTTCAGGTGAATTGTATAGCATCATTAATTATTATATGTTTTCCCCACTGGCATTATTATTTTCTCTCTAGTGTTGGCTTTATTTCTTGAGGTGCTGTGCTTGCAATGTTAGGAGAAAATCCACTGTGCTTACTCTTTAGCTTTTCCATGCTCATGTATATCAATTTTATTCATGAATCGTATCAGTCCTCTTGCATCTCTTATGGTTAAGCGTGCTCATATAATGAAAACGACACACAATAACTTCTCGTTCTTACTCTGCAGCTAAATAATCAGAAATTAAGCAAGGATGGGTTAATTTACTCGTGGCCCATCATATTGTTAGGTTATCATGTTGTTTAGAGATTTTGTTGTCCCTTTAGAGTTTAGCCTTGTTCAGTAGATACAGAAAGGGATGTGGTTTTGGGGGAGTGTGGAGGAGGTTACAGCACTAACTGCCCTGTCATGGTGTTGGTTATGACATATTATGAATGCATTACTAATTCAGAGGAATTGTATCATGTAGCTGTTGACGCATAGGCATGAAATGTTTTGCTTCTGATGGCATAATAAAATTGCACTTTTTTATAACTCTCTAGGCATCATCAGACTTTATTCTGGAAGACTTTGTTGAAGGATCACATTGCCCCAAAGCATGGTGGGGAACACGCCATAGAAACACATGTTTGTCTAACAGTCTTGATTGTATCTCCATGTGCTCTAGTACCTTCTTTTTCCATCTGGAAATGCTCAGTTCTTAAAATTTATGCAATCAGCTTCCATATAACTAAGAGGCAATGAAACTTGAGTGATATTAACGGAAGAAGCGATTCTGAGTGATACATGAATTTTTTCTATATGTATTGATTTATTGATATACATTTGTTTTTCAATGTGATTGGTGATATGCAACAGGAAGAGATTGAAAGAAGTCGCAGGCCATCATCAGGTACTCATTATACTTGAGAAACCCATCTTGGTAATAAGTAGTTTTAAATAGCTTTAAAGAGGAGAAGTACAGGTAACATGTCCCAAAAAAGTAGAATGTATGGATGGCATGGCTGTGTTTACTTTGGAAGGAGAAATTATTAAATATTCTTTTATGTGTATTCTCTCTCATATCATATTGGATGCACCCGTAACATCTATGATTACATCTTACATGAATGTGTGGGAGACTGCACACACACTGGGAGCATCGAATGCTTTCTAAATTACATGTGCCCTTCGCTGTGATCCATGGCCATGGATAGTTGGATCACCTTGGTTGACACCAATATCTTAAATTGTTTGATAAGCAGGCCATAATACTTCTTTATTAATTAAGTAGACCTCTTGCAGTCACTAATTTTTCCTTTTCACCTTTGCCTGGCGCTTCATTGCACTGAAAACAATTCTACGTGTTTGTAGGTTTGAATTCTGATAGATCTGACAAGCAGATGAGAGAAGTTGCCTGCCCCACTTGCACTGTCCACTTGCAGGTTGTATAGCTTCATCTTCATTTTCACTGCTAATTATTTTCTTTCCCTATCGTTTCTTTTCTTTTCTTTTTTTTTAGAGTAAAAGGTGAATGCATGTTTGGCTATTTTGTATTCCACAAAATTAATTCTTGTTTCTTCTCCCAACTTCTTGTGCAGGTTCCTGTTCCAACTTCTGGTTCTGAAACCATAGAGTGCAGCGTTTGTCAGTATCCATTCTTGGTCAATGCCCATTGATTTTACTATATTACTTCGCCCTTTTATGTTGGTTCGGCATAGAATATAAGACTTTCTCTTTATCTTTCTTTAGTTACGTGTGCTTGCATATACTTTGTGTGGCAAAAATCGGGAACATGATGTCCCTTTTGTATAGGTAGAAATGTTCCAACATCAGATAACTTATAGCTTCTAGTTCTGCATACTTTATGAGAGGAAACTTTGTTCAACCCGGTAATCCTTATTGTTATACACAATATCCTTACCAAGTTAATAAAAATAGAATTTTACCCAGTATACATGGTTTCTACTTCTATTTCTTCTTCGTCTGTAGTTCCTTTTTGCCGAGTATGTGGACTAACATTGTAAAGCAGAACTCCATGTACAAGAAGCTGATACTTGAACATATAAAAATATTTTCAGACAAAGATTTGGTTCTGTTGTTTTGAATCAAAGGCTTATTTGAATGTAATAAACTTGTGGGACAGCTAGGGGGTAAAGCAGTGCTAATGACGATATTGCTGGAAAGAGAAATGCAGCTCGGAGTTCTTAATATAGAATGACTTTTGAAAGTGACAAATAACTGTCAACTAAAAACGCAACCAATGGCTCCATTAATGATTTTAGACGCCACCAGCTTCTTGTATGTGGTCACTGAAATGCTTAATAACAAGCACACTCACTCATAATGCAATTTATTGCCTTCCATGAGGCTCATCTTATCGATACATTACAAGCACCACATGGATCTTGCTGTAAATGGTCATGGAGAACTGAATGACAGACTGGTGTTTTGGGGTTGTGGTATATCGAGAAATCGTGTTCTGATAAATCTTAATGCTGTACAACTTGCACCATCAATTAGGTTATATCTCTTAACACGTGGTCCAAGAAATAAAATGGAATGCCAATCTTAAACTGGAATTGGCAGAAGAACTGAAGAAGGGAAATCTCAGGTTTTTACATGCAGTACTATGATACTGTCATCTTCTAAAGAAACCAGGAGAAGAATAGATTCAGATAACTTATGATTTGTTCCTTCAGGGTTTCAATTTTTTGTTTCCTTCGATGTGCGGGCCAGGACGAGTCTATTGTTCTGTCACTAGCTAGAAGGCTTATAACGCCATAACAATCATAGCATAACATTGATGTGCTGAGCCTGTGAATTTTGGCAGTTTGGCTTAATAAGCTAAAATGAGTGTATTTTAGATGTTCACGCTTCCAAGGAGTCCTTGATGTTTTAGGATCTTGTTCGTGGTCATGAGATGAAAGCAAGATGGAGTCACTTTTGAGTTTTGGGTGACCATTTCCATCTCTCGTATGAGTTATATATAAATGGCATTGGAATCTACTGCCTTAACCTAAACACAAAACACCACATGGTTTCCGTTAGAACAGAATACTCGGATGGGCTAAGAGGATCATATCTGGTGCTGCTCATTGCTTGTTTTTCTTAAATTATTTCTTCTTTTTATGATTGTTTTTTCAAATTGTTTATTTGTTGCTTCTACCATCATGTGATCATTAAAGCAATTGTCGAGTGGTTGGAAGTATTTAAGAGGTTTCTTCTCTGTGGAAGTGTGACAAACTGTAATCTTTTAGAAAAATTGACCATCAGTATTCTATTTCTCTCTCTTATTATATTACATTGCAATAAAGTTTGTTTCGTCATATCAAACTTCAAATGAATGAGTCAACTTGGATGTTCTATGAATCTAATTTAAAACCTGCAGCTAGTTCAGGAGTTTGAGTTCGACAAATAGCAGCTAAAACTAGTATTTATGCATGATCAAAAAGTGCTGCTTTACGAAATTACCTCTCATAAGGATGAGGTTCTTCTCTGACTACTCAACTTCTCTTAACACCTTCTATGTCCGAGCGACTGCAGGTTTTGCCCTATACAGTGCGGCAGCTGACACTATTGTACGTAAGAATGAAAAGATTCCAGCAGTTATAGTGTTTGGAGATTCTGTAGCCGATACAGGCAACAACAACAATCAAAATCCTCTTTCCACATGCAACTACCCTCCCTTAGGGGAGAGATTTCATGGGAGGAAAACCAACAGGAAGGTTTGGCAATGGAAAGGTCTCTTCGGACTTTATAGGTACCGAAACTTGTTGGTTTTGTGTAATCAAATTAGTAAAGGATTATGTGACTACTAGCAGTTCTTTTATTTCCTTTCATATTATTTGTAACAAAACAGGGTAATTTGTTGTGCTTTCCTATATATATATATATATATATATCTCTGGGGAAGTTAGCAATCCTCCCAACTGGACTTGATGAGCTATTGTGAACTTTTATATTCTTAAAAATCTGACTCTTAATGTTAGTGCAGTTTCCTTTTTCTTTCTCTCTTTGCTCAGAAACGAAAAAAGGGTGTGAGTGGTTCAAAACCATACTTCTGTAGCCCTCTTCCCCTGGTGCTTTAAAAATTCTGTAATAGAATAATTTGGAACAAATAATTCTGTTCTACAATTGTATTAGCAAAGTCATGCAGTTCATACTCTCAGAAAATCTCCAACCATTTACAGATGAATTCTTTGGTGTAAAGGAGCTCTTGCCACCTTACCTTGATCAAAGCCTGCAGCTTCAAGACCTCCTTACTGGTGTAACTTGTGCCTCAGGCGGTTCTGGTTATGATCCTGAAACATCCAAATCACCGGTATCTCTCTGCCTACCCAGTTCTACTTGTCTAGTAAAACTTATTATTGTTATTGATATGATAAATTTTATGTTTTCAATTTAACAGTCCGTGCTATCATTGTCGGACCAACTAGACCTGTTCAAAGGTTACATAACTAAGATAAGATCAGCTGTGGGAGAAGAAAGAACCGCGGCCATATTATCTAAAAGCATCTGCATAGTGTGCACAGGAAGTGATGACATTGTCGTCACTTATTTCGCTAGCGAGCATAGATCTTCTTATGATGTCAATTCATATACTGATTTAATGGTCAGCTCAGCTTCAAGCTTCGTCCAGGTATGTTCTCGAGACTTGGTAAATAGTATAAGTTCAGACAGTTGTATTTAGTGCAAATTTGCCTCCTTCAGAGTTTTGTATCTCATTCATGAGCAAATAGGAGATTTCCAATTCAACGATTCAAGTAATCCTTCATCTGCATTTATAAGATACCATTCTGCAATTTAGATAAATGGATGCAATCTGGCTTCATATCGGTTCTACGTGTCTAATGGGGGAGAAATCACAGGAACTCTATGGCCTTGGAGCAAGAAGAATTGGAGTGATTAGTTTACCACCAGTAGGATGCCTGCCATCACAAAGACTTCTCTTTGGTGGCATCAGAAGAGTGTGTTATGAGCCTATGAACCAGGCAGCAAGACTCTTCAATACCAAGATCTCCTCAGCAACTCATTCTCTAAATAAAAACCTTCCAGGCGCTCGACTTGTATAACTTGATGTCTATAATCTACTGCTTTCTCTCATCCAGACCCCAGCTCAATATGGTAATTTAGCTGAACCAAAATCATCTCTTTTCAAGTCTATGATTAACTTGGATGCGAAGTAGGTCAGTTGGTGATGCTTTTGTGAATAGCAGGTTTTGAAGTGGTGAATAGAGGATGCTGTGGCACAGGAAATATAGAGGTTGGCGTATTTTGTACTAGCCTTGAAGACCCATTTTCATGCAAAGACGCCTCCAAGTATCTGTTCTGGGATAGTTTCCATCCCTATGAGAAAGCATATCAGATTCTTATCCCTCTTGTCTTCAAAAATACTATGAAGAAATTTTTCTTGAGTTTACCTTTCTGATGGTCCCATCCTAACAAGAATGGCAGGGAAATGAAGATGTCAAAGCAATTTACAAGCTTATTATGTGATGGAAATGAGTCAATGTGATGATAAAAAGAAGTTTATCTATCTATAAGGGAATTATATATTGGAAGCACGATGAGCCCTCCAGTAAAGAAGATGAGTTAATTCATTTTCAATTCCATTGTGAAATTCTCCCAAATATATATTATTACAGGAACCTTCAAAATTGTTCGTTGTTTTAATTAACAGACAAAATAAGATTCCAGGTTCAGAATGTTTTTTTAGAATACCTTGCATTTTGTAGTATCCAAAAATCCTGCATTTGGTTAAATTAGTGCTTTCGAGTTCAAGTGTTTTTATACAAAATTTTTAAGATAGTTATGTGTGTCTTGTGCGTCCCACCGAATTGCTAGAGATGATCAGAATTTTTGGACTTCGGACATGTGGAAATCAGAAAAAAAAAAAAATAATAATAATAATAAATGCCTAGTGGGTCATTTTCAATACATTACTGAGAAAGAAGTGTGCCACCACATGTTGCTTAACCGTGAACTATAAATTCCGTGATTCGTATTTTTAATAATTAGATAATTTTTAAAGTTATGCAATCTATTAATAATTTATATAAAATTGAATTATATGAATTACATAATCTCAGCCCGCATTTGACGTTTCTTCGTCCTCCTAAGTAGCTGTGTCTTTCACGCCAACACAGTCAACAACGCCACTGAAGAAACCAAGAGTAGCCACCATGGCCGACCACCACCACCACCACCAGCACCGTCCTAACCGCCTATCTCTCCCTCTACGAGCCACCAACACTACGTTCACCTCCAATGCCACATTCACTCCCACCACATCCACACCCTACCCTCTCTACCCATTCGCCTCCACAACCCCAACCTCAACACCATCGAAACACCGTCTCTCCTCTCTTCCCTCCAAGTCCTCTTCAAAATTCTCCTATTCCTTCCTCTTCCTCCTCCTCCTCTCTCTCCGTTCCCTCTACTCTCTCCTCCCTTTCCTTCGATCCTCTCCTTCCTCGTTCAATATCTTCCCTTTCTCGTTCCTTGTCTCTCTCCTCTCCTTCCTTTTATCCCTCTCTTTCTCTCTTTTCTTCTCCCCTTCCTCCTCCTCAAAAACCCCTTTTCACTTCAGAACAAACCCTAACCAACCCATCTTCGCTCTCTCCTCCATTTCCCAATCACAACACAGACTCCTGTTATCAAAATCTCTCCTCCTTGCTGTTGTTTTCCTCCTCAGATTTCAAGCCCTTCGATATTGCGGGACTGCTGCTATGATTCTCGCTGAATTGTCCGGTAGTGTCGCGGCCGCTCGTTTTGCTGCTGATCGGAGGAGAAAGAATAATAATTTTGGTGTAAGTAGGCATAACTTATCTGGGTTTTTGGCCCTTTTTGTTGGGTTGTTTTTGCTGTCAATAAGTTGGGATCGGATCGATTGTTTTCCATTTTCCATTGGTTTCATAGATAGATATGGGATTTCGGTTTTTCCTAGAGAGAATTGTTTTAGGATTTGGCCAATGTTGTTGCCTTTTGTTTCTGGTTTTTTGGGGTGTTATGAGAGAGTTTCGATGAATTTGGGGACAATTAGAGCATTAGGCCAAAAACGGGTTCGATTGATTTCGTTGTTTTATACCACAGTTTTACTATTTATTCCTGCTGTTTTAAGTTTTATGGTGTTTGAAAGTGGTAATAGTGATAACAAAGGTGTTTCTATTGGGAGTTTGGGTTGGCCTCTAGCAAATACTGTTGTTTTTGGGGTTCTTTTGAGTGAGAATTGCAGTGGTGATGAGAAGTTAGTGAGTTCTAAAGATTTCCAAAGAGAGTTTTTGGTTACATTTGTTTGCACGGTTGTTTTGGAGCTGTTCTATTTCCCCGAGCTTTCGCTTTGGGGGCTTTTGCTATGTGGTTTCCTACTGTATTTTGGTGTTAGAGAATTGGAACCTAGTCATTCACAGTATCTTGAATTGGGATTGGATACACCCCCGAAGGCATTTAGTGGTTTCATTATGAAACCTATCCGCCACATTTTGAGTGAGAGAAAGTCCCGTAAGATTGCACTTTTCCTTTTTATTAATACTGGTTATATGTTTGTTGAATTTGCTGCTGGGTTTATGAGCAATAGTCTTGGGTTGATATCAGATGCTTGCCATATGTTGTTTGATTGTGCTGCTTTGGCAATTGGTCTGTATGCTTCTTATATCTCCCGGTTGCCTGCAAATAATCAGTTTAATTATGGTCGAGGAAGGTTTGAGGTTCTGTCAGGATATGTTAATGCTGTCCTTCTGGTTCTTGTTGGGGCACTAATTGTATTGGAGTCATTTGAGAGGATTTTGGACCCTCAGGAGATATCAACTAATAGTCTGTTAATTGTTTCAATTGGAGGGCTTGTTGTGAATTTGGTTGGTCTGGTCTTCTTTCATGAAGAGCATCATCATGCTCATGGTGGCTCTGGATCATGCTCTCACTCTCAATCTCACTCTCACTCTCACTCCCACTCCCACTCCCACTCCCACTCCGACTCTCACTGTCACCACCAGCACCAAAATTCACAAGACCATGAAAAGCATGATGAATACGCCTCCGTTTCCCATGAATGTCATGAAAAGTCATTGGCCGGCCATGGTGACAATCTTGAACACCATCTTTGTGACCACCAGAGCAGTATTGATAGCTGTAAAATTGGAAGCTCCAGTTGCCATGCTCACCACGACAATGCTCACGACCATGACCACTCCTCCCATGCTCACCATCAACATGACCATCATGACCACTCCTCCCATGCTCACCATCAACATGACCATCATGACCACTCCTCCCATGCTCACCATCAACATGACCATCATGACCACTCCTCCCATGCTCACCATCAGCATGACCAAAATGACGACTCCTCCCATGCTCACCATCAGCATGACAACCACGACCACTCCTTCCATGCTCACCATCACCATGACCACTCACATGATCACAGATGCCATGACCATCATCATCATCATTCCAATCCTCATGATCATCGCTCTTTGGATTCTAAAAGTGATTCTTCTTTGGTAAAGAGTAGTTCCGAACAAATGACAGCAGTATCTGAACAAGAGGAACCAAAAAGGCACCACCATCACCACATCGACCACAACATGGAGGGGATCTTTTTGCATGTTCTGGCAGATACGATGGGAAGTGTTGGTGTTGTTATATCTACCCTCTTAATTAAGTACAAAGGATGGCTTGTTGCTGATCCCGCCTGCTCAATATTCATTTCCGTTTTAATCGTATTGTCAGTCATTCCATTGCTCAGAAACTCTGCTGAAATCTTGCTTCAAAGAGTTCCCAGGGCTCATGAACAGGATCTGAAAGAAGCCATAAACAGTATTATGAAGATAAAGGGGTTGCGTGGCATTCAGAACTTGCACTGTTGGAGCTTTACCAACACAGATATTATTGGGACTCTGCATCTTCATGTTGCAGACAAAATTGACACGACTTCTCTGAAGGCACAGGTTTCAAACATTTTTCAGGATGCTGGAATCAAGGATTTGACAGTCCAGGTGGAACGTAGCAAGTAATTATGTTGTTTGCTGTCCCCCAGCATTCATCTATTTGATGTATTCAAGGACAACGTAGCCCATCATTCTCAAGAATTGCTTGTGATTATCAATGAGTTGATGAACTCCGCCTGAGATTTTTTTCCGTGGATACAAAATGGCGTCCATCACTTCTGCCAAGTTTTAAAGGTTTTGTCACCTTCTTAAGAGATGACACCACATGAGAAGAAATTTGTGAAGTACCAGCAACAGGAATCGTGAACGTGTTTATTGCTATTAAAACCATCATTTGTCTTTCAACCGTGAAGGATGCTGAATTTTGTTGAATCAGTTCGCAAACATGTATTCTATGAGCCTGTGAATTTGATGGTTACGTTTAGGTAAAATAACTACATTAGCACTAACCAATACAGGGACATAACCATGCATGCTTGCAGGTGCAACTCGTCCTTGATCTTTCAATATACTGCTGTAGGTCATGAAAGCAAGCTGAAGTTATTTCTGGGTGACCTTTTCCTTCCCTCTTATACAATGATATTTTGTCTCTCGAGACATTACGTTTTTTTCGTAAATTTGACAAATGTAGTGCATGTTTAGCTTGTTGAAAGAATCTATTTAAACAGCAGTTGCTAGTTCATGAGTCTGCAACTACTTCCATTGTCTTGCTATTTGAGTTTTAATTGAACAGCAGTTGGTATTCATTCCCTTTGAATGTGTTTTGTGAGTGCAAGCATATACCTGTTAACAACCACAAACTTGAGTCCAGCAAAATAGCAGTAAAAGCATCATATATGAATGATCCAGAATTCCTGTGTTATCAAATTGTTACTTTCTATCAATAATTCCTTGACAATCCTAAACACGTGTTTCTGTACTTGCTCGTGACGATGGATTTTTTATCTGATAAGAAAGTTTGTCACTCATTTTATGCTCATTTTCATAATATACATATTTATTTATTTTTTTTTTCCTTTTCTATTTCTTAAAAAAAATTAATTGGTAAAAGACTAATTAATTAATTAGTTTTTGAAACTAGAAATGCTATTTAATTCATTTGAGACAAACTAAATTATAATTTACTCCTTTCATAAAGAAATTTCGCATCTAACAGTCCACAGGAACTAGAAATTCACAAGCTATTTAATGATAAAACTTAACCCATAATGTCATGGTACCTTAGACCAAGTTATAACCACTTCTGCTGATCTTTGGGGGCGTAAATGATGCTAGTTTAAACAGTTTCTATCAATGCAATTTGATTGTTCTGCTATCATTGTGGAATCTAGTGAAATGCAAAACGGAAATCTGGGTCAATGAGACGTTGAATGACCAATTGGTAATAATATCTTCGTCTGTTCTTCATGGCGAAAAAAATTGGCAGGAACTTTATAATTTTGGTGCAAGAATGGAAATACTTTCTATGCCACCATCAGGTGTTTTCCAGAAAGAATTCTGTGTGGCGGCATCCGTAGAGAAGGTTTGATGTGGCAACCAGAGAATGTGGTGGCTCAGAAATTGGAGCTTGGCGTGTTGCGGGTTGGTTTCGACCAATTTGCATGCCCAGATGCCTCGAAGTGTTTGATAGTTTTCAATATCTTCGTGAGAAAGCTCATGAGATCATCATCTCTATGGCCATTACTAATACTCCAAGCAGATTATTCTGAGCTTCGCTCCTCTAGCCATCTCTCTCAATGAGTGATGAAATCTGAAACCAGTCAATATGCAGGGACAAGGTAGTTTAACTGAAAGAGACAATTGATTTAGCATGTTCAATTCCTTCGGGAGAGAAGATGGCTGGTTCCAAATCAAATTCATTGTTAAAATCTTAGAAAATGCGGAGGATCAATACACGAACCTTCCCAATTGCTCAATTCTTTAATTTATGAATTAAAAACAAGGTTCCAGGAAGAAAACATTGTAGGGGTTTTAGTTCATGTTTTTGCAGTGTCCCATAACTAAGCCTCCATCTTCCAGATTTTGTTATGGGAAGAACAGTAATTTACTAATGAAAGGTGGTTAGCAAATATATTACTAATACTGCATTAACTACCGTATTCAGCTTGTCAGCTTGTGAATGTCATGGTTTTGGCAACAGTAGGCGTCCATATGTTTCCGAACTAGACGATAGCATTGTCGGCATCCAAGATACCACCATGAAGATTCCAGTCCAAAACAAACAATAGCAGCTTTGATCGTGTAGTAAAAGTTTTGTATTTTGAAAAAGGAAATATTACGAAGGCATGCAATTAGTAGAGTTATTTGGTTTAGGTTTCCCTTTTTTAAAAAAAATCCATAAATGATTTGTCAAACCTGTGTGTTGGCGATGGCTGGCTGAAACAAGTGCTGGATGGTCGCTCTATTCTTGTTTTTCAAATGCTCAGCATCCATTGTAAAGATAAAGGGGAAGGGAGGGCGTTTTGCGGCTGGAAATACTAGAGCAAGAACATCGCGGGCTTTTGTTTGGATGGAGAAAGAGTGAGATGAGTTCTATTAGACGGCTTGCGTGATGGCTAACATTTTTATATAGACATAGACATAGCTTGTAATCCTTCTAAGAAAATGAAATATGTGCTTTGTGAATAGTGAAGCCAACAAATTATGTCGCATGGAAAAGGTAACATTGCTGCAGATTATGCTCCAACTGACCTTTTTTGATGAATGAAAAAGCTGGTGGGGCAAATAGTTCAGGCAGTGAAAAGAAGACTTATCAAAGATAAAGTCAGCTGCGGGAGAAGAAAGAATGATGACTATTGTATCCAAAAGCATATACGTACATAGTATGCACAGGAACTGATCACATTGGCAATACTAATTTTGGTACTTCATTTTGGAGATCTCGTTATGATACATATCAATTCATACACCGATTCAATGATCAGCTTAGCTTCAAGTTTTTACCTGGTGATGTTCCAACTTCCAAAGACTTACTAAGCAACGCATAATGCAGACAGTTTTACTTAGTGCACTAGTTGATATGATTTCCAATTTAATGGTTGAAGTAAACCTTGCTGAAGTGACCAATTGGATATACAATTTGGCAGGAACTTCATGATCTTGGTGCAGAAAAATTGTAGTAGTAAGTTTACCAGCATTGGGTGCATGCCATCACAGAGAACTCTGCACGCTGGAATCCGAAGAAAATGTTTACTCACTGTTACATTATATAACGACCGTTAAGTAACGGTTTCGAAGCATCCCGTTACCGTTATTGTAGTATTCTAGTAAACCGCGATCTGCAATGATGACTGCGATCGTTTTTTCAACCATCTGCTATTTAAAACTATTATTAGAGTCTACAACCCAGGCAGCAATGCTTTTCAGATTCCAAGCTCTCCTCAACAATTGATTCTCTGACTAAAAAACTTCCTGGCTTTAGGTTTGTCTACTTTGATGTCTACAGTCCACTCCTTTCCCTTTCAAAATCCTGATCAATATGGTAAGTTATCACCAACATATTTTGTTTGGCTACATTTTGAAGTAAATACATGAGATTGTGTAGAACAACATACAGTTCGTTCCAGTTGTGGATTCAGGGTTTGAAGGTGCAACTAATGGGTGCTGTGGCACAGAAAATTAGAGGTCAGCATATTGTGCAATAGAATAGATGCATGCACTGATGCCTCTACTTATGAATTCTGGGATGGTTACCATCCCTCACGGAAAGCTTGGCAGACCCTTATCCCTGTGATCCTCAATGAAACTATGAACAGATTCTTTTAAGCCTTAACATGAATTTATTGTTAAATGTCAGCGAAAAATGAATGGATAAAGGACCTTCCCACTTGTTACATACTTCTATTCTGGGATATGGTTAACACATAATTCTTAAGCCTTGTTCCCTAATGCTTTAGAAATCTGGCTACAGGACAAGTTATAGCCAAACTATTTGGTGTTAAAAGACGATCTTGCCAGCTTCTCTTGATGAAAACCCGCTGCTTAAGACCTCACTGGCGTAAGTTTTGCCAATTAATGGTAACTCCTCTTTCCAACTTTCAGACAGATCTCCAATATCAAAGCATGCATGTCAGTCTACAGCAGCAATGGCAGAACAACTTCCAAATTTGTGCATCCAAAAATAGGATTCTAGGTAGCTGTTGAGGTTGATACAATATCCAATAATGCATTTCCATAAAATATGAAGATTGCTCCAGCCTACCAAATAACAAAAAAAGTTAAAAGCAAACTCTTCTTTCTAACTTATAGACAGATCTCCAACGTCAAAGGCACTTCGTATCTCAACAAAAATCTATGAATCCACCAGTAACCTCTGATGCTTCTACTGCGAGTATTTTTTAGAAGAAAACCAAATATCATTGCAAACATATATAGGAATATATACAAGTAACAGTTTTAAATATATTATTCCCACAATCACAACCTAAATCTTGAACTAATGCAAATCTGAAGTCCCATATTATCTATCACCTAATATTGCCCCAGAAACCTACAAAATTGCATACCCCTCTTTTAAACTATGACTACCTAGCTATAGGATGAAAACAAACTGTACAAATGGAACACAAGCTGATGGGAAAGAAACCAAAATGAGATCAACGAAGTTTATTCTGAGCAACAGCCTGGCATAACTCATCCTCGTAAAATAGAACCCTATTAGAAGCCAAAGATTTGCAAAGAGGCTTTGGCAGAGCAGATGACACCATGCATCTTGAAGGGAATGCTGAATCTTGGAAGAGAACTGCAGCAATACTCTTCATCTCAGTTATTTTGATGCGAGAAGGTGGCCGGGGACCATGCCTTGGAGCTTTTGGAGTATGTGGACTTGGCATGAAAATGCCCTTACCATTCCCCTTGCTGCAATGGCCATTCAAACATTGTAAGGAAAACACAAAACTAGATGAATTACAAACCTCAAAAAACACTAATAAGAAGAAAAAAACATGACACTTTTGGATTCCTACCTTACAAAAGGCCAGTGTTCAGTAGGCCGTGGGGTCATTGTCAATAACATCTCCTGTCGAGAGCGATCTGGTGTTGTGTAATTGAAATGAAATTGCCTTGCAAGCAAAACCTGCTCCCAACAAGCACTAACAGGTTCACTCTTCAATTCAACTCTAAAATCAGAGTCAGACAGAGCGAGAGAGAGAGAGACTTACAGCTTTTCTAACCCTCTGAGAAACATGGAAAACAGCCCTCAGTTGGTCATGGTGCAGGTGACAAAGTATTTTAACCTCAAAAGTAACAAAACAAACAGGAATCAATATACAAGTTATGAGAATTAAAACAAGATTTTGAGAGGAATTAAGGGCAAAGGTGTGCGTTCAGTAATAGGTACAAAAAAATAATAATGTGATCCATTCTTGTTTTATGGAGATTTTCTCAATTTCTATGCAAATAAGACCACATTCTTGTCATCAACATGATTTAAGCATGTATCATATTAGGCTTGGGCTGAAGTCTTAGTGGATAGGCCAGGGCCAAAGCATTCAAGGTTTAGATCCCTTCTAACGGCTAGAAAAAGATATCAAAAAGAAACACACACAGTAAGACAAACAAACTCCCTTGAAAAGAGCAAAACTTGAGTTAGATTTAGATTTACACAAGAAACAGATAAATGACCATCAATGATAATGTCCTTGGGGCTCTTAGGATTGACCCAATAAGAACACAAAAAAAAAGTCCTAGATAACATTTACAACACTTTCGGGAAACTGATACTATATCTACTTTCACCCTCATTGAAATTCAATCTACAACCTCACAATCCAAGATGCCTGCATCCTACCGGTTGTTCATTTCCAGCATCAGGTGTTATATTTTAATTTTTCTAAATCAAGAAAATACAATCCTAAACTTGGCTCTCTGTTATAGCTTCCAATATACTTGCAGATACTTTCAACGTACAAATGCATTAACATCTACAGAGTAACAAATTATTCTGGCCAATAAAGAAATGTAATGCAAAATTTTATGGGTCTTCATCTTTTTAGAATCTATAAGCTCATACCTCCAAAGCACATCCTGCTCTCTAAAGCAAAGATTGGAATTCCTTCATGTTTAGTGTTATCAGAATCTCCAACCAATTTCTAATTCAATTTAACTTTCTAAAGGGAAATATACACTGTAACATTTTCATATTTTCAGCCCTCTAGATCTTGATTTTCATATTGTGTAATTACAGAAGCAAAACCAAGAACTAATGAGTCCATAAAACCTGAACCAAAAGAAATTGATCTACATACAATGCTCTGAATGAGTATTACCAGCAACTCCATGGGAAGAGATTCAAGTCTAGACTCAGTATCACAATCTTCGATCCGAGGGGTCTTCGGTGTCCTCGCTAGATGATTTTGTTTAAGCAAATCCACAGGTGATAGCATCAGAGGGCTTTTATCAATAGATAAATGATTCTGTTTACGCAAATCCACAGGTGATAACAAACAAGGGCTTTTATCAATAGCCTTGTCTTCAATCAAAACTTCATCATCAGCATCTCCCACCTTCTTATTCCCAAACACAGCAACCCTTTTCTTTCCAAGATCAGTACATGACTTCACGGCTGACACCTTGCTATACCGTAGCTGAGCAAGTGCCCCAGGCTTCAAATACCTACTGCTCGAGCTCCGTAACCGCCTTTTTTGCTTCGGGGTCTTCAAATTCCCATCCTTAGGAGCCACTTTCCCCATACTATATAGTCTCTTCCTCAAATCTATTCCCAATTCCTCAAATTTATTCCCTTATATTTTAACATCCAATGATGAACAAAAAATAAATTAAAAATTCATCATGAATAGATACCTGAAAACAAAGTTTGGATAAATCTCTTTAATAACCTCACAAAATATACAGATTAAACACAAAAAATCATTTACAAAATGAATATAGAAACTCAACTAACTCAGTACTCACGTAGATTATAGATTCTCTCAGTTATCCCTGATTAATTAATCAAACCTGTCAACCAAAATACCAGAAATCCCATTAAAAAAAACCCTAAATTACTAGAAAACCATCTTTGACAAAAAGAAAACCATAGAAATTAACAATTAAACCAGATATAAATTGCTTAAATCGCATTAATCAAACAGAAATGTAATTGGAAATCCTAATTTAAAGCAGTCCACACACAAACTAAAAAATAAATAATCCCAAAAAAATAAAAATAAAAATTAGCAAATTATTACAAATAAAAGCAGAATTGTTAACTAACCTGAAATTGAAAAGAGAGTACAAATCCATGGAAACTGAGATACCAACGTAGAATAGAGAGAATTTTAGAGAGGGGTGACGTCTAGAGAGAGAGAGTTGAGAGAGAGAGGAAAAATAATTGAGGCCGCTAGGGTTTGTTTGGTTGTTTATTTGAATTTTATTTTAGATTGCCCGCCAAAAGTTTCTACGAGTTGTGGGAGATGTTAAAGCAACTCAAGTTTGATGAAAAGAATGGTCGTTGGGTGTTAACGTGGCAATTTCTAATTGGTTGGGTAGTGGAATCCGATGGTGTTATCTCTTTGTTTTTAGTGGTGTCCACCAAGCGAAAATTACGGGCTCTTGGATACTCTGATTAGATTTCCTGTTTTTGATTTTTTAAGTTTTTAAAAAATGAATTTTAAAAGGATTAGTGATAAATCAAATTATATTTATCTAGTTAATAAATTGATCTTAATCTGCATTAATAAGGCGGGACCCAGTGATTAAATTCTTTAAAGACAATTTAAACCATTCACGCATCATTAAAGACAATTTAAGCCATTCACACATCATTAATTATGCGTGACTGGCGCTCCGTTGAATTAAATGTAGGGGCATTTCTGTCACCTAATTAATTAAATGTTTTTGCGTTAGTATTGGTCTAAGATGATATGGGGTGGGCTAAGGAATCAAAGGCCATGATTTCTAATTTATGGCCGATAAAGCCCAAAGTAACATCCAACCATGTCTTTTATAAGCTTTGCACTACTTTTCTATTATGGGCCTCGTTGTACATCAAAACATATGCCATTTGTTTGGATTTACAGTGTATCTCAAACTAAAAATCCAATTAATCACTCGTTGTTCTGTTGAGCATATGAGATTAGCATAAATATCCAATAAAATTTTTACATATATAAAAACTCAAATACGAGACCTTTTACTTAAACAACTAGAACTCATTCCGCTCAAATCAACTCTCTTAAATAAGCATATGCCATTAATTGTGTTTAATTACTGCTCTTCTTTATTAAAAATAAGAGATACGGTTTTTTTTTTCTCAAAGAAAAGAAAGATAAAATAATTCTTTGCGACGATAAGAAAAAACTAAAATCGATGGAAATTTTGATCATGTTTTCAGTCATTTTCAAGTGTCGCACGACATTTACCGCAACATCAAAATGGTAAAGGTTTTGGCAAAAAAAAAAAAAAGATAAATAAGAAAGAAGGTTAAATTCATTCGAGTTTCAATTTTCATTTAATTATGATATTGATAAAAAAAAAAAAATGACGTTATTGTTGCTGAGTGAGAACTGAAATTGGTAGAATTTGAAATTTTTTGAGAAACTAACCTTCTCAAGTTCTGTCGTCTTTGTTTTACTCAAATAAATGGCTTTTTTTCCTTTTATTTTTGTTGATTTTAATGTGTTTATTTTTTTTATGCGCTGCTAAGATATTTTATAAATTTAGGGATGAAGTTAAAATTTACACATGCGTTTTGTTAATATTCATGAAAAATGGACAAAAATAGATGGAGGGGGAAATTGGAGCAACGATGAAAAATGTGGAAACCGATTGAAACAAACCAAAAGATTTATATAAAATCAAGACAATACATAAATTTCAAGAGGGACAAATTAAAATTTACCATAAAGCATACATGCACTATTGGTGCAGTCTATATTGTTCTTTGTATGTATCCAAAGAATCCTATAAGAAATAAGCATTAATCAGAAACATGAATAAATTATAAATTAATTCCTCTAATTTCAAATGATGGATTAATTTGTCCCTTTTGCTAAGAAAATTAATTATTTAGTCTTTGTGTTTTTAAATTTTCTCATAACTTAATCCATTTCATTGTTTTTCAATTTATTTTGATTTTGTTTTAAGAAATAAAAAAAAAGAAAAAGAAAAATAAATAAGTAAAAAATATGGAATGATTGATGAGAAAATATGATAATTTTTTAAATAAATTAATATTAAATTAAACATGATAAACATTGGTCAATAAACTAAATAATTAATTTTTTAAGCAAAAAAGACTAATTAATTTGTTTCTCAAAAATAGAAGAATTAATTTATAATTTACTCGGTGAAAATTATTAGTATTACCGGATAATGTAGTCTACCTTCTCACGAAAATATGGGATCTACCATAAAATTATTCAATATACGGATATTGTATTGATCCAACCTGTCACAAAAACACGAGACCCACCATGAGAATAATTCACGAATTTATTTATTTATTTATTTTGTTTGATTGAGAGAGCGAAATACAATACCCCGTGTACTAAATAATTGCTCAATGTTGTGAAGCATTAGGAAAGAGAAAAACAAAGTAAAAGAATCATCCAAATTATAAAAGAAAAAAGATTATATCAAATTTCTCATTTTACATATTATATTAACGAATCTTTTCTTTTTATTGAAGAAGTATATTAAAATATATATATATCATTTTCACCTGAAAATAAATGTGTAAATTAGATTTTTTAACAATTTATCACCTCTTCAAATTATTTATATAAAATAACAAAATAACATCTTTTTTTATTCTTTCCCTATCTAGTGAACTTTGCATCCAAATAATTTTTTTCCTGTCTTTTTTTCTGGAGAGAATTACCTTATCATGCACTTTGAACCAAGCCTAACAATCAAAATTCAAGAAACAGAATGTGAGAGGAGCCAGATCTTCTTGCAATCATTTTTTAATTAATTGTGTAAATAAGAGTCAAGATAACTTTAGGAAAAAAGAAAAAAAAAGTAAAAGTAAAATAACATCCAGACCCCCCTGAGCGATAGATTCGGTTATATATATATATATATATATATATATATATATATATATATTTTTTTTTTTTTTGTCAAATGTTTTGTTTAATAATTGATTTTTTAAAATAAAATTATCATTAGTTTACATTTTAATTATTACATTTAAGTATATATCGAAGTTATGATAAAATTTTAATATATGTATATACTTTATAATATTAATTTTGCATTTTGGATTAACTATTATAATTGCAAAAATTTTATACTTTTTAGTTATTAGAGAACTCTCAAACTTGCTCAAAATCCATTAGATGTGTCAAAAGATATGATTTATATTATTTTATAATATATTCACATCATCTTATGTTTAATTAAAATAGAAACGGAAATTATGAGATTTGAACTCACGATCATTTGGTTATTAAGATTCTAATATTATATCAAAATATCATCTTAATCCAAAAATTTAAGTTGTTAAATGATGCTCCAATATATAATTTATTTTATTCTTTAAGAAAATGAAAACTTATTTGCTTGATCTCAACCTAATTAATACGAGGCAGGGACGAAGAAGGTATAATCTGCTCCAAATGTACTCAATTACCATTACCATCCTGTTGATCGATCTACAAGGTGGAGATCCATGCTGTTAATGTTTGATACTATTTTAAAGGAAATATTGGCCAGATAAAAATAATTCGACAAGGAGAAGACTCTTGCTGAATAGTCCATTGATTGCTTGTGACTTTCTCGGGTACGGATGGCATACATGTTGAATGCAATGATAAATTAACAAGAAAAGTGCAATGATTTAATGCAATTTCCCCGTCAAAAACTACCCTGATTTTGCTCAATTCATGTCACATTTGGTCAAATGATGCTCCCCGTCTATGCTGGTCTTGCTTATCCATCTTTTTCTCGCCCTCTATACATTTGACTCTCTTAACACTCTACGCTTGCGAATAATTATATTTTTTTATTGTAAAATTTCAGGTCTACGTGAATTATCAAATGGATTTATTTTTCTTAATATGAATGATATGTTGTGATGGTCTAGAAGTGTATTTATAAGCATATGCATATTTTATATATTGACTATGATGAAATGAAAAATTTTTAGAAAATAAATGAGATAGATATGTAAATGATGTTTTATGACAAAAAATATTTTAAATTTATATTGAGATTTTAATGTTAAACGTAAAAGTTTACCGTTGATGTTACTAATGATGTTTGATGTTGAGATTTTAAATATTGAGATTTATGATTGATACTTAACTATTAAATATTAAGGTTAATGTGACTATATGTTTTCTTTTATTAAAGTTAGACTCTATTAGTTTGGTAGCCAAAATGAGGCGACTCCTCCACAAAGATAAAGTCAAATTTAAGGGTTGTGATACACTAGGTTGGCATCTTCTAATAGGCCCAAATAAAAAAAAAATTATAAAGACATTTATGTAATGAAAGTTTTTGTTAAGTTGTAAAGATTGGTGTGGGTGAGAGCCCGGAGTATAGCTCACTATGCACATGGCAATCTCACTAGTCTATTAATAAGTAGAGGTAAAAGGGGCGAGTGCCTCTTGCAAGGATTCAAGGATGGAACCTTGGAAAGGTCTATAGAATATTAGGTCAAGTATAACCATTAAGCCTTTTTTTTAAAAAAAAAAAATCCTAGTTGTTTACATTATAAATAAAGGCAACATCACTTGTATTTATA